GGGGGGGGTAAGAAGAAGTAGAAGGGTCTGAGATGATGTGTTCGATACCCAGTAACTATAGATATATAAGTAGATACTAGCAAAGAGCCCAAATCGCTAAATATTGATAGATGTCGAGGTAAGATGTCGTCCTTGATAAACGCCGTCTGTCTGTTCCCAAACTTTAAACGCCATTGCCTCTCAATCCGCGCGTCTAGCGGAGGGCGTAAACCAAGGTTCGGGGTTGCAGCGAGCGTTTAACTTTAACTTAAAGTTCACACACCCAAAGTGGCTTTGGTCGACCCTAGTGAGTATAGTCCAGGGTTCAGTACGCATTCATGTTCCCCTTTTTGATCATTTCGTAAAGCTAATATACTCATTAGTACTACAAGAGGGGTAGCTACATATTTTGTGATTCGTTGAGCCGTTCACGGCTGATACAGCCACGGTCTCTCGCCGCCTTCCTCCTGATGCTTCTTCAAAGCCTTCTTGTTATACCTCAAATATACCGCTTCCTGCACAATCGCAAAGAACATTCCAATAGAAACCATGATGATCTGGGTCCTCAAACCCTTGTTATAACTACACGAACATAAGTTAGTCAAGTTCACACTCCCATCCTCAACACCAGGGCACTTACAAAGGCAAATCATCAGCCCGATAATACTGCGTCCCGACCATGAGCCCGGAAATGGCAGACATGACCCACATAGCAATACTGATGCTCCTCTCCCGTGGATCCTGGCAATTCAACTGCACCCACGAATTGTGAATGGGATGGTATCCGATCGCGAACGCATTGACACTCGTCCAGAGCCCCCATCTCGACCACTTCCCCACATTGGGATGAACCTCGCGGCATATGATCAGGACGATGAGATAGCAGATATGAGCAATAACGACGCTGATACCCCGCTTATTCGTGTAATCGCTCAACCACCCGAAGAAAAACACGACACCGAGCGCTATGAAACCACCCACGCATGCGAGCGCATTCGCCTCGATGCGGTCGAAGCCGAGCGCCATGATGATGGACGGCGTGTAGGTCGTCAGCGAGCTCCAGGTGGAGAAGACGGCGAACGTGGAGACGAAGTGCGGCCAGCGGCGGTAGTGCTTGACGGTCTGCCAGACGAGCTTCAGCGGGATTTCCATGCCCTGTGCGCCGTGTCTGCGCCCGGGATCGTCGTCCTCGATACGCTTTTTAAGGCCTTCTTGGTCGGCGGGCGAAAAGTGGATGAGGCCGGGTGAGAGGAGTGGGCGCGGTTGGTCGGGCGATCCGGGGAGGAGGAATAGGAGGACGAGGGATACGACCATTGTGAAGACGCCCTCGACTGTGCCATCGTCAGCGAATTCATTGCAGACTCGAAGATATACTCACTCAAGAACAGCCATTGCCATCCCGCGAGTCCCTGTCGGCCTCTGAGCTTCAATATTCCACTCGCGAGAAGCGGACTGATCGCATTTCCGCCGAACATGCCGAAGAAGAACACAGCAACCCTCTTCGCGGACTCGCGCTTTGTGTACCAGGTAGACAGGGTGTAAATGGCCCCGGGGATGTACCCAGCCTCACAGAGTCCCAGAAACATTCGCGAGGCAAGGAAGCCTGCGCGATCTTTGACGAATACCTGGAGTGAAGCGACGAGGCCGAAGATGAAGACCTGGGCCGATATCCATTTCCGCGGGCCAATCTGGACGAATGGTTAATATGAAATGGCAGAAGAATGTTGGAGGTCATATTACGCGTTGCAGGATGAGATTCGACGGGATCTCTAGCACGACGATGCCCAGGAACATAAGCTGGTTTCCAAGGTTGATTGTGTTCTGATTCACGCCAATGGTCTTTGCGAAGCCATCTGTGAGCGCGCTGGCGAGGTTCATGCGGTCCAATTGGAACACGAGCAGGCCGAGGAAGAGAAGTGGAAGAACAGTCGTGTCAACTCTGCCTCCATAGTCAGTAATTTGTTTTGGAACAATGTGCTGAAATGCGTACTTTCTCCTCGCCTTCAACCCAGCCTTCTCTCTCTCGATACTTTCGGCAATGTCTGAGCCTGATTCATTGTTGTGATTGTTGTCAAGTTGCACAGCAATCTTCTCTTCATCTGTTGACATTGTGGACGAATACAACGGTCGGTGGGGTTCAGAAAGGACGATGCCGCTCAGAAAGAAAACTTCTCTTATAAACTAAACAGATATTCAATCTAACTAGTAAAACCGACCATACGAGACCTTATCACTTCGAGAACCCCAGAGATTCGCCAAAATGTTCCGATAACTCGTCATCACAACCTCCCTGCCGCCCAAGACTTGGGATCCAGCGCCCAGTGCGACGAAAAACCGCAATCGGCATCTTCACCGTGCATACAACCATGCCGATCCGCATGCCGATTGTCGTATAAAAGTCCCTACTAAAGTGCACTCCAGACCAACGGCGGCCTTAGCAATTGGTGTTCAAGACACGGGATGGTGGTTTTGAAGAGGTTTGCCAAGTGATATCGGCAAGGATTAGCGGATTGCGCGATGTGCGTTCATCATTGCGCGAGCCGCGGCCACTTCCTAGACGTGGAATTGGTAGGGAAATGAGATGAAACGTGGAGTTCGCGTGGATTTTCTTTTTAATTGCAGCGTTCACACTTGGTATTGGGCCGTGGCCGTTGCCGATGCCATGATGCCGGGACGCCATAGTTGGCTAGCTAGTCGATCTGTTTAAGTAGCAGTCAATTCAGGTGGGCGCGTCATGTCTGCTCTTTGTTCCTCTTCGATCTTTTTTTTTTTGGGTATTGGTGATAATATCTGTGTTTTGTCCTGCATCGTGTTTCTGAGTTTTTAGATGATCTTAGATCACTGCACCTCCCAAAGAAGGAGAATTGATACAGATTAGCACTCCAAGTAGTCATAGACACCAATTGCTATCATGCCACCCGTCAAACGTGTCGCGGTGATTGGACTGGGTCCAGCCGGAGCAATTTCCATTGATGCGCTCGCGAGAGAGCAAGCATTCGATGTTATTCGGGTATTCGAAAGAAGAGAAGCGCCTGGTGGTTGCTGGTCAGACACATCCGTTGACATTCTTTTACACTACTAACGCATCTTCAGGATTGAAGACAAGGCTGCTCCTCCCCATCTGAGCGACTTTGGAAACTTAGCTCTGCGAAGAGCCGATCCGACTGTGAAACCTCCTCAATCCTTACCAGCGCGGACACGGAAGACATCGCAGCAGCGGTATACCGAGTCATCGGTGTATCCGTACTTGGAGACTAACATCGATGCGATCCCAATGTCATATAGCGAGGAGCCCATCCCCGTCACCAGGAGCGAGTTGTCGATTTCAAAGCATGGCAAGGACACGCCGTTTCGGCACCATTCGACGGTTCAGAAGTACGTTGAGGGATTAGTATACCGCAATGGCTATGAGAAGCTCGTGACGTACAACACGACAGTCGAGCTGGCCGAGAAGATTGGAAACGAGTGGAAACTAGTACTAAGACGAGAAGGCGAGAAAGAAGACGAATGGTGGGAGGAATGGTTCGACGCTGTAATTGTAGCGAGCGGACACTTTCATGTGCCCTACATACCAAAGATCGACGGCCTGGAAGAGTTCGAGAAGCAGCGTCCAGGCAGCGTCAAACACAGCAAAATGTTCCGGGGCCGCGAGAACTATCACGGAAAACGTGTCGTGGTTGTTGGTGCATCTGTCTCCGCCGCAGATATCGCAACCGATTTGATCGGAATAGCGAAAGGGCCCGTCTACGCCGTCGTCAAAGGTCACAAGGCAAATGGTTATTTCGGTGGTGAGGCATTCGATCACCCCGGCATCGCGCAGAAGCCCTCGATATCTCACATATCGTCATCGAACGGCCAACGAACCGTCCATTTCATCGACGGAAGCGCCGTTGCAGACGTTGACGAGATAGTTTTCGGCACAGGATACTCGTGGTCTCTGCCATTCCTGCCCAACGTCGAGGTCAGGAACAATCGCGTGCCGGAGCTCTACCTCCACGTCGTGTACCAGAGGGATCCGACTTTGCTCTTTATCGGCGCGGTAAAAGGTCCTCGCCATGAATGTTCTGATCCAGATTGACTGACGTTAACAGGTCGCTGCAGGGCTCACGTTCAAGATCTTCGAATGGCAGGCGGTATTGGCTGCGCGACTCCTTTCCGGACGCGCCACGTTGCCTCCATTGAGCGAACAAAAGGAATGGGAAAAGAAGCGTGTGGCAGAGCGAGGCGATGGTGTCGCTTTCACTCTCGTGTATCCTGATTTCGAGGAGTACTTCGAAAAGGTGCGAAGACTGGCTGGAGAGCCTGAGCAAGGATCTATTGGGAGACGGCTCCCCAAGTATGACCGTGCATGGTTCGACATATTCGTGAAAGGTCACGAGACAAGGAAGATATACTGGCGACAACAGAACGAAAAGGCGAGAAGGGAGCTGGAAACACCGCGAGCGAGGCTTTGATTGGTACGTGTAAGAGTGATGGTTGTACCTGTATGAGTAGCAAACAATGAATGATGTCGTTCCAGGCGTCCAATCACACGTCGTTCTTTCTTCCAGGCAGCAAACACCCAGCGCCCTTCTACAGCCCTTCCTTCCTTGCCACATCACCCTGCAATAACCAGAAAGTCAGATCTGGAATCATTCTTTTGAATTTACCTGTAGATATATATCAAATAATTCACAATCTCTGTCAAGGAAAGTTAGCTCTAAACAAATTCGGATATCCACCGAGAAGCCATTGGCTTGGCTTTATGGCCTACCGTCCAGCTTGCTGGACCCTTTCCTTTTTGCCTGGGTTCGAGTAGGTGAGATGACATGCATTTTTTGCTTTTGGTTTTTATCTGTTTGTATCCAAGTTCACATAGGTTAGGTTAGTGATAATATCAATAGAATATTATGAATTCAGATGGCATATGGTCTATAGTAATACTTCCAATAATTTATCCCCATCCTCTACACTACGTCTTCCTACCTCATGTACATATATCACAAACGTGATCTAAACTTTTCATTTCTAATCTGACCTTCTTTCCTTTGCAAATTAATAATTTGAATTTCTAGGCGTCTATTCGCACGCTGTCCTTCCCTCTAGGCAGCAAGCGCCTAGCACTGCCCTTCTACAGCCCTTCCTTCCTACCTTACCCTGAGAAACTTGGATATGAAATTATTCTTTTGAATTTACGTGTGGATATATATTAAATAATTTACAAACGTTGTCAAGGAAAGTTAGCTCTAAACATTATTCTTCGGTTTCGTTACCGTGAGCAGTATGGGATCCCTCTATGGGTACCTACTACCGTCCAGCTCGCTGGACCCTTTCCTTTTTGCGCAGGTTCGAGTAGGTAATATTACTATCTTTTTTTCTTTGAGTTTATGATCTTTTTGCTACCTTAAGATTTACATTTGCGTAGTGATAGAAAAATAAAATGGATTCAGACGGCATACATGGTCTATTAGTGATGCTCGCAAGTGCTCATATTGATCCCCATCTCCTACGCCACGTCTTCCCACCTCATGTATCACGAACGTGAACCAAACTTCATATTTCCGATCTGACTCTCTTTCCTTTTCACATTGACGATTTGAAACTATGAGTAGATCATTCCTCCCTACAGATGTAGTTCATCACTACCCACATCCTCCAAATCTCCATCTACCCGACCATCATTCTCGCCTCCTCTCCCACCACCATCACTTCACTGCCCCTCCGACCCAGCCCAACACCTCCCCCCTACTCCACAAGACGGGCACACCCCTTCCACGGCCCCTCCGTAATCGGTGCCACCTTGACCTGATGACAGTGCAAGCTCTTCACCACCGCGACGACTCCCTTCCCGTTCACAACCCTGTCAACAAAGCAGAGATTCCCATCATAGTTCCGGAAACCCCTACAAACCGCGCCTCCCTCCGGTGTGAGTTCCTTCGCCACCCGTCTCACGGCGCGGCCGGCATCTTCCGAATCGTCGTGCGCGCTGACGTGGAATGTCCTGCTGACGATGAGTTTGTCGCCGTGGACCTCGGGCGGGTCGAGCACCTTGGTGTAGGAGACGATGAATTTGCCGGGTGGAGGGTTGTCGGGGTCGGCAGGTTCGATGCCGGGGAGGTCGTAGAGGGTTAGGATGATTTCGTCGGTACGGATGAGGGCGGTGGTGGTAGGTGGGGTGCGAGTTGGTTCAGTCTGAGGTGTTGGGTGTTAGGTATGTAATCTTGCTTGCTCGGTTTGAGGGGAGGTGTTTGGATTCACAGGAAGGTAGAGAGGATCGGGTAATTCGCGCCTGTGGGACTTACGGGATGGGTCTGGTCCTGCTCTGGAGCTGGCTGCTCTGCAACTGGGGGGACATGATTGCGTTGCTCTCGTACCAGGAGAATGGAATCGAAGGGTGGTTTCAGTGCAGCGTCTGAGTTCGCAGGTTTGACTGGAGTCCCAGTAGTTGCAGGAGTATCCTGATGTTGGCTCGATCTAGCTTCAGAATCAACGTCATCATGTTGAGAAATTTGGGATGATTCCTAAGGAATCAGTGAGTGGGTAAGTTAGGTGTTTATCTGCTCAACTTTTCAACGTCTTAGACCTCTAATACATACCAACCGATATAGAACTGCTTTTCCACTAATGTAAGACATACATCATTGAGCAAAGTGCATGGCTGCATGTCTTCGCGGACAGCAACACAAGCAAATCACCATGCACGAGAAACATATTTGCTCACGCACACGCACAACACCCCTACAAGCACACCTACTCCCTTTCAAACAAAGCCGGGAGTCAAGCACAGCATGTTCCCGTTCCCAGCTTTCAATCGTCCCGCCGGAGCAGGCATTCATCTGTCATCGTTCAAACGTCAACATCCAGATCGCAAGAACGCGCTCCAATCAAACGGCACCACCGCCGCACTGTATGAACCAAACTCTCATTTCTCACTACATGGTTGCCTAGTTCTTTTGTTCTCTATTGACGTAAAATATTTGGGATCTTGCAGTTGCTAGGTGGGCGCTGCATGCCGCATCGTAGCCGCTTGTTGGTACCACGGCGCGGGTGTCGGATGGCGGAAACGTACATATGGACCACTGCAGCAACCTCCCATTACGATATTGACGCCGGATAGACGGGAGAAGAAGGCAATTCGGGCTGTGAGCACGGCTGGAGCCTAGATTGTGTTTTTTCCAGAAGTTTGAGGTTAGTGTATTGAAGGGTTCGTTGATTGTAGGTCTACGAGCGGCGACATGATGAACGGGTACGAAATCGTCATTAATGGGCATCTCTTGTTGTCAAGAGCAGCGAACCAACCTTGGAGACAGTACGATAATTACTGTGAGTACTAGCTATGCCTTGATTATGTTGTATCAGGAAGGAGAGACCGTTTGTACTATCTTTGGGTTCTATTTTGTTTATTATAATTCTAATTAACTATAATAAATAAAATTGAAGCCAGACGATAATGCTACACGAACGCGGACTACGATTGTAATTTTTCCTTGAAGAAATGGATGTTCGTAAAGTACTTCGTGTGCATTCTGTGTGTTTCTGGGAGAATAGTTTCTGTTTTGCTATTTCATCGTAGTAAACTTCAATGGTACATCTATCCTGGGTATATCCATGACAATTCATCAAAGGCAGTAAGGAATCAAGTAAGCGATGACTGTTACCCCATACGTCTAAACCACCTTGTCGCACCCAGTATTGATGTTGTAAGTCCGACGAGTATGAGAGAATGCGATGGTTTTCACCATCTGATCCATGTTTTGGTTGCCCTGCCTGGCTAGACGATATCGTGCTAGGTTATAGAGACATACTGCTTCGTTGAAAGGCTAAGAGTATCACAATCACCACTTCCACAGCAAGGCAAAAGACTTTTTGTTTGGAGTTGTATAAAATAAGCTATTCATTCTCAACCACACTGCCAACTTGGTCATACTACTACTAAATACTAATAATAATACACAGGCTCTCTCTCTCTTGCTTCCGATCTAACCAAAAAAATAGTTCCAATAAGAATCTCGATGTTTCGTTTGTTTTGGCAAACCCATAAAAAAAAGGACCCAGGAGGCGGGTAGGGGATACCAGATCCAGGGGGGGTTTAGGTCGGTCTTCTCTCTTTCAATTCATTACACAGGCGTACACAATGGAAAGTGTTCGTTGCGTCTCAGGCGATTTCTCGTCATCTGTGCTCGCAGGGGGTATCTTGACACTCTTCTCACTTGCGACCTTCGCTTACAAAAGGAAGTAAGCGAACAAGCCCACGACACCGGAGACGGCGAAGGTAGGAGCCTTGAGGCCGGCAGCAGCGCCGGGGGAGGAGGTGCTGGAGCCGGAGGGTTGAGTCGCGGTGGTGAGGTTGCCGCCGACAGCAGTGGTCGAGGTAGGGGAGACGTTCTGCTCGGCCTGGGCGGCGGCGGCCCTGTACCTGTCGAGAGTGTTTTGGCCGGAAGTACTGTGTGTGCGTTAGCATTTGATGATGTTGGTTTGGGTTCATGCGCAGAGGGAGACTTACGGAGGGTTGATGACAGCAACCATACCGTTCTGGCAATGCTTCGCGCGGGAGCAGTAGAGCCAGATGGGTGCAGAGGCATTGGTGACGGTGTAGTGGAACTCGGTAGGGGAGGCCTTCTCGGTGTCGTTGGTGGTCACGAAGCCAGACCAGATGGAGCCCTCTGGGCCGGGCTGGCAGGGACGGGCGAAGGGTCCGGCGACGACGGAGTGGGAAGAAGGCCAGAACTTGAACTTGACGACATCGCCCTCAGCGGCCTTGATGGTCTCAGGGTTGAAGAGCGCGGAGCCGTTCTTGAGACCCACAGAGACGGTGATGTCTGCTGCGAGAGCGGAGCCGGCGACGGCGGCGGCGGTGAAGATGGTGGAGAAATGCATTGTGATTGGTGTGTATTGGGGGAGACTAGCTCGTTTGGGTAATGAAGATGAATAGGATTAGGGTTTTAGGATCGAGATTTGTTTTTGGAAGAAATCGGAAAGAAAACTGTGTAGTTGAGAATGAATGCTTGGACCTGCCTGGGGAAGAAAAAAAAAGAGTTCTAGGAGTGAGCGCATTTGAGCCCTTTATAAGGCATTTTCCAGGAGTCTGAATGAAACAGATGGGCCGCGCAAGAGAAGGGGCAGACTGAGAGAGAGGCAGATGGGCGGTTACCAAGGTGGAAGACTCGGCCTGAAAGAGCCATGGCGGAACGTCTTCGCGACAAAGAGTGTTGCGAACCCAGGCCTCACGATGCGGCGATCCTTGCCAATGTCCCTTTCTGGGGAAACATGAGGCGTTCCGGGATGCTTGTGATTGGCTGGGAGGGTCGGTTTGACGGTTTGACGGGGGTTGGAGTGGCGCACTGTGTATCTGTGAAAGCCACGGACGGCAACCCTCTTGTTTTGCCTAAGGTCTTCGCTGTGGCTGTTTGTAGCCAAGTGCGCGAGATGCAGCCAATGGAATGGATGGTCAGGGTATTGTCCATGTTTCTGCTGTGGATGATTCAGGTGGTTAGCGAAGGGGATGAAACTGTGGACGGGGAAATATAACTTGAGACGTGTATCAGATTCCCCATTCTGGGCGTTAACCCTGACTGACTGACTGACTGACATCCTGACTTGGACAAGTAAAGAACAACACAAAACGCTCGGCCCGGAGTCTGATCACTGCCAACTCTGATTATTGGCAAGTATCTGATTAGTTAATACCAAGAAGAAGAGGAGAGTCTCTTTGTTGCTACACATCGTTCCTTTGAGGGTCTATCGTTGGGTGCGATGTTTCGGTGTGGCTGCGAAGGTTGTCTTCTGAGCGTAACGCCTAGCTAAGGGCAGTCTTAAGATAGACATAGCTACTCGCAAGTCGCAGTATTATCTATTGCTGATTGTTTACAGGCTGGACGTCTCCCTGTCGATGGCTTGTAGGTAAAGTTGTAACTGCGCTTCTTCCGTCTGTTCCGCTGTCCGACCGACCCTTACTCATACAACACACTCAACCAACCACCTGAGTTACCTATAGAGGAATTCTGTTAAGACTCTCGCCCTCGCTCTGTGAACCTCGGTCTTTTCTTGTTTCAACAGTTATTCACAACAACGACCACCCACATTTCTTCCGGGCCGGCAATAGTGCCGTTGGGTGTCGTTGTTCTAGTGTGACTTCGTGATCAAACTCCCGCTCTTCGCCTTTGTTCATCGTCAGCAGAAACCATCCGACTCTGAATTGCATGCGACGTCATGTGCAGGTATCGAGAGACCTTTCAGGCGATCGCTTACGCAAGATGGGATTTATTGTTGTCTCGCCGCGCAGGCCGGCTTATGGAACAAGATCGAACGTGGAATGTCGGAATGGGCAACCAAGCCAGACTCCATTCCACGTGCGGATGGCTGTCCGCCAAACACTCAGAAGAATTGTTTCTCGCTGTTTATTCTCAATAATAAGAGTCTCTGCGAAATGAGAAATCATACCCACACGCAAGTATGCGTCGCCTTCGATCCAGGAATTCCCTGGACGAACTCAACGCTTGTTGACGTGGCTGTCCCCATCAAGGTACCTCGTGGTGTGATGATTGATCACCGTCTCGTTCGTTCGTACATACATACGAGTACTATTGTCTGCCCACCGCCCTGCTCCGTCCAGTCGTATGTATGTAACTATGTAACTAACTATGTACATTATTTATTGCTCCATAGGGCTCGCACGTCCACCGATACATACATAGAACAACGCTATTGCTAAAGTCCCACCCTCACTGCCCATCCCCCATTTATCGATTTCACGGCTTCGGACTGCCCCATCTGGTACAATTGATTGACGAGCGGCGCGCGATGTAACCAAACGGACGACGGTTTATTGCCTCACTCGTCCAAGTCCCGAGAACTTTGTACATAACCGTCTCGGACAATTCGCTCGCTTGGACACTGCGCCCTCGTCACTGACGACCGATCAGCCGCCTATCCGCATCGACTAACTAGGTAGACTACCTACTGATTCTAAGAATAACCGGACTGCCCACAGCTCAACTCACCACCATGGTGATCCTCGTGTTTCCCCACACTATGAGCTCATCTCTTCATCTGTCATGTACAGTGTATGCAAGACAATGGTCACCTGCGCTGCCGGCTTAGGCAACTCGAGCACTACACTACTGACTGACAATGCGTTTATTGATTTCCCATGGGTAGATCCCGGCTCGGTCCTTTTTCCTCCGCGCATCGTTGCCTCTTGGAGCGTGTGCGATATTGTCGTCGGCTGCGAGGCAAGGCATGGGCATGGCGGGACCCGGTATAAGCAAGGACGGTGACGGTGTGGATGGGGAATTCGGTTTTGGTATAAAATGTCTCGAGGACGACGCAGCAAAAAGAGGAATATCAGACACTCCAATTCAAATTTAATCAATCAATCAATCAATCACACCACACTCGCTTTATCACAGTACTACTTACGAACGAGCATTTCCATAATCTACATATAACGATTTTAACGACCAACGAACAAAAGCATCTCACGATCAACATATCATCCTATCCAACATGAAGTTCACCGCCGCCATCTCCGCCCTCACGCTCTCCAGCATCGCCAACGCCATCACCGGTACATATCCCCCTCCCCCCTCCCCTTACCATCCTCAGAAAAGGAACGCCAACTAACGCCTGCGGCTGTGAACAAACAGTATCCTACGACACAGGCTACGACGACGCCTCGCGCTCCCTCAACGTCGTCTCGTGCTCCGACGGCTCCAACGGCCTCGTGACCAAGGGATACACGACGCAAGGCTCGCTACGCAACTTCCCTTACATCGGCGGGTACCAGGGCGTCGCGGGCTGGAATAGCCCTCAGGTATGTCTTGTCTCCCCTCTCCCCTTCCCACCCCCCCATTATTCCTTTTCGATCTTCCTCTCTGCCGACGTGGGCGTCTAACGTGTGGGCGACAGTGCGGCACATGCTACTCCGTAACCTACAAGTCCAAAACCATCTACGTGCTCGCGATCGACCACGCCGCGAGCGGCTTCAACATCGCCCAGAAGGCCATGGACGACCTGACGAACGGGCAGTCGGTTGCGCTGGGAAGGGTCGACGCGCAGTATATCCAGGTGCCAGTTAGCAACTGTAAGCTTTGAAGGGAATTGGTGACGAAGTAATTAATGAAGTGGGAAGGGGGGGGGAGAAGAGGGGAAGGGGTAATGTGTACGTACGAGTGATGAAATATATAGCTGTAATTAATGCACCATGTGGAAGAGAGTTGCGGTTATGTGCGTTTTCGAGTGATGATGTCTCACTGGTATGTGGTGATGAATGAATCATAACTACAATAAGGAGAACAGAACATAAAATCAAAAAAAAAAAACAAAGCAAAACGCCTCAGTATATCAAACCCCACGCAACAACTGAAGCCAACAACTTAATCCTCCGGCATCCAAATGGTAACTACCGATTAGGACTTACATAGTGTCGATATGCCAACTACTCTTTGGTACCTACCTAGGTGCCTACCGACCTACATAGGTATCTTCACAATAAAAAATATATATAATAAAAACAGAACCAGTAAACAAACAAACCAAAAACAATTCACAGTATCTCATTCCCGTTCTACACCCTTCTAGATACTCCGTACATCTAATGACAATGGTATGTGTCCGTATTGTGTTCTTTCGTTCACCCATCACAGTTCTCCTTACCAAACACTTGGCCTACAACACCACTCCCACAACACTTACACCACGCAAAAACATAGACAACTGAGTAAATAATGCATACTTTTTATTTTTATTTTTCATCTTTCACTTCTCGTCCCTTGTCCCCGTTCCATTTTCCCTACAGTACTGAATCGAAAATACCCCGTATACACAAAAAACGCTTTCTTTTTTTTTACAGCCTTTCATCCTCATTTGCTCCCCTCATGCCACCTACTTCTACATCCACCTTGCACAGATGCACAGATGCACATGCATACGCCGCTTGCTGCTTGCTGTTTCAATAATGATGACGGATCGAAGTACCAACGACATCGATACGATTGCTTTACCCCCATATGCCCACATTCCCAATCCCAACCATCCCTCAAAAAGAAAAAACCACACACAGAACGTGGAACGAAAACCCCCGATCCCATCGTCCATTCATTAATCATTCAATCAATGATTCATTCATCTCTTCATCTCTCATCGGCAGACAGAAAAAAAAATCATTCAATCAATCCACCTTGACATGCACGCCGCCACCCGCACCACCCAGCGCCGGCACCTCATCGAGCTGGATGTCCGCGACCTCGCCGTCGCCGAGCTCGCCGCCAAGCGCGGGGCGTATCATCTCGTCTTCGGCGGTCGCGGGGAGTTCCATCCCGCTATCGAGGTCCGGGACGTCTTCTTCCTCGTCTGCGAAGTCGCGTAGGCGCTCGCGCAGGTCCTCGGAGCCGGCCATGTTGGGTGCGTCGGAGGCGATTTCCTCGTCGTCGTCTTCGTCTGGGTTGTAGAGGCCGTCTACTGAGTTGGAGTGTGGTACGCCCGCGCCCGTGAAGGACCAGTCGTTGCCGGAGTGGTATCCCGTGTAGGCTGCTGCGCTGCTGCTCACGCCGATGAAGCCGCCGTCGTCGTCTTCCTCGCCCACGTACCCTTCGTCTGCGCCGTACGGTGGCGGGTTGTCCAGCATCATGTCGCTGTCCTCGTCGCCGTCGTCAGCGCCCGCTGTCCCGGCTGCGACTCCGCTCCGCAGATGGCTCGCGGCTGAAGCTGAACCAGCCCCGAGCAGGACTCCTGCTCCCGCTGCGGCTCCGAAAGCGCTCGACGACCCATTGCGGGACGAGCCGTCGAGGCGCAAGCCGTTTCCCGCCGGCGAGCGTGAGGCGTCGCGGCTGGCGCCCGGTTCTCCAGAAGAGTCGTTGTCGGCGTCGTCGCCCTCAGAGCCGGGGTTGTACACCTCTTCCACGATCTTCTGCACCAAAGGTGGGCCCAAAGGGCCGTCCGAGCGGCGACGGTAGAAGAGCAGGTAGGCACTGGGTGTTACCACGCTTTGTGGGTTGCGCACAGAAGAGACAGAGGAGTCTGTTGGAGTTAGCAAAAGCCTCAAGCAGAATGTCAATAATATAACCCACCATTGTATTCGTACCACTGCTTGTCGAAGAAGTTCTGAGCATAAGCAGTGTAATGACCCCCTCCGAGCCCTCCGTAGTGGTTGTCGACGGCGAACAGGTCGTACACCAGGGACTTGCCCTCTGGCAGACCCACCTTGCCACTGAGATCCAAACCCTCGACGGGGAAGTCCACCAGCGCCTCGATCTTGTCGCGGAACGTCCGGTGGGCACTGAAGCGCTTGAGATGGACGACCATGATGTCCGGTACCGTCCAGATCTCGAGCGTCTTGGTCGCGCGTCGAAGCTCCTTGCAGCGGTTGCAGTACCACGCGTTGTCCTCGGACAGGATCTCGCTCTTAGCCGTCTCCTGGAAACACTCGTCGAGATTGATGCCAGTCTTCCGACGAGCAGCGCGCTTCGCCTTCTTGGCCTTAAGCTCCGCGTCGTCGAAGGTCTCGATGACGGTAAGCGTAGCAACACCGCGCTCATCTTCGTCAGAGGTAGAACCGAATAGTGCCTCCTGGGCGTTGGACTCCCAGTCCAGAATGATGGCCTCACCAAGGCGGATGAGTCCCTCATCATCGTCGTCCTCAGGCTCAGAGAATGCATTGGATGGCTGCTCGGGTATCTTGCCCTTCTTCGAGTACTGCTGCTTGCCGGCGTTCTTCTTATTGAACTTCTTGTTCTGGCGCTTGTTCCGCTTGCTGTGCTTGTTGTTCTTCTGGCGGCCGCCGCGCGCGAAGCCGGGCTGCTCCACCTCGATCGTCGGGATCTGGTCCTCGTCACTGCTCTGATCGACCATCTCCTGGGCGTCGGCGGAGAACTGGGGAGTGTCGTCGCCCTCTTCGCTCGACGAGGCATTGCTCGTTTCTTCCACCGACTGCATTGATGACTCTCGAGAAGGCTCGACGACAGGAATTCGTTTAGTGATGGGCTGATACTGCTTGGTGGCGTCGATTGAACTCCAACCAGTCTGCACCATCTCGTGTCCGCGACCGGTGTGCTTGATGGTGAACAGGGCAGCGAACGCCGGGGGAATGAAGCTTCCAGGCTTGAGAATTTCTGGAACGCTGTCGCCATTTGTCGCAGGCTTAGACGCTTCATCAGCTTCGGTCATAGTCACTTCCACCATGTCGTCGCTCGAAACCGAGCCATCCTGAACGCGGGGGTCGCTATCTGGCGAAGCATCCTCCTCGGTAGTGATAACGACGTCCGAATCGCCGCGAGACGGGATAGAGCTGCCATTGAACTCTGTGAGGATCGGCCTTGTCGTCAATTGTGCAACGCGACCGATAACCTTCCTCATGATGGCGTCGTAGTCCTTTGCCTCCTCGCGGGAGAGCACAATGTACGACGGCCACTGGATCAACGACATTTGCTGACCGCGATAGCTCGACATGTTTTGGCCACGATGGAAGATGGGAACGAGCATCCTGTCGCCAAGCGGGGAGGAAGATGGCGGGATGTCCTCTTCAGAAGAATGGTTATATATGGAGAGCATGGAGCGGAATTTGTGTGGCTTCTTGGGAGACGGCCAATTGGTCGGCACCTGGTCGACTTCGTAGAAGTAAATGTCGTCACGCTGGCCGATGTTGCATTCGGCGATGGACTTGCCATCTTCGAGCATGCGGTAGAACTTATTGCTGTAGACCTCGGCGCCGATGAGGCGGTTCGCTTTGGTACCAGGGAAACGCCTCGCTATGTACTCTTTAAGTGCCTTGATAGTACCGTTCTTATCGATATCTACCTCGACCTTGACTGGTCTGCCGAGGAGAGGAACAAACGTGATTGTGTGCTGCCACGTCTGCTCGATGGGGAGCTGAAGGGTGATGAGACTGTAGGGATCGAATGTAATGCTAACTTTTTGACACTCAGGGCAGACCATGGTGTTCTTGTAGAAACCGTTGAACAGATCCATCGCAACGGAATCGTTACGGGAGTGGTGGATGTCGCGGAACTTGTTGCCCAGAGCTTTGATAGCCTCAGGATCATTGATGGTGTTGTCGTCCGATTCTGGGTACTCGGTGTATGGCTTCTTCTTGATGCGGTTGAGATCCTCGTGCAGACCGTCGACCAGGAAACTGAGGAACTCCTGCGAGTCCTGTTGACCGTAACCGGAGAAGAGAGGCTGAGCCTTTCCAAGGGCCATCTTGAACTGCCTAGGTGCAAATGACGAAGCTCCATCTTCCGCGTAGATGCTGGCCACGAGACCGGCATACGACTTTGCGATGGTACCACCGTGGCCAAGCGGGTTGTCGGAATTGATCTCATTCTTCCACTTGCCCTGGAAGAAATACCAAGTCAACTCCTCCACACTTCGAATGCATTGGAGGGCAGAGTTCATGTAGCATGTGTTTCCCAAATTCGTCAAACCAACCGTGGCCCTGGTCCGTCCTCCCCGTGTCCTTCCTCTTGTCAGAGGCCCAGGCGCGGGACTATTCCTGCCACTATTAGGCTTGCTCTGCACGCCCTTATTCTTGACACTAAGCTTATTAGCATCTTTCGCGGGCGCCTGGGAAGCCGTATCCGGAATGTAATTTCCCTTGTCGTCCTGCTCCTCGAGAATGAGAATCTGGTCCTCGGCGAGTCCCGCAACTTGCAAGTTCATGTGTCCATTGTACTTCTCGTTAGCCGTCTCGTCCTTAACGGTGACCAACTCGCGCTCAGTACCGGTGGCCAGAGCCGTAAAGTCGGCAGCCTCAATCGACAGTGGAAGGACCGAAGCCTGGGGTGTGGAGACAGGAGAACCATTGCGGGGAGATGCGTCCGGTGTGAGGATGCCGGATGGTTGGGGTGGAGCCTGGTCTGTGGGTGCGGTCTTGAGAACTCTCCATACGCGAACCTTGGTCTTCATGTCGATTCCCGCCGCCTTCTTTACTGTCTTCAGGAAATCCACATAGCCGTCGCTCCTGCTCGCGGCGACCTTGGGACTGGGTTTCGAAGCATCCTGGGGCGTTGCGAGTTTTGCGGTGGACCGGTGGACCTTGCGAATCTGGAAGACTGGGGGGTACACTTCGTATTGGATGTTCTCTTGGAATTCGCCGACAGCGGTGTTGTGTGCGTATCGTCGAATCGTTGGACTGTCACTCTTCTCCCCATACCACTGCACTATCAGATTCCACGCTTCCTGCGGGAGTATCTCAAAGTCCTGTCCCATCTGCAGACCCGGTCGGAGAGGAACGAACTTGCCCTTGTCCTTGTCCTTCACGAGGATGTCCTCGGGGAGGGCAACTTCATCATCAGAGTCAGAGGGTGGGTTGTGCAATCGTACGTCTGACTCACCTGAATCAAGCAGATTCGTATTATCCACAGGTCCAATCTCGCCCTCGGTGGCCTCTTTATTGAACTGCTCGGGCTTGTTGGCGTTCTCCGAGGTGCGTGCGAAGACGCGTTCGAGCCACTTCTCAGAAATGACGAATCCCACCTGTCCGTCAAGCAGCGGGCGATAACTAATGGCCATCACTTGGGCGACCTGCTCGTCGAGACTCGGCTTCTCTAACGCGGCGGTCGAGTGTGCGGAGAGGCTCGTGGCGGTGGATGCTGCATTCGAGGAGGGCGTACTGTCGGAACTCGCGGCGTCAAGCATGTCGACCGAGTTCGCTCGCAAGCTGCGAGGTGCTGTGGTAGCATTGGGAGGCTGCTTGGAGGCTCGCGGACTGGACTGGCCGCTGCCCCGACGGGCGCTGCTGCCACTGCTCGCAGCGGTGGAGTCAATGTCCATGTGCTCCTTCCCGCCGTCGTCCATGTCGGAGTGGGGTCGCTTCGCGGGGGAGGAAGAGCGAGGCGGCGGTCGCGGTTGGACGGTGGGTGAGCCTGTGTCCGCATTCACATTCGCATTCGCATTGTGGGTGATGGTGTTGGTCTCGGAATCGCCGTTGGAATCACGACTCTCGAGCGTCATGTTGGCGTAGGCCTCGCTGGGGGAACTGGCGGCGGAGGTGGAGGAGTCGTAGACTTCGTCGTGCATATGAGGCGGTAAGTAGCGAGGCGGGGATGCTGAAGCTCTGAGGCTGGATGCGGAGGGAGGAAGCGGGAGTGGGGAGGAGCGTGGGGAGGTTATGGAGCCAGCAGTATTGGTAGCAGCGTCATTCGGTGAAGGGCCGGGACTGGAGCGTGTGCCTGTGCCTGTGCCTGTGCCTGAGACTGAGACCGAGCCCGTGCCAGTGCCAGCGCCTGTGCCTGTGACCTTGCGCTTCTTGGTTGAAGCCGTGGTGAAGAGAGGAGTGACCTACGCCTGGAGCCTGACGAAGCTCCAAGTGTAGGTGTTATGGGGTTGGTGGTGGCGTTTGTTGGTGTTGTTGTTCGTGGATGTGGGTTGTGATACTTTGGTGTTGAGGGTGAAGTACAAGTACCAGCAGGGCACGTAATCCGTACTTTTTCCCTTAGTGAGTAATATGTAGTGGTGACCTGGTACTGTGTAGGTACCTCAGGCTTGTAGTAAGTAGTGTGTACCCACTCACTACACACAGGCGAAGAAAAGTGCGGGACACCCCGAATGTCCTCTCACTTGCCGCTGGCTGTTGTGGCTGTCCCCTTGTCTTTCTATTGCTCGAGGGTGGGGAGCGGGGGAAGAAAGAGGTCGGGGATTTTTTCTAGCGGGCGGAAAAGTAGAGAAGAGAGAAAAAAGAACAAGAGAAAAAGAAGAAGAAGAAGACGATGAAGAATGGGATGGTTGGTGGATGGATGGTGGATGGAGGATTGGTGGATGGAGGATTGGTGGATGATGGATGGCTGTGGATGGATGGGAATAAAGTCTCTTTCCGTTGATTTGATTGGTCGATTTCTTCTGTTGGTGGTTTTGTCAAAGGCAGATCCCTGGCAGAAGATCGGACCCCGGGCCTTGGCAATTCACTTTTATACGCCTTATATACTTCCGTACTCTGTACTATTACACCTCTGCTATAAAATAAGGTATATAGATATATAGATATATATACGTATATATAAAGAAAAGGCTAAGAACGAAAACAAACGTCTTTTCTTCTCTAAGAAAAGAATCATGAACATACATAGGTATTCATCTGTGAGAAGTGAGGTAGGCAATAGGTTAAGCAAGGTAAAGTTGCCAAACGTCAAATGTGAGCCTCACTTCAAGAAAATGAGCAAAGTCTAGTAGTCCTGTACGTTTGCAGTAACTAGTGTCAAAGAGAAGATCCTCCTCGGAGAGGCAGCAAGTAAGAAGAGTTGCGCCACCATAGAACTCACACGAACCTTCTATGCTTACCTACTACCATAGACATCGATTGATAGCGTACGTGTTCACAGTTGTCTTGCGTAAATGACTAGTATAAATATTATCATTTTTCATTCGTTATTGATTACTACTACAGCCAGCTTAAGCTACACTAGTAATTAGCAGTATTGAAGGAATGGTTGAATCCCCAACGGTTTAGCAATCAGTTAGCTGTCCGCGATGTAGGCAGCGTGGCAAGGAGACAAATATGCCATCGTCTATCCCTCCCCAATGAAAGGTAGACCCAGGTCCAGCAAACTCACTTCTGCCTACCGTTGTTCAACCATGCAAACGCCGAAGCCCCTCCAACGGGGTTCGTCGCTCGCGTCTTTGGTGCTGCCGCTGCTGCGGAAGCGTCGGTGGGAGGAGCACCCATCTTTGCCTGTTCGCCAGAAACAGACCGGCTCGTTTGAGTCTGCGACCAAGGCGCTTCAGTACCCTCCCTCCGCTTGCCGTCGTCGAAGAAGCGTGACTGGCCCGCGGAGATGGACGGCGTGGTCGCCTGCGATGCCCCCGTCGACAAGGTCCGCGTACCCGAGCGCGACGGCCTCAGCACCTTGATCCCCGTATCCTTCTTCTGGGTGGTCGGGTTTGGCGGATTCTTCCCCACGCTCGCCCAATCCAGGGAGGCGGGTTTCTCTTTCTCTGTGTCACGTCGCCAGCTGGTCCAAATAGCCGGTGATGTACCTGTACCTGTGCCTGTACCTGTACTTGTACCTGAGACTGTACCGGATCCCGTGCCTGTCCGCGGAGCCGCACTAGCCGTATTGGGGGCAGATGCGCTCTCTTTGGTATCCGTCCTGTGCAGAGTATTCGTAGGGAGCGGGCGTTGCTCGAGACTTCTCCGGCCTGTCGAAGAACCATCATCAGAGCCATTAGCCACACTGTACCCATTTGCCTTCGGGATCTCAGATGCCTGTTCTTCGTGTGAATTATCTGCGATCGAGTCTTGTTCCGCCGCGGCGGAGGCAGCTGCCTGGGACGAGACATCATCCGCCGTTACGTGCGGCCTATGGAGGTTGGGTGCTCCGCTGCCAGTAAATATACACTTGAAGGTCCGGTCGTCCTCTGGTCGAACAAGAGGAACCTGAAGCTTAGTGCGATCCTCGTCGTACAACGTCAGTTGATTGGTAGAGAAGAGTATGTCAGCATTGTGTGCCCGTAGCAAATCGCTGCCTAGGAAGATTTGAATGGCTTTATCTTCAGTCGATACTGCGCCACGGTCGATCACTGTGAAATCAACGCTCAGTGAAGGTAACTGGGGAGCAGGGCTGTCCGACCTAGATGAAGAAGACAGAGGAACGGCCTCGGGTAGATAGACGGATAGCTTGATTGTAGGCACTCCTTCCTCCGTTTGGGTGATCTGCTCCTGGTATCCAAGGCTCTCAATCAAGCGGATATCTAGGTAGGATGTGTACGAGCCCGTGCAAACGGCCGCATAGAGCAGAGTATCATGCTTAAAGTTCGTGCTGAGCCAGCAGCGAATGATCGCCGGGACGGACCCTAAAATGAACAAACCAGGTGCCAGACCGGGTGGTTCAATGGGAGTGTTGAGTCCATAGCTGGTCAAGCTATTGGCACGGCCAGACGTCACGGAATGCACCGAGTGGCCTGCGGAACTCTGCCGCCCGTCTGATTTATGTGAATAGCTCCTCTCGCTCATGACATGTCCGCCCAGACCGCTGCCTGTGCGAGTTATGAGATCGAGAGACGAGCGAGAGGCGTGGGCCCAGTGGCCGTGGTTGGCCGTCTCGTCGAACCGAACGCTGTTGGCTCTGGACGTGGTACCGATGCGGCGAGGCTCGTCATCTGCGTCGAGTTGTAGGTTTCCAATGAGGCTGTTCGACTGGTCGTCGAAGGAAGAGAAGTGCTCTGCCGTGGGTTGCTGCAGCGGAACTGAGACGAGTCAACCAAAAGTCGAAACCAAGTCGTGTGTACAATCAATCATCGCACCTTGCTGTGGAGTACCCCCCAGAACGGAGGGAAACGGTGAGGAGGCTCCCCAGACGTTTTTCAGTCGGGAGTCCTCCTCGTTCTTGCGCTCGAGTCGTGCGACCCGGTCGGCGAGCTCCGCCTGGTTCTGCTGGACACGCAGCATCTCGCCCTGCATGCGCCAGAAATCGTCCCGAGGTTGGAAAGAGACGCTTTCTGGATCCATCTAGAGCAAAGCATTCCCCTGCTATGTATGCCTTCAGGTAAAGAGAGGGGGTTCGCCCTTCTTCTTAGCTGGATTTCTGTGGGCCCTCCTCCGTCTCCCTCGACCGTCACCGTATGCCACGCCCACGGCAACGCCGCTGTCCGCCTGGTGGTTGCCTGATCCTCCCTTCTGCTTGCCCTCCTGGCTCGGGTTATCACTGTTTGTTAAATGTTTGTGCTGTCTGCAAAGTGAGCGGTCGTCTGTGCGGATGCGGGGAAGAGATGGCTTGATTGCAGAGGTGGAGAGGTAGGTATAGGTATAAGATGGGTATCGCAGGATAGGTGGAACTTTTTCCAGGCGGAGTTCTGTTCGGAGAAGAGTACGTTCAAGACGACCGGAAGGGAATGGCGAAAGCTGGTTGATGATTACAACAGATAAGGGAAGAGGATGTGGTTTGCTGTCGGGGAAGGGTGCGGCGAGAAGCTGGGGTGGTGGTCAGGGTGGCAATGATGGCACTCTCACGAGGGTGAGTAGTTCTGTTATGTGTTTAAGCCAAGATGAGAAGGATAGTTTTCTGGTGTCTGCATGTGTTGGCGGAAGTAAGGCAGACAATGTTTGCGTTTAGGGACGGAGGTGTGAGTTGTTATGGGAGGTTAGTGTTGGGTGGTTGTGAGTGGTGAGTTGTGAGTAGTGAGTGATGATGAATGGTGGTGTTAGTAGTCACTCGGAAAGGGACGAGCCACCAGAGTGTAAGCTAGCGCGCATACCCCGAACACAAACTAACGACTTGCATCATTGTTGTTATTACTTGATTTATTGTGTCTCTCCGCATGTGATTCTACAATCAATACGAAAGATACACGATCATCGGAGACGGCATCTTGTTCTCGCTGTCAGACGTGGAGGGCTCCGTTGAAAGGTCCCTTGCCCTAGCATATGACATGGTCTGCAGTCTTATTGGGCGATCGATCATGCAAAACATCTGGATGCTTATATGTACAGAAATCAGTGTTCAGATAGATGATTGAGCGCTACCAGGTATTTGAGTGCATATTTCGACTGTATTTCTTCTATTTATGTATTTGGATAGTTATAGAATCTATGGTTGTTTTGTTCCTTGCAAAACTGGGAAAGACGGCACGTGACGTTACTTCCGAAATCTATTCGACCTCTTGAGGCATGTATTGGAACAACTTAAAAGTAAAATATACCGTGTATCTTTTCATGTAAGAGCTTCACCCAGCTATGCAGTCGATGTCTGGCCGCGTAACCAGTAGTTGGTCTAGGGCGGCGTTGGCTCATTTCGCAATGGCAGCATCGAATGCATTCCAGTCGGCCGGTTCGTTCCACAAGGGGAAGACGTTGGGCAACTTCTCGGGAACCTGGTCAGGCCACTCCCGTGCAATCAGGTCCATCGCCTCGTTGAACATGATGTCGTAGCCTGAGGGAGCAAAATGCAAGCCTTGTAGAGTCAGTTCTGATATCTGGTGCACTTATTCTAACCATCCACTGAAGGAAGACATGACATACCATCGTGAAGAAGCTCGGCGAGGACATCGTTCTGGGGGATGTCGCGAGATCCCGGCAGGATGTCACCAACCTTCCAGGTCTCTTCAGTCCATTTCGCCTTGGTCATGAACGCTTTCCAGATATTCAGGACGGGCACACCCAACTTGGCGCCGACCTCGACGGCGGCATCTGCGTAGCTTTTGGTGGCCGCAGCTACGCGTGAAAGGGATTTTGCACCTTTAGATTGGTCTGTGACCCACTGCAGATGCTCGTTGATGGGGGGAGGTGCGACGAGAATGATGCGAGCGTTGTGTGCTTTGACGAGTGGATGGGTGATGATAGCTTCTAGGTTCTGCTTGTATCTATCCAAGGGGACATGTTGGTTGTTCGCCGCCTGTGGTAGAGAGGCATCATTGGCGCCGAAGAAGACGACCTGTTAATTTTTATTGTCAGTCTTGAGAGACGGATTTCTTCAAGTGAATAACGTACTAGGAATCGAATGCGTGCTTGTTCCGGGGTGGGGAGAACGTAGGGGAGCACCTTGAGTGCTTGATCTGTGTTGTATCCACTATCGAATGAAATGTAAGTTTAGGAAGAAGTTCGACTGTACAGTAGAAGTAAGAGCCTGAATGGTACGACGTGTTACTCACCTGAAACCTCGGTTCACAATGTCCAGCTTCCTCATGTAGGCTTCTCAACTGTCAGTCATGTGACTGGGGATGATGAATAGCGATGCCCATCTTCTTATTGGAAGAGGATACATCCACGAAAGAAGGGGGGACAGCCAACGCACCATGTTGTAATGCTGCAGAGAAACCGAAACCTCGCTGCTGATTAAACGAGTCTTGGGTGATGGAGTCTCCGAATAGGAAGAATTGATGGTAAGAGAAGGCCTGAGGATGGTAGGTAAAGCGGATGTTAGTATTATTGCATAGTATGTACACGTCCTTGGTAGATACGAAAGGTATGGTCGGATGTAGTTAGAGGGATGATATGTCCCCCCAGGTAGCGTGGTGATAGCTACTTGCTAGGTAGCCGGTAGCATCTTGGCCTGCCCACTCACCATGGTCATGCGGATGTTGATCCTGTGTCAATCTCTTGGAATACAGGGTACAAACAACAAGTTATTACTATTGAGTCCGGATTAAGTGTTCGAATGTAGGAATTATGGTGATGAAGCAGGCTGATCTAGTTGGTAGTTGAAGAGACTTGCAATGGGTGCCTTATCCGATGAAAATTCGATTATGTGTCGATGAGAAGCAGGAAAGATGTGAACACAATGCAAACTGGAAAATGGAACTTCAGACTGGAAACCTCCTAGTATTTAAACAGATCCCCGCTATTTAGTTCCATGGACAGTACTCCGTACAGGTACTGAGTAAGTATTCGGGAAATCTATCACGGAACATCTCGCCAACACTCGACCGACAAACGATGGAGGTGGAGGGTTTAGTGCCAACCCTTAGTCTCTGTCCCACCTTTCCCCATCGGGACTAGCTCACCTTCCACGTCGCGTGTCTCTGACTTCCTTCCAAATGACGCAACTCAAACATTTCAAGACACTCAAAGACACCATAACCATCCATCACTCATCCTTCACTCACTCACTCAATCACACATCTATTCATTCATTAAACAAACATACTCAACTAAGAGTATCGCGTATTTCGCATTCTATCAAGTCATTAATTATTGAATCGGGTATGTCGTTCTACCAGATGTCCCCAGTTACTTGTAACTAGGTACTCTCTGCTTCCTCCCGTCTCCCTTCACTTCACTTCACCCCACCAGCAACCCTCAATTTTCTGATATTTTTTATGCTTGAAAATACTCATCGATAGACAGATCATTGAAGAATACTCCTCCGTCTTTTTCATTCCAGTTCAACCCGTCGACTGTCAGCTGTCAATCTCTCACCATCTCCCCGCGCACCTCCTTCCCCTCGGGGAAACACGAGAGACCCTTTAACGCCGGAGGGTGGCTTAAATGCAGGGCCCCCCTCGTTCCCGCTACGCCGCTCCCATTAGCGACCTGTCCGCCCATGATTGCAAGTAACTCCAGCAATCACTGTCTACACTACCAGTCACTACATACAAGTAGTACGCACTACCAGTTCCAGTACCACTGTGTAGTGACTGCGCCGGTGCTCTAAACTGTCCTGGAGCCTGTAAGTACGCATTTAATTCCTCTACACCGACTTCGCGCCTACGCAGAATACCTCCTCCTTTCACAGCTTCACTACCTACCGCCCTACACACACATCCATACAAGTAGGCATCCCGCTCAAAGGGTCATCCGAAATAACAACAATGGCGGAGCTCTGAATCAGCCACATGAACGCACCTTACTACCCTCTCCATCTCACAAAGCTCCCAGACCAGATGACCACCGCCTCTTAGCCCTCTATCCTTTTATGCGTACCCGCGCTCCCTCCGCATGACCCCCCCTTGACTGTTTCATCAAACATGTCATAACTGCCTACCTGCCATACGCACTATGCCCACAACCTCCGCCGCTGGAACATTCACTAATAAACATACCCACTCGCAGCGGCTTCCTTCAAGCAAGCTGCCTCTGCATACACCTGCAGCACCAGCATGGCCTACCACAGTGTCGACCAGAACAGTGTGATATCCGACGACGGCGACGACTATGATGACTACAACACCACCTCCCATTCCCACCACAACATTGCGCATACCTCCCCGACAAGTACCTTCCATCGCCTCCGACCGCCCCAGGGCTCCGAGCTCGACCTCTCCAGACACACGGTAAACGAACGATCCGGTCTGCTCGACAATGCCACCGGGCCTGCACGATCCTACAAGAGCCTCCCGGGGACCACTCCAGGCACCCCGAGACCGTACATCCTCCGACATCACAGTTCACGGAAACGCCACAGTCGGGCTGGGTCGTTCAGCCATCACTTCAGCCAACGATTGGTTTCCGCGCTGAGTGACCGCCGAGCGGCGCTGGAGAACAGTGTACACAGCGCAAAGGGCGCGTTTTGGAAGGACGACCGCGTCTGGTACGATCAGTTCACGTCCACGGACTGGGTGCACGACAGCATTGCCGACGCTTTTCGTGTTAAAGCATTGCGGAGTCGAAAAGACATTCGAGGCCGCTTAGCTGCCTGGTTCGACGGAGCACAGGGCTGGATACTCGTCGCCATCATCGGCATATTGACTGCCTCACTGGCATACCTTGTGAATGTCACCGAAACAACCTTGTTCGACTGGAAGCAGGGCTATTGCTCTAAGAAATGGTACATGAATCGCAAGACCTGTTGCGACGGTGCATCGATATGTGACGAATGGATACACTGGTCACGGAGGATAAGAATGGACAGACTGGATACGACGGGGACACAATTCGCAGCTTTCATGCTGAGCATGATCGCCTTCGCCATGGCTTCTTCGCTCTTGACCCTGGCGAGCAAGACAGTCATCCCATCCACCATCTCTCTCTCCACCTTGGACGAGAATCTTGGTGCCGATTTCCTCCATCCCGATCGAGACGAGCAGGGTCGAAAGAGGAGTCTGAGCCCGCAGGCCAGATTCGACGAGTCGGCGTCACGCCCGCCCATGGTCTATTACTCCGCAGCAGGTAGTGGCGTCGCCGAGGTTAAAGTCATTCTCAGCGGTTTCGTGTTGCACGGTTATCTTGGAGTGCGAACCATCGTCATCAAAACGCTTGGACTTATCTTGAGTGTGGCATCCGGCCTCAGTCTAGGCAAAGAAGGACCCTATGTGCACATTGCCGCTTGTATCGGCAACATTTGTTGTCGTCTCTTTTCCAAGTATAGTAACAACGACGGGAAGAGGCGAGAGGTATTGAGTGCTAGTGCTGCCAGCGGTGTTGCTGTCGCTTTCGGTGCCCCCATCGGCGGAGTGCTCTTCAGCTTGGAAGAAGTTAGCTACTACTTTCCCCCGAAGACCCTGTTCAGGACCTTCTTTTGCTGCATTGTAAGTGTATGAGCCACCTTTTTTCTTAAGACGAACACTGACGCAAACCAGGCGGCTGCTCTGACGTTGAAATTCTTGAACCCATACGGCACCGGCAAGATTGTGCTCTTCGAGGTCCGCTACCTCACAGATTGGAAGGCATTTGAGCTCCTTGCATTTCTTTTCACGGGTGTTTTGGGCGGCGTTCTTGGTGCTCTTTTCATCAAAGCATCACGCATCTGGGCTAGAACGTTCCGACGCATATCGGTCATCAAGCAGTATCCGCTCCTCGAGGTGTTCCTGGTCGCTCTCGTCACAGCCTGCTTGAGTTTCTGGAACAGATACACCAAGCTCCCGGTCACCGAGTTGCTCTTCGAATTGGCCAGTCCATGCGACACCTTCACAGACAGTGGAGACGGGTTGTGCCCTACTAGGGAGCACATCCCTGGCGTTTTGGCGACGTTGGCCATTGCTTTTGTCATCAAAGCGTTGCTCACTATCATTACATTCGGCATAAAGGTGCCCGCTGGTATCTATGTCCCTTCCATGGTTGTCGGCGGCCTGGCTGGACGCTTCGTCGGCCATTCCGTTCAGCTCTTCGCTCTCCATTTTGCCGATTCCGGAGTGTTCGGGCACTGCGATCCCACAGGTCCTCCCGGTTCGTGCGTCGTGCCCGGCGTCTACGCCATGGTCGCAGCCGGCGCAACAATGACAGGCGTCACACGCCTGACCGTCACGCTCGCAGTCATCCTCTTCGAACTCACCGGCAGCCTCGACCACGTCCTCCCGTTCTCCCTGGGCATCCTCGTCGCGAAATGGACTGCCGACGCCATCGAACCCCTCAGCATCTACGACCTCCTCACAGACATGAACTCGTACCCCTTCCTCGACAACAAAGTCCGGCCTATCTTCACGAGCGAACTGGGCGATATCACGGGCCGCGTCCGGCCCGAACGCATCATCGACATCACGGACGCGCCCCTCGTGCCCGCCCACGAACTCCGCGCAAAGCAGCAATACCTCCACGTCTCGGGCGAGATCGACGGCGGCCTCCCGATCGTCCGGCACGGCGTCCTCGTCGGCCTGATCCCCGCGCCGGACCTCGAGTTCGCGCTCGACAAGCTCGAGAACGAAGAGAACTCGCTATGTCTCATGTCCACGGACGTCGGCTGGGCCGCTGGCCGCGACAACGTCATCAACAGCGGCGGGCAAATGGGCGGCAGCGACGACGAATCCGCCGACCCGACAGACTTCACGCCGTACATCGACCCCGCGCCCGTCGCCCTCGACGTCCACTCGCCCATGGACTTGGTCTACGAGTGCTTCGTCAAGCTAGGCCTGCGATACATCTGCGTCGTCAGGGACGGACGATACGCTGGATTGGTAAGTTCCCCCTCCTCCCCCTTACACATATACATATATATATTTCCACCGCACTTCATACGTACGTATAAATACTGACATTGTACCCTACCTACAGATCCACAAAAAAGCATTCGTGAAATACATGAAAGAGCTCGAAGAGTCGAGCGACGTCGAGACCAAATAGACACATCCACATCCACAAACCCCATCACTGCATCACCCACCCAGAAACACCCTTTTTGCATTTTGCATTTCCATGTTTCGGCATCATTCATCGAACCACTCTTTGCATCAATCAGCATGATACCTCGGCGTTTTTTTCTCTCACTCCTCTTCAAATTTCCCCCCTATTGCATTTTTCTGCATATTTGTTTTTTGCCCCTTGTCACATTTTCCTTGTTTTCTATAGCCAGCTAGCTAGCTATATCCAACCGAGCGTACGAAAGGAAAGGAAGAAAGAAAGTGCATGCCATCTAGAAAGAACCGAACCCGCGTAGACAACGGAAGAGAAGATACCATATGTAGATGAACCCAATCAATCAATCAATTCAATCAAACACCAATAGTCACTCATTCTCAAAACCACTGCTTGAAACTCTATGTATGTATCAATCTAAATCATCGGCAGCACAACCTTGACCCCCTCCAAATGCAGTCTCGCGACGTCCGAACTATCCGGCAACGCCGCAACTAACAACAACCAGCACAGCGCCCTCAACCTGAACAGATCCGCAAGGTACTCGATCCGAAACCTATCGATGTGACTCGTCTTCGCACCATCTGGATGAAACGCGTCGAGGAGGTTCGTGTGTAAGTTCTGGAAGGGGAACAGTGTGCCGTGCGTGTCGTGCAGGGAGGTCTCGAGCGCGGTGAAGGCGGCGAGGATGAGTCTGCGGTGGGGGCCGGAGCGGGGGATGGAGCGGATGGGGGAGTTGCGGGGGTATTTTGCGAAGGCGGTATCGATGGCTGAGGGGGAGGGTGTGGAGAGGAAGGACGGGGAGGGGGTGATGTCGAGGAGGGCTCGGGCGATGAGGATGTCGAGGAGGAGGACTTGGGTCCAGAGGAGGGTTGTTGGGTCGGGGAGATGCAGCCGGGATGAGGATGGTGATGTGGTGTGGGCCCAGGTGCGGATTGTGGACAGGGAGAAGGAGGAGGTGGTTAGGGGGATGAGGGAGACGAGGAGGGCGTGGACGGAGGTGTAGAGGTGGCCGGAGTGGATGATGTAGCTTGGTGATCTGGAGTTCGCCCTGCCGGATAGGAACTGTTCCTCGAGAGTGTCGATGGAGACGGTGTAGTGTGCCCAGCCGTGCTTGCCGGCCTCTACGTGTCGGATGAGGGCGCGCTTGTGGAGTAGGGTGAACTTGCTGTAGCGACCGAATCTTTCGTGGGAGTCTTTGCCGCGGATGAGGTAGGTCTCGCCGCAGCGGGTGAGGACGTCCTTTGCGAGGGGCCGGAAGACTTCGAGGACGGAGTCGAGGAGGAGCTTGCCTGGGTAGCCGATGGTCATGGGGAGGAGCGAGGCCACGGCTTCGTGGGCTATCCGTGGCCATGTCGTCCTACTGACTTTCTCCTGCCAGTCGAGGAGAACTATGCTGGGATCTCGAGGACTCTGGAGGTGTTTATCAGTGAATATGGTCTGAGAAGGGTGATGGGTGGTTATGGAGAGGGGAATGGAAGACCGATAGTTGCGTTCCCAAGGTACGGTGATGTGTTTTATAGGCAGAGATATCCTTTCAAAGCACTTACAGTAGGAGAGACCATCGTGTTTTGCTGCTGGGCCATCAACCTCGCCTGCGTGAAAGCAGACGAATCTCTATCATTCTTTGACTCGTTCATAGGAGGCAGATACCCAAGCAGTTGTTCCTCCAAATTGACACTTGTCGAAATGTACCGGAAATTCGCCCACGGGAGATCCAGCACCCGTTCATACATCTGGAACCTCAGGACCTTACCCACCATAGGCAGAGTCTCCGTCACCACGGCACCGTCCTCGGACGTGGCACTGAACAACCGCTCCTTTGCATTGATCTCGATCTTGTCCAGGCCTAGGAGGAAACAGAGCAAGCCCAGCTCTGCGAAGTCCATCGATTGTGTAGGTACGTCCAGGCCGGATGAGATACAATCCGCGTCTACAATATTTGTGGTCATGTCTTCGAAATCGTCGACCTCCAGCATTTCGAAAAGCTGTGCCCAGCTGGCACGGGGCCGGATGGCGTGGTCCGATTTCGAAAGTTGCTTGTGGAGATTCCATCGGGCGCGGATAAATTTTGGGAGCTCGTCTTCCTCGACCATCTCCCAGGGCTCTGAATTTTCTTCAATGGACATGGTGTCGTCGAATGGAGCGTCATCTGCTATGAGTGGAGTATCTCGGTTCTGTTGTTTCTTGACTTGTTTGCAAAAATACATTGACCCATCCCTTAAGCATCATTATCAGTTTATTATCCATCACCAATATATCTATGGGCTTGATACTCCTGAAGCCGCACTGCTGGAGAAACCTCTCTGAACATGCTATCAAGAATGCAAACTCACCGGATAGGCTTCGACGCCTCATGAAGACTCGCCTGGTTGAACATCGTCTCGTACGTGCTTACCCAGCGATAGTTGAAGTCTTGCGACAGCCTCGGCGCGTCGAAGAAATCGAACCCATCGCAAAACCCGAAGATCCTCTGCGCCGCGGAATTCGACTGTGGACTCTTCGCACACATCTGGATCCTCATGCGGTCGACGAGTAGCTCGCGGTAGAAGTACTTCTTCTGCCAGCCTCGCCAGGACCACTGCGTCAGGCTTTCGCCGTAGGCAGCCCGGCCGATGGCGCTGGCGTTGCATTTGCGGCGGCTGGTGTCGTTGGTGTCGGCATATTGGAGTACGGCTTGGAGGATGGCGGTTAGGAAGGCGCCGATGGAGATGAAGACGGCGGCGAGGGCGAGGCGGTTGGTGGTGGATGCGAGGGATTCTTTCTCGTTGGCATTGGAGCTGAGTTGGACAAGGCGTGATAAGAGTGATATGAGTTGGTGCTCGCCGTCTGTGATGTTGTCTGACATTTTCCTTTCTCCTTCCGTTTTCTTACGGAGTCCCCTTTGGATTTTCCTTCTCTTTCCTAAGGTTTATCGTAGGGAAACGACTGATTTTGCAAGGAAATTACGACCAGCTCGGGGTGTCGTCTGGTGAGAATTATATTGCGAGCAAGGGTGAGTATTTGAATTGATGTTGGCAAGGCTGCATCCATTCTGTTCTCAGCCCCGCTATTGGGGCTGAGGCCGGTTGCTTTCGTTCTGCCTGCAGAAAGCAACATTCGTACGAGAACGATTGGCATCAGATCGGACTACTGCAACTACCTGAAGTTCAGCTAATAAATTAGAACACGGGTGGAAACGTCGATAAATCAACGCTTGTCTGTAACGAGTCGAAGTAACGCTTGTTTTCAAATCCCGAAGTCACTTGGTCGCATGAAAGTCGATAAATGGTAAGTATGTGATGATCCCTGTTAAGACCTCGCCTAATGGTATCTTTTATGTCGAAACCTGCCGAAATCAATGTGAAGAAGAAAGATATGAGTAGCGCCAACCCCAGACCCAATGGCTTTACACCTGCTTCATGTTTTGCAGAAACCCAGAAAATCGTACTCCCGTCCCGTCACCAACCCAGTCGTTCAACTCGCTATGTAGTCCCCATTCCCGAAAATGTAGAGAAAAAGATGTGGATTCGTAGATGAAATCCCATGAAGAAGAAGCCGGTTACGGAAAGGTAAAGAGACCCTATACCATGCCCTCCTGGAAGCGGTTATATCCCTTCTTGATCTCCTCGACTATCTCCCTCGCCTCGTCCCCGTCCCTCGCCTCGAAATCGTACCTTTTCGTTTCCCTCTCCTTGAAAACAATGACGCGGAACATCCTGGGATGCTTCTTGCTAACTTTGCTACCGACGATGCTGCTAAAATGAATATTGGTCATCTTGGACTGGTCGAAGAGAGCCTTCGTCGCAGCGTCGAGGTCTTTGTCTTTGGTAGACGTCGACGGCAGGATATGCATGTACTCATTGTCGAGAGCTATGATGCGGGACGATGACGACGTGAATGACATGGGCTGTTTTCGGGTGACGAGGTATCTGCGGTAGTACGGATTCTGGGCGGAAAGATGGCCCATCACATCGTTGGTGCTGTGTTTAGAGAGCGGATGCATCAGAGCGGGCCCCGAGGCTGCGGCAATCGTGCGCTCGGATTTCTTCGTCTTCTTAGTGGCCCCTCCTGTGGAAATGATCAAAGGAGCATTGGGCGAGGAGGAGCCGGGCGAGCCCGCAAGACCGAAAACACCGTCGCCCACGAATCGACGACGTATAAGATCCAGGTCGGAGCGACTCCCTAGAGCTTCGACCGTTCGATCTGACGGTGCTACGGTCGTAGAACCTGACACCTTCAAGACGTATAGAGCCTTATCTAGGTGGAGGTCACGGCACACTTTGTCGAAGACCTCAGCAATGTAGGTGTCGGTCGTGCACGGCACTGATGTATGTCTCGTGTTGAAGTTCTCATCCGTGAAATGCACATTGACCACCTTGGGTGCTCCAACGCGACTCGCCGCATGCGTAGTCGGGCCTGATGGGGCATCGGCGAGGTTGCTGGTATTCTTGCGACTAGCTGTTGGTGCAAACGATGGCCCAGTAATCGGATTGCGGAAACTCTTTGCCCGACTAGCCATGGGCTTGGGAGGCGGCTTCTTCTCAACCGGACTTTCAGTGGCCGATTGTTGACTCGCCAGGGCCGCGGCAGCCTCTCTGCTGTACACAGGAGTGAGTTTCTCATTTTCTGCCAACTCCCGCTCGCTCGCTTTGACGAGACCGAACTCGTCCCATGGCTTTTCTCGCGCTCGAGGCCGCATCCCTCGGCTATTGTTGGAGGCGAAATCCATAATTGGTTTGTTTCTTGTCAACGCTGGGAACTCGTCATCGATCTCGCCATCGTCGTACATTCGAAGTACCCAGCAATTGACATTAGCTTGTTCGGCTGACAAGGCGGGCTCCAATTTCTCCTCCTGATATCGCCATAATGCGAAGCCGATGGCTTCCGACACTGTGACAGCCTCTCCCTTGTCATCGAATTTCTTCATCAGCAGTTCAATAGGTTTTGAAGACTTTGATGAGAATGGGCAGTAGATTCGAATGTAGATGGGATTGACCTGAGCTTCGCTGGCGGCCGACAGTGCAGCAAATCTTTGAAGCGGGTTGGACGGCTTTTGTTCCTTTGCCTGGAGAGCTTGGGTCAAAGCACTGATAGGAGGAATAAAACTGATAGGACGCGGCGGTGGAAGAGCCTGCAGAGTGGGTGCCACTTGCTTTTGAGCCTTCCTGGGCGATGTATTTGCAAAAGGTGTCAACCCAGGAATTGCGTTCACGTGAGGTAGAGCAGCAGAAGGAGTAGATGGGAGACCGTCGCCTTCGCCGAGTAGAGACGCAGAATCAGCGGTTCCTGAGAATTCAGACGATAGTGAACTGTCGGATTCGTTGCCTTCGTGAAGAGCCTCGAGCCGCTCCGTTTCGTCTTCTCGGTTCCGATCTGAAAGAATGTGACTGCCTTTGCCAATTCTGTGGGGGTTGACCCTTTTCTTCTGGAATATGAACGAATCTTGCTCATTCTCCGAAGACATTTCACTGCTGGTCACGGTGTCCCTCCTGGCACGCTCCTTGATGCTCTCCACCGCGCCCAGAGATCCTCTGCGAAGGCGACTATCTGGCGGTCGTGAAGGCGATGTCACCATGACAGATGGCCCGTCGGCTGTGTCTGCCAGCCCATGCCTCAGGGCAGACCCACGAATGGGTGACGATCCAGCTCGATTGCGCAGGGGCATCTTCTGGAACTTGATCTGGGTTACGGGCCTAGCTCAGTGTAAGTAAAGATACATCAATACACGATCTTCCAAATTGACCTATGTGTGCCCTCCATATCTTCGTCGCTTTCATCGCTCAGGTCGCTGCTGTCATCCTCATCTAGTATTTCTTTCCTGCGACGTCGCTTGGTATTTAACGTAGGCCCCACTGTGTCATTGCTGCCCCCGCCGCCCGTTACCATGCCGCCTTCATCCTCGTCTTCACCGAATCCTTCAGGCGACTTCAGGCCAGCCGAACGCGGTGCCTGGAAGTAATCGGAGGTTACTGCAGTGGGGATTGGCGGCGAGTACGTGCGGCGTATCTCGGCAGCATTTGGCACCCAGCCGGCGGCGCGGAAGGCTGGGTTGTTCAGGAACGAAGAGTCGACATTGATCAAGCGCTCGCCGACGCCATCTTTGACCTGGCTGAGGTACGCAGTGCGTAATTGGTAGAGGACGAAGCTGGGGGGGAGGGTGGTTAGCGCATGCCCATTGCGGAGAAGATGCGGGGGTCTTTACTCCTCGTTCTGAAGGAGCGACATGTTCAAATTGCTACCGGGTCATAATATCGTTATAGGGGAGTCGTCCAGACCAGCTGAAGAGTGCTTTGAGGTGTTAGGCGGAGAGGAGATGTAGTTGTAACGACGGTCGATGCCGCGTCTGAGGGCTGAACCCTTGGGTCAAGGTCACTATCGATAAGAGGCGCGCCAAGCATCTCCATGGCCAACGTCAATCGCATGTCACCCTTCACTTTTTCTTCATCGATTTATATTCCTGCGATCGCATTCCTCCAGACACCATGAATTTGATCGCCTACTCCGATTCCGAAGACTCGGACAATGATGCGCACCAGGCCGCAAAGCCTGCACCAAAACAGGCACCAAAAGCATTCCAGAAAGTCGTGGATCGATCCAACCCAGGAAAGATCAAGCTGAACCTGCCCTCCGTATCGCATTCGAAGTCAGAGAAGGATGACATAGAGGCGGACGCTCCTCCGGCCAAGAAGGCGCGTACTGGAGGAGGGGTATTCGGCGGCTTTAATTCTATGCTTCCTGCGCCAAAGAAACCAAAGATCGATCCGGCAACGGCCGCAGCACCTGGCAGTCGTGGTTTAGGAAAAAGATTGGGAGTTGGCATAAATCTGAAGACTGGGGCAGAGCCTGCGTTTCAGCGTCGGTCTGCCATCGAAGAAGACTACGACGAGGATGGGAATCCAATACAAAAGGAGGCATCTCCAGAGAAGGACGATACACCCAAACAGAAGGAAGACTTCCGCGCGTTACTCAATCTACCGCCTCCCAAGAAAGAGACTAAAGCGGCACCACCACCCGTAGCTAAAGTCACAAATCCCGAGAAGACACAAGAACCCAAAGCAAAGCCGGTGCTTAGACCCAAACTCATGCCCATGTCAGTTGCACGGGGGAAGAAGAAAAAGCCGATTGTCCACAAGCCTATCGCTCCAGACTCAGGCTCCGCAAGTTCTACAACTCCAAGCAAAGCTCCTGCGGCATCTCAAACTGCCGTCTCTGCACCGAAAGCCAAGCCAAAGGTGTCACTTTTCGGCGAACCAGAGGAAGATCAAGTTGCTCCTAGAAATGAGGAGCAGTATCAGCCAATGCTTTATGGTTTTGATGACCAGGAAGAGGATGAAGAAGCGCATATTCCTGACAATGCCTTCACGGACAGCAACACTTTCCAATCAAATACGGCGTCGTCCTCGATGCCCACTGGAGCAGCATCCGGCTCACAAGGCCTTACAAGTATTGCCTCCGAACTTAATCTCTCGGAAGCGGAACGCCGACAGCTCTTTGGCCGAAAGGGGCGAGGAGCTGATATGTCAGCAGCCAACATAATCGATTTCAACACAGATAAAGAGTATGCACACAATGAAAAACTACGGCAGGCAGGAGAGACCGTTGAACATAGGGCACTCAAATCCATCTCTGGCACTGGGAAGACTAGCTTGAGAAGCTTGATCAATGTTGCCGCAACGCAGAAAGAGGCATTGGAGGAACATTTCGCTGCTGGTAGGAGGAACAAGAAGGAAGCCGGCAATAAGTACGGATGGTGAAGTAATAGTGGCGAAGTTATATCGAGTCTGTATAGATGATGCATATCGATTTCAGTATGCGCCTTTCAAAGATCTAGGACCAATGGAAACATCAGTGCAGAATTCAAATCTGTGCCCATACCAACAGTTTGTCGTTTTAGCGTGGTGACAGTTACGATATGCGTGATTGCTTGGGTGGCAGCCTGTAAATCCACCTTCACCTTTTTTTGTTATGATTGCTTCTACTACAAACACATCTCTGATTGGCCTGACCGCCAATCCTACAAACCTTTACTTCTCGCAAGCTTGATTCCATCTGCCTTACACCTCACTTTTCACTCTGCGATTGCGAGTATTTCAACCATTGAGTGAGACTGGAAAGTCCCCTCAGCAGTCAGTCTGTTTAAACAGAAAGTAGAGTGGCCCCACCCCAGTTACCGCAACAGTCCAACGAGATGGCGCCAGTGCGGCCTCTTCCTCTGCCACCATCACCAGTCAACTTTGCGCTGGAGACTGACCAATCCAGCAATCGTGAAGGCTTCTGCCTTCGCTCAGATCAGGCCAAACAAAAACCGAAGTCCTCCCAGAGAAATCTACGCAGAAGACGTGGAGGCCGCAAGAAGAAGATGAAGGCTCCAGACACTATGTCGAGTGACGACGAGTTGGATCTTTTCGCCTTATTGGAGTACCCTTTGGCCGGATGCCGCGGCGACCAGTTCAGAGGTCTCTACGCGACGACCGATATCAAGAAGGGCACGCGTGTCATCGACGAAGTCCCTCTCTTTACATTGCCTGAGCCTGGCGACGTCATGGAGCACGTTCTGGATGCATTTTTCGGACTCTCTGACGAACAGAAAGACATGTTCATGGAGTTGCCACCGGGATGGCCTCCAATGCTGGTCAACATGGTCCACTTCATCGATCCCCAACTAAAGGTCATGGAAGATCTTATCGCCAAAGGTGATGAAATTTCAGAATACGAGGAGGAGATACTGATACGATTGGGCAACACCGTGGAGCCTTTGATGATAGAATGGCGTATCGGAGCTCGATACTTCACTCATCGTTTCTCTCTTGTCCACAACTCCATCGATCCTACGATTGACGAGCCGGGAGATGACCAGGTAACCGGCATCTTCCCCACCGCGGCGCGCCTCCGCCATTCTTGCATCCCCAACTGCAACGGCTTTTACGACACGAAGACCAAGCGCTTCAGGGTCCAAGCCGTGCGGGACATCGCCGCCCACGAGGAGCTCTGCATGAGCGTGCTTGGCAGTCAGATCTGGTATCACAACGCAGATGCTCGTGCCGACCTGCTCAGGCAGTATTGCGACCAATGCAATTGTATTGCCTGCGACCCTGCCCACCTCCACCGCACTTCCCAGGACGTCACGCGCTCGGACATACACAACCGCGTCCTCCCCATCCAGGATTTCCTCCAGAGCCTCCACAGTACCTCGGGTTACAAGTTCTATAACTTCGCGGAGGCAGAAGCATCAATCCTGGAGCTTATCCGCTTGCTCAAGGTCGCCGGATGCGCTGACGCGGAGCTGATCAGATGGCGTCTAGCTCTCATCCTCGAGATCTATCCGTGCATGAAGGGAAAGTGGATTCAGTGTTTGGCTCAGGCGCAGCAGGCTCTTGAGACTGCGGTTGCTTGCCTCGGCGCGGATCATCACTACGTTTCCTTTCTCGAATCGAAGATCGTCTACATCAAGCAGCGCGCGAAATTCGATAGACAGCGCAGACGTTAGATGAACTGTGCTCAGTTGGAGCATAACAATGAAGAGAGGAGGCTTGGGATCGCTCGCAAGCTGTGGTTTAGAGGAAGGGACTCTTAGACTCCTGGATCATACACATTACTAACGAATCGCAGGCCGATATTTGAATACTGCTCTTACAGTACAGTGTACGCGATACTTTGGTGTATTGGAGCTGGGGGTGTCGAACACTTGTGAACGACGAAAAGAGGACAATTCGGAGCTAGGTCAATAATCACGAAGCAATAACAAAAGCGTTTTTCATCAGTACCATTGGAGCTTGCTCAAACACGTTGAAGTCCATTGCATCGAAGGCGCAGATGGGCTCTTTAGAGCATGCACTTTCCTCATCGATCGGTCGGGACTTATCATACTCCTGTTTGATGGAAGTCTCCTTATGGTTTTTCTTTCAGAAATTCGCCCCTATGGGCATGTACTGGGTGTAGTGCGCTAGTTATTCTCCCTCTATGTAGACATGCACAGAGAATCAAAACGGCACCACACAAACTTTGAATAAAGGCAGAATTACTTCAAGCAAGTGACCAAACCACTATTACCATAGGGGATGAAACGAGACAAGCCAATCCCTCGTATTATTTTTCCGAAAGGGAACCTAGTGGTCTACCGTTACAAAGGCGATAAGTATCATCATTTCTCAGGTTTGTGATGAGGTATTGACATCAAACATTGAATCTTTTCCCCGCAAACTAAGGTGTAATCCGGGAACGGGAACCTAAGATATTTTGCTTATCAGATACAGCGACAAGAGGGAAGAAGTGTCGTTTTCGAGGTAGCGATGATTCATCACGTATCACCATACAGTGGCTGATCGCTACACTGTAATACACTACAGATAATTACATCCCCATTGCTTCTATATGTGGAGTAGCGTTATGAGACTGACCATACCCGGAAACACCAGTTACACAGTTCATGATCACAAAGCCAAGGCAGACATAAAGAAGTTCCTTTCTTTCAAAGAGTTGTACAAGGGTCATTACACATTTACATTTCATTCTAATAAAACATGATACAAATTGAAAATGCGATACGCTCCAAAGGCGGAGCTACCGGTCTCCTGTAGATCGTCGATCTTGTGTCTCCTCATCCTTTTTCCTTTGATCCTCTTCTAAGGTCTGGATCTCCACGATGGAGTCACGCTTCTCTCGTTGTGCCGGGGGTTTCTCATCTGTCTTTGTCTCCTTTGTCTCGGGGGATGCCGTATCGACAGCTTGGCTTTCGCTCACTACTGTCGGAGTTTCAAATTCTGTGCGGGGCGGTTTCTCATCTGTTGGACTGCTGATTTCTATTGTAGGGATTGTTGTTTGCGCCTTCAGCGGCCAGTCCGATGGGAGTTCAGCAGGACTAGGAAATTGAGGCGACGATGCAGTAGAAGAGTATCCAGGCAACGGCGGTGTTGATCCCGATTCTGGAGCAACCAAGATCAGAGTGTCGTCTGCCATGACGGCTCGACGATTAGTGTCGCCGTTGATGGAGCCCATGCGCCCACGGATACCCACGCCCTTAGGTTCAGGTCGGGCAGGATTGATTTCGACGATATGGGGCGTGGCTGCTTTTGCGCAATGGACTTGCGGTATCTCCGCGATGTATGTCTTATGCTGTGTCTTTTCGTCGCTGCTGCCGTCGAAGATGATTTGTGGTGTGTAGTGAGGGTTCTGAAATTGTTGGAATCTAGTGAAGAGGTCTGGAACTGGGGAATCGCCCCCCTCGAGTGACTCTGGGTCCAGCTGCTTGCCCGTGGTGTCTTGGGATCGTTGCCTTTGCCATAGTCTGTATTTCCATAGGAGATAGACGGCAAATGCCAGGACGACCAATAGGATCGCGAAGATGAGGGGCAATGTGAATGCTAACTGGGGCCCGACATTGCTTCGCTTCGTGATATACATGGCGTGCAAATAGATGCAATCAGTATGGAGATCGATAATTTGCAATAATTGCGAACAACGATTATTGCTCGCTGATGGGATCCTTTGATGCTAATTATCATTCTGTCAATGTGCTGTGCCGTGAACTGCGCCCCATGTGGTCGATGATCGCTAGGCAATTCGAAACGCTTCACTGCGTTGTACAATCTGATTCTCCTTACACCGTTCACTGCTACGCGCCGTGGATGCACAACACTGCAGGGGGCTTACATTCCGTTTCAATTCGCTTAGACTAAGATGTTTACAGTGCTGACATGGGCTGACATGGATACTGCAAAATGATGTTAAAAAAGAACAACAAAACAATTTTTGGAAGCATACAAAAGTATTGCATCGCTCGATCAGAAGAAATTTTAGACTGATCGCCACTTAACATGAAGTCACCATCTATGAAGTTTCCGCGCATCCTATGACCGTCGCATGTTGGGTTTGAATTTCCTAACCAGCTGATGCGGCGTAGTTGACATCAACATCGGACGCGAGATAAGCATGCGGTAGAGAGGCACAGTCCAAACTCTCTTCGGCTGTTTCGACCGACTTGGAGGGCTGTGAATCACTGTCCCTCTGTCATTGGCTGTGCGTCATCAAACCACTGTTGGATTCAGGGCATGCGAGCGAGTGACCACATCCATGTCGCCAGAGTTTATTCGGAAGCGTAAGGCTGTTTGCTGGGCGGCATGGCCTAAAAAGACTCCGCAGGGCCGATGAAACATTTGTAGGGCTATCGGTGAAGCAATGGGCACACCACGAGGGGAAAGGTCTCACTTTGACAAAGGAGCGTGAAGATTGGCACAGCATGGTCATGGCCGGCTGGACCGCTCTAATCCATGATGAATGCAAAGGAGGACGAGTTTGAGACACCACGCGAAAACGTGGGACTTTGGCAGTCAACCAGACTTGAAGTCCAGACTTGTCCGCAAAGCTCTCTCAATGAGGGGCCTTGGTACCGATGGAGCGTTTGAAGTCTCCACGATCCGCGTGAATTCTGAACTTGACTGTCTGATCGAAAGGATGGCCACGCACCCGCCTACGGAAACCATGCACTATTGCAGACCCTCCCCGCACATTGGCACACGATGTTTCGCTTTACTCGAGAGTCTTGCTTTCTCACTCTTTCCCTAGAAATGAGATGGCCGGCCGGCATGATAAATACACTGTGAATACCCAGTTATCGTGCGGAAAAGGCCTCGAGTATTCCACTTCGAGGCATAGTCACTTCGCTCATGGGCTCCCTCACACGGCTTTGGGCCTGTCGCATTGCGCCGGAAGCACACAGAATGCACATGCTCTCATCAAGCGACTTCAACACGATAAATTCGCATTCCTCTTTGGTACCGCGGGCAGACGAGGTGAAGCTGGCCCAAGGTGGTTGTATTTGTGGCAAAATTACATTCGAAATAGTTGGCAAGCCTATTCGAACGGTAAGTCTATCTTCAACTCAACCGAGTGGGAATTGTACTGATACATGGACAGATCCTCTGTCACTGTATGGGTTGTCGCCGAACCACCGGACTGGCATATTCCACCAGCATCACCGTGGCTGCCTCGACAATGACCGTTCACGGAAAGCCTAAAGAGTGCGTCTTCGATTCTAAGGAGCGTCCAAAGTCAAGGATAACATTTTGCGCCGACTGCTCCAGTACTTTGTGGAAGGAGAGCGACGTAGAGGGTCAGATGGGTTTATGTCTCGTTCAAACAGGCGTCTTGCGGAATAAGATGAATGGCTTCAAGCCTCAGGTCCAAGTCATTACAGCGTTGCGACCGACCTGGATCGATCGTATATGGGACGCGGGAGGAGCGGAAAGTCCATGATCTGGGCTCGGCCAGTTCCGAGGTCTTGAATGTCGCTGTTGGATGCTGAGGAGAAGGCGTTATACTTATACCCATCTGCATTTGTCGATTTAGCGTATTGGGGGGATACCCGTAGCCAGGAGATCAAATTGACACTTCCTGCCGCCTATTTACCAGCTGCCGCGGCCGCCTTTGCTTCTGCCGCTTCTCTCTTCCTCTGCAGGTAGCGTTCTTTGGCGCTACTTATGTCGCTGGCGGTCTTCTGGCTCTTGGCAGCATGCTGGAGCTTCCTTTCTTCTTCGGCTTCTTCGTCTGCCTTGCGCTTGGCTGCCTGAGCGATTTGCTCGGCTACCATGGCCGTCTGTCGTCCTCTAGTTGCCTGTCGAGCAGCATTACGACCTTGGTATACCGGTTGAGGGCCTCGCGTTGGTGCTGTCGCCGCCTGTTGGGCAGCGGTCTTTGGTTTCGCAACCACGTTCAGGCCAGCCTTCAATAATTGTCTCTTGTCCACCACTTGCCCTTCATCGTTGAGTATGACATTTTGTCCTTGGGCGTTCAACTCCCGGGCCAATTGCTCATCAGTCTTCTCCTTCGGCTCATCCGTAGTCACCGTCTTCCCCTCCTTGATCATTTGTGCAGCTTCTCTCATGGCCTCTTCAGCTTCTTGATGCCTCTTTTCCTCCTCAAGCAGCATTCGTTTGTGAAACCCAGTCATGCCAAACTTTCGACGATTCTCATCTTCTAATTCTTGCCGTTTCTTTTCCTCCTCCTCCGCCTTGCGGATCTCCTCCTGCTGTTCCTTGTATGCGCCCGTCACAAATTTCTCCTTATCGGCGAACTGCTCCCCCTCAGCTTCGCGCTCGAGCTTGAGCATCTTATCGCGTGCCTGCAATCGATCCTTGTTGCGCTGCTCGGCCGACTCGAATAGATTTTCCATGTACTTTGGCTTTGCCTGCTGTTTTTCTTCTTCCTCAGCTGCTTTCTTCGCCAATTTGCGCGCGTTCAGCGCTTCAAATGCAGCATCGTAGTCGTAGATTGCGGAGTCAATCTCGAGCGCTTCCTGTGCCCTTCTTTCGGAATCTCGAGCACTAGCCGAGTTGACGAGTGCGGAGGGATCGTCTTGTTTCGCTTGAAGCTTTCGCGTAGGCGGTCCGGGAGGTTGTCCTCGAGGCTTCTGTTTGACCTTGACAGGCTCAGCATTGTTGAGTGAGGTCTCGTCGAAATTGAATTCTCCGATTGCTTCGGCGCCATTGGACGCGCCTGGCTTTTCCTTCACATCATCGTCGTCATCGCCACCTAGGAGGGGTTTCTTCTTTTTGGGAGCTGGTTTGCTAAGCGGATTGTTGGTCTTGCTCTTGACGTTCAGCCCGAATTTGAACGACATAGTGCTTTTGTGAAAGTTCAATGAAGTGACGATCTGTTGGACACGAAGCTCAGAATGCAGGGTCGCGATTGAATTGCCAAGATCGAATTGCGCACGGACCAATGATTTCATTGCTAAACTAATCTTTGAGTACCTTGCGACCATCCCATCGCCGAAGAACAACGCAGATTCCCGAGCGTGCAGAGAACGCCGCATCTAATGTTTCGATCAAGCCCCTCTACCTTTTTCGGATTGTCGTGATGCCAGACTCCGACAATGAAGATGTCTACCCGGACACGAAACCCTCGAAATTCCGATTAAAGTCTAAACCAGGGTCAAGGAAAAGACGACATAATAGCGACATAGAAGACGAAAGAGACGGCCGATTTAGGAGGAGACATCGATCCCGCGATCGCCACAGCTCGAGGCGCTCTCACAAGCACTCACGACGGGAACGAGAACACAGGTCTGGTCGCACTGTCTATGATCGCACCTTTGAGCGTAACGGAGTATACGAGGATCCAGATTACCGCCACCGGGAGTCCTTGTATGACAATGTTGGCAACAGTAATCCTGGATATTCAGGAGACGGCCCTATAGACTCTGATCAAGCGTTTCGGGAGTCATTGTTTGATGCGCTTGCGGACGACGAAGGGGCGGCGTACTGGGAAGGTGTTTATGGACAGCCAATACATGTGTACTCGGACGCCAGACAAGGTCCAGATGGCGAGCTCGAGAGGATGAACGATGAGGAATATGCCGACCACGTGCGGACAAAGATGTGGGAGAAAACCCACCAGCACATCATCGAGGAACGGGCCGCCAGGGAACGAGAGCGGTCAAAACAGAAGGAAAGAAGGCGGCAACTCGAAGAGGAGGCAGAGCAGGAGGAGGCCGAGAGGGAGAAGGTTCGTCGGCAAATGAAAGAAAGTCTCAAGCGTGGAGAGGAACGAAAACGCGCTCGTGAGGCCGAAGCAGCATGGGGGACCTACACGAAGAAATGGGATCACCTAAAGAGCAACCCAGATGTGGAAGCTCTTCTGAAAGACACCAAGCTTAACGATCTCATACCATGGCCTGTTGTCTCTGGAAGACTCAAGCATGTATCGAAAGACGAAGTGGAGTATTTCTTCGAAAAGTCGCCTGCTTGGAATGAAGATGCTGCTGCTTTACTCAAAATTGAACGGGTGAGATGGCACCCCGACAAAATGCAGCAACGATTCGGCCAGCACATCGATCAAGAGCTCATGAAACCGGTCACGGCCGTTTTCCAAGTTATTGACCACCTCTGGAACCAACGAAGACGATGACCACGCCCGCGAGAGAACCTCGACAAACAACTTCAGCGATAACTTTATGACGTTCCTACTCAGGAAAGCGAGATACCCCTATAGATTTTTTACTTTCATTTCTCCCATACAATAATCAGTTGATAATAGGATTCTGCACATGGACCATGCGCTGTTGCTTTCGGATTTTCTGTGACCTGGTAGCTGTGATGAATATTTTGGTTTGTACTGGTCCAGCATTGTTCTCGGATACTAAGCTTTAGTTGAAACGCCATCTCCATGATTCCGAGTGTAATTGTGGAAACAACAATCTACGGCGTGACCCTTGGATTATAATTTTGCTCCAGCAATATCCCTGCCATTAATATAGCTATCACAAGTCAGGCGCCTATGCTGCCCACGGAAGCTTATAATGCTTAAAAGGACCGGCTAATCTCTTGGACCCTTGGGCCGAAGGCTTTTCCGAACTGCAGATCACGGTGACAATCAGTCTTCTCGTCTCCTAAGTTTCCCATTACAGGGCTGGACAGGGTTGATGATCAAGCTTGCCAAGAAAGGCCGAGGCTGTCTGTTATTGTCTTTGATTGAACTTCACTGTTTGATATATGCTTGAACGCGGCTAAGAGAGTAACCTATATCTTGACTTCACGGTATTTTCTTAGCTGATATTCATGCGGATTCAAGAGACAGAGATCATCGTCCAGGTGAAATGAGGTTTCAACGCTCCTTTGCTGGACGCCTTTTTTTAGTATTCACAAGAAAACCGGGCCAGTGAACTTGATCTGCTCCTGGAATACCCTGGGTTTCGGTCAGGCTCAGGCTCAGGCTAGCAGGCATCTAGTCCATACTAAGCCAGCTTATCACTCCCATATTAGAAACAAGGCTCTGATGTTGCGAATAACCGGTGGTAAGTTGAAAATCTGGGGATCTGTGTCACTCAATCTACATGTCGGAGGCTGCACAGCGCGGAAAATATGCACCCCGCATATTACGGCAAATGAACGCCACTGTAATATTACTTGATGAGAAAACTCTAAGACTGCGGAATCATGGTTAATTCGCCATGGAATCTAGCGATTGCGAAGTGATGTCGAACCCAGCTCCTGGGAGTTATTTAAGACCTTGGGAATGTCCTTGGAATGGACCTCCATCCATCATAGTTCAGAACAAAAATGGTTGCCTTCTCTTCCATCCTTCTCGGTCTTAGCACCGCAGCTGCTGTGGTTGCATCTCCGCTCAATCTCATCACCCGTGCCACTCCTCAAGGCACCGGTACCCACGACGGGTTCTTCTATTCCTTCTGGTCCGATAACCAGGGACAAGTCACCTACAACAATGAAGCTGGTGGCAAATACAGCTGCTCTTGGAGCAATGTTGGCAACTTCGTAGCTGGCAAGGGCTGGTACGTACACGAAGACGAGATGTCAATTGACACCAACCACTAACAGCACATAGGAACCCCGGCGGCGCTAAAGTTGTCACCTACAATGGAACTTGGAACGCGGCCAACGTAAACTCCTACATCTCCCTCTATGGCTGGACTCGCAATCCCCTGATCGAGTATTACATTGTCGACAGCTACGGCAGCTACAACCCCTCGAGTGGTGCCACGAAGAAGGGTTCAATTACATCCGATGGCGGGACCTACGACATCTACCAGACCACCCGTACCAACCAGCCATCCATCGATGGCACCTCTACTTTCCAGCAATTCTGGTCTGTGCGGACCCAGAAGCGCGTAGGCGGAACCATCACCACGCAGAACCATTTCGATGCCTGGGCGAAGGTCGGCCAGAAACTCGGTACACACAACTACATGATTCTGGCGACAGAAGGGTATCACAGCAGCGGATCTGCTTCCATCACCGTCGGCGGTTCTTGAGGTGGATTTTGGTCATGATTGGGCGGGGATGAGATTAAGGATAAAGTTGTATTTAAGATCTACCGAAATAAAATATGTTTGGTAATATGAATATGCATCTTCCCATGGCCAGCATGGAGTTCGGAATCTCCGTTTCCTACCTATTTCTTCTCCTTTTACTCGTCACTCTCCCACGTTCTCGACATGGTAATGACTACACTTCTTATTATTACCTCGACCACAGCAACCGTGAAAATCCCGTTGCAGCCACATGATTCAAGGCAGAATTCAACGCGACGATGCCTCTCATTGAAATACGTATTCCACGCGTTAGCGATCTTTTGAAACAATTCCTCAGGGCTACAATCCTTGCAACAATGCAGATCTGCCTCCTCCAATGCCATCTTCACGCGTGGGAACTCCGGATGTTCCCTCATCAGGCGATGCGAAAATTGAAGATCGAGTTTAATTCGATGTTCGTAAGGTAGCTTTATGGAGGAACTGTCCGACGGTTCGTGTTGGTATGCTACGCCCTCCCAGCGGTACGTAGCCGTGAGGTATGATAAGAATTTGACGTTGATCTCCGGAAGCTGGTATTCAAATTTGCGACAATGTTTTGCGTCTTTTGGTGCATTGTCCCAGTTAGACGACTCTATGACAGAGCCGTGGGAAGAAAGAAAGGGGTAGAGTGAGGCTCTCTGCAGGGTTCGAGTTCGAGGTGCGCCTTCGTCAACTTGTTGTTGGCTGTCTCCAGTCCTTGTGGGAAGATCGTGCAATTGAAGACAGAGGTGACATATTTTCTTCTCGTGAGGGTGATCTCGTTTCAGAAATTCCAGCAGTGCGACATAGTCTTCCATGTTGCTGTCAAGGTGTTTCGAATATTTCTTGAAGAGGCTTTGAAGTACTTCTTCATGCTGGAAAAACTTTTTGAGGTCTTTGTATGCGAGACCTAAGTTGATTATTGCTCTGGGCGGCAAATGCTTGATTATCTCAAGCAGAAGCTTAGGCGGAAGGCTCTCCAAGGCAGACATTTTCAAGGACAGATAAATTTCGAGTGATGATAATCTTCGATTCGAGGATGTTTTCTCGTTGTATAAAAGAACAATGGAGGTAGAATGTTTCTCGACACAAAAGAGCTTTTATACCTCTACTTGACTCTTAACAGGGAGTCATCGTGAAGGTGTGGCACTGGCACAACACAGATACCAGTGTGGCCCACTGCACACGCACAGGTGTACAGTCAACAAATGGAGACCAAGCATTGCAGTAATTTCAGTGTGACTCTAACATAGATGAATATATGTATGAGTGGTATCGCATTCGGAGTCAACCTAGCATCTATTCCCTTCAACATGATCATCTACCTACACCCATACGCACGCATCTTCAACACTTCTAGCTAAAGAAACAACAACAAGCTGATTACTCTATACAGTAACGCTGAACGACTCATAATTCTAGAAAATATCACCCATCGTATTATTCTTGCGGGTTAAAGTTAGTCAATAAATTTCAAAGTCACAACAAAGCCAATGCACCACGACGTCACATGAGTCTATCATATGAGACAAAGCACCATTCAATGACCAACACCTGACTATGCGCACTATGAATCAAAAGACACGCAACCAAGAAGACTCACGTCAAGGCGAACACAACACCAAATGGTCAGAGCGAAGTCATAACCCCACAACCACCCACGGAACTAATATGGCATGCGCTTTGAAGATCGACACAACAATATTGGCCTTACGGTCCCTCTCCGAAGACCCGAATCTACTTGGACATGCATGTGCACAACTCCTACAAGCCGTCCGTGAGTTGGTTAACAAACACCTTGATCACAACCACGATCACCGGTCTAAAGCACCCGCCTGCTTGGTCGCTACTGAAGACTTCACACGCGAAATTGACGCACATATCTTCGAATGGCGGGTCCAAGATAAATGTACGGAAGCGTTCCCCGATGATCTGCTTATTGATAGGAAAGCGAGGAGGCCAAGGAGGAAGATTTTGAAGAAGTACATCAGAGATCTTGAAGCAGCTTTGAAGGAATGTCTTGTTTCTGGTTTAGGCACCGTCTTGGGTGGCTACAGCGCAGTCGAGAATGCGGGTTTCAATAAAGGTGTTGACAAAGTGCTCAGTGGCATACAGTGGAGAGATTACCCTGACAGAAATGTGGTGATGGAGGCTGGACGCTGTGATTGGAAAGATTGGTTGCGGAAGAGATGTGAAGTTGTTGGGAATGATCTGGAGCTAGAAGGCAGAATTTGATATGTTTGTGGGCGGGTATTCTAGGACGCCTTTTCCGTACTTCAGGCGATTCTGATTTAGAGACCAAAGCATCGATGATATACTAGTCGGGATACAAGATAGTATATGGACAGCCTCTGATAATGAAAGTAATTGAATTTCTATTTTCATACATGTGATTATTCTATTAGAAAACCCTTGTCTTTGGAAATTTGAAATTTTATCAAATACAATGAGAAGGCTATGAGCGAACATGATACATAAAAGTGAAATCTGACCGTAACCTTCAAATCATGCAACCCAAACTCTTCTTCAACCCAAGATTACCAGTATGGTGTTGGCCTCTTTTACTTAAGTGAACCACCAATCAAACCATGTGTACAAAGCACGGGGATCTCTTCAATACACCAAGGCGCAATTGTCCAACAATTTGATCATTGCCTTGCGTCTTGTCAGCTGCCGAGCTGTAGCCAGTCCCGTATGGTGTGATTCCAAGTCTACCTTGCGCGTTTTGACGAGTAGCCTAACAACTGCGCAGGACCCCGTTGATACTGCGTGTAGGAAAGGTGTAATTTGAAAACCATCCCTCGCATCAACATCGACGCCGTCTACGTTGAGCAAAATCCTGGTCATCGCTGTGTTGCCATTCAACGCTGCGATACATAATGGCGTTCGCCCGAACTCGTCCCGAGCGTTGACATTACAGAGGCTCGTTGCGAGAAGCATCTCCAATATCGCCTGATGTCCAGCAGATACTTGTTGCATTACAGGCGACCTTGTACTGAATCGTTGTCTTCTCACGTTTCTTAAACTTGTTTCTGCAATCCTAATCATTTCGCCGGTCCTACTTGGTCGAGAATCTTTCGCGTCTTCTTTGGAGTTTAGGTCCAGTTGTGCATTGAACGCAGCGGCGCTGCATCCATTCCCTGCAAGCCACAGCAGCAGTGACCTGCCTGACGTATCTTCGCCTTGCAAATCGACCTTTCCAACACGAACGAGCAAATCGACTATTCTGTCATGCCCATTGAGAACAGCCCACCAAAGCGGGGTACGCTCTCTGTGGGGTATCATTGAGGAAAGCCCCACCTTAGAAAGTAACGTGGTCAGCTCCCGCTCCTTCTCCAGATCAGATCCCCTCCTTTCCTTCAATCGCTCAAATATGGCATCGACTATATCATGGTGCATCGACATTGCAGCCGTCCAAAGCGGTGACCATCTCCAGCGGTCTGTGGTTTCAACATCAGCATTGCCCTTGTCGAGAAGGCATTCGACAATCTCTTTGAACCCGTATTTCGCAGCCAAAGTTAAGGCGGTTTGGCCATCCGTGTCTTCGGCGTCTATGTCGATGTCATCTCTATCCAGAAGAAGACTGACGTGTTCCTCTGATCCAATAGAAACCGCGATCATGAGCAGTGTTTGGCTGTCCTCTCGCAACCGTCCAGTGTCCAGAAGATGTTTAACAGAGTCGTGGTGCCCTTGGGATTTCGCCTGGAGCAAGGGAGTCGTCCCATATCTGTTGGGAAGGTTGATGTCTATGTTCTCATTCTCGAGGAGTTTCTTCACAATATTAGGTTGATTTGCGTCAAGGGTATAGAAAAGTAGATCCCTATACTGCTCATCTCCGAAATCGACGTCGGCTTTTCTGATCTCCATTAGATAATTCCATAATACCTCAAGTCCATGTTTCGAAGCCCAGAGCAGTAGTCTGCCGTCTAGTGATTCTACATCTTGCAGAAAGTCGTCCATGGTCCAATTAGGCAGGGGAAGTAAGGGCCTCTGGTTACCATCAAGTCCAAGGAGGTAGAACGCGGTGTCGTGGATGATCTCCTGCAGTGATTTCTCGTAGTCTGCTGTGAGAGTATCCATGCCACTGATATCTGACGAAATACCGAGAAGTGCATATATCTTGTCTCGCGGATCAGACGCCTTGCTTCCACGGAATTTGACCAGCAAGGTGTGGAGATCGTGCTTCTTTGCCCACCAAGAATATTTCCGTGTCGAGCCCGGCATGACATCTATGATACTTTGGCATTGCACGTCGAGTGCGATGTCCATCAACGTCGGGAACACGGCGAATATGCGTATAGAAACCGATCTATCGCCACAGACGACTCTTCCAGATTTCGCATTCGCCACTTCTTGTATGATCCAGACCCGCTCAAACCATGGCCGTCGTAGCAGGCTTGCAAGATCGCTTCGTATAAAGGGGAGAATTGAGCTCGGTTCGATGGCCATATCGGAGTGGAGTTTATTCCAAATCTCCAGCCATCGCTCGTCTGACGTCGTCCAGTTGTTGTACGCATAGTCGGCTGCTTTCTCCTCCAGCCTTTGCATGTGATCGAAGGCCCGACCTGTAGACGAGCTAGAAGGTCCTAACCAAACGATGACGCGATCAGCTCTCTTATAGATCAATGACATCTGCTGCACTTGATGTCCCCTTTCCGGGTCGTTGTCCTGATCAATACAGATTGCATCAATCCAGAGAATCCGATCCTTGTCCGGGTTTCGCAGATCTTGTAGTGCTTGTGATAGATTTGCTGTGACTTGAAACGGTTTGTCGTTAATTATGACCATGTGCAGCTTTTCTGAACCGCCCCAGGTGTACGACAGTGCTTCGTATTCTATTATACCTCCATCGTCTTCTAGCCACGCGTCAAAGAGCTCGCATTTGATAAGGCCGCAATCGCCGCGGATTATTCGAAGGAGCCGTATCGATTTCCGTGTCAGGTCAATTGGGCGGTAGACGAATCGTTCTATCGGGACGGTTTCAACGATAATGTTGTACATCTTTGCTCATACTATTGAGTTTCGCCTAGGCAATGAAGGGCAATAGAGATCTTTCAAAGTTCGAACCAGACTATGCGTCCTATAGTATCTTAGGCGACGGCGTATCGTTCCATGGGTGCACATAACAAATATGTGAATGGGCAATTGTGAATATTGTTGACGCGCTCCCTTCCGCTGGAAAATAGTGAGATAGTTGAGCCAAATTTGCATGTCTTGAGCTCTTTGGGAAACCTAAAAAGATTTTTTTCGTTACCTTTCTTTTTTCATATACAGAAAGAAGAAACAGTGTTGAGATTCGAGCGCGGCTGTGCATATTTTAAACCGGTCAAGAAGTGGGAGCTGAACCAGCGGGGCAGACATGGCTGCGCATGACGCCGGTCGTGATGATGCCCCAATGGATGCCTTGCTAAAGCCATATTGTATCGACATTGGTATGCTTATATGTTCCTGCACGGCGCGTAAGTTCACACTGCCATTCTCATCCCGCGTGATCTTCTGCGTCGTCAGATATCGCATGCGTGGCAGATTGGTATGCTTCCGATCCAGTTGGCTTGCATGCCACACTCGCCTGGCATCAACTGGCCCTGGGTGTGCAATTTTGTAGCCTTACTAAGGCTCGGTGGGAACATAGAGTGGATGATTTGCGTGGTTCATTGGTGGGATTCTGGATCTGTGCTATGTCAATCTATGTTCTGAACATATTGACAGCGTGTTGGTATACCGAACATGGAAGGTAAACTCAGCCTTGTCAATCACTCCGCGAACCAGGTCTGTAGCTGTAAGTAGAATTGCGATGAACCGTCAATATTATTACACTTCAACGCAAGTTTGAGGAATTCCGCAATCGAAATAGAGATAAACTACTTGTCGTCAGAGACACGTAATAAGAAGTCAGAATAAGAAAGAACACCCACCGAGCGTCATTGACATGCCTTACAATCAAAGGCAATCGCGACTTTTGCTTCCATATATGACTCCCTTGATATTCGGTTTCAGTTCGTTGGCTTGTACTTCTGTTGTGTATAATAAAAGCTAGATTCCGACGGGTTCAGAGAGTCTAGTTTGTAGATTGACATGAAGGACGTTTACAATGACACCAATGCTATTGACGGGATGTCGCTACAGAGGATAAGTACGTCGGGTCAATAGTATATCGTAGCCAATGAATGAGGCGGTAAAGGTTCCGTGAACTCGTCATTGTATAGCATGCTGTAGCTAGCTTAAAGTAGTCTAAAGGTGTTGCACAGTGAAATTCCTAGAATAAGTTGTAGCCACTTGAAGGTTTCAAAGCCTCGTAAATATGTAAATTTGAAGTTAGTTGTAGGCGGCAAATATAGCATGAGGCCAGTTGGACCACCCTATCCTCTGTGCATACTTACCGATGGTTACGTTTAAGTTGAATGATGCTTTGGTCAGAAATGCCCTTATTCGCGGATAGCCTGGACACTACCTTAAGATACCAAGATGAGTATTTGCTTCTATGCTGAAAACAACTGAGGATAAATAGGGTATTGTTTTTTGTTCTTTTTGCTTTCTGTGAAAGATTCGGGGGCATCCAGAGAACTGTGTATTCTTCGTCTCGCTATCTGTAACACTTGTGGTATGTCGATCAGATAGGGATTTCACAAGGAGCCTCGGTGCTATTCACTGGATATATCGGATCAGATCAATCCAATGAGATATGAATAGCATGCAAACTTTAGCAGCGCATTCATCGCTCATTTCCGCCCGAATGTCGTTATCAGGTGCGCATCCACGATCGTGTCAATTTGTCTTCCAAATGATGGTTACATTCACGCTCGAAGCGCTCGCCCAGTGACTGAGATCGTCACTTTGAACTAAATTCTTACAAAGTCCGAAGTGTAGACGTCGCAATTGATAGCTTGGCATTGGCAATCTCATCCAATGCCTCGGTCTTCAATATCGACGACTCCATCACACATCTCGGATTGCGGAATGACTGCTACACATTAAAGAGGGGTAACGGTGATGAAGCCTGACAGATCGGACAGGTATTCGGTATCAACGGCTACTCCGAAGATTGGAACTTTTGATGTGATAAAGGAAAGGTGTCGTTTGCAAAGATGGTCACGTGCACTGGCCTTCGCACCTCATGCGCAGTTATCATGATAGAGCATTGCACACAACAAAAAGTCCTCGGTACAGCCGGTAACGGCCGCCGAATGCCCGATCGCATTAATGACGCAGAGATATCAATAATCGCGGAGGATTATTCTGGTCAATGGAGAGAATTGTCCGAATTGTTAACGAGAAGGTGGCTGAGGGATCTGCACACGGGCAAGGCGATTGTTCTCCACTGACATTATGCAGGATTGAAGCCCATGTACATATCAGGATGGTGTTTCGAACAGAGGCCTTCCTATCTGGGACATGATTCAAAGCAGACCATGGCGCAATCCTGGATGTCTTGGGCGCATCGTGCAGGTCGAGAAGCATGCCATCATCTACTGCAGTACCACCTAGAGAGCGTGGACAGACGAATCCCCACACCTTAATGGCCAAATTAGACGATTCAGATCGCCGGAGATTTGTCCATGATGTGCCAGGCACCCGAACATCTCAAACACGGCTTCTGGCCAATAGCTGGGGTAGACTGCAGCTGGGCTGGGGGCTAAACACCACCAGAAGCGAACCTCGGGCAAGGCTGTCGACTAATTTCGCCGCCTTGAATCCTTTTCGTTGGCTTGTGATCCCTACAATATTCACCATCTTAAGCGTTTCACTATGCTTCCAACTAAATTGTCTCGACCAAAGAGAAGTCGCCTTCTAGCTACAGTCTGCCCGTGTCACTTTGATGGGCTGTATCTCGACGCTGGTTGGAGCCCACGAAATAGGTGAGAGACAGTTGATTTCGACAATTCAGGCCATTATCGGCGGCATAATCTTGCAATATGGGCCAATCAGGAAAGTCGTTCGGCTGTCTCAAAGCATCAAAGAGTATCCACACGCACCCCTGATGTGCGTCGATCAGGTACAGGGGGCCGTCGATTGGAGGGACGCCTACTGTGTAGCTTCCAGTCCTTTTCTCTTCCCTCGATCCACCTTGTCCTCTATGTGCGACCGACTATCCCAGGATCCCTCCATGATTAAGCTGCCGTTCTGCACTGAGACAGTTCACGACCCGCCTAGATAGGTAAGTCGCTCTGTTATGATATGCGGGTCCTCTACCAGAGCATCTAATCTACATTCCGTTCCTAATGGCTATGCTCATGCGATGTTTCTCTATTACAGTCACCCTTGAGGCTAATGATCGACTTACACGGGAAGGCCGCTGGCCAATCGAGTGCGACCTCCCCAGAAGGGCAATGATCTAGCATGAAGGTTCTTCGTCAACCTCCTAGGTCGGTACCTGGATAACGGTCGTTCTGTGGGATCGCCCGCCTAGGTGTACGGCAGAGGTAAGCAATGCAAACGCGTGTCGGCTGGTATTCGCCAATGGCCGTCTCCACCTGCTATGTTTTTCTCTGCTTCTGAATCTCTTCAAATTGTGTATATAAGATCCATCGCCAACCTCTCTTCCAAGGCACCACTCAACTCATCCACTCTCATTCCATTCGCTTCCAGCATCGACAATCCTTCATTCTTTACAGACCAACTTCAATTCAATCTTTCAATCAATCTTTTTAGATACCCACCGCAAACATGCTTTTCCAATACCTTCTCGCTACCCTTCCCTTGGCCCTCGCTGGCCCGGTCATTAAGCCTCGTGCTCCCGTCATCACTCCTCGTGAGGGCCGTATCATTCCCGACAAGTACATTGTCAAGTTCAAGAACGATGCTCTCGGCGACGTTCTCAACAAGGCCATCGAGTTCTTGAACAAGGAGCCCGAGCACATCTACGGATTTGCCGGCTACAAGGGATTCGCTGCCGAGTTCAAGGAGGACATCCTCGACCTCATCACCGCTCTTCCCGGCGTCGACTATGTCGAGAAGGACGCCATCATGACCGCCAACCTTGGCCTCCAGAGCCGCGCTGAAGAGACTCAGTCCGATGCGCCTTGGGGTCTTGCCCGCCTTTCCAGCGCCGAGCCTGGCACCACTACCTACAACTATGATAGCAGTGCCGGAGAGGGTTCCTGCGCCTACATCATCGACACTGGTATCTTTGTCGACCACCCCGAGTTCGAAGGCCGTAAGTTTCGATCGATTGTAACAAGTCTGACCATTATACTAATCAACTACAGGTGCCGAGTGGTTGCAGAACTTTGCCGGCGACGGCGACGACACTGATGGCAATGGCCACGGTACTCACTGCGCTGGAACCATTGGCTCCAAGACCTACGGTGTAGCCAAGAAGACTAAGCTCTTCGCCGTCAAGGTCCTCGATGCTGAGGGCTCTGGATCCAACTCTGGTGTCATTGCTGGTATTCAGTTTGCCGCCAAGGACCAGAAGAACCGCACCGAGTGCAGCAAGGGATCCGTCGCCAACCTTTCTCTCGGAGGACCCCAGTCCCAGATGGTCAACGACGCTGCTGCCAACGCCGTCAAGGATGGTCTCTTCATGGCTGTCGCCGCCGGTAACGAGGGCGAGGACGCATCCAACTCTTCCCCCGCTTCCGAGAAGACTGTCTACACCGTTGGCGCCACCGACATCAACGACCAGATCGCCGACTTCAGCAACTTCGGCAAGTTCGTCGACATCCTCGCCCCTGGTGTCGACATCCTCTCCACCTGGAACGACGGCAAGACTGTAAGTCCCCATCTTCTCTGCCTCCCCCTCCAACGATGCTAACCTCAACCCTTAGAACACCATCTCCGGTACTTCCATGGCCACTCCCCACGTCGCCGGTCTCGCCGCCTACATCCTCGCCCTCGAGGGCAAGAAGAGCGTCGCCGACCTCAGCTCCCGCCTCTCTGAGCTCGCCACCAAGGACGTCCTCAAGGGTCTCCCCAACGGCACCGTCAACGCCCTCGCTTTCAACGGCATCACTGCTTCCTCTTCTTAGACGAACTCTCGCTATCGCATTACATTGCATATTGCATAGATGATCGATCTCTCCTTTTCCTGCATCATCAACACGGATGGGTTTCAACACGGGCGGGTCATTATCCGGGGAAGGTTTTCCTCACATCAGTCGAATCGCATCATTGACGTGCGCATGTCTTTCTTTCAATTTTTTCTTCCTTCTCTTTTCCTTTTATTTCCTTTCCATTTTTCTTGTCTTTTCTTTCCTTTCTCCGCACAGATATACAGCATCAAACCGTATATTCTTCATTGGAAATTCCCTATTCGTAGGGAAAGGGTGTTGGCTAGCAGTGGATGGATGCAAGAGCGGCTTTTTTCCCCCCAACCTTTTCCTGGTCTCGATGGTCCTTCTCTTTTTCCCTTTCCGTTTTCCTCTAGGGGGGTCTTGACAGCATTCAAAGCATATCATCTGAGCGGGTCCGTAACGAACTGAAATGAAAGCACACTTTTGCATTATAACTTCTTGGTCTTGATGGTTGGTTTTCGTGAGAATTGTGCTTGATTTTGAGATCTGCCTTCGTGCAAGTCATCTTCAAATTTACTGACGATGTTAAAGAAATCGCACACAAGAGCCAATCAAGGCCTGCTTTGGTTAGGCAAGATGATGGTACATTATTGGCCTGTCTGGATCACGAAACTGAATTGGCAAGCCGAAGTCTCCGTGAACTAGAAATCATCGTTCAAATTTCGTTGGGCCTTACTTATTGAGCGAAGGAGAAGAGAAACAAGATGCGCCATCTTGGCCAAGATATTCTGCAAGGCCTATGCAGCGGCTGCACTTCTGGTTGGCAGAGATAGAGAGACTGCGCATGTGGCGAAGTACATCGATCGACACGACATTGGTTAGACAATGCAGCCACAGGCACCGCAACGCTGGCCAGGCTGACAGCGTCAATCTCAATTGAAATAATACCAACTCTGCATGTCTCGTCCAGCCTGATCGAAGTTCTGACTTTCAGACCTTCAATTGTTCCTGCCTTTTCGTGAGGCACGAACTCGTACCTCCCTCCTCCTCATCCCAACCATGTCATCTTCAACAACATCGAACGCCCTCGTCAGCGCCAATGACGCCCAACAAACATTCTCGCAGCAGGGCAGCCTGGACTGGGTGGCACTCGGGCGGACGCAATACTCGATGTCCATCGCCGTGCTCAGCCGCCTGGCGAAAGCCGGTATCGACACCTTGACCGTCGCCTTTGGACAAGCCATGTGCACCCAGATACCTATCGGCTCGCACGGCGAGAAAGTGCTCGCCGAGTCGATGAAGGGACTCACGGCAAAGTCGTTCGCGTCCGACTTGCTGTGGTTTGGTGTCGGCGTTCGACATATCCTCCACGAGCTGGTCCAGACGTCGCAGGGATGCTCGCTAGTCGCCCTCTGCGCCGCCTTGACAGAGTCGCATACGATCTCTGTCTCCGCGTTGGTGCTCTACGAGCTAGCGAAGGAGTGCGGTGGTCCCAGAGAGCTTGCGCCTTCGCTCGAGCAATGGGAGGCGTTGGTTCGCGTGGCAGCTTCCGTCTTCAACGGGTCGACGTTGGGACTTCGCATTTCTCAGATCGCCAGACTCAGTGTCAATAAGTCTCCTTGGACCGCAAACTCTCCAACCTCGCATCCCGTAGATCTTGCCAAGGTGCTATTGGCGATCGGTCAGGTGGTTCATGGAAACGTGCAAAGCGTTTCCGTCTATGGAGACTCATGTTGTAGTTGGATCGCAGCGTGGGCTGACTTCGTCCTCGGACTACGGGTCCTTGTACGACATCCAGACGGCCATGTCGTACACGCCAATTACAACGTTAAGCAGACCTTCGCACAGGTCATCGTTCAATTTTCCGCGGGTGAAAATGCACCAAGCTCTCTGCAGATTCGATCTAGGTATTTCATTCGTTCAGGAGCGGAATTTGTCCGCCAGTGCTTTGCTAATGTTCGTTCATCTGTGCGGGTGGATATGGATTTCAACACTGGAAGGGTGCAATGGGACACGATGTTCTTGGATGTGTTCGGTTCTCAGGTGCAGCTTTTACTGCAATCGATAAACGGAGGGCCTGACCCTCTCAAGCTTTCTAGAGACATTGAAGCAGAGACGATGGATCGTTCCCCACACCTCATGCCAGCTTCCTTGAGCGAAAACCAGATCTTTACCCGGCTCCTCGCCATTTTCACCATAGTATTTGCCGTAATCGAAAGCCCAGACACGGTCAACGGAAGCGCAATGCGTTACCATGTCCGCGCATGTGAGCATGTGCCTGAACTGCGTCACAACAGTGGGAATACTCGACTCGCAATCGCAACCTTTTTAAACTTATATGGCCCAGAAAGCTCTCTGCCGGATGTTCTAAAAGACTCTGAGATGACAGGTATCCAGCATCTAATTGCTAACTATATGGAGTGTATCCACCAGTTGGAAAGTTTGTGCCGCTGCGGTCGTCATCGTTATGAGGGTCAACAGGTTGAAAAAATTGATCCGTTCTGCCTGCCGACAATGGCTGAGACGATCATGTTCACGATTGTATTACTCGAACGGATTGTCTTGGACTCACCGCTCAGACCTACTACACACGGACTATATGATCTATACCCCAACTCAAAATACGGTCCGATACCACCCCCTGAGATAGGGCTGTCCAACAAGTCACAAAACGCATTTTCTCCAGAGGATTTCGTCGTACGCATCACCAGATCCACCAACCACAATTGCTGTGCGGCATTCCCAGCCGCAGCAGCACTCTTTTCAGGCGAGAGATGGCGCAACGAAGTCGGCATCGCTAAGAGTGACGGCAAGACTTACTGCTACATCCAACTTCTGGAAGGCCTCACCGACAACTTACAAGAGGCACGTAAGATTCATGTCGGTTCTGGAGGTATCGAGTACGGAACACGACTCCATTCCACCCTCTTCGACACCAACTATTCGGAGCCTCATCCCGGATACCCGGTGCGGGACACCGCAGTTGTCGACTCGATCGACCATCTCAACTTCGACTCTACGTCGAACCCAATCCGAGTGCAATTGGTGATCGAGGAGGAGCCCTTGCATATTCTCCTCCGTTACCACGTCAACACGCAACAGGGCGACATCTTCATCTCTCCCACCGTCTTCTTCTGGCATCTCCTAAAGGCGAATCTATACAAGTTCGCGGCACGGTACTCTGCCTCCGACTCGAAAGAATGGGAGTCGGTGCTCCGAACCCACAAGTACATCATGGTTCACGGGGAGGGGCTAGTCAAAGCTTCTGACAAGTATCATCTTTTGCGCCCACTGCGTGGGAATGTCTTGGGGAGGTGTGTAGCGATGTCGACGACGAAGAGCCCCATGGCCCTAGTCAGGACAGATGAGGAATTGCAGATCTTTGCGAGGTTCTGGGCAAGGTGGTTAGTTGATCGTGATCCAGCAGATAAGGCGGGTGATTACTGTTCTCTGATATCCTGATTTCATCCCACTCGGCCAATGCGAACAGAAGGTCTCGCAGGTACATAAGCATATTTCCTAACATCTACCACACTATACCCTTTTTCACATTTCTACCATGCGAGTTTTACGGAAATTCATAATACAGCATCGAATCCTACATCCAACACGGATTTATCTGACGACATTAGACAACTTGGCTAGATTACGAAATTTCAAACATCAAACACCTATACAAATGAATTTTTAAATCATTTACACACCTACAATTGATGAAATCTACAAAACTATCATAAAATCCTTCTACTAATATATCTGACAACTTAAAAAAAAAGATTCAGCCGCCCACACGTTACTCATTCGCTTTGCGCATCTCACTCATTCATTCAGACCACCATCCCACTTCACACCCACCCTTTTTCCTTTTGAAATGATGCCCATTGTTTTCTTGGACAGTAAATATCACAGAAAAAGTCAACCTCAATCTACCCTACAAAGCATAGTCGGAAACACAGTAGCCACACTAAGATTTGTTTCCACTTTGCCAACAGATGCGCATCGCGCGATGCTTCCTCTCTTCAAAGCACAAATATCGCACGCGACGCTTACTTTCAACCGCAGAATTTGGACTATAAAGGTTCCCCCTATCTCAAGGGACTATATCGAGCACTTCGAGTTTCAAGGAGGGCACTATTGTCAACACTCTCAACTTGTTATGTCAAAATTATCCTATCGTATCGTCATTATCTACCCCAATCTATCCATCCATCCCAGCCCTTCTCCGTCTCCCAATCACACACTCCCCAAAACCCTTCCATAGTTCCCAGGAAACAAGCCCTTGGCGCCCGCGTACACTCCCCAGAACCAATCGCCGTTGATGTCCTCGGCCTCGCGTATCTCCGCGAAGCGCGGGAACGCCAGCTCGTCTGCGACGTTGTCGCCCGCGGGGAAGTACGACCAATTTGCCTGGACGATGAGGCCGACGCCGCCGTCGGGGGGGAGGCGGGGTTTCTGCGATTGCTGCTGGGAGGATGAGGTTGGGGGAGGCGTTGTCGACGATGATGATGATTTGGGGGGTGGTGCATTCTCGGTTTGTGGGGAGCGTGGTTCTGGTAATGTGGAGTCCTCGCGGAGGGCCCAGCCGCCGACGAGGTTGCGGACGACGACGCGGCGCTGGCCGCCCGAGCGGTCTTCGAAGCCTACGAGGACCATTCGGTGGCCGCGGAGGCAGCGGCGCCATCCGTTCATGCCGTCTTCTTTGCTGATGCGCGAGGAGACGATGAGCTTTTGGTAGCACCCGGTGCAGATGTCGTAGTCGCCCTTGTTGCATTTCAGACAGTGATAGCGGGTGCATGACGGTGGGATTGGGTACGTGCAGATGTTGCAGACGGTCGTGAATGTGAGGGGGCGGAAGATGGAGTTTGCGATGGTGACGAGGCCTGGGCCACGGATAGGGGCGGCAGTTCGGGGTGTGCGTGGGGGAGTGGTTGCTTCGTGTGCTGGTGGAGATAGACCTGGGGAAATGGGAGCGGCTTGAGAAGTGGGTTCAGGATGGGGCGAGCTTGCGTCCGATGTAGGTCCTCCCAGCGTGGATTGCTTGGGTTGGTGAGCGACGGGTAGTAGAGGGTGCGTGCAATGCCGTCCTTGGTTCACGCAGTCATTGCAGAAACCCCAGTCGCCTTCATTACACACTTCACACTTCCAATAGCAGCCGTTCGCATACGCTTTGCAGAGGTCGCAGAAAACCCCCGATTCCAGTCGATATGCCGGGTCGTCCTCGGTCATGAGCGTGTGTGGAGGTGTTGGCGATTCCGTCATAGGCGTCTGTGGCCTGCGGTATCGTCGGCCTACAAGAATATGAGGATGTTCGTGGTTTGGAGGATATCCCCCGGCAGGAGCCTTTCGCTCATAACGAGGCCACGCTGCCCAGCCGAAGCCATACCAGTGCTCACAGCCCCGGGATGCCCGGTAGCATGTGATGCATATGTCGTAGTCGCCATTGTTACACGACGAGCAATGGTAATGTAGCTCATACTCAATGTGCTGTTTGTTGCACCGCTTGCAGGATATGTTAGGCTCGGCGTACAACGTTGGTGGCGGTGGTGTAGGTGCTGCTGCTGAGGAGCTCGTGGGTAGTCCGACTGCTGACGAGTCGTTCACTGAGCGTGGAAATGTAGCTGGAGATAGCATGGGAGGGGTACCATCATTGGCCGGGCGAGGCTGTCTTATGCTGGTAGGATCTGTGGTTCGTCGTGTGTTTGGCGGATGTAGGCCGATAGGATTTGCTGATTCGGGAGGGGATGACAGAGGAGAGGCCACGATCGCCGTCGTACTGGAAGGACTCTCGGCGGTGGGTCCATTGAACATTGCCCTTCTCGGCGAATTGGGATTCGATGATGAATGCGCTCGCAAACCACTTCGAAACTGCTGGCGTTCCTCAAGAGAACCTCGTTGTTGGTTTTCAGACAGCCGCCGCGGTGCCGAGCCTATTCCAGCCGTCGCGGGTCTTTCTCCCAGGTCGTTGGTAGAGTGCGAACCTTGTCTGGTGGATGTCACAGACAAAGGCGCAGGACGTTCGGATCTCCTTGCTGATCTCGAACTGCCCTGGCTCGAAGATCGCCGATGATGCTGGCGCGTAGTGCCCTGGTTTGCAGCTTCGATCAGTCCCGGTCGAGACACTGGCGGAGGCGCACGTGAGGAGCTCTGGCTATGGGGCGTGGCGGTCATACTTTCAGACCGGGCATGTCTCCTGCGGGCCTGCTCTTCGTCGCTGCGTATCGGCGGACTGCGAACATCTTGCGGCGTGGACGAGCCCGACACTGGAGCTTCCGCGCGACCTTCTCTTGCAAGCCGTTCCCTCCTCTCCCTCCGCTCCCGCTGCCGTTCTGATTGCCGTCTCCTGTAAGCTTGCGCGATCCTTTCACTGATCTCGTCCTCTTGCGCGACATCGATATTGTTGAGATCAATTCCGTCCAGCAGTCCCTCCTCCATGATTTGCCGCATGATCTCCTCTTCCATCTCTTGCGAGTCAAGCTCCGACGAACTGAGCAAAGACCTCAAACTCGACTGATGTTCCACATGCCTCGGCGGGATAATTTCTCTGGATCGCCTCTCTTCAGGTGGATTCCTACTCCTTGACCTCCCCTCCGTCCTTCTGCTGTCCCTCGACTCACGACTCGCATCTCTACTCCTCTCCCTCCTCCTTCGCTCTCGTGGTGGTTCCAGAGTCGCATTCGCATTCGTGTTCGCACTCGCGCTCGGAATCCCCATCTCCCTCAGACTCAACTGCTGCACCTCCTCCAACATCCTCCGATCCTCCTCCTCATCCTGTCCATCTCTCCTCCTCAGCTTCGGCATGATATTGTCCCCAGGCTTGTACTTCTCCCTATCCGAGCTCTTTTCGCTGTCGCTCTTCCCCCGCTCCGGATTCGCCTTCACGAACATGTCCAACAGCGTCGTGACGGTCGCATTGGGCTGCGTCGTGCGCACCGACGCGCGACATGACGGGCAGGTGTATGGGTGTATGGACGTGGCGGTGGACGCCTGGAACTGGAACCATTCTTTCAGACAGGCGCCGCAGAAGGTGTGTAGGCAGTCGAGGAGTGTGAGCGGTTGGTAGAGGAGGTCGGTGCAGATCTGAGTGGTGTTGAGGTTAGCAAGATGTTATCGATCCCTGTGTGGTGAAGAAGCGCGAGAAGCGGCAGATAGACGACGGGACGATATATTGGCGACGACACCACGGAATATTGAAGTTGGCGCAATTGTCGCGGAATGTATGTTGCCCTCGTGGTTGTTGTTGTTGTCTTTGCGCAGGAATTCCTCCTCTTTTCACCAAATGACGTTCCCTCTGTCGGCTGAAGGTCCCCCCTTCACCCCCACCCACCTCCGCAGCGCCTCCGCAAGGAAGGAAGGAATAGAGAGGCAACTACTCACAGAACAAGTCAATTCTTTCTCCAGGTCCATGAGCCCGGCCCGCCCGTCCTCGGCCATTTTGTTCAGTTCAGCATGCAAGCAGAGCAAACGAGCAGATTTCCAACAAGAAAGAAGCGTGGGCGGGCGTGGGCGTGGGCGTTGATGTGTTGTTCAACAGCGGTGTAAGGTGGAAACTTGAAAGGTGGACGTCCATGTAAGGTCGTCAGCCTGCTGGTACGCCATCAGCTTGGCGGTTCGCGAGTCACCCACCCGCGTCAATTAATCGAAAGAATATATTATACTTATGAGAAATAGATGGCTGAATTTTCTATCTGTGTACAGTGTATTTACGTTAGAATAACATTTACAAGGTTATGTCTAGATGCTGCTTGCTATTGTGACAATATGTGATCGTCCTACCAAATGTCCCAATCTGGTAGACTATTATTAGCCATCCACTGATCTACATCTACAAATGAACCTAACGTAGCACGAGCTACTACTTAGTTGTATCCAATATCAGCAAGAAATAGGTGATCCATTACATTTAAACAACAAGAAGACAAGAAGCAACCCCAAGCCTTGCCTATCCACCACCTATTCACACCAGGGGTCCAGACATATGATCACGTGAAACCCCTACACTCCTCCACTCCTCCGCTCCTCCATCCAGTCCTACATGACCTTCAGAAATCACAAGAAGAAGAAAAACAACAAGAAAAAAGGTTCACAGTTGCAAGTAACAGTACGAAACTCCCATCCAACCACCCACACAAAACCTCCCCTCCTCCACCAAACCCCCTCCGTTTCAGACGAACCAAAACCCCTAGCACAAACACAAACACTACACCAGATCTCATACCACCAACCCAAACTTACCCCTCGAAACAAGAAAGTGCTGCATGCATGACATCGCACGGAAAGATGGGTATCCGTGGATGTGCACCGGGGTGGCGAACGAGCCTTGTAGATCAGGTTTCGAAACGTGTGGGAATAGAGGGGAGTTGTTTGAAACCTTGGATATAAGGCTGAGTATCTAGTTTTATTCTGTCCTTTGTTTGTAATTTTGTGGGATTGACTGCATTTTCTACGATAGGGGGAGGAAAACAGACGGTGGCAAGTTGAAAAGGGTTATGTGACCTGCACATTGCTTTCGCGATACGGAGAAACTTATCTACCTAACGTATCTGATGCTAGCTAGGTACATAACTACGCCCTTTACTGTTGCTGCTGCTGGCCGGCCTGGGTTTGGCCGTTTTGAGTCTGTCCCTGTTGGGTCTGGCCGGCCTGCTGCTGGTTCGCGTTTCCGGTCTGCTGCTGCTGTTGCTGTTGCTGGCCGTTCTGCTGGATTTGCTGGTTGGCGTTACCGGCCTGCTGTCCCTGCTGGGTGGGATCTTGGATCTGTTGGCCAGCCTGCTGCTGGGTAGGGTCCTGGACCTGCTGTCCGGCCTGCTGCTGAGTAGGATCCTGAATCTGCTGACCGTTCTGCTGTCCTTGCTGGATCTGCTGTCCCTGCTGGACCTGTCCACCCTGCTGAACCTGACCCTGACCCTGGCCCTGAGTCTGGCCAACGATGCCGTTTCCAGTGCCAGATGCCAACGCGGCAGCGGCATCGAACGCCTGTTGGGGAGTACCAGGCTGGCCTCCGGGCTGGGTGGGACCCTGGCTCTGGACACCGCCTGTGATGCCCGTCTCGTCGCAGACCTGGGGACGGACTGCGCGGCTGGCTGAGCCGGTGGATGCCATGTAGGCATCGATGTTGGGGAGCACTGAATAGAACGAGATTTCATTAGTATACCTATGAGTCAAATTGGAGGGGAATACGTACCGTTAGTGCAGCGGTTCTGGTTGATCAGGTCGATGTTGTCGACGGCAGCACGGCCCTGAATAGACATAGTCATGAGTCTGTCGACGACGTCCTGGAAGGCACCTGCGGTAGCGAGAGTGCTGTTCGCAGCCTGGACGTTGGGGTCGGCGCCGTTGGCTTGGTCGATGATAGCCTTGTGCGTGAGTTCGTCAACCTCGGCGTTGAGGGCGACGGTTGCGGCTTGCTTGAAGGCGACGTTGTTCGTGATTCCCGCGCCGGTGTTGAGGAAGTTGGACACCATGCTGGTATCAGCCATCCAATTCGCGACGGCGGTTGCGAGATCGGCGTCACTGGGCGTGCCTTGTGCGGAGGTTCCGGCAGTGGGGAGGTTCTGGTTGTTCTGGTTGTTGACGCCCTGTTGGCCATTGACGTTTTGTTGGCCTTGAATGTTGCCATTCTGCTGTCCGTTCTGGAGCTGTTGTCCATTCTGTAGTTGCTGCCCGTTCTGGAGTTGCTGTCCATTCTGGAGCTGCTGTCCGTTCTGGAGCTGTTGGTTGTTTCCAGTCTGCTGCTGCTGCTGACCGGTCTGATCGATCTGCTGTCCAGCGGGCAAGCCACCAGCCTGGGTAGCCTGTCCACCATTGACATTAGTGTTGCCGTTGCCCTGCTGAGCGAGGGGAGCAGCGACGGCCGCGGCGGAAAGGAGAGATGCGATGATTATATACTTCATGTTGACGAAGTCTGAAACTGTGTCGCTGAAATGATAGTACGAAATAAAAAGTAGACGCTTTCGAGATCAACGAAAGGTAAAATAAACTTTAAGATCTAAGGAAAGAAGAGAAGAGAGTGGTACCAGCCTGTCGAGTCAATGGCAGCGCGAGGCTGGGTAGTATTTGTAGTGTCATGATGCTATCTCAATCACCACAGGGTTTCCATCACGAGATCCTGCGACCCCAAGACCACCGTCTCAACACCAGCATTCAAGACGATGCGACTACTTGGCAGTCATGTCTATGTGAGAGGTCATCCTAGGTGTGCACTTTTTGTCTGTTTTGACTATGTGCTTCATCCATTACGGAGACTGCCGAATGATCCGCATTTCCCTTTTAGGAACATCGAGGTCAATATTTAGACACACGGACGAGGTTCGAGCAGGGATGGTAGGCGAAGAAAAACAGTCCAAACACAAGAGAGATGTTTGGGGATCAGAGGGTGATGTTTCGCTGGCGTCTGAGGGTAGTTTCGGTGGTCTTGGCACCAGAAGCTTGCCATGAACATCATGTCTTGAGATTAGCTTAAGTCGACCAATGCCAGAAACATTTAGTTTGTGAGATCATTAAAAGAAAAATGGTCATCGTGAAGTCTCGACTCGGCTTCTCCGGTTCCGAGAGTGCCTTGCTCATTCTCAAGCTGCATTAATATATTGCGGAGATGGAAACACCACTCGATGAACTCTGGTTTCTCCGCATTCAATGCACGATCTGACCGTATCTGGGTACGGGGAGTCTTCTTACTAGTTTGATGAATATCATTTGGCATTTACGCATTTCGATTGACTGATATTTGCATGGGAAGGGTCTGAGTCTTGCATCCACTGGAAACGAATTTGGCGAGACCGAGGCAGCACAAGGGATCGTGCAAGAGGAGTTTAAACGTAGAGGAGTCTTGACGGAATATTCAATTTTCCGACTGTTTCTTAACCATCAAGCCAATTCGATGTGGCCGGACCTATTTCAGGTGTTGCGTAATTATCGTACCATTCTATTGAGATATACCGAAGTGGTTTGGCTTATCGTCCGATTCTCGCACAACCCATCCATAACCGAGTTTATGAACTCGTCTGCGTCGCTTCATCTTTGTCTGCAATCTCAGACATCGGACCCTCAGCGCCATTGTGTTGATCGTCCGGCCACCCAGTCCATTCCTTGCCGCTCTGTTCTGGGTCCATTTGGGTCTGTATCTTTCGAATCACCCTGGCTGGGTTCCCCGCAACGACGGTGAATTCGGGAACGTTCTTGGTAACGACGCTTCCCGCACCGACTGTGCTTCCCCGCCCAATCGTCACACCGGGTAGAATGGTGACATTTCCTCCAATCCAGCAGTCCTCACCAATGTGTATCTCCTTGCCCGTCTCAGGTCCCTGCGTGCCTCTGCGAATGACGGGGTCGAGGGGATGTGTACCGGAGAAGAAGCCTATATTTGGGCCACATAATGTACGCGAGCCGATCGTGATGAGGCAGGTATCGAGGAAGGTAGCATTAAAGTTTACGAAAACATTTTGGCCGAGACGGACATTGAATCCGTAATCCATCTTGAACGGTGGTTCAATCCAAGGGTCGTTCTGGAATAGAGCATCGTCCTCTTCCGGGGTGGCGGCTGGAGGGGGCAATGGAGTCTCGTCTTGAACCACACTGGACGACAGATGGTCAACTATACGAAGACATACGATGGTGGAGAAGGATATAGCAACTTACTCACGATACAGCTCAGTCAGCCTTCTCCGCGAAACCTCACCGGCATTGTTGAAGCGATCACAGGCATGTTTACAACGTGCTCTCTGGGCTACTAGTTCCGGTGTGAACGCATGGTACAGCTCGCCCCGGAGCATCTTCTGTTTGTTCACGGAGAGAGCCATGTTGAGGTATGTGCACTGGTGTCAATTGAGAGTCACACAAACGAGGAAAGAAGTCAAATAAAATTGAAGAGGCTGAGAAACACAACGATCTCGAACTTTATGGCAGGACTTGATCCGGTGGATATGCTCCGGTGGAAAGAATTAGTATGTATGTCACTCCGAGCGAAAGTCCGATGTTGTCGAGCTATCCTTGGAGAGATGAAGACATATGGTGGGGCATGTGAATGTTTACGACTGATTAGGTAACCGCATGTTTACTTTCTTTTTGGATGGCGATCATCAATTGGACGGGCCTCGGACCGACAAGGATCTGACAGGGATTATGGTTCTGTAGATTGCGCTACACCCAATACGATTTAGTCCAGAGACTGACCTCATCGGGGGACGGATGATCCCGTCGTTCCGTCGCGAAACATCAAAGAAACCATTGAGAACAATCACAACCTCAACCGTGTTCACAACCAACATCACATTCACACGTCTTACTATTGTTCTCTTCCCTCTACCCATCTTAACTTAGCGCCCTCGCGGCACAGCTTTGTTATCATCTTGCGCAAATCATGTCCTTCATCTAATCTTAACCATTTTGATACCCCTTCTCTTTCTACTTATTACTCTCCTTTGCAACATTTACTTGTTCAATAACCACCTATCTTAAACATCGCAACCATGGCAGACACCCAGAATGGATTCGCGTCTGCTCCCTCTACGCAGCCAGAGACATCCTTCTCTGCGAACCGAACTCAAGCAGCGCCCTCCTTCTCCGTGCGCCCGCGACAGAACCATTTGTCACCCCGAGCAACCTCTCCCTCCGCGCCCACCATCCCGCACGATCTCTTCCCAGGCGAAACCCGCTCCCTCTCAGGAATCGCCCTCCGCGCATTTCTCCTCGGCATGAACGCTGCGCTGGGCTACACTCTCACCCTCGTCCTCCTCTACTACGACTCCCGACTCTGGCGCCCGGCCTTCTTTGTCGGCACCCTCTGCACATTCCACTTCCTCGAGTTCTGGACGACCGCGCGATACAACACCCCCGCCGCAACCACAAGCTCCTTCCTCCTCACGAACGGCGCCCGCTACCGCCAGGCCCACACATTCGCATTCATCGAGTCCCTCCTGACATCCTACTTCCTGCCCCACTGGCAATCCCGCGTCAACCCTCCGCTCGTAATCGCACTTGGCGTCGCTCTTATCCTCGTCGGACAGGTCGTGCGGAGTCTCGCGATGGTGCAGGCGGGCACCAACTTCAACCACCACGTCCAGTCTCGGAAGAACGAGGGCCACGTTTTGGTCACCGAGGGCCTATACGCTATCTTCAGGCACCCATCGTATTTTGGGTTCTTCTGGTGGGGTCTGGGAACGCAGGTTGCGTTGGGGAATACAGTCAGTTTTGTGGGATATACGGGTGTGCTGTGGTATTTTTTCCAGCATAGAATTATCAGTCAGTCTTTTGCCCCTCTTTCCCCCGTTCTACATCACGGTAACATGACTAACGAGGAGCAGACGAAGAAATATATTTGGTCGCGTTCTTTGGCAAGGACTACGAGGCGTATAGAGCTAGGACAAGGGTATGGATCCCGTTCATTCGGTAGCGCGGCGGCGATTCTGCATAGATACCCCCATTTTCCTCCTTCTCCCGACTTTTCAGAGTTTGGATACACAGCGTACCATCAATCTATAGGGAAGAATATACGCAATACGGCGCACTACCAATTTACATGCGCTTTCACCCACCAGTGACGTATGCCATGCGCGTGATGTCGGTTTTGATCTTTGCTCATGAACAATGTGGGAAATGTGTGCATATCTTGTGTTTTCTTTCATTTTTATTGTTCTTTTTGATAATGCGCTCCAAGCGGACAAAAAAGCCCCCCGCCCCAACAAGTAGCATCCCAGGCACAGAAGAATAGATGAAAACTAACGGACAAAAAAAAAGGGGGAAGAAACTCTTTCATACATACTCCAGGACCGAATTTTGATTTTGTTCCTCATCAGAAAAACCCTGACCCTGACCCTGACCCCTGACGTGACATGACATGTAGATTGACATACTCGTAAGACAGAACCATCATACAGCAAAGACGAAGACGACTACCCACACTGGAAACCCGCAGAACATTTTTTCCTGGTCGATCGTGAAGAATTGGTGATTAGACAGCGCATGGAATGTCGCGATCACGCACCGTCAGTGACGCAGCCGTGGCTAGCATCCTTGACGAACCTCGCGTACTTGAACAGCGTGCCCTTGCTGTACTTGAGGGGCGGTGCGGTCCAGGCGTCCTTCCTCCTCGCGAGCTCCTCGTCGCTGACGTCAACGCTCAACTCGCGCTTCTCGGCGTCGATGGTGATGACGTCGCCGTCCTGGACGAGGCCGATGGCGCCGCCCTCCTGGGCCTCGGGCACGATGTGGCCGATGAGGAAGCCGTGGGAGCCGCCGGAGAAGCGGCCGTCGGTCAACAGCGCGACGTCCTTGCCGAGGCCGGCGCCCATGATCGCGGACGACGGCTTCAGCATCTCCGGCATGCCTGGGCCGCCCTTGGGGCCTTCGTATCGGATGATGACAACCGTCTTCTCGCCCTTCTTGATCTCGCCGGCCTCGAGCGCGGAGATGAAGTCGTCCTCGGCGTCGTACACTTTGGCTTTGCCGACGAAGCGGAGGCCCTCCTTGCCCGTGATCTTGCCTACGCAGCCGCCTGGTGCGAGATTGCCGCGGAGGATCTGGATGTGGCCGGTGGGTTTGATGGGGTTGGAGAAGGGTCGGATGATGTCCTGGTCGGCGGGGAAGTCGGGCACGTCCTTGAGGTTCTCCTTGAGGGGCTTGCCGGTGACGGTCATGCCTTCGCCCTTGATGACGCCCTCTTTAAGGAGGAATTTGAGGAGGGATGGGGTGCCGCCGATGTTGTAGATGTCGGCGATGACGTATTTTCCGGAGGGCTTGAGGTCGGCGAGGAAGGGGGTGCGATCGGAGACGGATTGGAAGTCTTCGATGTTGAGCTTGATGCCGACGGAATCGGCGATGGCGATAAGGTGGAGGACGGCGTTGGTAGAGCCACCAGTGATGTTGACGAGAATCATGGCCTCTTCGATGGCCTGGCGGGTGATGATGTCGCGGGGTCGGATGTCTTCCTTCAGGAGGTTCTTGATGGCGCCTCCGGCTGCGAGACACTCGAGAACCTTGGCCTTGGAGTTGGCCGGGTTGGACGAGGAGCCGGGGAGGGTGAGACCGATGGTCTCAATGGCGAGGGCCATGGTGTTGGCGGTGTACATGCCTCCGCAAGCTCCCTGACCGTTGCAGGCGTGGCGGATGATGTCGAAGCGCTGCTCCTCGTTGATCTCGCCCGTGATGAACTGGCCGTAGGCCTGGAAGGCAGAGACGATGTCGATGGATTCGTTGTTCATGGTTTTGGCGCAGCCGGGCTGGATGGTGCCGCCGTAGACCATGATGGAGGGACGGTTGACACGGCCCATGGCCATGACTACACCGGGCATGTTCTTGTCACAGCCAGGAATGGAGATGTTCGCATCGTACCACTGACCGCCCATGACCGTCTCGATCGAGTCGGCAATGATCTCGCGCGACTGCAGGGAATATCGCATGCCCTTTGTGCCCATGGAGATACCGTCACTAACACCAATTGTATTGAATTGCATACCCTTGAGTCCCGCCCTTTCGACACCCTCCTTGACCTTGTGGTTCAGGTCGAGCAGATGCATGTTGCATGGGTTACCCGAGTACCACACCGACGAGATTCCGACCTGGGCCTTGTTCATGTCCTCCTCGTCCATACCGGTGGCGTACAGCATGGCCTGGGAGGCACCCTGGGATTTAGGCTGCGTGATGAACTTGCTGACCGAGTTCAGCTCAGTTTCGGGCCTGGCCTTGAGGCCGGAGGAGCTCGAGAGTGCTCGTCTGTGGGTGGTTGTTAGCTATACTGACACGGCATGTGTGGGCGGGGGGGTAGCCCAAGAAATAAATTTAGACGGGAATGACATACGTCTGGGGCCATTGAAGACGAGACGAGCACTTTGAGCGGGAGAATGCAGCTCCTAGGCGTGAAAGAGACATTGTGTGCAGCTTTCTCACGCTCGAAGAGGTGACAATTGCTCAAAATGTGAATGTTTCTGGGTGGCAGATTCGTCTGGGATTTTATGTATCTCGGAGGTCCGGTCATCGCAGCGATGGAGAGAATGCCGCCTGGTCCAAGCTTGCTGCTCTGCGGCCAATCAAAAGTCGCCGGTTGTCATACTAGTTAACCATCTTAACTGGAATGCGTAAAGTGGAACAGTCATATTATCTGCTATAGCTATAATCGTTGTCACTAGCAGTGAGTTCATGTGGAATTGCATAAGAAGATTGGATCAAAAGAATAATGGACGTCGACTGGGCTGTTGATGCTTCCTTCCTGGAGGCGAGGGAGGAGTAACGTAGCTCCAATCATGTGACGCACAATGATAGTCATCAACTTCGACGAACCCCCAATCTGTGTGTCTTGATATTTACAACTCTACTTCATATGTACATCCATCTTGCTCATACCTACTTCTCCACCCCTGAATACCGAATATCGCCATCTGATTCCTGAATCTTCTCCAACGCTTTTTTTTGAAGTGATGCCCGCTGTGAATGTCAGGCTAATTAACGAGACCGGAGACAGGGGAATACATCCCGGAAAGCCACTTCTCTTCTACAAACGAAAATAATACGTCATACTCCAATGGCTGTTCTACATGATGTGTGTAAGGTTCCGTGCGGTTGGTCCCACGGTGATACGGTCGATGATCCCTTGCTACTCCACTTTTGATCTCTCCAGCACTCTGATAGAACTAATGGTTACGACCGGATCGGATAGCCTACCGTCTGAACTCATGGCAGACCCTTGAACAAGGAAAACAGTCATTGTGCGTGGCATCAGTCACAAAATTGAAGCACAATTGGTGCATCTTCATGTGCAAATGCCGTTCTCACAATAAAGCACAGCTTTTCGCGCAACTCCTCCTCAGTCGAGCGCTGGCCGACGTGGTTTCTTTGTTTCATCAGTCGCCAACCGGCGCCAGACCACAATCTGATATCAGGACCCACTCCATCACCATAGATCCGCGCCAGGTTGCGAAGCCATCTTGCAAGACAAACGCATCGAGATTTCAATAACGCAGTCTCACTCTGCACCCCCGCTGGTCTGAGGGGGGGAGACACCTGTCAGCTCTGTGTCGCAAGGCTGAGGCCAATTCGTCCTACCTATCATGGGCTCAAACGACTCTCAGCTTATGTCTTCCCCTCCAATCATGTACACACCCAGACCATTGGGACTATCAACAGATCCCTCATTTGTGGACGAATCCGTCTTCGAATGCATGTTGACGTTAGTGGACTTATCTCCCGACGGTCCCAGGGCCGACAACATGGCATATCCTGCGCCATTAGCCGTGAAATAATGTTCTAATCCCAAGAATGTGTTTGCCTAATCCAATCTTAAGCTCACATATATCTAGACTGGAGTCAGGTGGTTTTCACCACCATCTAGTATCCCTCTTTTGATCGTTTTAGGTGTACAACGTCCAGCAAGATAAATCGGTTGAATTTTCTCTCAATTACGGGAAGGCTGGGCTTGCTCATCGCAGCCAAACTTCTACAACTCATCAAATGGCGACTCAGGGTGGTCGGGGTCGTGGCTTTGGGCGTGGCGGAGGTGGGGGTGGTAGGGGAAACTTCCAGCCTCGCGGTGGAGGGGGAGGCTATTATCAGTCTCACGGCGGAGGGGGTGGAGGGCGCGGTTTCGACAAAGCAGTCTATTCGTGAGTGTGAGCGTGTCCACTTGTTCGTCCACCTGCTAATGCAACTGCTCAGAGGCTCAAAGGGTGTAATACCCCCGCCGGACGATAAGGTCACTAGGAATGAGAACACACTTCTTCCACCGAATGGCACGACGCCACTCTCGCTCGGGGGATTGAGCGTGAGAGAGAACTTCCCACGCCGTCCAGCTTTTGGCACAAGGGGAACTCCGGTGACTCTGTGGGCCAATTACTTCGAATTGATGCCGGCGTCGACTTTAGTCCTCTATCGCTACGATATCGCTATTGCACCAACAGTCGCGGGAAGGAAATTGAGCCAGGTCGTCAGCCTACTTCTGGAGACAGCCGAAATGCGTCCATTCAAATTACATGTCGTGACTGACTTCAAAGCGATCTTGATCTCTCGCACGAAACTGCCCGAGGACGAGCTCATCATCGACATCCCGTATCAAGCCGAAGGCGAAGACGAGCCCCAGCAGGGTGCAGCGACTTATACAGTCCGTCTACGACTCACAAACATTCTCAGTGTCTCCGAGCTTTTACGCTACTTGACTTCCACCAACATTGGCGCACATTACGACAACACGCCAGAGGTGGTCCAAGCATTGAACATCTTCCTCAATCATTACGCCAAATCTGCAGGCAATCTTGCAACAATTGGATCAAGCAAGAGCTTCTCCCTCAACAGTGGTTCCCAAGCTACTAACTTGGGTGCTGGTTTGACCGCCATTCGGGGCTTCTTTTCTAGCATCAGAGTCGCTAGCAGTCGCATTCTCGTCAATGTCAACGTGAGCCATGGCGCGTTTTACGAGCATGGTCCTCTCGTGAGGCTGATGGAAAGCTATCTCCATGAAAATCGGAACAACAAGGCTGCCCTGGGAAAGTTCTTGCAGAAGGTGAGAATTCGATATACGCATTTACCACCCGTCAAGAACAGAGCTGGTGTCGTCATAGTCCGACCGAGGACGATTTTCGGTCTTGCAACACCATACGATGGTCGTGGCTCTGACCATTCGCCTCGGGTAAAGGCTTATGGTGCAGGTGCAGAGGACGTGGAGTTCTGGCTTGAAGGTAAATCCAAGGCAACTTCCAGCGGTTCATCTGGCGGTAAGAAGGGTGCAAAAAAGGGTGGCGGTGGTGATGCAGCAAAGTCGGCTGCACCGGGGCGCTACATCACTGTGGCAAAGTTCTTCCAAGAAGGCATGTCTCCTTGGCTTGTGTATTTTATGATGTTGTGCTGACCTGCTGCTAGAACACGGTATGCGACTCAAGCGATCTGACCTTCCTGTCGTCAACACCGGTACTCGGGAAAAACCGGTCTATCTCCCCCCAGAAGTGTGCGAGGTGCTGCCAGGACAGAATTCCAAAACGAAGCTTGGTTCTGGGCAAACACAGAGAATGATCAAATTCGCCGTAAGGAAGCCCGTTGACAATGCAAAATCTATCGTCCAAGGCGGCCTCGTAACCGTGGGTCTGGATCCTAAAACCAACATACTTTTGGTGAGTTGGTATCCTTATGCTTAAATGTCGCAAGACTAACCTCATTCAAGCGTGAATTTGGCATCACTGCCTCGCCAGAGCTCATCACTGTACTAGGACGCGTACTGAATCAACCGAAAATCCTATACAAAAAGAATGCTTCCGCAATACCGCGCGCCGGGTCTTGGAATATGATGGATATTCAATTCAGTGCCACTGCACAACTCGAGGCCTGGGGTACGCTCCTTATATCAATGCCCGGGTACAGCGACGTTGGTATAGACAGCCTGAAGAGGCCTCTGACGGAATTCCACATTGCGTTAAATAAAGTTGGGATTGCTGCCCCACCACCCTCGACCCCCAAACAATTGGTTATGAACCATGCAGATGATCCGTCGCTTGAGCAGATGATTGCTATGGCTTCACAAAAGTTGCGTGTTCTACTGATCATTCTGCCAGATGCCAATGCACAACTTTATAATCGGATCAAGTTTTACGGCGACGTCAAATATGGCGTCCATACGATCTGCATGATCGCCTCGAAACTCATGAAAGAGAGAGGCCGGGATCAATACTGTGCCAACGTTGCATTGAAGTTGAACCTCAAGTTGGGTGGCATCAATCAGCAAGTCAACCCTCAAAACCTGTCTCTTATTGAGGAGGATAAGACGATGATCGTAGGCATCGATGTCACGCATCCTTCTCCCGGATCCAGCGCGAAGGCTCCAAGCGTAGCTGGCATGGTCGCCAGCATCGACAAGCGCCTCGGCCAATGGCCAGCAACGCTTCGCGTCCAGACTGCGCGTCAAGAACATGTTGCCGACCTCACCGACATGCTCAAGTCGCGTCTGCAGCTGTGGAAGACTAAAGGCAGACACGCAAGCTTCCCGGAGAACATTTTGATCTATCGTGACGGCGTCTCCGAGGGTCAATACGCCAAAGTCATCGACGAAGAGCTTCCCCTCCTCCGCGCGGCCTGCAAAGACCTCTACCCAGCACCAGACCAGAAGAGAGGCCTCCCACGTTTCAGCATCGTCATCGCCGGCAAACGCCACAAGACGCGCTTCTACCCAACCAAGGAAGCCGATGCCGACAAGCACTCGAACCCCAGTTCCGGCACCGTCGTCGATCGGGGCGTCACAGAGGCACGCAACTGGGACTTCTTCCTCCAAGCTCACACCGCATTGCAGGGTACAGCACGACCCTGCCATTACTACATCATTCTCGACGAGATTCTCAGAGAACGTTACAAGACCGTTCCGCCGCCATACACCAACGTGGCCGATATCCTCGAAGAGCTAACGCACAGTCTGTGCTATCTCTTCGGACGGGCGACCAAAGCGGTGAGCCTTTGCCCGCCTGCGTACTACGCGGACATCGTGTGCGAGCGTGCTAGGTGCTACATGAGCGATCTCTTCGACTCGCCCCCACAGTCTGTCGCTCCCTCTGTCGCCGGTGCGTCTGCTGCTCCCTCTATCGCCGATGCATCTGCTGCTTCCTCTGTCGCCGATGCATCTGCCACTCCCCCCGTACCCGGCGCTTCTGCCACTCCCCCCGTCGCCGGTGCGTCTGCTCCCTCCGTCGCTGGTGCGACTAATCAGGGTGGCGGACAACAGGTGGGGCATAGTAGGGTGCAAGTACACAACCGCCTGAAGGACACAATGTTCTACATCTGAGCGCGTCACGCGTCGTCTTAGGGATGAACAATGAGAGAGAGGAGGGAATGGGGATATGAATATCAAGTAGACTGAGGGGTATGGAGGTTAGGATTCGGCGTTTCTGGTTTTCATTTAAAAGATTTCGGCTCCACTGACATCATAAATCATCATAACGACTATATTAGGTATCAAAGGCATATGTCCAAACTCCTTGTCAGTCATAACGTGAAAAGCAAATAACGTGAAAAGCAACTCCAGATATCGTGCGCCGTCCCAGTGTGTGAATTGTAATAATTGTGACGAGAGGGAAGAATTTCGTCTTCTCACACACCCATTCCGCTGCTATCATCCAAAATCCCATGTCTGCACATCGTCCTGCAACGCTATATTCAAAAGATATGCCCACTCCTGTCACTTCAGACATTTAATCACGAAGCCTCCAGCATGCCACCCAACGTTCCATCCTGCACGTACTTCCCAACCTCACCCTCCTCTATCCAGCAGCTGAATGGCATGATTGACCCAAAATATTCCCTAGTCGGAGGTCTGATGACGTTTACCGGCGTTGTTCGTTCGAATGAAAGTTCATCTCCAATCTCAAAGAAAAACCAGTGGTCAAAAGGGTTGGCATAGTGAAGTCCGCGAGAATGTTCACGGGGCGTAGGGAAGAGGGGATTCTGCACAACCTTTGCTTAGAGACGTTTACAATACCTTGTTTGATGCCAACTTCAGCGAAACCATTTCTGTAAATATTCCAGAGGTCTTGGTCATGCACAAAGCGCGCTGTTGTAAAGTGGATTGCCAACATGGTCGTAGATGCACTTTGTTCAGACGTGTGTGGATGGAACGAAACAATGTCCGTGGAGGTCAGAAGATCAATTACGTAACTATTGCACGCATTCTTCCGTCTCTTCGCAATTTGAAGACCATTCAAAAGCATTGTGTCTTGTGAATATTGTTAGTTTTGCGAGACTCTGGAGCCTCGTGGGATGAAAGGCATTCCTGGATGCCGGCATTGTGGCCATCTATTGCAGTATAGCTTGTCTTTGTTGCCTTTCGCGGATCAGCGGGCCGCAAGCGAACGCCCCGTCCCACCGTGGGATTGGGGAGATAATGGTTGAAAGAAATGTTCTACAGTGCACTTCATTGTTGGGTGTCGGTGGTGTATATAATAGACCTTTGAAGCTACCAGAAGCTTGCAAGTCCCAGGACAAGTTGCCTCTATGGAATTCTCCCGCATTCGGAGAAACAAAAGCAGCCTTGCGCCCATCCAAGTAAGTAGAGTACATATAGGTATATATCGGCATGATCGCTGTTTCGATATTCTCTCCTACGGAGAATTAATTATTCTTTCGACTGTATGGATTATGCTTCTGTTACTGTTTGCGCCGGCGTTGGCGTATTTGCTCATCCTTCCATGTTCCATCCTCGTACTCGGACGAAGCCTCAGTCTCTTCGGCAACGGCCGATCTAGCTGTAATCCTGGCCGGTGGAAGTGGTTTCAAATCGGACGTGGCTGTAGCTACGTCAGCCACGGCGGTTATCTTAGTGGTATGACGAGCTGTCCACCCCGTCCTACATAACACCATTCTCAGCCTTCACGAAGGCAGCTCTCCCAGCTAGCGATTGTCAGTGCAGATCTCAGTGCAGATCGGAGGATCTCCTAGCGGGGAAGTTTTCGGCTTTTGAGCCCAGTACATGCCGTGATATGGGACTGTCCCACTCTGCTCGTGTTCCGAACGATATCGAAGGAAGCCTGGTCCCATCGACATCATTTAACGTTCCAACAGCCTGGCCCGGACATCGCGCCAACTACGTTACCAGCGAGCCGTAGCCAGAATGATTACCGAAACTGATAACCTCCAGCTTGCAGTAAAGGATGACCTGAACGTTGCATGGGAACAGGTCATTAAAGAATGCAACCAGATCGCTGGTTGGAAAGAGGAACAGAAAAGGACCCTGACCGTGAGCGATGTGCTCAACAACGTCCAGCCCCACAAAAAGATCCCCGAGACGGTTACGAGCACCGCAAGGAAAGTGGTCAAGACCACCCTGCTATGCGTGCAGCGGTTCGGAGATGTCGTTGCGACAGCCACCTCGGCCGTTTTCCCACCTAGCCAGCAATGCTTCAACGCAGTCAATTTCCTCATCCTGGCCACCCAGAGCACTGAAGAGTTTTTCGCCGATGTCACGACGCTGATGGAGCGCGTGTCTGTGTTCCTCGAATGCCTCTCCGTGTACTTGGACGACGAGCGCATCAAGGCCGGGTCAGACGCCGGCACAGAAGTACTTGACAGTCGTCTTCGACCCAGCATCTATCGTGTTCTTGAGCACTTTGTGGTGATCATCACTCTGTCGCATGCTCTTGCTACAAGACCTAAGCGGGAACGACTGAAGGTCTTTGCGAAGAATTTGTTCTTTGGAGATGATAGCCGTATCAAAGATGCGCTGGCCACGCTCGAGACTCGCGTTTCGGACATCACCAGAGTTCAGATCACGGTGATTGGACAGGATTTGAAAGGCGCCGTTCGAGACGTCCGAGAATTGAAAGCGGACATGGATCTGATGATCTCCAGTGAACAGTCCAACACGAGTCTTCTAGTCGGCCTGACGGAGATTGAAGAATCGAGACGACTCATGGACATGGAAAAGGAGTTTGACGAAACGCTACGCTTGAAACTGGGTCTTGACAGTAGGCAATCGTGGCGGGATCGCCACACGAATATATCTGAAGAAATTGTCGCCGGCACAGGAAGCTGGCTGCTGGAACATCTCCCTGAATTTGAAGAATGGGCCGACGTTAACAAGAATACGGTTGCCAACGTCTTTTCTGTGAGTGCGCCAAAGGGCTATGGCAAGACGTTCTTGACATATGCTGTTGTCGAGCATTTACTCGGCAGGTGCAAAAAGGAAGACCCAGAACGCGACGTGGATCTAGCATACTTCTACCTTCCACGAACTTCCCAAGAGCCAGGCGCGACCAAACAAGAAGGCTCTTCGCTTAACAAGGCACTCAAGGCACTGATCTACCAGTTTTCCCAAAGCAATGCAGCGTACCGAGAGTTCATTCGATCGACCATGCAAGAGGACATTGGGCTCGGAAACACTGCGGGCTTGTGGGCAAAGCTGGTCCATGGCTTCATCACTTCGAGTCAGGCGAACTTCTTCGTCGTGATAGATGGCATCGAGGTCATGGGGAAACAGGAGGAGGAGCTATTCTCTGCCATTATGAGGCAGATTTCCACACCAGGAGCTGACACATCTTCCACACGACTTCGAGTATTCTTCACGGGCCTACCCGACGCCATTACAGATTTGCAGCAGAGATGCGGTCTCAAAGCACCTCAAATCTCCTTTGGCGAAAGCGCGACCGAATCAGATGATCTTGTCAATCGGGACGACGTAAGGAAATTCCTGCATGCTAGACTCAAAGGAATGGAGAACTTCTGGGATGACTCTTCAGTCCACCAAAAACACAAGACCAGAATACAACAAATACTGTTACAGCATGTTGGAGGAAATTACGAGCGGCACAACCTGGTGTTGCGTGAGGTTGAGGCCTGCAGAAATGTACGACAGTTAGACAACATCCTGAACCACGTCAATGAGAGCCAACTGCAGAAAATCGAGCGACAAATCGAGATTTTGAATCAAAATCTGTCCAACGATGAGATTGTCGAGCTCAGCGCGATCATTGCATGGCTCCACGACAAGAGGAAAATGGACGGGTCCAACTGTGATCTCGAACAATACTTCTTTTGGGAACAAGAGATGTATTACTTTGCACCTCGTCTTCCAGGCCAATCATCGGGAGGAGGAACATCGGACAATGCCAGACTGATCCCGTTACCGACTCGGAACAACTCTCATTCCCTGAACCTGGTGGAAGAATACCTTGCCATCACGCTTGAAAATGAAACAGAGAGCGAGAGATTGATAAGCCTCCGTAAACAAATCCAAGAGAAGTATAGTGCGGTGCTCACAGTTGACGATGAGAGTCTTGTCTTCCTGAAGTACGACGAGCTTAACTCGTTCCGCTCAAAAACCAGCGAAAGCATCGCCGAGCAGATGGCCCAGCGGCAACAAGTAGCCGTATTGCCAGAGGAGCTTGCGTTGATCCAAAAGATCATCAAAACACAATTCACCAATGTTTTCGGGAAGGACGGGGACGACCTCTACAAGAAATACGGACTGGATGAGTTCTTCGGGTCCAAGACAGAAGGCCAAAAGCCGCGCATCGTATTCAATCCGAGCGGTAACCATGCAGCTATTCTCAACGCCTGCATTATTGCCATCAACGGACAATGGGGTGCGAAAGAATTTCCGACACTGCGAAAGTACGCCTATCAGAACTTAAAGTATCACCTGCTGAATGCTGATCTGCATCAAACCGACTCTTCGACTGCACTGCGCATCGGGCGTGGCCTTGTAAAGTTGCTGCAAGACGATAAATTGTCAGACCTGTGGTGGAACCGTCCATTTGCTGGAGAATCGTGTCTCAGTCCGGAATTCGGGAACGCCATGCGAACCTGGCTATGCCAGCCAGCTGTGTTGCAGAAATACGAAGAAGTGTTACACGTTACGAAATGGCTCAACAGAGTTGCTGCCGCCGATAACCCGGCAAAGGTGATACTGGAATACGTCGCAAAGGCTGCCGCGAAGCAATACTACTCTGGCGAGCTTGGAAATTGGATGTTTCCATTCAGATTTCTGGCCAGCTATGTTGGAGCTCTCGATGTACCACCTTCTTCAAAAGTAGCAACGCACATGTACAGGAACCCTGGGACAAACGTGCTATTGCACGCAGGAAAGGTGGAGTACTGGATTGAGACTACGTGCAATCTGGATGCGGATGACCTGATACTGCTGAAAGTGAGGACTGGGCAGATCCTCTTCGAACTTTCCAACGAGTGGTGTTCTGACGCAAGTGACGACTACGATAACGTGCAGGAGGCCAACGCGGCATTTAGATCGCTGGCACAGGAGATTTACGATGAAGCCGCGGCGAAAAATCCGAATACTTTGCGTGTCGTGCTCTTGCGCGCTCAGCTCGACATGGACATCGGTCGATACGATGAAGCGCTACAGTATCTGAATGAACGCATGGAAGGGACCAAGCTTAGTCTCTTTGTCCCTATTAGACTCTTTGTCATCCCCGTTGATGACTGGCGGCTTGGAAACGCCCTCCTCAGCGAGTGCTATTTCCAGACAAAGAACTACAGGCTAGCGGTCGATTCCTACTTGCCGGTCGTCAGCCTCGGAGTTGACAATTACGAGTACCGCCGAGTCGAATCTTGGTTCAGAAGCGCATTCCAGCGTCTTGCCTCTTCAGACGCAGATCCTGAAGTCTTGAGATTAGTTCGCTGCTTAGATGGCCATGCAACAACCATGGGTAGAGGACTACGCACGATACTCACCCGACTGTCGAAACAGGAGTATCAGACCATTAACAGCACAACCGCTCGATTGGGAAAGGTCTTCGAGATCATCAAGATATATGCCAGGGCGATGCACGAGGCATCCGTCGATCCCCGTCCTTACTATTGGCCCGAAGCCGTGACAAGTGGGGTGAACGCCCTTATCTGGCTTGCCAAAGACTTGCCCAATAGTGGTATTACTATTTACGGGTCAGAACATCTTTCAGATGCGAGCATGTGGAAAGGGGTCCCCACAAGCTGGTTAGAAATTCTCGGTTCAACAGACAGTTCGGCGGAGAAGTTCGCAAAATTCAAGCATAAAGCAGCCGAAGAGATGGAATTATGGAGGAAAGATGGTGTGATTAAGCATCACTGCCTGTAATTGCTGATTGGAAGAAAGTACATCAGATATATACTCAGTAGGCTTCATTCCTTTCGTAAGGACTGAGCCATACAGTGAGACATGCACAAGACATACGAGAATATTCCGACGTCAAAGATTCATCTCATCAACTCTGATCTATACGCAAATCATTGAACTTTGTGTCCTCATAGAATAATCATCGTGTAGAAGGCTACAAGCTATCAAACCCAGCTCTGGAAACCGAGTTCAGATCTTCAGGATGCCCTTTCATATGATTAGTTCTTTTTACTCTGCTTGTAGACGTTTGTATATAGATCAATTCATTATAACTGTTGTGAACAAAGCCGTTAACACAAATTTGAGACTGGCCCGACAGATTGGGTTGCTGTCTACAATGGTCAATCATGGTGCAAGGTTCTTTATGTGGAGTTTACCTGCAGCCGAATGGTTCACTACGTGATTGAAAGCGTAGAGCAAGGCTTATGAAGTCGTGGATATTCTTCACTGCCAAATGTCAAAGAACCTTTCGATGTTGAGAGTGAATGTGACCAAGAGTTATCTGTAGGAAGAAATACACAGTGTGCAGAGCACGATTATTGCTGACAGCACCCTTGCATTTGCTCGCTGAAGAGGTCTGGGTTATAACAAGCACAACGCCAGGACGTAGGAATCAAATTCTTGCCTGCCACTGCAGACCGAAGCCACGAACACTAAAAGAAGAATCTCCTGCAATTACAGTTCAAACGTGTCAAACTGAAAATCAGTATTGCATCAAAAATGTCGGAGATTCATCGTCCTTCAAACGAGCGCCAAGAGGACGATTCCAACGTGGAGTCACTAGAAACCAAAAAGCTGAGATATCGCAACGAGTATAAATCACCTCTTGAAGATCACTATATACCGAGTTATGTGACGGGCGGTCTTCACCCTGTTCTTATGGGGGATCTCTTTAAAGATGGACGGTATAAAGTTGTGAACATGGTTGGTGTTGGATCGTTCAGTAACGTCTGGGCAGCTCGAGACACTCACGCACAAGACAATCAGTTAGTTTAACTATCATATCTTTTGACTACAATATTGACAGCTCTCTAGGAACAATAATGACGTTGTTTGTCTGAAGATACTTAAAGCATCGTGCTCACAGGGAGAGGTAGGTGAGTTGAAGATTATGCAGTACATTGAAGCAAACAGTGCCACGACGCATCCTGGACGCAAATACCTGCCACGACTCTTGGATCACTTCTACCATGATGGACCAAATGGCAGACACTTGTGCATCGTCATGAATATCCTTGGTTCAAATGTCTGGAAGGTTCGGAGTGAAGCTCATTTCTCAGAAAAGCTCTCTCATGAACTCTCACGTCATATCTCTAGACAACTCATTCTTGCAGTCGACTTTCTCCACTCAATTGGCGTGGTGCATGGAGGTATGTCTTCCCAAAAGAAAAATATGCACTGTACTCGTGCCAACATGAACACTGACGTTAATTTGCTTTAGACATAAATGAAGGGAATGTGGCATTCAAGATTCCCCGGATCGAGAGGGTATGTTTCGATGAAACCTTCCAAGCGAAGGTAAAACGCCGTGACGGTGGACCATTGGAAAAGGGCATACCAGAAATAGTTGTAGACCCATTAGAACCCCTCAGATACGCTGAAACAGATGAGCTCAGCGACATTCAGCTGATTGATTTTTCAAGCGGTAAGTACTATATAACAACATCGCAGACTATACTAATCATCCTCTAGCATTTCTTGAAGCGCATCCGGCGGCGTCTGTAGCCACACCGGTAGATCTGGCACCCCCAGAAGTCATATTCAAGCAGCCGCTGACCAAAGCGGTGGACATCTGGAATTTGGGCTGTGTTGTACGTGGAATAACCTTTCCTTTGGAATCAGAACTTCAATTACTGACAACACCTACAGACATATCGATATTCAACGGGGCAGGAACCATTTTCTATAATACTTTCACGAGATAACCGGGAGCTCATACCCCAAATCTATAAGCTTTTAGGGGATGCTTGTGCCCCGTGGATGCTTAAAGCATGGATTGATGCATCAGTAAAGAAAGTGTGGAATGATCTTCCACCACCGAATAGTTCGTACGTCTCCCCTTCATTTCAAATCCAGACTAACGAAAGGCAGTGGTATCTTGGGACCATAGTAAACGCTTAGCTGAAAAGCTGCCCTCGGATTACTATTTCTCTGTGGCTCTACGCGGGAGCTGCGAATATTACATTGATTCCGATGATGATGCTTCGACCACTATGACAGACACACACAACGAGGGAAGTGTGCACCTAGAAGAGGAGGATCTAGAGGACTCTGAGATGGCAGAGGGGGATGTAGAGGAGGACTGTCCAGAGAAAGAGGGTCCGGAAGAGCATCACCCAGAAGTTGTTCAGCAGGCCTCTAAAGGCGACCATGGATACCAAGCGTACTTGGAGCTTGTGAAAGCCGCGGAGGCGTATCCTAGGGATCATGCAGACAAGCGAGAATTTTTGGAATTGGCAACATCCTACCTCAGCAAAATGATCGTAGCAGACCCGGAGAAGCGAGCCACAACTTCAGAGCTTATTCTCCATCCCTTCGTGAAAGATATTGGTTATGACCCACATGTTCGGTCTTCAGTTAGGCCTTTCACACCACAAAATAGCATAATCTCGCCCCTAATTCGACCCTTCGCCGCAGTCGAAGGGATGATCTGAATTTTGAGCGTGAGATATTGTCTCCTACCTAGAATGTACAATGTAACTGTAAAAACTTTGAGCGTTGCGATTGCATTACGTCCAACATTCACCGTTAACAATGCTCTGCCTGCAATCTAGCAAGGAAAGAAAGAACTCGGTAGAATCTAAACAAGGGCAATGAAGAGTGATGTTATACCAGGCCTTTAATCCGGTGCTCAAAGAACAAACAGGGAATGTTTGCACACCATGGTATAAGTTCCATGCTTCCCTTGGGATTCACCATGCAGAACATCACAACCCACCATCAACAACACGGGAATTTCTCGTATCTTGGCTGGCTCTTGCTTTTGCCAAACTAGACTTTGATGAAATTCTTTTCTTCCAAGTCTTATTCCGCATCGCAAAACAGACCTTGTGCACAATGGAAGCTTCCCGGCCAGACATAACAGTCGCCGATTGGGTATGGAGACGATATGGCTACGAAGGCGTGAACGACTTGATGGAGGCTGCTGAACAAGCCATAAATACTATTGCGGGCTTTTCGGCATACCATACCATGCTCATCTGGACAGGCTGGCATGTAAGCAATGATCCCAAGGAACACATGACCGTCCGTCTCAAAGACCATCAATTGCAACGCGATGGCCAGCACCACGTTAGCCATATCTACCGAACAGAGTCGGAACATCAGATTTATGATGAGGTTCCTAGAGGAGACGACGAACTGTCTAGTTACGCACGAGCCCGGCAAATTGAGCGGATCCAACGGAGTCGGGCTCGTAGGCAATCCACATCCACCTCCCATGGCCAGAGGGTGCGAGGTGCTGCTGCTTTCACGCCCTATCCGATACTAAGGGGACAAGGTAGAACGAGGCCGAGACGCGCAGGGTTTACATGGCGTAATACCGCAAATCAATCCCAACCTCCAGGCAACCAATCCTAATTGTCAACTGGATGGAAACCACGCGGCATATATCCCCAACAGCAGTCAACGTGCCACTAGAATGTCCGAATCGTTACTCCGGCGACAAAAATCGTCTGTTTCGTCTTCCTAGAGTCATCACTTCACTGAATTCTAGCCATTTCCAACCTTACATCTAAGACGCCAAAATTCTGAACATACCACCCGATCAAGCCCCTTCCGTGAACACCTACCACAAACAGCAAACATTTGAAGAACAACCGTATCCTAGAGTCGACAATGCTCCGTCCAGATTCTTAAATCTTACTTGGCTTTGTCGTACCATCTTTCTCAGGCCAAGCAGCCTATAATCCTGAGGAATAAGCTTTGATGAAGGACATCATCTGACAGCACCCATTTTCTTCCTTCGTTTCACCTTACTAGAGGCCCATTTCCTTCCTTCGCTTCACCATACTAGAGGAAAAATGGAATGATAAGGCATTTAGTGCCTTTTTGGATTCCATTGGCAGGATCTCTCGTCGCGAAATGCCTGAAGACCATCTTGTTTTCTCTCTCACAGTTGCCAGTTGAAGAAATTGTCATAAGGCTAGCTATGTATCTTACAAATAAAATGATGCCTTCAGAACATTTCTGTAGTGTTTACAAATTTAAGAATGCAATATCCTCTCTACTTGAGGTCTGTGTAAACATGCATGTGTGATGTAATGCAATGGGTTCACCTCTTAGTGCACGCAAACTTGACGGACACTGGGGATTATCTTGCCCAATACATGCATACCAGTAAGATCTAGAGCGCGATATCATTGACTCAATGAACCTGATAGAATTCAATAGGAACCATAGAGACTCGAAAAGAATAAGAGTACAACGGACAAGTGCTCACTAAGCAATAAATGTCCTCAGGTCTTGCATTTTCATTACTACTATGAGAGAGGGTGTTTAAGCACGACGTATCTATTTCTAGACATGATTCATTTGGTAGAATGGACAGAGAAGTTTACTATGCTTTGTTTACACTCGATTGTGAAACAGAGACCGTGATAGAACCTATTAGAACCAGTGAAGATTTAGCCAGGCTGAGAGTAGAATAGATCAACATTACTTGGCAAGCAATTAATGCACTTAGATCTTTCATCGTCACTCTGGTGTGTTCAAGTGCTTATGCACGATGTATTTGTTTCAGGCATTGTTAATCTACCAAGATGAAAGTTCACTGTATACAATGCCCTGTCTAGATCATTGTTCATGCAGAACACATCATGGAATACAACAAGAGCAGTGAGTGAGTCAAGACCACAGAGGAGTATAAGTAGGCCTTGGTCCTTCGCTGTTGTAAAAAGGCCACAGTCTAACAGACAGCACTTCTTATATACTACAAAGTCACAAACGATAGAGTTTTTTTTATATATACTGCAACGTCACAAACGACAAATTTTCTTATATACTCCACATCCATCGACCGGACGGGAGCGCAAGCACATTGTGACCCACATCCATCGACCGGACGGGAGTCCCAGCGAGATTTGTCATGATAAACGTTGCAAAGATAAATCACGATATAGTTATAGCCGGGTACTGCGTTAACTTAGCCGGCAAAACTGATCCGCAATATCTACGTATGGCCAAGAGGACAGCAACTAGCATCTAGTTCCCACAGTCAGAAAATATATATACCAGACGGCCAACCGTCTAGCTACGCCCGAAGTCCGCAAAGGAAGCGGGCACAACAGTATATACATGCTTGGAAGGGGGGTGAGTATGGTGGAAGATCGAGGAGGATTTGGTGTTAGCGAGTGTGTTCCTCGCCCGATGTTTGGTAACTAGACTGGAATGACTGTTGCTATCTACCGATTGCGGGTCGGAAGCAGGCACAACAGCATCATGTCCAAGAGGACAGCAACTAGCATCTAGTTCCTACAGTCAGGTGGGGTCGCATCTAACAGCCATCGGCAGAGGGGGTGTGCAAGTGATCATGGTTCAACTGGTCCAAATTACCCTTGGAACCAGTCGTTTCCGCGCATCATCAGCTTCGCGCTAGCAGCACAAGAGCAAGCACTACTATTCCTCCGAATGACCCACACACAAGAAGATGTCCAAATACCCACAATCCCGGAGGAGATTAAGGAGAAAAGCTCCAAGGAAAACAAAATGAAGAACATCATTGCAATCATGGCCATATATATGGTTCTACAAAAATCAAAACAGTACGAATGGCCCAACGAATCCGAGATATTGCCCAACCATTACAATCGCCTGGAATCGGTCAGACGCCTTCTCACCGGTGTTGACATCGACCGCGATATACCAGTGAATGTTCGGCTGTCTGCGTCTCCGGCGGCATCGCATACGACGCGACAACGGCCCGTGAAAACTCACTTTCGGATGCCATGAGAGGCGGAAAGAAAATAAGATCATTACCCAAAAGAAGAACATTACCCAATGTTCGAACTTATCATATATACACCAACTACATAACCATCTGGCCGCCAGATACGGCGCGCACAAAACCCACTTTCGGATGCCATGAGAGGCGGAAAGAGAACAAGATCATTGCCCACAAGAAGACCAATACTCCAAAAGAAGAACATTAGCCAAAAGAAGAACATTACTCAAAAGAAAAACATTACCCAAAAGAAGAACATTACCCAAAAGAGTCACCTCACACCCGCATGTTTAGTCGTCAACGACCTCAAAAACCTACCATATACCCGCCTTTCGCTGCTTCCCGCGGTCGAAAGAGTGAGACTCTATATAGCAAAACATCAAATACCAATTTTTTTTTTTAGATTCTGCGCTTTGAAATTCGTCCCTGACGTGCGTTATGCCAATGTCATCGACTGTGAAATCATATACACGAACAACCCCCCTTACATCTCCGTCCCCGTAAATTTCCCCCAAGTACTCCGTACACACAACGCACCAAAACACCCGCACGAAAAAACTCCCCATCCCTCCTCCTTCGCTCTCGCTCTCGCTCTCTCCCCCTTCAACGCCGAACGCCGAAGCCCTTAGAAATGCGAACAGACGTCACGTCCAAAGATTGGGGAAAAAAAGGTTCCTGACGTCTGGAATACGGTCCCAAAGCAGTCTAGCTACGCACGCGCGCGCGGGTTGTCATTGAATTAGCGGCGGCGATCGGGGGGTGTCAAAGGGTCTGGGTCTGGGCTAGGCTGCTTTGGGACCGTATAGGTTGCGAGCTAGCGATTCGATCTCACGAATGATGGATGCGAGATGTAAGATGTAAGATGCAGGATATGCTGGAATTAAAAATCCGACGGGCGATTGGGGGGAGAGGGGCGTATAAGAGGTAAGACGTATCCGCGTGGGATGTCTGGTTTTCATTCCATTTTCAATCGCTTCGTTGTGTTCTGTGATCTACCCAAGTACGTAACTTTACGGTACATTGCAGAGAGACAGGCAGAAAAAAGAAAACTCGTTCTTCTCTTTTCAACATTCGACATTCGAAGATACTTCCTTCCGACTAGAATGGCAAAATCGATCCTCATAACCGGCGCGACCGGCAAACAAGGCGGCGCCGTTCTCCGCGCGCTCCTGTCCTCCCCCTCCGCCCACGGACCCTTTACAATCTACGCTCTAACCCGCAGCTCGCCCTCCTCCCCCGCCGCCGCGAAGCTATCTTCGCTATCGCCGAACGTCAAGGTCGTTCAGGGAGATCTGGAGGACGTGGAAGCTGTGTTCCGGGGCGTCAAGGGCGGGATTTGGGGCGTCTTCGGCGTGCAGACGCCGATGGGGAAGGGTGGTGTAGCAAGCGAGGAACGCCAGGGCAAAGCTCTTGTGGACGCGGCGCTCAAGCACGGCGTGCAGCATTTCGTGTACTCGTCCGTCGATCGGGGAGGTGACGTTTCCATCGAGACGCCGACGGACATCCCACATTTCATCAGCAAGCATAACATCGAGAAGTACTTGATTGAGAAGACTGCTGCGGAGGGGAGGAATGGCGGGAGAAAGATGGGGTGGACGATCTTGCGGCCCGTGGCGTTTATGGATAATTTCACGGACGATTTCATGGGGAGGGTTTTGCCGACGGCGTGGAGGGATGTGTTGGGGAATAAGCCGTTGCAGTTGGTGGCGACGAGGGACATTGGGAAGTTCGGTGCCATGGCGCTGCTCGAGCCAGAGGCGTACGATGGGAAGGCGATTTCGCTCGCTGGCGACGAGTTGACGTTTAAGCAGATGAGTAGGACGTTCGAGGACAAGACGGGGAAGAGCGTACCGGTGACGTATGGGTTCCTGGTCCGCATCATAATGTGGATGAGCAAGGAGTTTGGATATATGGTCAGATGGTTTAAGACGGATGGATATGGCGCAAACGTGGCGAAGTGCAAGGCGCAATTGCCCGAGATGCTCGATTTCGGAACGTATTTGGAGACGGAGAGTGCATGGAAGAAGAAGTAATGTAGGCAGGCTATTCGATGTCTGGGGCGAGTGGGTGTCGGAGCTCAGAGGGAATATGTGTGGCGTTTAGATCTTTGTGGAACCAGCGCAGAGTGAATAGACTGTACCGTAGTCGAGTGTATAGATAAGAGTCGTTCCATCTTCACATTCCCAACGCCTGCGTACCCATCAGCAACTCACCAGGGAACTCCAGCAGCGCCCGAACATCCCCATCTACTGCGTCCTCTCTCAAACGACGTAACAGCCTCACCCCCTCAAACCTCGCAGTATCGCAAGCCCACCACTGCTCCACCTGCGCCACGAACGCATACCAATAGCATAGCACGAGCAGCGCCCTTGGGCTCCCCTCCTCGACGAAGCGGAGGAATCGCGCGTCGAGCTTGATCGCGAAGCCGAATGTGTGCTCGACCATCGCGGGCCTGTCGGAGACGTAGCATTGCATGAGGAGACGCAGGGAGTCGAGCGCCGTGGCGAATGGACAGTCTGTGGGTTCTTCACTGCGACAGAGGGCTTCGAGGCCGGCCATCGAGCGAGCTGCGAGAGGGATTCCTGCGAGGGCGTCGTTATTTGCAGCGGGTTGGTCCTCGCAGTGGCGGATCAGCGGTCTCCAGAGGATCTGGTCGAGCATCGAGGTGCGTGCGAATGCTTCCGAGAGCAAGCGAGGTCCTCCGATGAATCGGATGCCCACGGTGTCGAGCGCAGGGTCTTTCATAGTGGCTGAAAGGCCATCATCGTACGGCTCGTTGGAGAGATTCTTGAACGCGAGCATCGTGAGGAGCATGCAGCACGCGAAGAGAGCGTCCGCGGATACGCGCGCATCGTCGATGGCTTCCCGGTACGTCTGCAGCGCGAGACTGTAATGCCACGCGCCCGCCATCTCACGCTTCCGGTCCGAGTAGACAACCGCGATGTGGTACGCAGAGAACGCGAGCACCGCATGCGACAGGAACGGCGATCCAGGAGCTAATCGAGGGATATTCTCCTGCAGAATACTCTGGCAGTCAGCAGTACCTATCCAGAGCGGATGGGTAGTTTCGAAGAAATGAGCGATGAGTTCCCGTGTATCTTTGATCCCGGAATATATCTCTTTCGATGGTATCTCGTTCAGCAGCGCAGAAACCTCATCACCCGGAGAATCATCGCCATACGCACATCCCTTCCGCCCATAGTACGCACACTGCCCGCACTCCGGCCGCCGTTCATCGCACTGCTCGCCCTTTCACATCAGCCCATCACTCTCTTTTTGCAAACCCCCGTGATTTTGAGAATTCGTCACAGATACACACCTTAACCCTCCTCCGCCTACACTCCCCACAGCCCCCCCTCGACTTCCGATGCGCTCTCCTCTTCCGCGCCGCCTTTCCCGTCCCCGCCTCCGCATCATCATCGCCTCTGCACTTCACAGCCGCCGGGTCTTCCGCGATGGCACCCGGCGTGAGGATGCGCTGGAATGTCGTGAACATTATCTTATCTCATCTGCCTGGGACGTTCAGGTTGTCGTGATGCTTCGAAGTATGTGCCCTAGTTAGGGCAAGTACATACCACGTTAGCGTCATCCAGGGCATCCGCTAAAGGGAACGGGGGTAATATGTGTTTCCCCTTTCAGAACGAGATGTAGAAAGACGCATGACTTCGGCTGTTTTTAATACGATCTAGGTTTTTAAGTGTAAATGTTAATGTCTAGAATATGTCATACCCTAAACCTCCCCCCTGCTGTAGTTGATAGTGATGGCAGGATAGGTGACCGTGAGCGTGTGTAGATGTCACGTGGTGACCTGCGAATATGGAAAATGCCTACGTCAGGTAGGTACTTGGAGATTATCACGGCCGGAGGAAGCACACGCGTACGCACACGCACACACACACACACACACACACACACAAGAGATTTCATACGCTGTCATCGCTGATCCGACGTTCGTTACAATTCCATCAGATTCTACCATTGTATGGGATACTAGGCGCGGGGGGGAATCGCGATACACACTACCCGCTTCTCCCCGTGTTGCACAATTACATCCCAAGGTCTTCTCCTAGGAACTATTCATCTACGCACTAGACACATACCCGCCTCCCCGTCCGGGACAAAGTCCCAGGGAAAAGTGCGTAGTGCGCACGTACATCAGCGACGGTTCCAGCGACCTCACCCACGGTGGCAGGCAGAAAAGGGGGAACTTTGAACTGTTCTCGGACGAGTCCACCAGGGAAGGGGGTGCTCACTACCTCACGTTGAGACCCGTAGATTGTGGAAGTGCTTTTGCATTTGGGAACAAGGGATGTAGTCTAGAATGTAGAACGGGTCCGCCCTATGCGGGCGCTTGGGTCCGTACCTGCGTTAATGCGCGTAGATTGGGTAAGATAGCGTGGGGGACGGGTCGGATGAGCGCCGCGGGGAGCCGCGGTGGCGATGACGATGATGGGAATGTCCAATTTCGATGATGTGCATACTCGTAGGATGATCGAGAACGCTGAAAAAGAATAAGATTCGTACGGGAATGGGGAGACGACATGACGTCGTGCTAGCGCGTGCCGTGCACATCTGATGGGACCGGGAAGAAGACCAATAGAGCATGCGGTATTGCCAAAGGTAAAGGAAATATGCCAAACGCCAGAACACCAACTCCACTCTATCGGAACGTTGAAATCAAAACGCCAGTGCCACGGTTCATACTGTCGTCCTCCACGACGTGGAGTCGTGTTTCCCAATTCCATTACCAAATTCCAACTCCCAAACCCAAAACTTCAAAACTTGAAACCCAAAACTTGAATTAAGATCCGAGAATCGGATAGGATCAAGGCAGAGGCAAGTGCGCTACCTTCTGGACATAGTATAGTCTAAACTCTTCGTGCCAGTCCTCGGAACGAGGCATGCAGATACCGCTCGCTAAAGCATCTATAGGAGAGGTCGCGTTAGGTGCCACAATGAACGACTGGAAGAACTTGAACATCTCGTCAATACCTTCACGAGTTGCACTGCCCTGATCTTGTCCAGTGGCCACGGGACCAATGGTCGCATTTCCGTCCTGGTGCTGGTTGGAGGCAAGCACTGCCTTGTTATTAAGAAAGTCGAGGTATTCCTGCCTTGCCTGGGCCATCAGTTGCTCATACCTCTCCGAGAAGCAGGCAGCAGACGGCCAGCGCTTAACATTATCTTTGAAGAACCGTGAGAAGCGGTCCATCCATTCTTCGATCTGACTGAGCTGGTATTTTTCCGAGATGTCGACCTTGCAGCGCCGGAGTATCAACAGGAAAACCAGGGCGCAATCGAACGAGTGGTGGCAAGGGTGGAAGACGTACTTGATCTGGCCGGAAAACCTGTTGACTTGGTACCAGTACCCTTGTCCGACTGAGAGGGCATTGGCGAATGCAATCAACAAGTCTCTGCTCGATGGTTGAGGGATCCGGCGAGATGGGCGATGAAGCGTCACCATGATGGAGGCAGTGGCGATTTCCGCATACAGCTCCAGCTCCTTCCAGCGGGACACAAGCTTGGGATCTGTATTCGCGGCAGAGTCGCAGAGGATCTGCTGACGCCACTCGGTTATGGAATGGTTTATCCATCGCATCCACTCTTCGAGGGAATTGAACATTGGGGGCACTTCCTCATTCTGGTGCATGACGGAGACGACTTCGGCTTCAATCTGCCGAAACATCCAGATCCGCCTGCAGGCAAACTTGGTTACAATTCCGGTGAAATCAATGCCTCTGTCTGTGATGGCAGTATCGTTGACTTCGACTGGGAAGCCTACATCATAGGGTCGCGTGGGTAGGGTCATGGGCCGCAGAAAGAAGGCGCAGACCGAAGCCTCCACCTCCCAAGCAACCCAGAAGACCCGTCGCCGCATGTCGCGCTCACGTGCCGATATGCGTTCATCATAAGGCAGTTCCTGATGCAGCCCCAAGTCGATGACTGCCTGGCTGGTCATACCGGTCAACAACCACATATCTGCCATGGTTGGGTCCAGGGATAAGTACTGCGTGAGCAGCAAGATGGCCTGCAGGCCCGGGACGTCGTTGGTTGCAATCTCGGGCATCCATTGCACGGCATGCTGGACCAACGAAAATGCGTGCGAGTCGGCGATGGTCTGCTTCGCACACGCGCCCATGGATAGAGAAATGGCCATCACGAGGCTAATGATGTATTGGTTCCGGGGCGTGTTCTGTCCGGATAACGGAGTGGGGTGATAGATCGAGTTGAATGCGGCGATGAGTTCGTCTGAATGGTAGATTGGGCACAACGTCAATGCTCGATCAAGGAAGCCCTGGAACAGGCCAGTTGCCGTCTCGAGGCCAATGTTTCGGAGCGTGACCCAGGAGAGTGCCACGGGGTGCGGATTGATGATGGATCGGGGATGGTTCTCGTCTAGGTCGGTGCCTCCCGATGGTACCTTCTTAAACAGTACCTGGGTTCCTTTGAAAACGCAGTTGAGGATGAACTTGGCCTTAGAGATTCCGAGGAACCGAGGGGTGATGTCCTCCATGATCTGGCTGACTAGAGGATTCGCAATAGCACCTTTCTCCGGTGGATGGATATGCCCAGAACCGTTAGAGTCAGGGGGAGAGGGGACAGAGGGGCCTGCCATGTTCTCAAAGTTGGCGATATGTGCTTCGAGAAAACCAGCTATACTCCTTGGAGCCTCACGCTGGGTGGAGGAGTCGAAGCCGACGCAGGGCGCACCTGCGTCTGCGCATCTGGTGCATGAGGGTACTTGACCATCGCACTGTGTGAGAAAAGTCAGTATGCGATGAATACGGGTGGTAGGGAGAGGATTACCGCCAGCTTCCGTTTCCTGCAGCGGGCACAGGCTATCACGCGACGTCGAACTCTGCCTTTTGGCATGGCGAAGGGTTGTGATGTTGAGATGGAAGATGAAAAGACGAGAAAAAGGAGGAAGAGGTGGGTTTACAAGTCGATGGGATCAGTATTGTAGAAAGAGGGGGCGGCGGAGATGTGGTGGTTCATGGCGCAAAGTGGCGGCAGGTGGTTGAATGGTTGAGGCTGTCGGTGATGGGGAGATGGGGAGACGGTGGTGATGAGACATAAAACCGTGGCGCTGGATGTATTTCCGGTGATAAAGGTTCGTAGTAGTGGGATGAGGTATATGGTATTGTTGTGGTTGTTGAGTATGATGGAGTAAGGATTGTTTGTTGTTGTGTAGTCGGTAGTATAGGAGGGAGGGTATGTCCTTCGTTACCATATATGAGGTATGGTATGGTATGGTATGTACCTAACCTTCTATTGTATTGTATGTGGAGGTTGCGAGTCGGTGGATCAGGCAAAGGCAAGTACGGGGGGATCCGCTTGTTGGTTTACTGGGACCGGGATCGTGCCGTGGACGTGGCAGGTGCGTGGACAGGGGGGTCTTATCGATAACTATTGTACCTTATGTAGACTACAAGTATCTACTTGGGTATAGTTCAGGGAGACAAGGGACCAAGGGTGAGGATATGAACGAATACCTGTGGCATCATTTCCGTCATGTGATGCTATTACCGTTCCCTAGTTTCGAGATTACAGAAAAGGATTGTAGTCAACAAGATTTATTAACTCAAATCTGGTTCTGGTTCTGGTTCTAGCTCTTCCCGATGGTTTCGTTGCTGGTACCTGTACCTGTCCTGTACCTGCCAGTCCCTGATACCGACTGGTAGTGTTTAGCTCTTAACTAAGTGGGGATAGAAGACTAGGCTGAACCTAGTTAGGCTCCCTGGAGTCACGTCACCTCGGATGCGACAAAAGAAGACTAGCCGGTGGCCCCATGTCCCAAGGAAGAATGGTTTGCCCGACGGCTTCTCCGGGCCTACAAGTGCGCTTACCCAATGAAGGGATGGCCCTTACCCGATTACTTGGGGTAATGTCATCGCTGATTGGCCGGGCCCACTTACCCTGCGCGGGAGGGATAAAGGAATCGACGTATTGGGAAAGGCGCGGCCCGTCACTTCCCCATCTTTTGATATCCAATCCATCCACCCATCCAGCTCGTATCTCCAGCTTCATCTCTCCCATCTCCATGACACTCCAATATCTTAATCCCGAAACATCCATCTTATACCCACAACATTACATACTCCACTTCAACCCTCCGTGCATCCGTCCCAAAGACCGCAAACACGAAAGCATCTCTTCAACAATTCATCTCTTCCAAGTCCGCCACAATCCATCCTTTAGGTTTCCACTATACAACATCAGCCTTCATCCACCGTTCTGCCCCGCGCAGTCATCAACCCATCACATACATAATTGCATCCCCCTCTTCCTCGAATCTTTCTGGTCATGACCCATCATGGCTACCTCTAGTCCTTCTGGCAATCCTCCTCCTTTCCCCCCCGCTGTTCCTCATCCTGTACCTCCCCCCCCTCCTTCACCTCTCCAATCTCATGAAATCGACCTCGACTCTCTCATTTCGTCTCTACCCGCTTGCAAACGATGTCGGGATTGTCGTAGAGGGTGCGATACCCTCCTTCCAAAGTGCAGGTTAGTCCACCTTCCATTTCCCACTTCACACTGTTCCACTGTCGGTTCCCCGATTTGCCATTCATTGCATTATACGTAATGCCTTTGCATCAACACGAACTAACAGTCGACATACAGACAATGCACAAAGGCTGGCGTCGAATGCGTCTTCTTTGACCACGGCAAAAAGGAGCACCTCAATCGGAGGTAAGTGTCTCAGCGTCGCATTCCTACCACTTTCTGCATGCCAACCTCTCATCGCTCGCCAGTTATATTGCCAAATTGGTAGATCGTGTGCGCGAAATCTCCGCGACATCTGCTTCCAGCAGCGGAAACCCCTCCCCGCCCGTCTCTGGGACGGCAATACACGCGCCCCTTGTGGCCGGGGCCACTCTGCCTCCGGGCTCTGCTCCAGGTTCCGTTCCTGCTCCTGCTCCGGGCTCAGCTCCAGGTTCCGTTCCTGTTCCTGCTCCGGGTTCCGCTTCAGGTTCCGCTCCCGTTTCTTCTCCAGGTTCTTCTCGGGGTTCTGCCAGTTCCGATCCCCCTCATTTCGAACACAACTTCGCACTCGCCGGCGGCAGTTACAGGTATCTTGGCGCCGAAGCATGCCTAGTCAAATCGCACCGCCCGCCGGACTCCCTCGTTCGCAGTCCCGCCATCCGGGAGGACGACGCCTACCCCTACAATATCCAGGATAGTACTCCCGGATTCTTCCACAAGTTTGTCCAGACATACCTCAATGTCCTCCAACCCCTCTACCCCATCGTTGACCCCTCCCTGCGCTTCTTAGCCCCCATCGTTCCGTCGGATCTCACTCCTATCGAGTTGTTCTCCCTCAACATGATATACTCCATAGGCTCCCACCTGAGACCATCTGTCGATCCCACGGTGCCCTATGACACCTCTGATTGGATTGACTACCACAGCACGCAGGTCGACAAGTATCGCGAATTCGCGGACTTCTTCATGAAGCGGGCCATGGTGCATTTGGATGCCGCTACAGCAGAGAACAATATCGCAACATTGAGAGCCGTCCTACTGCTCGCCATCAACAGTCTATTCGACCCTCAATCGGGTAACCTCGGCCAGCAGGTCGCGTTCGCCGCCAGGCTTGCCCTTGGTCTCGAGGCCCGAGCAGAGATGGGGGAATTCGGCCCCGAGGACAAGCAGATGATTGAAAACATGCATATGGCCATCTTCATCATCGAGAACGATGTCGCTTCGACGCTCGACAGACCAACCACCTTCCCAGAGCCTGTGAGTTGTCTGACAATCTACTTTTAGTAACCTACTGACGCACGGTAAGAAAACCGAAGTCTTGTTCGATGCTAGCAAGCCCTCACAATATCTCTGCTCACTCTTTCGTCTACAACATCGTTACCGCAAAGGGGACCAGACTGTCAAGAATCTACTTCCCCGGTTCGATGAGGCCGCCAACCTCCCCCCTGGATTGCGTCTCCCCCTGCATCAAACCCATTTCCTCATCCAACCAGTCTGGATGTGCGCCTGGCACGTTCTCGAGGCTGTCGTCAGCGTCGGTGCGATGCACTTCTTCACGACGCCTCACTGGGTGTACCGTTCTGTGTGCGTGATGCTCCAGAACATTCCCTCCATCTGGGTGGAGAACCTGATCCAGCTCTATGCCAATGCCCTGGTGGTGCTGCAACTGTCGAGTTACAAGTGGCCCAGCACCTTCTTGCTTAATAATGCTACCGTCGACCTGATGAGACGCATGAAGTTAAAGTTCCGCCCAGGTTGGGAGGGCAAGCAGATTCATTACGATGTAAGGATATAGACTTGGCTTGTGCAAGTCTGCGTGCATGAGAAGTAGATTTTTTTTCTATTGGCATTGGCTCTGACAGTGTCCTATCAGTGTGTTGGCCTAGTCCGAATCGATTCCAATTCTCCCTCGCCGCCGGCAGCAGCCATCGATCCTGATTATTATCCATGGCTTATCTAGGCTCCATGAGCTGCCAGTAAGTGGCCATGCTAGTGGCGGGATTCATGGAACGCCAGTTGTGTTTTTTGATTATGCTTTACATTTATTCGCATTCTTTCAACGGCACTGAAGCTGTCGATGTTCGATGCGTGGTATGTTCTGTTTTCCACTACGGGGTGCCGTGATTGCGAGGTATTCATGCAAGCAGCGCGATTGAAATTCACTTCATCTCTTTCTAGCTAGCTATGGATGCAAAAGCATTCTTGGACGGACGTAGTTGTAATTTTTAATTCGAGCCAAGCACTGCTGCTCAATACCTCGTAGACAATAGATCCATCCCGTGAAGGAGTTTGTTTGAACCTTTCGCGTTGCTTATCAACTTCAAATGAGTCCTCCGGCGGTGATTGTGATGCGTTGTCGGGAAAGCAGAGCCAAAGGCTACAACAAAACCAAAGAAAGGAAAGGAAAGTAAAAACAAAACGAAGAGTTCGATAATAGCTTGATAGTTCTGCGCAGTGAGGATTTTCCTAAGGGATATGTTTTGCGTGGTAGGAAGTTTACAGTAGAAATCACGGAAACCATAATGGAGTCTGGTCACACCCAGCAACCATCATTCTTCTTGCATACAAACCTCTTGAATCCTGATTACTACTCAGATATTACCTAACGGGAATTATGTCACGTTTGGATAGAGCATTCGATTGTATACACTAGAAATTATAGACTCGTCGGTCCTTGAATAATATGTGCTCACGTTATCTTGACCTAGGTCGTGCTGGAGAAATATCTATTGGAAGTGGTGTTGAAATCAATTCTATGCATAGCTTCTATTCCATAGATCAAGAATTTTAAGTTATAAACGCCCGCCGTCAGTGCGATTTCAAAAGTTCACGCCATCCTAAAGCATGGTGAATCATTTACGCAATGGCCCCTTCGTCCGCCGTCCGAAATCGGATTGAGTGCTACCTCTCTAGAGTAGAAGCAACCGATTTAGGCTCCCGATATGCAAGGAAAAGGATCATTTGGAGAAATGAACACTGAATTCATACCAGTTCCAATGTGTCTTGCTATCAGCTTGTGTTGTTATTGTGTTGATTAATCCCGGGGCAGAAGAAATATTACTTCTATTGTGAGACACATCGGATTAAATGAGGCAAGAAACAAACATCAAGATCCAGAGAAAACGCCTGAAGGTATTTACATAAAAGGCCCACCGATGTGAAGAACCAACAACCCTAATCCTCCAACTTGTACTCATCCCAATCCCTCAAAACCTTCTCTTTGACCTCCTCCGGATACCCATTCTCGAAATCGCACGTCACCCAATTCTGTTCCTCGCTGTACTCCAGCGGCAGCAAGCAATTCGCGACGGCCTTACCGCCCGTCAACTTCGTGCCCGGGCCGTGCGACATGTACGGCACCAACGGGTACGCCTGGACGTCCTCGAAGAGGAACTCATCCATGCCGGGCCTACACCTCGTCGCGTAGGCCCACATGACATCCTCGAAGCTAAACGGGTCGATGTCGTCGCCGACGACAAGCAGGCGATGGATCTGCATGCCGCACTTGTTGCGGAAGACGAGGTTCCCGATCGTGTTGCAGAAGTCCTTCGCGTTGGTGCCGAGCGCGCGCAGCTTGGCTCTATCGACCTGGACGGCGGCCCAGATGACCTGGGACTCGTACAGCGTGAAGACGTCGGTCACGGGGAGGTCGTTGTCTTGTAGCAGCTGTCGGATCTCGGCCGACGCGAGCGTTCCGATCATCGTGTGCGTTTCGTCGGGACCTGTCGCGCGTCCTGGCACGCAGATCGGGAGGATGGCGTCCCGCCGGTGCGTGATGGCGGTTACTTTGTACAGGGGCTGCAGGCGCGCGCCTTCGTCGAGGAAGCTGTAGCCATGCATCTCTCCGAAGGGTCCCTCGTGGCCCTTTTCGGTCACGGAGACGGTGCCTTCGAGGACGATTTCCGTGTTGGCGGGGACGTACATGTCGTTTGTTTCGCATTTGACGAGCTCGAGGGGAGATCCGCATAATGAGCCGACGTACTCTGCTTCGGTGACGCCTGCGGGGAGAGGCATACTCGCTGCCATGACGGCGATGGGAGGGGCGCCGAGTGCAATCGCGAAGGGCATGTCCTCCTTCTTGTTCTCCCACTGCTCGAAAATCCTGGCGATGTGCTGGGGCTTCATGATGAGTCCCGCGAGACGATCTTTGTCGTGGATCATTGCCCGCGCAATGGACCAATTCGTCCACTGCTCGGTCGGATGCTGGACGATGTTGATGCCCATTGTTTGGATGTAGTCTCCGCCGTCGGCTTTGTTCAGCAGCGGAACGGGCAGTTTCGTCAGATCTATGTCGTCGCCGAATATCTTGACTTCTTTGCAGGGCCCGCTCTCGACGTGCACAGGTGGGAGTGGCTTTGCGCCTTTGGCGGAGAGCATCAGGTCTATGATGTCTCGTACGCTTGCATCCGGGGCCAGACCGAGGTGTCGCGCGAGTCTGCCGTACGTTTGCTTGGGGTCGCGTCGAAGACCGCCCGACGCGCCTATGATCCGGAAAAGTCCATCGTGTGCGCCTTTGACGTTGTTGAATAGTGGCGCCTTAGCACGGCGTTCGTAGACTCGGCGCGTTATGGCGGCAACCTCGAGGTGGGGGTCGACTTCTTGGTTGATGTCTGCGAGGTCGCCGTCCTTGCGCAGTTCGTCGACGAATTGTCGGAAGTCTAGATGTGGCGGTGCTTTTGATGATGATGCTCCTGCAGCGCTGGAAAGAGTTCTTGTCCATATTTGAGATGAGATGCGCCGGCTGGAGCTGTGCAGCGTTGCTGTATTGAATATACGAGATGGATTCATTTTGGGCCAGCAGATGGGACAAGTCTTTGACTCGGGGAATGAAACTCTGTGGGAGCCAGATTATCTTTTATGTCGCAATTCACGACATGGACATGCAGAAGTCCCGTATGGCTGTCTTCAGCCTCGCGATGGGCTGTATTTATCCATGCTTCCGAAGGAACCGGTGCGTCGTTCGCGGCTACACGCTGACTGAGCACTCCAAGACGAACCTGAGCAAAATGATTGACGACGATGCAGATCGCATTGCGATGCAAGATACATCCTCTATGTGTCATCCGAGTCGTCCGGAAAGAATCAGGTTGGTGGCGCTCAAGACGAGGTTCCGTTAGCAGTGTGTGGACTGGCGGAGGGTGCGGCTATTGCATCTCGTATTATTAAGACCCGAACGGACAGCCACACACGTCCAAGTGCGTGCGACATTGCTCGGGTGAATTCAAAGGGATGACATAGGCTACGGAGAGAGATATCAGAGCTGAGTATGCTCGTCGTGGTAGCATTTAAGTACTGATCGTATAATCAATGTAACATGAACTTGTGGACGCGATTATAAAATTCCCTCAGATTTCTACAGCTCATTTAGACTCTGCCACTCAGGCTTAGTTTATTCGTTCAAATAAATCGGATTAGCTTATCTAGAGCATCTTGCCATACTGTCTTCTACGCTTTCGGAAGGAAAAGATGAATAGAGGCATACGAGAAATGTCTTCAGTTCCTCTCAGCGCCTGCGAACGCTTTCTTGCCAACATGTCTCGAATGCCCAAGCCCAGTAGTCAGTGCAGCATCCATCAGCGCCAGCCCATATTCTCATTACCGGCCCATTCTTCACGCCACAGCTTCCATCAGCAGACGCGAACCTTTCAAACTGCAAGGAATCTCCAGGTTTCAGTTACAAACACTACAACGTCAAAACCCAGCATCCGGCGGAAGAAAGTAGTCGTAGCCATCACCGGCGCCACAGGAGCCCCCCTAGCCGTCAACCTCCTCCAGACTCTGCGCCGCCTCGGCGTGGAAACCCATCTGATACTCTCGACGTGGGGCATGTCCACGGCAAAGTACGAACTGGAGGCACCACAGAACACGGCCCGGTACCTGCAGTCATTAGCCGACTATCACTATTCCCCACGAGATGTATCCGCGGCGCTTTCGTCAGGGTCGTTCCGCACCGACGGCATGATCATCGTGCCGTGCAGTATGAAGACGCTGGCCGGCATCCGCATGGGATACGACACCGATCTGATTACGCGCGCTGCGAGCGTGTCGCTGAAGGAGCGGAGGAGGCTTGTTCTCGTGGCGCGGGAGACGCCGCTGAGTTCTATTCATCTGGAGAACATGCTTGAGGTGACGAGAGCCGGTGCGATCGTGTTTCCTCCTGTTATGGCATTTTACACGAGACCGAAGAGCATAGACGAGTTGGTCAGTCAAAGCGTTACAAGGATGATCGATATGCTGGATTTGGGGATCGAGGAGCACGAAGACGAGGATGGGAGGTGGACGGGTTTCGACTGGCAAGGGAAGGAGGCGGGCTCGAATTGATGTCTCCTTTCCCGTGGTAGATATGACTCCGTTGTGTTTTCTTTGGAATTTGGTCATGCACCGCTTTGTACATTAGACTAGAAACCGAAATTAATGCGCCCGCTCAGGGCGATCAAGGCACATGAAATAATAGTGAAGGTCAAGCAAATTCAACAGTGATCCCAATTCATCTCAGCTTCCAGAGTACGAACATATTTTCCGATGTAACTATATCAATATCATGGTATCCGGAAACAGTTGATGAAGGAAGCCATATCTCCCCACAATTGTGGAGTCTTCCCCCGTGCTGAAAATAGAAAGCCTCCACATTTCAAGTGCACTTGCCCATATTGATTTTGACGCGGAAGTCTCTCCAAACTGATGTGATCTAGTTGAGTGACAAATCGTGAATTTGTGATAGGAAACTTGGTATGTAGAAGATCCGGATGAAGTGCAGCGCCGCGGGTACTTGTCTACTAGTAGACACTCGATAGGTTGTGCAGCCACAATGCATCTTTGAGATTGTAAATCACTCTGCCGTGAACATCTATGTGTTCCTCGCACATTCACCAAAGGTTCCCAGCTGGCCAGTCCCGTGAGAAGTGAAACTCTTGGAAATCCGAATATGATAGGCTTCTATCGATTGGACGAAGAGTCGATAACCATGGGCTTCGTTGGATTATCTTCACAGTCGAAAAGAGGAACAGACCGCTGTCCGGGCCCTAGCAGCGTGGCATGAGATGAGGCATGAGATTGCCTACTCGTCGGCTCGAAATAATGATCAGCCATTTCTTTAGCAAGATCCTGGAGGTTCCGCGAATTGTCGATCACAGAGGTGAACACGTTGACGAAGGTGGTGGGGCCATACCCTTTCATAAGTCTTGTGCCTATCACAAGTGCCTCATTATCGTTCTTAGGCAGATGAAATTTGTAAACCACCCTTCCCTGGGGATCGAGAGAAACCATCCTTTTCTGTGGAGTTGGGCTGTACTGGTGCTCGAGGTGGATCTTCTCCTTGGAGCAACTCAATTCCGGCAAGCTGCTAAAGTCCTTTTTCTTATACAAACTCTCTAGAAACTCCAGGCGGAATTCTCCTGGCAGCTCAAATACACGGCAGCCCAATGCTTGCAGGCTCCCACTATCTGACCCATAGTCTAAGTGCCAGTCCAGAACGATTAGGAGAGCAGTGAAAGGGATCTCGACATGAATGAAGACCAGTCCTGAGTCCTCGAAACCAGCGGCCTGAGAAATCGAATTTGCGTCGTAATATAGCACCTTGGCCCCAGGCAGTGATTTGCTCGACCCGGATGTGGATAAATGTAGGAAGTCTGGCCCAAGAGGTTGCGGAGGGTATGTCCCAAGTATGCTGTAGTGACGGGAACTTGAACGGGAAAAGTTGAATGAGAGCGGAAGTCTTGCAAAATCGTATTCCCCTGCGACGTACCGTCTAATAATTATGTCTCTTGTCTTTGCTTCCTTGAGAAAGTCAGGGGATACTACCACGGCGCTACACCACCAAGGCCGAAGGTACTCATTGCTCTCATGGTTCCTGAAATCGGTGCCAAACATGTTGGCCCTTGTAGAAAGTAAAGGAATAGCGAAGAATGATGTACATCCGTCTCCAGTATCCGTCACTCGTAGACCGCAGCCAAGTATGCCATACGCAATATCCTCCCATGCTTCATCGACTACCACAGGCAACTTTACAGAAAGACCGTTTTGAGTCATCGAAAAAGTCGCCGAACTGAATTTAGATGATAACCGCTTCTCAACATCCTTGCAGTGCCGAAAGGCTCCAGGGTTCGGGGCGAGCATGGTTTCTGGACTCCAGCTCTTGAACGTCGGATCCTGTTTGTAGCCCCAACAGAGTAAAGAGTTGTCGTTGGTGATTTTCATGATTTCTTCTTGTAACCTGATAAAGGCTCCTTCGCCTTCCCCGTACAGCATAGGCATGTTTATGTCAAAAATCCCCAACAGGCAGTAGGCCATGTCCTCCTTGCGTGTCGTCTGCCGTTTGGCAGCCCAGGACATCCTCTCTGCTACGCTGGCCTGTGAAAGTTGCTTCGCTGGTCGATCGCGTAAACCAAGATACGGGGCCTTGATACCAGTAATCCTCGAGATCTCCGAAGGAAATTGCCGTTTGGATCCAATACATTGCCAGGCGTGGTCAAAGAATATAACGTCGTATGGGGCAATTAACTCCTGCAAAGTCCAACCTCTGGTGAACCATCTAGACGTCCGAAACGCCTGCCGCTTTTTTTCGACATCATCATCCGGTAAGACATCTTCAAGGTATGTGAAACAAGTATAAGCTATCTTGTACCATCTGAACATGGAATTAATGGCTTCTTGAAGCTCAGAGCTGCTAGACTTGTCGATGCAACACGTGTCGACCCAGGCATACTCGCACTCGTACTCCAAAGCCTTCTTACATGTCGCCTCAACTTTCTTCCATCCTTTCTTTTGGAACGGATCCTGACCAGATAGACCCGTGTATGACCTGTTCTTTGTGGCGTCGAAGTCTTGGAAGCTGATTTCTTCATCTCCCCATGTGTGCGACAAGATTGCATATCGAGGGATACGGTTGTCCAGGAAATACTCTAAGCTCAGAGTCCTCGCATTGAGAAGCCACATGGTGATCGGGGTTATGGAAAAGCAGTTTGAAGTGACCTTAGATAGACAGGACAGACACAAGGCGGTAGATAGACCCGATGCTGAGTTGGGCAAACCTGGTGGTGGCCTGTCCTAACGTACAGAGCAATGGTAACAGAGGAAGGGATGATCCGGGACCTTTTGGTCCTGGTGAAATGGGCAGTCCGCAGCGAAGTCTGGTGTTTGTTTGTGGAGTGTGTCGTGAGTAAAGACGGTTTCGTTTTACAGTTTGTCCTAACCGCCGGGTAGGTGGCGCAGTCGTCCCAGGCTGCAAGGTGGGGTTCGCATACAATTATGATTCGTCGAATCATGAAACATGACCTGCGGGGCTTTGAATAATGAAAAATTGAGGATAGAAGGCAACCTTAACTGCTGTGTTTTCAGCCGACTTTCAGAGCATACTGCAACAACACATCCCGGCTCATTTGGCTTACGAACAGCACCGCGACTAAACAAACACTGCACCGGGTCTACTGGCTACGACACGCGTTACTGCAGGTCCATATCCTCCCCCTTTTCCGGCCCGTGGCCGACGCTGCTGTTGACAGTGGTAGCAGTCGTGGTGCGATAATGCCAGGTAACCTGTCTTCCGATGCGGTATTAACGATCTCTTTGTTAGCCCTTGGATGAGTTTAACGGGCTACAAGTACCTGATTCGATGAAGATTGAAAGACTTTCAATCTACTCTGAATGGCCCCTGAGGCTTTTGCTCAATGGGCTCAGCATATGACGTTCGACTAGGTGAAGTCCATAGACGGGGGTGCTTTTACAAGATAGCGGAGTTGACTGTCATATGTTGTAGGCACGATATATCGCCCAAATCATAGACGTGGCTATGATACCGACGTTACTCTAGTAATGGACATCAAGATGCAAATGACATCTACTCAATTCGCTATCGGCATCATGAGAGCATATGCTGTAGGAATGAAATCAACACCAGAGAAGGCATCCACATGAATCTGATCGCCCATCGATGCCCTGCTGGACCTTCTTGCTTTTACCCATTCTGTGACGGAAGATCGCAGGATCCATTGAGGGCAATGTTGACCTCTGAATTTTCGTCAATCCCATACATCCGTCAAGAGTTGGTTGCACGCTACCTCAGAACAATCCAGTTCCACTTGATAGAGCATCAAAAACCCGACTTTTATGGCCTCAGGATCATCGACGACTTCCTTGGAATGTTTGGCGCATCTGGAGGAATCCGGTTCCTTACCCTCCACATCGACCGCGGCGCTAACGGAGAACCCAGGCGCCAAAAGCTTTGCCAGCATCTTGGATCTATCTTCGTTGTTCTCGCCCTCTACAACTGCCACATTCGATTGACGATTCCGAATCTCGGGCGTGAATGGGCGCCATTCATCCAATAGTTGGCACGAGTTGCTAAATTGGTTCTCCAGGATCAGTTCACAGCCGTGGATGTAGAGGAGAGATCTCGTTGGTGGAGATGGACATGGGAGATGCGTCGAACAGTAGCTTTTGTGCAAGATGATGCAGTAAATCTCCAGTATGCTGCAGGTACATCTCTTATTGCATCTACAGGCTTGGATTTGATACCAACGTTGCTTAGCAATCGCTATTGAAGAAGCAGACGACATCCAAAGCATCCGGAATCAATTTCGCGCGAGCAGGCGCCGCAGAAATGGAATCTACCCATACTTCGACGCCGACTTCTAATCTGCTACTTGAAAAGTTTACTGGTGGTGGCTTTTGGGGTTCTTCAATGGTAATGGCTTTCGGAATTCTGCAATTCTAACAACTGCAAGCTGCTATCAACGCGAACGCATCTAGGATGAAACATCGAGTGGAAGATGTTGACCATTCGATCAAATGCCAGGAGCAGATCACGTCAACATTCGAATCCAGTCGTCTCGAGCGCCTCAGTCGTATGGAGAATGAGGTGCGTCAGCTCAGGACCGTGAACGTGGCTTGCAAGAACTGCACAAGTAGTGGTAATCCTTGTCTGCACGTCAGTAAGGACAGGGTGATTCTCTTCCCACCTACTGTCGCGTTTTCGGAAGGCGACACTTGGTCGGCGGCCTATTTGGTACGAGATGCGGAAGAATATCGACATGCGACAATTGATGCGGGCTGTACCTTCCTCTCCCGAGTATAAGATCCATCCTCCGTGCTAAACGAACTTCAATCCCCCGCCACTCACTCACCTCACTCTACACTCCACCATCTCATTCTACACTCCACCCACACGCCTTTCAGTCCATCACCTATCATGTCTGAAAGGGCCAATATAGCCGATGACCGCAACGATGCACGTCCGCATCGCAGCCTTGATTCGGTCAGAGATTCAATCCATGCGAGCCCACCAAGTGTCCAGCCTCCGCCAAACACTCCTAGGTGAGCAGCATCCCATTCATCGTACTGAATATTTTAATGTTGAGCAAGCAGTCAAAGTGACACAAGCTCCCTTCCGTTCGCACATGAAGCATCTGTTCGGGCACGCGTCAGAAGTCTTCTTGGCACATCCGAGACACAGTTCGAAGCAAGAGCATCAGCAAAGAGCAACTCCAACAACGGCATCCCCATGGACACGATCCGAGCCATCCAAACCGACCTGCGAGCCATCGCTACACGTCTCGAAGCCTCATCTACTGAACCCTACAAAGCATTGAGCAGTGATATCGAAGAGCTTTCCGAGAGTGTTCGCCGAAGGGATGATACGATTTCTCAAATGCAAGAGGAGATTGCAGATTTTGAATCTACAGTGGTCGAATTGCGAGGTAAAAGAGATCGTGCGGAAGCAATGATGTTAAAAGCTCAAGAAGAGCTCGGGCAATGGTAGTGGGGGTGGCAGGAATCGAGAACGACACTATGTCATGCAGGATCTAAAATCATCACACTATTTCAAGCTTTTTCTCTATTCCTCGTACTCTAACGCCCATTCTAATGCATCTTTCGCGTTTCCACATAATCATGTTCATGGGCTACAGAAGCTTGGCGTTTGTGTTGTTTTGGAAGCCACTTCCCACTTCGCCTCTACTTTACACCTTCACCTTACTTTGCCCACTCTACTCGCTGCACTGCGCTTCACTTGCCTTGACTTCACTTCAAGTCGTTCCATACGCCCCACGACGTTAGACATCTGCCATGGACGAAGCAATTGGTCGTTCCACTCCACTGCAAGGCACAAGAACCGATGTACGTTCCAACTATATTACACACTGCAACCGTTCGGCTGACTCACTAATACTTCAGGAGATCCTCGTTGCTGAGACGGACCCTCCAGATCCATTGCACCTAAACGAGACTGAGTACGTATTGACTATCCTGCTTCCGAATGTGGAAGCCCCGTTTACTTCATGATAGCGTTGTCATGCTGACATCCTCGCCCGGGTCAACAGTATACAAATAGAGAGCACCTTGATGAATGATACGCCCGAATCGACCGCAACCTAGCGCGCTAGGAGTCTATTCTCAATCGTGTCGAGAAACAACTGACTACCATCGTCGATCGCGTTACGCCCATCGAGCACAGCAAGAACCGCCCCAGAGATGCCTCGGCATCGCCATCATCTATCGTGCAGTCGCCCACTGGTCAGGAAAGTACTGCCTCGTCGCTTCATAATTGGTTCTCAGCCCGGGTTAATGTTGTGGGCTTGCAGAAAGCGCACTTCCGTCGCCCCAGCAATACTATAGCAACAATGCGGGATGTTGTTCGCGACTGTGGGCGATGCGGAGAGGGGTTCTAGGGCTCTACCTCTAAGGCTGAAGGGGACGAGCTAGAGCTTCAATCTGATATTAATGCGAATGCTACACTCAACCGCAATGATGTGGAGGACATTGACGAAGAAATGGGTGGACTTACCTCTCATAGCCAGGCATGCGAGACAAGCAGTCAAGAACTTTGAGCCGTGTTTCACGTACCGACTGTAGAGGACATGTCTCGTTTACGTGCAGGATGGATTTGGCATTGTTGGTGCTCGGACGACATGACAGAGTGGCTGTCATGGGCTGTGACCACGCACGTAACCGCGTATTGCCACCAGAATGAGACCACTCTGGGTACCTACAACGTTTGCCTCGCCCAAATAAACACTGCCCGTCCCATTGTGGTTTTACTTGTACTTTTTGAACAATTTTTGCAACCTCAGACAAAACTTCTGCCGGTAGTACAGGTGGCCTGGTCAGGTCTTCACGAGTGCCTATCGTGAATATGCCTTCCATTGATGTTGGGACAAGTGCTTCGTCTGCTGGATCGGAATCTTCGTCTTCTTCATCTTCAACGTGGCAATTGTCGCTGGCATTGCCGTGTTGAACATCATCGTTGTCGTTGTTATCATCACATAAACTGTGAATGCTCTCCGTCTCCGAGTTCTGGCTAGGGGTGTATTCGTTCGGAAGCTCGTACACGTCGACGCGCAGGCGTTTGTGTTTAGGACTCTTTGTGATTATCCCAGATTGCTGTCTGGGCGCTGGAGTAATCGATCCTCTGTTATCTCTTCTCACTTGGTCCATGTTCCTGAGCTGACGCACCTCATCCTCCATACGAATGAGGCGCTCGAGAAGACTGGATTCGACCGTGTACGTAGTGTTTTGGTGCTGCTTCATCGAATTTTGAACATCCGTCACTCGAACTTGCATCCTGGATGTGGCTACATCGATGGCTTTCCTTAGCTGGTCTAGATGATGGCTGTAGTCTCCTCTGTTGATCTCTGCAACAGAAGATTCTAACAACTCTATCCCATGGCCATGTTTGGTGATTGCGTTGTTGACACCGCGACAAAAGGTCCTGAAGTCTTTTGATTCAACAAAACCATCGGAAATTGAACTCATATGTTTGCGAACATTTGACACTACTGCATTTCGCCACTCTTCCCGATCACGCTATTCTTTCTCACGCGATTCTATCAGGGTATGATGCTTTGAATGGAGGTCATCCAACTTGCTATGCATTTTGCTGAAACTGAATGCATTAAACCCCTCTCTAATCGGATTCATATCCGAAGCAAGAGAGTCGTGGGAGTTGGAGAGCATCTAATATCCTTTCCGCAATCGTCCATTCGTAGTTACCAAGCTTTTATGATCTGAGGAGATGGTACCGACGGTCGATTTGAGCGTTTCAATGTCCATCGACACTATGCTCTGCCGGAGTTTGTCTATCTCTGACAAAAGAGTCTCTTAACTACAGAAAAGCTTCTGCTGATTCTGTGTGTTTTCTGGATAGTATCTTTCAACGTCCTGTTTTCGGACTCGAGTGACTTGATACGTCCGTCAATATCCAATCGAATATTTCTGAATTGATTCCTGATGGACTCCGACTCCTCCTCTTGCACAGTTCGAACAGAACCAACCATGTTTTTCTGATCGATTTCCATGGAGTTGATCTTGTTCTCAATCGACGCCTGCCATTTATGAATGGTTCGAACAGACCCTGCGAGGGCTTGCTGATCTGGCTTAATCCCGTCGATCTGCTCGTTCATCGACTTCTGGGCATCTTTCATGGTGTTCATTGATGTTGTTGGCGTTTTCTAAGACAATTGAAATTCATCGAAGAGTTCCCATAATATTTGGGAGACTTCCATTGATGTCTCGGTCAACTGCGCAAATTCTAATTGCATGTCCTCGAATGCCGTCTGTGACGCCACTGAACCCTTGAATCGGGATAGCCAGGCGTCCAAATGCAGTGCAAATAGTCGTTGTTCAGACTGAAAAGACTCCTTAAGCGATGTGATGTTTTTGTTGATTGCTTTGATACTGTTCGACTGATCTGTAGATGGACTGGATAGTGTCCCCGCGTCTAATTGTAGGGTGCGAATGTTCTCGACGACTTGTTGTATCGATGTGTCCAACAACTCGGTCGAAGTTTTGGCCCACTCAAATCTCTCAGGCATGTTGCGCAAAGAACCCTCTAGGTTGCCAAGTCTGGTGCTGTATCTACCAGTCTCTTCATCAATCTCGTCAAGACGGCCTGTATGTTCGTCCATTGACTTGGATATATTGTCCAATGAGGATCGAAATTCGGAATTGTTCTTTGCAGCCTCCATATCGCCTTTAAGGGCTTTGTATGCCTCCATTGCAGCGTCCACTTTCGTTCCACAATGGTCAGATAAAGATCTGTAATCCGCGATGGGGGTTATAAATTTCGGAAAGCTCAGATCGCAATGTATCCAAAGTCGGTTGGGACAATTTCTTGAAGATCGCGTCTAAGACGAATGTAGTCATCTTCCAGCAGAGCAAGTCTTCCCTCGCACACTATGGGCGGCGCGGACCCACGGCGTATATGGTCCAGTCTCCCGGACGATTGCACATGCGGCCGGCCACATGTACACTTCCTTTCCCCATCCTCTGCCTCAAAGATGTTCCTATCTCATGCTTCCATAGAAGGAATTCGCATGCTGCATCTTGGCGGTCTGCAATGCCTCTACAGTAGAGCACGTTTGCAAACTGACCGACAACGCCACAAAATGGTTTTGGCGGTGGTAGAATCCACGACCTACCACCTAATTAACCATTTGTCCTGTTGCTCGTCTTGATTGGCGTCTTGTGAGGCCTTGCGTAGCTTGCTCAAACTCTTATCCCAACGAGTTGTGCGGTGGTCGATCGTGTTCGAAACCTCAGCAGCTATCCATGAGACTGAAGCCTCGATCTGTGGTGGACACATTCTCACCAGTCGCTCGAGAACGTGTGGCAGGGTCGGGGGGGGGGGGGGGGGGGGGGGGGGGGGGGGGGGGGGGGGGGGGGGGGGGGGGGGAGGTCGCGTCATAACATCGTCTTCGACCCTACCTTGAACTGAGAATGATAGTCTTTACCTTGGGCATTCGAGCAGTCAAACCCTCTCAGAATTGTCGCGCGGATTCTGCTGTATCGTCCACTTCCTCACTTCCATTCCACGTATCGTCTTCATCGCTGTTGTCCGTCCATCGAGAATCGCCTAATGCCATCCCTACCTCCTCACGCAAAATCCTCGAAAGTGAATATTCACCGTCCCTGCGGCTTGTATCGAAATCGATCTCAGCATGCCGAATGAACGGCTGCACCCAGCGATCGCGATCCCCAAAACCCGCGAGCCCACCTGCAAACACCCACTTCGGGCTTATGAGAACTCGGACATCCGGGTCTTTTCCCAGAATAGTCGACAGGCCTCATTACGTATAGGCCCGGAAACGTGTATGAGTTGGAATAGTGTCGCTGGTTCACACCATCCCAAGATCATGTACTGTAGCTCTCGGGGTAGGCTATCGAATGAGTGGAAGGTACGAGAGCTTTTTGTCTGAGAAGATCTCTTCACATATTCCGCAAATGGGGGCGATAGGCTCGGCGGACGCTGTGGTCTGAAGATCCTGATTTATGGGAATCTTCTTCCGTGCTTTCCGCGTCATCGGTCGCATGACACAGGATGTCGTTTTGTCAAATGTGTCGGAGATGGGAAAAGCAGTCCGGTTTGTAAAGGGAATGAAGGCGGGATCCCTCGGCTTATCGCAAGATGTTGAGGCCTTAGTGTGGAGAAAATGCAAGGCGGATCCCCAGCCGTCCACAGTGAAGAACAGTTATGCGTTTCGAATTCAAGTGAAAGTATCCAAACTTCAGAGGCTCGTTTGGCGTTTCGGAGGAGGCTTCGTTTGCTCATGCGACTGAGGCGCTCAAGACGACTGGATTCGAACGTTGACGTGATCTGCTCCTGGCGTTTGATCGAATGGTCAACATCTTCCACTCGACGTTTCATCCTAGATGCGTTCGCGTTGATAGCGGCTTCCAGTTGGTAGAATTGGTTGACATCTGAAGTGTCTGTGATGGTAACATCGTCGAGAGTGGACTGCAAATACTCTATCTGTTCAGTATGTGTTTGAACTTTCTCGTGAGCACTGCGACATGCATCTTCCAACTGGCATAGAGTCAGAATTTTACCAGAAATCGAGTTCAGCTATTGACGACCATCTTGGCTCTATGATTGATCGAGTTGTACTTGCTCGACTGACTCAAACAGGTCCTCGTATTTTGGATGAAGTTTCATAATTTGTTTATTGATCTCATCGATTTTGGGTGACTTGGACGCCTGTCTATGCTTCTGCATTGTTGAAACGATAGAGTTGTGAGAGGTGATGAGTTCCGCATACCCGTTCCGCAACCGTTGGAGTGAATTTCCGAACTCTTTGTTATTTGACGAAACAGTATTAACTTGGGACTTGAGCGATTCGGCGTCTATAGACTGCATGTCCGTTTGCAGTTGCTCTGTCGTCGAGGCAAGGGAATCCCGATCGTTGGAGAGCTTTGTCAATTCTTTTCTCATTTCCTGAAGCGATTCTTCCAGAGCCTTGTTTTGTGATTTCAGGGCGTCAACCCGTCCATCAACAGAGTGCTGATGTTCGTCCTGATTCTTTCTTGTGGATGCTTTCAAATCTGCGTACTCCGATCGAAAAGCATCCCACTGCTTCGTGACCGAATCTGCGTAATCCGATCGAAACACGTTCACCTGCTTCGTGACCGAATCTGCGTACTCCGATCGAAACGCATCCAACTGCTTCGTGACCGAATCTGCGTGTTTCTCTTGCGCAGTTTCTGTATACTTTTTGAATTCTTCACATTCCTTCTGAATGCCATCAACTTGTTTGTGTATTGATGCTTGGGAATTCTGCGTCGTTCTGACAGAGTCTGTCCAGGTCCGGTGCTCTTTTGTGGTGGAATCGATTTGTTCGCGCATCGGTGCCTGCTCCTCCAATACAGTTTCGAGCGAACTCTTCGTTTCTCCTTGTGACAATCTCAGCCCATCGATTGTTTCATATACATGGCCAAAGCCCTCTGTAGCAGAGTTTTCGAGAGATGCAAGTTTCGACTATAATTTGTCGAAGTCTACCCTTGGTGTCGATTCATCCTCTAACTGCGTTATCCGGGCGCCCAAAGATACTGCCAAATCTTGGTGATCTGATTGTGCTGATGTTCTGAACGATTCAAAGTCCTTTTTGATTGCTCTGATGTTCTCCGATTGTGCCGTGATGAATCTGTTATAGATTGGATTTCCGATTGCAAAGCCTGCACATCCTTCGGTACATTCGTCATTGATCCGTCCAATGATCTGATGGATTGGACCTCTGATCCTAAATTCTGAACATCCTTCTCGACTGTCGTCATTGATCCTTTTAACTTGTCGATGAAGCAGTGTGCTGCGTCGACTTTCTGCGGAATTAGCATCCATCTTTGCTTAATGTCACGGAGTTTGTTGCTCCACATATGAATGTCCTTCTTGATCACATCAAGACAATCCGAGTGTTCGGTCAGAGATCCAGACAGATCGTCTCATCTAGACGGGAGCTGGGGATATTCTTTCGCGAATTCAGAATCGTTTCCGAGGCTTCTGCACGTCTTCATTGTAGCTTTGAAATGCCCTTACCGACTGTACATACTATTGTGATCGGCGATTGGAGTGTACATGCTGAAAAGCTAATTCCGCAATGAGTCTGCGGCATTTCTGGACTGTTCATCGACGATGGCAATGACGTTCTGTTCCGTGATAGCCGAGCCCTCGACTTTGTGAAGCCGCCCCTTGGTCTCGTTGACTGTATCGCTGTGCCGCTTTACAGCTTATTCTGCAGTCTCGTTGTGTCGCTTCTGGCGTTTGGAATTCTCCTTCACGATCTCGACATCGTCTTTGAAGTGTTTGTGAACCTCCACTACAATGTCTATGTTTGATTCACAACCGCCGAAGGGTGTGTACGCGTCGGATAATTTGGTTCGTCGATATGGAGCTGCTCCACGACCTCATTCACTGGCTTTTTGTGACTCCAAATGGCTTCATCTGTCGCCTCCTTGTGCCGTCTGTCTTCCTCAACAACAACTTCCCAGCATATTGTCTTTGCTGACATACCAATAACGTTTTTCGCCCCTTGAGATGCGGAATCTTTCAATCGCCGTCTTGTTTTGGCCATCTGCAATGTGATGGCTCTGGGCCTCGAACCAGTCCGAGAATCAGATATGTACAGACATTGTCGGCGTCTTCCAGGGGTTCTGAAAAGTCGACTGAGAGCGTTTTGGACAGTTCGCCATGCCCTTCGCTTGACGGAGATCTTTCAAAAGTCCGATTACGGACTTGTTCGAGGACAACTTATGCACCCTTAGTTACCACATCAATGTTAGGGCGACGATCCGCATTGGAGCATGTCAATGGTAAAGCGTAAAAGTCGACTGCTGAAATCTGACAGTAGTGCCGGTATGTCTGATCCGTGGGGAAGACTGCCGGCTTTTGCAGGGAATGACATGATGACGCCGTGGAAAGTGAACGAGAAGTGCAAATTCGTGATGGATGAAGGCCTAGACAAGTGAAGATCCGAGGCAAGTAAGATGGCGTTAGGTGAATTCTAGTGGAGTTATGAAAGAGGGGCAGTCATGTGGCGGAGCAAGCAGCACCAGCGAGGAAGGCATCTGGCGATGACAGAGGAAGTCGCATCGTCTTTGCTGCGGTTTGCACGTAACGTGATGTGGAGGAGCCCATACAGACCTCACTTCGTACTGAAGATTTGTCGCTGCATTTAATGCAACGCCTATTTGTGCTTTCCACGATAGACGGAAACAAGTGTAGGAACAGTGGCGATGTTAAGTAGATGAATGCACGTGACCTGTCAATCGCTCACACCTCACACCGCTTTCCCGAATTGGCGAATTCCTACAACACCAGTCACATCAGATTCCTCCGTCTGTATACAATAATAAATTCAACATTTGATTCACGATCAGAAAAACTCAATCCTATTCACTGTCCATTTCCTCATAAGACTCATCTCACTCGTTCATTTATACGCGAAGATTCTCACTCATGTTCCCTTCCTTCCGTAGCAGACATATACAAAACTGATCTCCGTTCGCCCAGAAAATATACGTCATCCTTTCATTCACATACAAACAGCCTCAGGCCTTTCGTCCGACTTTCGGCCCCTGCCAGTACGCGGAAACGTAGCCAACGGTACCTGCCTGACTCACTGTCTCTACGATGACACCTTCACTTGACCCCACAAAAATAAATGAGCTTCCCAAAACGCGTGGAAGGCCGAAGGCCCGAAGGTCGATGGGCCGAAGATGGACAACAATGCAGATACATCTGGGCTTCTACGGACAATACAAGTGCTGGAGAATGACAGTTCTGAGACGATAAAGAAATATGAAGCTAGTATAGCGGCCTACGAGATGAAGCTCCGTGTGAGCACGATGGCCATCTGGAAGCTCAATGCACAGGTGGTCACACTGCATCAAAGGCTTCGCGAGCAAGAGACATCCATCGCAGATCTCGGGCACCAGTTGCACGATCACAGTCTCGCAGCACTGGAGAACAAATTGGCGTGTCCAGCCTCAAGTTCAGAATCCCAGCCGAAACTACAGGATTATGAAGGTACAGCATCGACTTTGAAAGACAAGATCGACAAGCTCAATGCCAGCATGTCGGAGCGGAACCGGAAGCTGGCTGACAGAATCCGGGGTTATGACATAACCGAATCAAATCTACGAGGGCAACTACATAGGAAGGAATCAATCTTGGAGTACGTTCAACGGATAAACAGGAACAATACAACCACGATTCTTTCACTGCGCCAGCAACACTCGGAGAAGCTCCAGTCCAAAGACACTGAGATTGAAACTCCGAAATTAGAGGTGACGACACTGCGCAACGGGCTTGATGAAGCAGTCCAACAGAACCGTGAGACACAGGACTTATTGAACTACTACCGCGATGAGTGGAAGGCTGCGCGGGCCCCGGTGATCAGTTCGCAGCTTGTCATTCTAAAAGATCGCCGCGACTTCAAAAAAGATATAAATAAATTGGCTAATATGCTCATTAACTCGACACGTTGATCGTGCTGCCGCAAGGTACAATGGCAACAGGACTCATGGTCTTATGCCTTTGAGCGTGCTTAACCAATTCCATCCGCATCTTTGAAATGATCAAATTTCCACGCAAGTGATGTGCCAAGTTGTATCCAGAAGTCAATTGATAGTTCCAACGGCAACGATATCTCTTTCCTTAATTCATTGAGCATCTACAGATCGTAACCCTTGTTTAGATATGTTGCATACAGAGTGTCGTCGACTTGGTGCAATTGATTGTTTATTGGCTAATCCCCAGCAGTTTGAATTAACTCTCACCGACTTTTCCTATGGGAATCGATCCTACCTTCACCTACACCTCTTATACAAAAGGCCCCGGAGTATATATAGCTCCCTCTCCGCCCTCCCCTCCTTCACTACAGACTCCCACTCCGCCTCCGCCCATCCTTCCTCAACCTCAGTCTTGCTCCCACCGGTCGAAATACCCGACATACGTCTTCTACTTCTCTGATATTACAAACCAACTGCTTACACCACATCGAACGGGCGGCAAGATCATATCAGGCCTGTCTGCGAAAGTTGACGCTCTCGTCGTCCTTGTTCTGCTCTCGGATACCTAGCACCATCACGTCGATACAATCTGTGGAAATCAGGAACAATTCTAACGCTCCTCCACGCGGTCAACCATCCACGTTCACCTGCGAAGTTCGATGCTTCCATCGTCCTTGCTCACGTGTCGATCCTCTAACAACATTACTTCGAGACAATCCGTGGACATCAGAGACTGTTTCAACGTTGTTCCGCCTGGTCAACCTTCCACCTTCACCTACAACGGTTCCAGTATTCTTCCACACACTCGGCCATCCACCTCTCCCAACAGTCATACTGAGAATACGACTACATCTGTCACCACATCAGGTGTTGCCATCATCTAAGCTCTCATACTACTGCCATTCATCTCGGCGGCCGAACAAGTCCGTTTCTTACAGCTTCAAGGGGGCCCCACTTTGCGTAGGTTACTTCACCACATCTCACATCTTTCTATTGTTATCATTCATCTCTCAATATTCACGTGTGCTAATCCAAATCCAGTATCGAAATGACCGATACCATGATAGGCTCAATTGTTTGGCAGGGCGAGAAGCTCGAAATCGTCCAGGATGGGGAGATGATCACGATCAAGGTGGCTAATCAAGAGATAAAAGTTCAAGGCAGTCTCGTCGGAGTCAAGATGACCGCCCCAGCTACAGAAGATTCACACGCATCTTCCAAAAAGGATGAAGCGACACCGGCGACCGAAGTCCAGGGCAGGAAAAGAAAGTCAGATGCGATGCCAGAGACTGAGGACACGACTGAATCGAGGAAGCAGGCTGAGACCACTGCCCTGAGACTTGCAATTATTCGTCTAATGATGGTTGCCCGAGAATTCCGAAATGATGGCTTGATTAAGTCCATTCATGACTTTTTACAGCAGGAAAACCATTGCAATCCGCCAATTTTTCCAGCAGTGATCATCGCGATGATCCACTCATTGGACAAAGACTGACCACTACAAGAACAAGTAGATGTGCCATTTGATCTCCCGTACGTCTAGTTTGTTTCCCTGGCTTGAAAATTTGATACTAACTGGTATAGTATATGGAAAAATTGGGTTGATCGAGCCAATACGATGACATCGATGAATGCCGTGGACATCTCAGACGATGACCGTAGTCTCATATGGGAAGCAATTATTCACGAAGAACCTCTCATCGAGGTTTCCGACGCTGAGGCGTGGCACTACGCAAATCTTACGCAATGAAGCAGATAGCGAAACGGCGTCAAGGTATACATTGGTAAAGGCGGCGCCTGGTAATGTCTTCTCATCATCTTTGTTACTCGAAATGCAAACGTTAACTTCAATGTTCCGCTCCGGTAACGATTTACAATGCCCACTCAACACGCAATTCCTTGCTGATAAATAATATTTACGAGATTATATCAGGACAATTTGAGCATTGTTTTCCCATGCATTTCATTCTTTCTCTTTATATACGATCTCTTACAGCATAGCATAACATCAACGAAGTCATGCTGTGGAGGTTGGATGGTTTGAACTCTCCTCGTATGGCCTTTATACATCTCGCTGGAACCTGTTCTATGGTTTCTTATCCGGTCAAATGCGCCCGATTGGTGTCATTCACCACATCGATAGCTATTTGTCCAATGCTCACAAACATCAACTGGCTTTTCTTAGTTTATCAAAAGTTTTCGGTTCAATTGTTCTCAAAAATGGGGTTGAAATACGGGGCTATACTATGTGATTACCTAGTTCATGCGCCAGCAATGATGATGAATAACCCTCTATACACTCTGAAATGAATCAGTTCACCTGCACATTCCCTTACACTTCACCTTCACCCACTACGGAGCATAATCACTTGAATGTGTCTTAGGGCACGGACCCAATTCATGATCTACAGTATTTAAAGTCGTAGCTTGTACTCTCCCAGCACCATCGTACTGTCGTTCACCACCCCCGCAAACTCCAAGACGCCTAACCTTGCACATCATTCCGTTACATACGTGCCATTTGCCCACACGCGCAGGACACAAGATGAAACATCAACCAGTCGAAGGCCCGCATCCGAACTTAGCAGAAATGCAACCGACAGCCACCAACTCGCTCGGTCGAATTAACCTTGAGGAAACTGGTGAAGGCATCACTATTGCACAACCCGACCATGTCCAAACTCCTTCGGTATGTTACTCTATAATCTACATAAACTCGACTAACTAACTCTATAGGCCTCTATCCCGCATTCAGAATCGGCTCAAACGTTGGAGGAGCAATTGATCAAGCATACCGCAGAATTGAAGATAAAGACTGCCAGTCTGGAGGCATCGATCAATGAAAGACAATTAGCTCTTGCACGAATTCTACACGCCTCGAATGTAACATCCGAGGACGATGACCTCCTGGAGCAGGGAGAGCAATCGCGTGCCTATTGCGGAGGCGAAGCCGAATCAGAGCTTCGCCAGGCCGCCTCGGTGTTGCCACCTCCAGCTACCCGACCGATCCAGGGATTAGGACATTTGCTCGATGAACTCCAGAAGGCTCAAGATGAGATTCGCAAATTGAAAGATGAGAACAGCAGGTTGAAAGATGAGAACAGCGAATTGAAGGATGAAAACAGCGAATTGGAGGTTGAAAACAGCGGATTGGAGGATGATCTCGCGTCGCTGCAGAAGGACTATGCCGGGTTGTACCGGAACGTTGGCATTTTGCGTCAGGAGAATGCCAAGTTGTACCAGGACGTTGACATTTTGAACCAGGAGATCCACAGGTTGAACCTAGAGGGCGACATGCTGCAACAGAACGCCACAGGGTGAAAGCAGCGCCAATAATATGCAAGTTATATACCTGCAGAGTCTCTTAAGTTGTAATTCAGGCCATGTTACTGAACAATAAAGTAGTGTGGGAGCCGAAATTATGACATCGAAAAAATCTTCAGATATTCAGACAGAGTCTTGACATTACTGTAGATAACCAACATGCAAGTGATGTATGGGAAGATGCAGATTTGTTCAACATGCCAAAGATTTGAAGGGTAAAGACATGATCTGACGAGGAAGTAGAGACACCCAACATTGATTCTATCGTGTGCATGGTTCGAATTCCGCTCATATTGTAGACCTGATTCAGGAGGGGAGATACTGTTGACTAACTGAACTCGTCGATAAGTGAACTACGATTGCTATGGACAGACAGGAGCGCAAACACAAGATGGAATGGGCTGCGCACGATCAGGCCAGATCGAGCCTCGATGATCAGATCCGCACACTTCAGGCTAAGGCCTTACATTGCGAGGACGCGAGGGCAGAAGATCAACGCAAACACAGCACCCACGTGTCCGACCTTAAGGGTCAACTACATGAACTCAAAGCAGACGGTCTGAAGAAGGAGATAGATCGTCTGTCATTGGAATCGAAACTGTAACAGAAGATTCAGGATCATGAGCGCAAGGAATCCGCCCTCCACGAAACCATTGCCGAGCTTCGATTGACGATTTCGGGCATGGAGGCGCAGTTGAACCATAACATGTGAAAGTACGAAAGTGCTTAGTTGAATGGGACTTCCATCATGAACCCAGTGAGAAGGACTCGAGCTTGCAGGTGTCACAGCACATGATCCTAGCCTGTGCAACCCAGATCAATTCATTCAAGCATGGCTATTTAATTATACTTAAAACGAGAGATAAGGGATTCGAATATATATAACAAGAAGGCACAGATCTGTATTGTTTCACAAGCATCACATATGATAGTGGCATAAAATCCGAGAATTGATCCCATGTTTCGTCACCTATCCTCCCTCAAAGGTCTCAAATCGATCTACGGCTACCTAGCAAAATCGAGCTCCCGTGTTTGTTTTGCTTCATGACATTTCCAACACAAGTCATGGCACATATTGTCACATATAGATGCCTATATAGTAGGAGAATTACAGGCACAACCCGCAATCAGTAGATACTTAGGATAAGTAGATAGTTAACTCTGTCAGTAAGCCTCTAGAGGTAGGTAGATAATGACTAAACCTCTCTCGGCAGCCCTGATCGATCTATATATGCCCTGCCCAGTGATTTCCCCATACACGTGATCCCTGAATAGCCTGTTCTGTCCTGCTACACCACAGTATACCAGAATCAAAAGCCCTGGTGGCATGTTCCGGTGCACGGTCACCCCGGGAAGTCCTTGATTGGGATGGAGGCGGACCTGTGAGATTACGAGCCCTGCTGCCTCGAGCATCGAGATTTCAGGAAGCTTCAGGTTCCATATCCTGGATTCCGTCGATGTGGGAGGCAGATAACTGGGCTGCCGGGATTGGACGCTCCAATTTTGCATCCCCCATGTTCAACATTGCCTTGCCTTCGCTAATGCTAGCCTCCAGTTGGTAAGATATGAAGCCTCGATGTGGCAAGAACGCGCCAAAAAACAATCCGAAAAGTACGAAGAGATGAAAATGGAAAATATTACGGAGAACTCAGACCTCCAGAGGAGGCTGCGGGAATCTGAGACGGAGAGAGCGGATGAGCGACACAAGCACAGCAACCGCGTATCTGAGCTCGAGAAAAAGCTGCAGGAGTCCGAGACGGAGAGAGCGGAGGAGCAACACAAACACATTAACTGCAAATCTGAGCTTGAAAAAAAGCTGCGGGAATCCGAGACGGAGAGAGCGGATGAGCAACACGAGCACAGCAACCGTGTATCTGAGCTCGATAAAAAGCTGCAGGTGAATGAAACAACGATACACGATCTGAATTCTCGTGTATACCAACTTGAGAATCAGCTCCTTGAGGAAAACAATGTTCGTTCTTCGCTAGAATCAACACTACTGCAAAAGGGCCAAACGCATGAGCAAGAACTATCCACACTGAACCAAACCATCATTGACCTGGACGCAAAATTATTGAGCTCGGAGTTGTAGTTCAATAGCGACGCGAATTTGCATGAAGCTCTCGAATCAGAACTTCGGAGCAATCTCTATGAGACGAATTTGAAGTTGCAGGAAGCCCAGGCCAGGATCCATACCCTTGCGAGAGCCGCCTTTGATCATTCAACCAATATCGCCTCAATGGAACGGAATCATTCAGATATAGTCGACATGAAAAACACCAAGATCGACAAACTGGAAACTGACAATACAACGCTACTCGAGAGAATCGGTCGATTAAATCATGACAACAATGAGATTAGGGGCTTACTCCAATTCTACCAAGAAGAATGGAAAATTGCACGGGTTCGAGTAGTTGATTCGCACTTTGTCATCATGCAGGAGCGTCGCAAGAGCCGTGCCCAGGTCAATAAGCTGATCAATATGGCTCTGAAGAAACGGTAAACCTTAATGTGTAAGGGCTTCAAACACTGCCTCTGAGAACGGCAGAAATCTTTATCTTCTTAGACCTACATCATACAAGTTTCGTGTAGCTTTTGAACAGCCTCCGTGAATTCTACTAATCCCTCTTGAGCGCACCTTGGAAGTTGTGGTGTTGTCTTCCCCATCTGCAATCACTTACCCGAACGCACCTTCTACATATGCAACCGAGACATTGCTTTGGCCGACACCACACAACAGAGGAAAATACATCACAAAAAACGGCAAGCCCTAACATCCTGCAACTATCACTTTGGTGGACACGTTGAAACACCTGCCAGCAGCGATAATGGAGTATACCAAGGACCCCATATCAGACAGTGACGATGATAGTCGGCAGATCAACGTCGCAACGGCCCATGCCTACATCACCGGCCCCGAATTCGCGGCGAGGTCCAGGCGATTTTACAATGTGGATGATGAGGATGCTTGTTCCATCAAGGAAGAAGATGAACAGTCATTTTTTCAGAAGACCTACAAACAAAGCATCGATTTGACCGGCGTGGACGAAATCGAGGATTCGGAGTCATCGTCAACCGATAACCCCCCTTTACACTTTAACATATCGCGAGCTCTTGATCTCGATAATCTAATCTGCGCCGATGCATACCGCGAGAGCCTCGTCTCAGGGGATACCCCTCGCATTCGCACCATGATGTTCAACATCTCACGAGAGTTGGCCCTTTCACCCACCGTGCAGAGTGCAGACAGGAACATGCTAACGGCCGTCATCTGGCGGATCCTAACATCAACGAACTCGAGCATTCTGGAGAGCGTTCTGGCCGGAGATATTGCCAAAAGATGGCATTCGAGTCCTGAAGTCAAATACGCACTCCAACGCACGCGGATACAAGCTCGGAGCGCGAAACAACCATGCATCTACATGAATGTATTCACGGATAATAAGGGTCGATGCCCATCAATGAAAACATACATCCAGATTCTCGACATGATGGAAATGTACGCGCACGATGGAGTTCTAGATCGCGAACAGGAGGTCAAGATTCTCAGAGTTGATCGACAGTTCGGCGACCCCAACCGATGGCAACTACGCGATGTCAAGTCGGGTAAGCGCAGATACATCGACGGCAATACCAAGGGTCGAATAGCATACATACGCATCTTCATTGGTAAGGTACGAGAGAGAATCGCAGCGAAATTGGGAACGAGCATCGATCAGCTCAAAGACATTGCTGCACTGGAGGAGGCCGGTTTAGACCTGAGTGCACGGTTCGATCCAGCCTTCACTGAGGTTGGATACACATCGCAGTCGGAAGACAGGTTGAAGGCTCATCGAGAGTATCGTTCCTCTAATTACATGATGAACCTATTCGAGGCTATCTGCCACTCGATGGGCCATGTGGAGTTCGCCATCCATAATTTCGTCGTGTACCTCATCTGGCAACTAGAGCAGGCAGCAGTGGCCGAGATGGTATTTACCTGCCTCGCAAACGCAACCATCCAAAATGGCAAAGGATTCTCCTTTTATCCGTCCGGGTTGTCCGTCAACTCTGCTTACGAGATTTCGCATTCCAAGTGGGAGAGTTTAACTGCCCATATGCTGGATGAATCCCCATTCGAGAACAACAACAGACAGGAGGCGTCTGTACAATCAATGATTGACGATAGGCTGGATGAGATTGCGCTTTCGGACATATTGATGGTGAGAGAAGCACGTGCGGCAATTGAAAAATACATGAATCAACCTGTTCAAACACCCGAACAGCTTGATCAGATCGAGCAATATGAATCAATGGAAAGGAGGCGCTTTATCACCAAGATGATCCGGGCAGCCGAAGTTCATCACAATTTACTACATGAACTTGAAGCTGCTGGAGAACAGGTAGGGATTGAGGGCGACATGGATCTCAATGATTGAGTTCAAGGTGTCGCAGAGTTGGGGGGCGGGGAGTGAACAAAAGCTACCCACCGCCGCCACTCGAATGTGCCTCTCGCCTGGGAGTAGCGGCTTGACAACAGTTCAGATTCAGTCATTCACTTCATTTCAACGAGCAGTGTTAGACGATCTGTATTTAATATCCACTACAGGGATTAACTTGAAATGCTACTGAAAATCAGATATCAAATTTCTTTGCACAGTCAATGAGTTCGATAGGTTTTTGACATGTTCTACGATTATCACTCTAACTCCGTTATGTTCTTGGTGTGTCTTGGTACACAGGCTGGTGAATTCAGTCCGAGAAGCCTAAAATGGTAGTCAAGTAAACTGGCACCTACACCCCGCACATCTTCCTCTACATGGACGGGGTTGTTACTGCACGCGTCAAGCGGCGAATCGCGGATATCATCCATGAGCATGATTGCCTTCAGCTGTTCCTCGAATGGACAAAATGGATACTTGAGGATAATCAGTTGCAACGCCGCGAGCTCGTTCATACATGCCTGTTCGGTCCAGAGCCAGAGAGTCAGCATGGGGCTGAACCAAGACTACACAGTCCAATATCACGAACTAGAGCACGACCAGGCGAGCATAATTGCCGCAATCAAGGAATGAACACTGTCTTATGTCGACATAGAGCTTGATGATTAGGTTTAAGCTGTCGCAAAGTTAGAGGACGAAAGCAACCAAAGATGCCCACCAGTGTCGACTATCTCAGAGCAGCAGCTCAAAACAGGCCAGGAGATCTACGATAACGACGACGGTGCCACAAAATTTTAGCGTGCACTTCACTTTAATTCAATACCTTGACATCAATCAAATCTGTGAATGCCTATTTATGACCTTTATTTAGACTATTAACCATGATGCCATGTCTCTACATAGGTCTCTAGCCATTGTTTCCATGTCAAGTGAAGCCAAACTTCGTGGTATTGTATTGCCGGTCCAATATGTCCCAACCACGGCATATCTGCCTTTCACTTCGTGAACTTCTGCCGAGTGGCAATGGAGTCTGCGTTCAGCTTTTCGACCTCAAGGTTCAACCTGACCACCTGTACGTGGAGACGGCCCAGTGCCTTGGTCACACTCTCGACGTCTTGATTCAATTTGGTGAGTAGCGTCATTCTAGCGTTCTCTTGTTCGTATTTGGCGATCTCCTGGTCTACCTCGGCAGACTTCTTGAGCAGTCTAGCAAGCTCTTGCTCCAATTCAGCCTTTTCCTGATCTGTTCTGGCCACCTCTTTGTCTGCTTTGGTGATCTCCTGTTTTAGGTGGCTGATCTTAGCTTGATTCTTGACGCATTCCTCACACGAGTGCGAAGTCTGGTTCTGAGAAGAGACCAAGCACGATGCGGATGAGGAAGCAGGCTTGATAGGCGCTTCGGTAGCAGTTGCTGCCTCTGGTTCCATTTCGCGATTATGATCATCCGTATCGGCGGGCAGATCTTTCGGTCCAGGGATCTGAGCAGGAACTGTTTCCTCTTGTTGGACTGTTGCCTCTAGTTCCTTGTTCTTCGTGTCGGACATCTTTGCTTTCTCGGTAGTATCCTCGGGTGGAGGCTGGGCAGATGCTGGCTCTTCGGCAGCAGACTATAGAAAGTAAGTTAAGTTGATGGAGATCATGAGGTAACATACCGAAGGTTGATCAACACCTTCGCGTTCTGAGACAGTGGGGCCCTCAACAGTGTCATCGCTTTTGACTTGACCAACTGAGGTATGGGTTGGCGAATGCATGTTTGACTGATTGTGTTGCACCTGGTTGACTGGTTGTTCGTGCAGCATTCGGTGATGATGAGGGATGGAGCGTTGGTGGTAGGGTAGCCTGTCCTTTTGTATTCCTGAGTGGCAAATCGACGCTTGGACCGCTGCCCCAGGCTACAACGCAATGATTGTTTATGTTCATGGTACTGTAGGTGAAGGTGATGGTGCACGTGATAGTGCACGTGATGCTATAAGTGAAGTTGGAGGCAAAGTCACAACGCACACACCATGGTATGGTATCAAAGGGTATCTGAGATGGGCATTGATATATTCGTGATTCTTGTCCTTAGCTTCTTGATACAGCGTTGTTTGATTCTAGGAATTGCAAGATTGCCATCGCCGGAGGTGAATGATACTTTTTAGAGCATCAGATCCCCGTCAAGCTTAGGAAGAAGCCCATTCCCTCATACTGTAGCATGCGACGCCCCATTGGCTAATTTTCAGAATTGCTGACCGCTATAGATCGCCTCACCGACTACTCGGAAAGTTGAGCCGCTCACTGGCCTGTCTGAGAGGACACAAGATCACCTTCACTTGCTCGTGACGCATCAGAATACAGACTATAAATGGCTCTCTCCCTACAAATCTTTCCATCTAAACTCCGACTTCTTTCTGCCCCATTCAGAATCTTCAACACACATTCCCCGCTTGTATGCCAATTCAGCTGGGCAATGCGACGTTCCTGCGTGTGCTTCTCACTCTGACCTGAACCACCATTGCCTCGATCTCCCGGAGCTTTTCCACGTTTCCCCATCAGCAATCACTCACTTCCTGGCTGTAAGTTATCCCATGATGCTCTCAAATTGCTATCAAGGTGTGCTCTTTTGCGCTAATACAGTGTGAGGTGGCTCAGTATACCTTGTGCTCCTCACCAGCATGACGGGCAAGTCAAACTCTTCTGGTCGACATAAAGAAGATGAAAGATTGCAGTCTGAAACTGGTCAAGGCGGCAAACCGATCGAAGCGCAGACGAAGCCTGACATGACTCGTCTAGATATCCTGGCTCAGGTTGCCGAACTCGAATACAGGATGAATTTTCCAGTCTCGAGAGAGCCTAATCTCACCTTCAACAAGGATAAGGAGTCACCAGTGGGTGTTGAGCATTTTTCGAAAAGGAAGGCAGACATGACAGGGCATACCAAAGAGATGACTGAGTCAATGAAGAGAAGGCCTGGTAAAAGGAAAGCTAACACAGTGGTGGACACAACAGACGCAAAACAGGAGATGAAGCGACCCAAACCCGCCGACCCGAGACTTCAGGTCCTTCGCTCTCTGAAGGCCTATGCAAACGACACAAATTCAAAGAACATTGCGGCCCTACGGACTGTGCTGAAATCATCGTTTGGGTTTGACATCAAGACACCAGTCCATGTGATATTCGACATGATAAAATACCTAGATATGGGCAAGCCATTGAGGGACCAATTGGACGCACCCTTCAAGTCTCCGTAAGCCTAGTGCTCCTGAACTATATGTAACTTACATGCTGACTCGGGTAGGAAATGGGTAGGATTTCTTGACGAAATGAGAGTTGGCACAAAGAAGAAAGAGCTCGCTCACACAGAGCTTCCAGTGAGCCAGGGCGGTCAAAACAACCGCTCCAGCAACACTGACCCCCCCCCTTTCCCACCGCACAGACGACGAGGCCACAGCAACTAACGTCAACCCTCGTGCGGTGCATAACGAACTTCGTCAAACGGTCAAAGGTGTCGATGAAAAGTCTACAGGGGCGGAGGCATCGACAACAAACCAAAAGGACGCTACCATCAATAAAGGCACCGAATCTAGAGATGAACTTTGGGAGGCCATGGGTAAGATGCTTTATGATGGGTTAAGGTGGTGGGAGACTCACGGAGACCACCGCGAACCTCCTATCATTCAGTCATTGGCAGAGTTGCTCGACTTAATCTATCTGCTCAGACCATGAAAGGGATGCCTGAGACATGACATTAGCATTACATCCAGTCTCCACGGCGCATCATCCGACAATTCCCAGCCGGTGAAGCCGTGCAACTCAGCATATAACTACTTGACTTCAGTTCGCAATGAGGGTCTTGATCTCGTCAAAACTCTAATGCATTCTATCTAAAGCCAAGGCATTGCTCTATTTTATCAAAAGCGTAATTCGGTCATTTTTTCTCATTTATCGATTTATTTATTTAGTCTTATTTACAATTCATTATAGTCATTTGCAAAATGATCATGTCATAATTCAAGTCCTGTTTGCCCTCTTGTGTTTCGTTAAACATGAGAGTTCGAGTATCTACTTATGCTTTTGGATATCCCTTCTCCCACGTATACAACACCACGAATGTTGTCAAAGTTAGACCTCCAGCGCATTAATTAACTGACCAATTAGCTTAGTATCCATCCTACTCAGCGTTAATATGAATATCGGCTAATAAAGATATTGATATTAATTTAATATCATGGTTTGAAATTTTGATCAATTCTAGCTCAAAATTGTCTTAACATCTCGTTAAATAGTTTCAAATTGAAATCGACTCGATATTCGATTGAGATTTCCGATCGATTTCAAGTTGACATTGAATCGATCCCTGATTAAGATTTCTGATTGATTTCAAGTTAAAATCGACTTAATATCTGATGGGGAATTCCGATTGATTTCAAGTTGAAATCGACTCGATATCCGATTGAGAATTCCGATAGATTCCAACTTGAAATCGACTCGATATCTGATTGAGAACTCTGATCGATTCCAACTTGAAACCGACTCAATCTCCTCTACACCAGATGCCTTGAGCTCCAACTGTGTTGATGTTTACGCGCAAGGGTGCGACAAGCTGTAAACCCAATATTACAAGTAATTATTAGTACATGCAGATATGAATACTAAGTTTCAACTGTTGTTATCCAAACAGTATGATCATAAACACGAGAGGGTAAACAAGACTGCATCCCTGCATGAAGCATGTCTTTTTGGTATTTCAATCTAACCTCAGCATTGGGTCACGCTCTAATATTAGAAAATGGATGTTCATTGTGGCTTTAATGCCTCTCCTCTGAGCGAACTACTCTATCCCATCCGTCCGGTCGTCCCCAGTAGATGCCGCATGTTAATGCAGCGACCAGGCCCTTGGTGAGACCAGCCTATACATGAGAAGATGCACTGTGTGTTTGAACATCTCTAACCTTGCATTAACTATAGCTATGCCTGGCTCACACAAACCTAAATAAGCGACGTCTTACAATTATTCCAATCCTCTCGACCTCGTAGGCAGTGAAGCTCTGCTTGGCCTCGACCTCCTCGACCCTCCTCTCGATATCTCTGGGCATAGTATGGATTTGTCAGAAGTAGCTATGCCTTCATCTCCCATACTCGCGCAAAGGGATCGTCGTTCGGGTCCAAATGCCTACTATACTCCATTACATTCGCGACATTTCTAGCTACCTCTTCCCCATATAACTCTTCAATGAAAGCAAACGTCACATCGATTCCCGCCGACACACCCGAAGAACTCCACACCGGCGTGACCCCCTCAGTGCTATCAACAACCCATCGAGCTTTCCTCACCCACTTCACCTTGGGCCCGAGCACCACGACGTCGTCCCAGGTACTCTTGTTGGTGGTAGCGCTCCGATAGTCTAGGAGCCCCATCTCTGCCAGGATCGCGGAGCCGGTGCAGATTGTAATCACGTACTTCAAAGAGGGGAAGACGGTACGGATGTATGCTTTGACAGGACCCATCGCGTCTGCACTGCGAGTTCCGAAGCCTGTATTTAGCTGTCAGATTACAATCTGGTTCGCCGACATCGACCGTCTCCATTGATAGACTGACCTCCCGGAATGAGCAAGACTTCGATCTCAGGCGCGTCGTCAAAGGTGTGGGTTGGTACGATCTCTTGCCCAAAGGACGATGACACGAACGGGTTTGGGTCAGGGTTTGAGGAAACCGGCGTCATTGTTGCGGCCATGATGGAAAGTTGCATCTTGTTGGTCCGAGATAGCACATTCAACGTGCTCAAGGGTCCGAAGACATCTGTGGTAAGTTAGGTTATGAGTACTACTCTAATACATCAACCTCAGCAAGGCTGAAATCGACAAAGATCCGACTTACCGAGAACTTGGAATCCAGTGAACACGACTATGCCATATTTACTGGGTGGCGCAGCACTGCAAGCAGTCAAAGTTAGGTTTTACAAAACTTCGAAACCGAACCAGGCCTGGGGATACCTCATCTTTACCAATGATAACAGTGATCGTTGAGCTGTGAGCCGATGGAATATATGTGGGGTGTGAATGCTCTTCGGTGTCTTCACAATCGGTTGCCTCAATTATCATGCTATCTTGATCATTGACAGCAATAACCAGATGACTGAAGTTTTATAGGAACAATACTCCGATGAGTTATTGACCAAAGATGATATTTTGTGAGTATATAATGATGCCCTTGGGCAACGAATTGCAGAAGAAATGTGCTCCAATTAGCTCAGTCAGCAATTTGCCAAGTCATAAACAAACTTCAGGTCTAACTGGTTTCGTGATGCCTAGGCGTATGCTTACGGGCACCACTTCGATATGGAGGTTGAGAACACCGGGAGGGAAAAGGTAAGAAGATAAGCCTGAGAGCATCGCGGTCGTCTACAACTGAGACTTCGCCTTTACGATATCAGATCCCTCACACGTAGCTTTTGCAGACTACTATAGGTATCTAGTGGTGTCATTGAGAATGCCTCATGAGATCACAGATTTCTAGAAACATCGCCTAGCAAGCGCGTCAAACGATCTGAAGCAGAAGAAAAGTGAGTCTCAGCCATTTGAAGTTTTTTTGGAACAGGAACTCTGTATGCATTTACACAATTCTATCATATCCACCGAGACAAAGATGAACGCATTCGTAATGGGAACGCTTTGCCTCACTTCCTGCCAGTCACCGTGACAGGGCCTGCCAGCTTGCTGACCGCGCGAGAGCCAAAGGACAAATGGAAAATTCTCAATCAGACAACATAGCCCTTGTTCTGTTTGATACTTTGACGTTCATGTTCTTCCACACGACTATGCAGCCCAGCCCCACAATCCAGATCGACACACCGGCGATGAGCAGAAATTGCCAAGTATCCATGTATGCATTCTGGATGGCCAGACGAGTGGGCGAACCCCAATCATAGCTCAGCTGTTCTTCAATGGAACCGAAAATGGTGGTGAGATTTCCTTAGGCCTCGGTAGGAAGGTGTAAAGCCAGTTTCTGTGGGAATATGCCTTGTCAGATAGCGGAGGAATTAGTATACCCAACGGCCTGGCCAATGTAGCAGAACAGGTTCAGTAACGCAATCGTGATGGCGAAGTACTGCTGTGCTGAAGTTGCAGCCAAGATACCGATTTCGACCGTGAGCATAAGAATGCCGAAGCCGAAGTTGACGAAGATGTTGCACATTGCGATGTAGCCTACGTATCGGGTGGGTTCGCGGCAATGCATGAGCAAGCCCGTTCCGAGAACGATGAGCGCCATGGCTAGGAACAAGCTGATGGGTTTGTAGCGTCCGCTGAATGAGATGACTACACCCTTGACGATGTTCCCGATGATCTGTACGACTGTACCGGACTGTAAATCGTAGCTTGCATTGGTCACGTTAAGATCATTCACTACTTGGAGGTACGAGCTGAAAAATGGTTGCCGGCACTGCGTGCTCGCAAAGAGTGAGAAGCCCACCATGCAGCAGCCGATGATTGTGCGATCTCGAAGGAGTGCCCAAGAAGTGAGACTGACCCGAGCAAAGGATGTCTCCCAGACCACGAAGGTGGCGATAGAGACAACCCCAAAAACGAGAAAATAGATCATCATCAGAGATCCCCAACCCTTCGCTTGCATGGTGTACATATTGAATGGCAGGAGGAGTAAGGCAAATCCAGCGGCCAGTAGCAGTAGACGCACAAGGTCAAACTGGTGCACGTAATTTATGAGCGACTGCAGGAATGAGCGTCCACTCTCTAGAGGCGCCCGGAAAATGCCTTCTCTTTTAGCCTTCCTGAAGTGGTACATGAATAGCCCATACAGTGGAAGAGCGACACTACGGGAGCACAATGCTCTCCATTCCGAAAGCCCAGTGCCAGCCAATCCCGCTCATGTTCAGTAACGATGTGGAAATAGGTCCCGCCAGCCAGGCCGTGATTATGTATGGGGAGTTGAGGAGAGATTGCATGAAACCTCGATGGCGCAGCGAAGATGTATGGGCAACGAAGACACTGAGACAGTATCCAAGGCCATTGACGCCAACGGTGTAGAAGACCTGGGATGCAGCATACAATTCTACGCTGTTACAAGAAGCAGTCGTGATAAGGCCGATTGTCACAAGGCCCGCGCAGAGTAGGAAGCCATGAGGTCAGCCGAAGATGTCTAGAACTTTTGCGATGACAAGATTTGTGACGCCGCCGACAACCTAGCTCATGACACCAGTGGTCGGTATCAATGAGTGAGCGGCGAAGTCGGATGTAACGTAGGGTAGTAAAGCACCGCTAACTCCACCGAAAATGCCTTGAACAAATTTACTACACGATGGTAAATTTCTGTGTCTTACTAGACCTGGTTGATGGATGATATTGTCTACTAATGGTCGAAAGCTCGTCCGAGTATGTTGTAGAAGCATAGTCCAGGAGAGGAGGGACTACAAATCGATGACATTGCTTGGGTGCTTGGTGGTTCATGCCACTGAACTTCCACTGCCTATAAATAGGAACATTGTCTGACCAACTAAGAATGGCCTTGAGGGTGAAAGTACCTAAGTCAGCAGGACGGAGGTACCAAAACCCAGCAATATTATAGGAATTGACCTTAAAAGCTTCGGGAGAGATAAGGAGATCTGCCTTATCCGGCACGAAGTCCATGCGCCAGGCCGTTAACTTCTTTGGTTCTTTATAACAGACTACGTCGTGTCCATTGAAGAAAAACTGGTGTTCTATGCAGCCGCGGACCACGAGCTTTTCAAGAGCAGAGCTCGCATCACCACCTAGAGTTGCCACCAGGTTATCTTCACAGAAACGTACATGCTCCTTGTGCGGTTGACGTGGTGTTAGGCTAGCTGGATAGTCCTGAAATCCACGAGGACGAATGTGCCTATAATATGCGGGGGAGTATTCGTTCCAACAATCGTGAAGCTCTGGAACATTATGTATCCGATGGAGTTTGTAGTCCTCTTTACGTGCCTTCGACGCTGTGTCACGACGGAATACAGTACTGGCAAGTTGCCAATCGACTACCCAGGAGGGCAAAGCCGATGCTGGTCGAGACCTGGTCAACTGTGTTCCGAGGCAAGGCTTTGTATCATTCTCGTCATTCTCTGCGATGACCTTGAATTTGGCGAGTAGCGCGAGGCCTCCCTCCTTAAGTAGCAATCTCATGATTACTACATGGAGCGTCCGATCGGTAATCGTATAGTTGACGGGAATCATAGGTGGGAGGATTGAGTCTCGCTTTATCCACTCTTCTAGTGTCATAAAATTGCTCGGAAAAGTGGAAGAGGTCATAGAAAGTAGTCCGTAGACTTTATCCTGTGGCTTTGTAGCTTGAAGGCTGCCGGTGAGTAGGAGACCATCCACCAATTCTACTGGCATCTTGGTTTGGGCCCAATCGGTAATAGCGTGAAAACAACCCACACGCTCCTCGTATATCTTCACAACCTCCGATATGAGCCGAAGACGATTGAGCACATGGTTGTCGATCTTAATTGGGTGCTTCGTTCTCTTTTTCTTCGCTCGTTCCTTGTATATGAAATCTCGGGGCAACGTTTCTTCTGCTCGAGCTACAATAAGACTCATGACTGTCGACGATATGTCATTTCCTTTACAGATCTGATCAGCTTGCTCTTCGGGCATTAAGAGCAGGTTGGGATTATCCGGAAGGACATAGGTATCAATCAACAGAGTCGGTTTGATTATCAACCCCGTCCAGGATAGGTCTACTTCGCCACAACAAACACGCAGGTGAGTTGCAGCGAAGATCTCCTGCTGTACCCAAATTCTCTGGAAATAAGGTCTATTGTAAAGCTCGACCAGGGCTTCGCATATTGTGGCTAGGCAATATTTTTGGGCATAGTAGGGAACAGGAGAAGGTTCGCCTGATTTTGATTCTTTAGAAGATGGCCTGTCGGTGCAACCATTGGGTGTGTTTGCAATGTCTTGGAGAACACGGAGATGATGCACGTCCGTTCCCAGCCAAGCAATAACGTGCGAGGCTTGTTGGTAGATGTACATCATATTTGGAATCTGCATGGCCTTCTCGTCGTCGTCTGCTTGGTTGATGCAGATTGCATCGACCCAAAGCCACCGCAATGTCGAATCACTGCGTCGGAGATTTAGAAGAGCCTGTTGAAGGTTTTGCATGATGCGTAGATCCTTTCCATTGCATTGAAGATGACAAGTAGCGGTGCTGCCTCCCCAGCAATACGAGAGAGCATCGTACTCGATAAGACGACCTCGCTGCACACCGCCTGCCAGGCTGTGCATACCAAGGCCAGCACCAAACTCAGGCCGGAGCAAGTCGACTACGTGCAAGTTGCACACTAGCTGAGATTCTGGATTACCTGAGGCACCATGGAGTGCAATCAGTCTGGTCTGATATTCCACGAGAGTTGTGTAAGGGCTGTGCTGTTGTGCCGCCATAATGTAGCGTATATATGGATTTATAGTATTCCTAGACTTAACAGGACAGTACAGGAGGGTTTTCTAAGACTAGGATAATCAAGTTATATATTTGTAGCATCATTGACTGCCTGTAAGCTGCAGCTGATAGTAGCAAGGCTGATGACGTGGCAACTAGTAATTGGTTGTTATGGATGAACTGGACAGTAACAATTCTAAGTAGCTAGAGGGCAACAATGAATCCTATAAGGAGGACCCATAGAAATAGGAATATATAGACTGGCTCTATAGGACAAAGGCTAACTACAATATAGATATATAACTAACTTATATAGTAAATTTATATATCCTTTTCCAGGTGGGAGTAGATGATCCTCGCCCATTCTGCGGATTGCGGATGCGCTTGTTACTCTGCAGACATTGCAATTCATCAAAGAAGCCGTCTTTGTGGAAGAGAAAGGCTGCTGTTTCAGCCTTTCGTCGACCCGGGCTCGCTGCTAGTACCGAAAGATGTGTAAATCTGTTTAGATCGGTGGTCAGGCCACGTGGGGGATGTGATCGAGGTTCAATCGCCTATCGGGTGTCTCAGCCTTGCACACCTGATCCAGTAAGAAAACCTCTATATGCGCCGCTGATGACCCCTCCAAGCGGGGTAAGACTCAGTCTGAAGAGCTTTGCTGAAGTTCAAGCCAATTTCCATGCCAACGTACAAATGTTTACTATCTTCGCTAGGTAGACATAACAGCTTCACGGCAAGCCTCCAGATCGAACATGCCAGACCCACTAAGCATTACTGCAGGCGTCATTGCAATCGTTGATTTCGCATTAAACGGTTATGGAGTTTTATACGACGCTATCCACAGCTATCGAGCTGAAGCTACATTTGCCGCCCTTGAACTCCGATGTTGAGGCCATCATCACCATTCTTCATTCCATCAGGACGAACTTACAAGCTATCACGGATGACGATTTCTCGCCTAGCATACGCCAATGTTTGGAAGGAGCCAAACCGGCTATCACAGGCTGTCGAAATGCTTGCACAGATTTTTCGGCGAAATTGAATAAGCTTATGTCCCACTCTAGTACCGTTCATTTCAGTAAGAGGGACAAGGCAATGCTCTGGTTCAAGGAGAAGAAAATTATGGGAATCCGCTATCGACTGGCCACTTACAAAGGAACGCTCAATGTGGTCCTGAGTCTAGCATCTCTGTACGTCTAAGTGCTTACAAGGTTTCACGGCTGCTTTCTAATGCTACGAAGTAAAGCAACATCCGAGAGCACAAGTCAAGTCAAAAAGACACAAGAGGATCTTGACAAGTTCATGGCTACCATGCAGGGTCAGTTGCAAGGACTAGTCATAGGTGTAACAACGACTGCTAGAATTCAAGATGAAAATGCACAAGACGGGGGCACTGGAGACGTTCTTGATCAAACCGTGAAGACTTTAGAATCACAGATGGCTGCTCTAAGCAACTGTTTGAGTGCCTGCACGCTTGCTCAAGCAGAACTATCGGTACTAGCAGGCACCACTATTAAGTATGCAGAAGCAATGGAGGATTCCAGGCAACTCTTTGGACAAATTGGTGCAGCAGGCGAGCAGGATTTCCAAGTGATGGCAGTAACGATAGAAAGACTGATTGCAAAGGGCCGGGCTGTGCAACTCACCGGCCGTATGAGTGAAGACGTCGCTTTCGCTGCTCTTGGTATGTCCAAGGAGTAACTTTACAAACACGCTCGTTATGCATATGGCTTGTACAATTCCAGGATGATCGAATAGCTCAGTAACAACGATGATGAAAACCAAGTTTTTGATCAAATTTCGTTATCTTAAATTATGCTAAATCTTCTGATGTCCACTCCTAAAAATGAGACACCAGATACCTATTTTTCATAACTCCAAACGTACTTATTAAATACATAGTGGATTCTTGGTGTTAGCCCCGAACGAATTTGTGTCCCTGCGCCGGCACTCCGTCACTGGCATCATCAATCTCCAATCTGACTACTACCTTCTCAGCAAGAGGGCTATATTTAGCCGATCCCACTGGCAAGAACCGCAGCACATCGGCCATCTGATTCCCAAGCGTCAGCTAAATCCAACTATCAATCACCAAGCGGGAAGAAAGGATTATACACACCTCTGGGTTCTGCATCGACGCAGCGATAGTGGTAAACTTGTTATCGTAGCTCACGGAACCATTGCGGATGAAGGACAACATGCCGAGTACGACGACAACGGCGGTGGCTACCAGCATAGCGGCGTAGGCTGTGATGAGATTCACTGGTTCGTAGTGATAGATGATGCGGTTCCCGCTGAAGTTGGACTGTACGTAGCTTGGGTACCTTGTGAGCGAAATTAGTGTTGGCAGCATCACTGGGTGGGAGCATGGAAAGCTTGCTTACCATAGGCCTTGCTCCGCGCCGCTCATGAGGCTCAATGCGTAGTCATGGGCTAGGGTCTCAATATCATCGATTCGAATGAGGTCGCGTTCGTATATTCCGTATGAACCGGCCTGGCGGGTGTAGAAGGCTGTCCCCTGGATATGACGATATAGTGGGTTCATCCAGGCGTTGAGAGCAAGCGATGCCCAAGACGGGTCTCCATCGTTGGCCGTCCACAAAGCTTTGTCATTGGAGAGCGACGGTCCTAATTCGACCATGTGGCTGTAGTACAGAGTAGGATCCCCTCTAGAAACCTGAACGTTGACCTCGACCGTCGCGTTGTGCATCTGACATTTAGTCACGTTGACATCTGAATTTTCATCTGGGCGCCACAGGATAGTCAGGCTTCCGTCCAACATGGCATTCAGGTCGCCGACTGATGAATTCAAAGGCCAAGAGTGCAAAAACATATCTGACATGTTTCGTGCGGAGCCCTTCAAGTCCACGGCTCCAGCCCATGCGAGGTAGTGTAACCGGCCAGCCAAAGGCCTGGAAGTGTTGATGATCTCGTCCGTGGAAGACGAGAAGCGTTGCTGATAGGTGAACCGGAAGCTCTCGTCCACAGTCACGTTCAACACCTCCATCAGTTGTGAACGGTTTTGGGGTTGGTCCAGAACCTTTCTAGTAAGAACAATGTCTAATGCGTCTGCGATTTGAGGAAGAAAGGGTGTCACGGTGCTGGATTCGACGGCCTCGCAGGATATCCAAGGGAGTTGCATGACAGAGCTGTATTCGTAGTCAAGAGGGTCTTCCAGCGCAACGGGAGCAAGTGCATCTTTTGTCCTCCTCGCATCCTCGTACAACGTTTCCAGAGCTCCTGAGGATACGTTGTTCCGTCCAACATACGTGCTAATTTTACTTGCGTCCGGTCGTGTCGGAGAAGCCACACCAGGGACCGATAAGGAGGACATAGGACCAAACCGGGGCTCGTCTCCGAATGCAACGGATCGGTCAATGTACATCACTGAAGGTACAGGGACCTTCGTCAAGCCGGGAAGTCGAGCTTCCACGGCAGACAACGTGGCGGGTGGGAACAGTGTGACGATGTGACTAGACCTGTCCGTAGCTTGTCAGCCTTTGCGCGGCCAGCCTGCGTTAGGAATACATGCCAGAATGCAGCCCCCACGAGCGCGGCTAAAGGTAGTTTCTGCCAAAACTTCAAGCTCGCAAAGGAGAAAATGTTGGACAACACATCAAAGGCATTATTTATGCCCCCTAGTTCAATGCTTGTGTGTTTCAGCTTGCGCCAGACATACTGAAGGTATGCCGTTCCGATAGTTAAGCGGACGATGGTACCGAAAGCAACAGCAAAGAACGTTCCGATCCTAAGATCATTAGATCCCATTGAGAAATCAAGCGCATAACTATGGCATACCGCAACGCCCATTGCTGTCTGTCAACCTCGCCGGCTGCCGTTCGATTAAGCGATGAGTAGAAGAAATGATGCCCGATTCCAAGCCCACAAGCTACGACGAAGCCCAGTACTGTGATGAAAAGAGCGGACCATTGACGCCAGAAAGATGTCTTCAGCGGTGCTTGAACATTGAACTGGTCATTAGGTTTTGGTTGGGTTGCAGTTGGGGACTCCGGCTCGCCGAGCTGAACTCTAGAGTACATGTCCTGGTTAACGGGTTCGCGGGGGCCGATGAATCTGAGGTTTTACGCGAGACGAGCTCATGAGGCAGGGAGAAGGATAATATCTCCTGGCATCCGCCATACTTGCGGCTGGCCAGCAAAGCTTTTCAAGGGCCACCACTCTACGATGACACTGGAATCGAGACCGACCACTGCGCCGCCCTGGGGGACGCTACTGGCCATTGGCAAAATGCGCCTAAATCTGGGCATTCGCTCAAGAGCGCCACAACTGGGTTAGCTGGTCTGCCCTATTACGGTGGCAATTCTCACCCTGAAGCTCTTTGGGTATACCATTGAGTCCTTAAAAACTACCTAGTGATTACCATGTTCTGCCTCTGTGGGGCTGGCGCTGTCCATCGGTCCGGAAACCAGGTAGCGGGGAGTGCATAAGGAAGATGCAGCGGACTGCGCAACCAATTGCTCGACAACCGTGGAACCAGAGTATCGGCTTGAAGAAAAGTCCATCGTCGGCTTAGATCATGCTATTCAATTATTAATTAGATTTCAGCCTCATATTGCAGGTACAGTAACAATCACATGCAGAGAACGGGCATTTGTGGTGCTTGGCATTGCACAGAATGCGGCCGCAAGGGGCTGGCATGACCAACGAAAGCCTTACACTACGAGTACTGCACATTTCAAGATCTCTGCAGAGAGTCAAGTCAACTTCAGCCCCAGCAAGCAGTCTAGGCTCTGCTGTGATCGACAGTCGCCAAGAGGAATATTGTGGCTGATCTCCACTTTCCGAGCTAGTGGATACCTCTAGGCGACATAGCGATCGAGACGGGGCCAGAGCAGTGGCCGCCGTCTTCAAGGGACACTTTCTGCTTGCGCAAACCTTCGTCCTGTATGGGCAATCTTGGTAACATCGAGCAGACGTCTCGCCCGTGGCAGTGCCTTTCACTTCGCACAAGGGAAAGCAGTTCCAGTTTGGCGGTACTCTAGCGCCCGATCTTGCGGGCCGTCCACACGTGCGCTCCCGGAACCACGTGCGGTATTCTTCTGACTTTCTTCAAATGCCGACGAGACCTAGGAATTATATTGTGGTTAGAAATTGAAAATGATATGTATTACAGATTAAGCTTTTGCTCTGAGCGAACCAACTCTTTTTACAACACGAAGGACGACAGACAGACCACCTTATTGATGAAGCAGACTAGATCACAACCCTGGAGACATGCACTCTGCGTCCATCCCAGTATTCAAACTCCGTTCTGTCTCCGCACACCGTCTAGTACGAATACCTAAACTCAGGGTTCTGCCTATCAGTCTTGTCCTCAAACGCACGAGCATGCACATTCTCTCCTACGAGCTGCGCGTCGCGCTCGGCGTTCCTTCTGACGATAACAAGGCGCATGACGAGAAGGGTGATCGTCATCGCGATGTAGAGTCCGATGTGGATGTACAGCGTGTTGAAGTAACGGGGCGCCCATTTCGCTTGGAAGAGCTGGGGACCGGTTGCGTTGCCTCCGGCCCATGCGACGACTGCGGATAGTGTGTTAGCGGGATCGTGAGAAAGGGGAGGGGCGGAGACTTACAGAAGAGGGCGTAGACGATGGATTTCTTGGTCTGGCCAGCGACGTTGAGGGATAGGAGGGAGTAGCAGGAGGGGTTGATGGCCTGGATGCACTGCATGAGGTAGAATGCGACGAGGAGGCCTCCGCGGGTGGTTGGCGTGGGCGCGACTGTGATGAGGACGATCGTGCCGATCAAGTTGACGAAGAGGGCGGCGATGATGCAGTAGATTGTCTGGCGGGTCTTGGTGACGGCCCAGCCGATGAGGAAGTAGAGCATGACAGTGAATGCATTGAGGGGGATGCCGAGGAGCTGGGCGGTGGCGGCGTCGAAGCCGAACGCTTTGTTGATGAGAATGGCATTGAAGGTGTAGATACCGCCGTTGACGAGGGTTTGGAGGAGGATCATAAGGACGAGGAGCCAGGACAGAGGATCGGTGAGAGCGTCCCTGACTTGGTCTGACTTGAATCGCTTGGCCTGGACTCCCTGGTCGTTCTCGCGGACACGCTCGACAAATTTGACTTTCTCTTCCTCGGTAGCCCATTTGACCTTGGTAGGAGAGTCGGGCAGGAAGATCAGGATGATGGCTAATTCGATGTTAGATTGGTATTGCACAGGTCAAGTACAGACACGACTTACCGGCAGAGCTAGCAGAGAGGATACCGACGAGGATATGAAGCCATTGCCATCCGTGGAGATTTCCGGGGGAGTTCTTAACATTAATGAACGCATAACCCATCAAGGAAGAAAAGCCACTGGCCAAGGCATATGCGGCTTGCCAGACTGTGGTGACCATAGCTTGCTCCTTCTTGTGGTACCACTGAACAGTGATGGCGAGCAAGCAAGGTGCGAAAGCAGCCTCAAACATACCGAGGAAGAAACGAATGGCCCAGACTCCAGAGACATTTTTGGTGAAACCAAGAGCGAAGACGAGCTGGGGACAATTAGTGATATAGGGGACGGTTGGTAGCGATTGCGACTTACGGCAGTCCACATGCACATGGAGAATCCAAGAACCTTTGCAATAGGAAAGCGACGGTTGAGTTGGTTGATGATCGGCTCGCCGACAATGACACCCGCCCAAAGGAAAGTGGACGTAAGAGCATAATCCTGGCCCTTCGCGCCAACGTCCTTCTGCCATCCCATAATTGATGAGGTGCCAAGAGTTCCCTTGTCGAGTGACTGTGCAATGTAGGCAATGCACATAACGGGAAGCAGACTAGCGATTGTTAGTAAATGATTGTTCGACTGTACATTCTATGGGATGCGCAACATACTGCCAATGGATCTTCCTCAGTAACCGTTTGTTCTCAGCCTCTTCGAGCTGAAGACCGGGGTCAACATATCCCTTGACTTCAGAGTCTTCAATGAAGCCTGCCTCTTTAGGCGACTCGAGGTCGTCACGGGAAGAGTTCTGGGGCATTTCGGTAACGTGTGTCTCCTTCTCAGTTGAATGGACCATGTTTGTGATTGTCGACTATGGCGAAGCTGAGATGTTCAGAGTGATTGTCGAGCTTGCTGTGTCGTAGTAATGATCATGTTTGAGCTTCATATATGTAGAGAGTGCTCGCATGAGCAATGTACATGAACGTGTCTGTGGCGCTCGACAGCGGGAAAATGCCCGACAAGCGGCTACCGGGGATTTTTCCGACCAGTGTAGCTGCGAACCATTATCGTTTTTGCTTCCACGGGCTCGGTTACGATCCTAATACGAGCATGGCTCGATGGATTTCAAGGAGATGCATTGCAGCGTATTGTTTTGAAACCGTGGTGCATTCACGTTCATTGATTGGCCAGCGTTCGATCGTAATTAGGAAAATTTGAAGATTGCGAGGTTCCACTAAGAAACATTAAGTCTAAGGGTCAACGGGAAGGCTAACCGTGAAGAGTAACGCTAGGCACTTCAACACGTGGAAATAACTGTTCTGGGAGATTTGAGGGCTTCTATTTCTCGTGGTGAAAGCAGATGAAAAGTACATTGAGGTATCTCTTGTAGAAAATAGGATATTCCAAGTGGGCTTGGTAGAATGCGCTGTACTATAGATATCCAAACATTGATCCTTTGCGCCAGCCACCCATATGCCGAACTCCATTAAGATGCAGTATTTACAATGTGTTTATCAAACTGAAGAAATGCTTCTCGAAGGCGCATGTATCAACATCAACTGCAACCCTGCAATTAGGCTCTGGCGGCTCAAGACCCTCCAACTTGTCCGCGATAATTACACCACGCGCCTCTCCCTCCCCAGTAATGACGGACGCCGCGATATCTTGGAACGTGCAGAACTCCGGGCGTGAGACAACAGCTACTGCCAAGGCATCGTGTATGTGGCATGCGTCAGGCGCCGGACGCCCAGGATAACGAGCCGCCAAAACGTCAATATAAGCATTCGCGGCTCTGCCAGCAAAGGAAGCAAATGCTGAATGGGACGCCTCCAGCTCCGCGGCTTGCTTTCGCGTCAGACGTGTTTTCAGCGTGCAATCCAGGCCCACCCATCGTTGAGGTATCCCAGAGCGAAGGACAGCCTGGGCTGCTTCGGGGTCTGTAAATACGTTTGTCTCGCCTGGTTTGTTGCGGAAACCTGTGGCACCAAAGAATGAACCTCCCATCATCACAAGCTCCTTCAATGCAACTGCAATCTTCGGTTCCAAGAGGAGAGCAATGGCAACATTGGTAAGAGGACCGATCGCGACAAGGGTGATCTGGCCCGGATTGGCTAGAATATGTTCGATGATGGCAATCGGAGCATAGGCTCCAGAGGCAAGTTGCCCTCGTGCTCGAGCAGCATCACGGAGGGCGAGGACATGGCTCGAAGGGGTCCGCTGTTGATTGGTTCGAATAAGCGGAGTTGCCGCACCACGGAAGATGGGCGTGTCATGGGTATCGATCCCAAGTTGAGTCGCCAGCAATTCAGTCAAAATCGTCGCACTCTCCACATCGGTGTTCCCATGGACTGTCGTGATCATGTCCAACTGCAGATTTGGGTCCGCATGAGCCAGAGCGAGAGCGAATCCATCATCGATGTTTGCGCCCTCGCCCATGGCCAGATCCGTGTCCAGAATGATGCGGGTAGGCTTGACGTTGAGCACGGAACGGGCCATTGTTAATCCGGATGTCTGTCGTCAGGATTGATATGGATTCAACGTCGTCTTGGTAGGCTGATGGGACGAAGCTTCGAGCGGGAATGGCTTTACATAGGGATGTCGACACACGCCGCCACGTGGGATATATAAAAGCCACCATTCGATGTTGCGGGTGAATATCCGCACACGAGCGGTATAATGTCCGATTGCCATGGACCAAACTTGTTAGCACCTCCACGTGGTATGTGGGCGGAGATTCAACATTTTAGAAATTATGGAGATATCAGGAATGGAAAAGAACACAATTTCGATCGCAAGCTTCTCGTACATGATTCGATATGTTCGCAAAAAAATTGACCTGATCAGAGTATCCATTCTCTTGTTTCTGTCGGTGCTTACTAATCAAGGCACGTGGGGCCGACTACACCCTAAATTCACGAAGACGCTATGGTGCATGATCAAACATCGCCGTCGCCATGATACAATGTCAGACACCTCGTCATTGCATACGGCGCATCCGCATGCTTCTCAGGCCTGCAAGCGGTGTTCGGTGAACAAGAAGAAGGTACCGCGCCGCTCAAAAACCCTCAACCCATTCGGGTAGTCATCCGTATCTGACATTACAACACCAAAGTGTGATCGACGACTTCCTCGATGCACAGCATGTGTCACAGCAGATGCTTCGTGTGAAGCGCCGATAAAGGCTGGTGACAGGAGGCTCATGCGGTACGTTGGTAAGAATAGGGGTGAATGAAAGCTCTGGCTAATATTCGCCACTCAAAAGCCATGTGGAAGAACTTCGAGATGAAAATAGGGAGCTTAAAAACCAGATAGCTATCCTTCGGCGGGAACTGAATTCTAGAGATGGCCCTGTAAGGAGTGGGGATATCGAAACAAGTTTACAGCAGCAAGCGCCCCAAGCAATAGCCCTGCCTTTGCCTTTTCTGGCGTCCAACGACCATCCCATTCTCCTCCGGTACTCACGGCACCAAACGCTCCTTCATTTCATTTTTGTGGAATTTGGCCTGCAGGAGGCAGAATTTGGCAATCAAAGCAATGATGATTCTGGCCAAACATCGAATCATGACGAATCCTCAGGCGACATCAACCACCTTCCAAGTATGGAGGACACTCGCACTATGATAAGAGCGCTTCTTGAGTCAGCAAAACATGGACCGAGTAACCTGGACAAGATCGTTGGTCTGAGACAGCTTGAAGAAGATTGCCACCTGGTCTACAGCCCTGGAGGATTGACGGCGCCTGAATACGCTGGTAGTCGATTCAGGTGCTTCACCACCCTTTATCTCGCGATGTGCATGGCAGCCGCAGCTAATGGAGATGAAATTGACACAAACAACCAAGCCATAGCTTGTCGAACTTTCGGATTGAAAGAATTGGCTTCGGTGACTTCGAGAGAAGATCTAGTAAGTAAACATACAAGTCAATGACTTCCCCGGAAGTGTCCTAACTCGACCAGGCCTGTGTAGAGGCGCTCACCCTTCTTTGCGAGCTTGCCATTCATGCACCTGGTGGTCCGAATCTTTGGCAGCTTGTAGGGCTGGCCACGCGGACTGCCATCGCTATCAATCTCCATCGCAAGGATGATATCTTCCTCCCTACAATCTATCCAGGCTGGCCTGTCACAAGTGAAGATTCTAACACTGTATCTGCCCGGAACCAAAGGCGAAAAGATCTCTTCTGGGCTCTGTACAGCCTCGACAGACTAACGGTCTTTATCCTAAACCGGCCAGTGTCGATCAGGGAGGAGGATATTGACGTAGATGTACGTTTCTGCGAACTCCACATTAGAAGTCTCCGCTTATGCGATCTAATTTAGCTCCCACCGTCTACTATGTGGCCCGAAGGGAAGTATGCCACCGTATCAAGCGAGGCACTGTGGGTCCACCACCTGCAGGCAAGGCGCTTGTACGGTCAGATACATGGATCGTTGCATGGTAGTGTCAAGCCTTCGACGGACGAAGAAGCGTCGCGACATGACGACGTAATTGCTCGATATATGCAACAAGTACAGCAATGGTATATGAAAAGCCGATTCAATGCCACCGTCATCCCTTTCTCCGAAGAATCCATCAAGCGTCACGTATGTAAAAGCCCCCCACTGCACTAATGATACTGAACGATGGCAGGTGCTCGATGATGTCCAATATCATCAGATGGTCATGGCTCTTCATCAACCCTCTGTACTCATTCCGAACGTTTCTTCGGCATCAATCGCGACTCTTACCCGATCCGCTAGTCTCTCAGTAAACCTATTCCATCATGCTGCCTCCCGGAAACAAATGAATATTCATTGGGTGAACATTTACCATGTCTTCACGTCTTGTGCAATATTAATATATTGCTTTCGCGAACATCAACTGCGATCTGATTTGATCGCTATTCCTCAAGCCGAAGTCACATCGATGATCTCCCGCTCCCGCCAAGCTCTGGCCCTTTTTCGAGGCGTTGGCAGCCTCGTGGGACGATACGAAGATATGTTCAGTCAATTGGTACATGCTTTTGAAACCTCTTACACTTTCGATCCATCAGCGGTCCCCAACCCTGCATCACCTTCCAGTCTTCCACTTACACACCAGCAAACCCTTTCGCCCCTCAATCCATCCAACGTCGATTCTGACCAGGATCCTAGCGCAGCCTTCGCCTTCGACGTGGACATGATCTTCGACGGTCTCATGCCTGAAGGAAGAACGCCAATTGCCTCCGCATCTCCGGCATTTGCAGAAGCTGTGCTTCCTACTGAACAGCCCACATTACTTTCGCCAACGTATTGGGCGGATGCGTCACAAAATACATATATGGAGCTTGAGAGGTCCGATGAAGGGAGATGAGGGCCCTTCTATACTCCACGAAGCTATTTGCTTATCGGCAAATGATCCAACGGTGCAGCGGGGAACGCAGTGCACTAGTCGCATCAGACGGTATCGCGTCCAAGTGTTTATCTCGGCCCCATACCCGCCCCAGAACACACTTTTGGTTGAATCATATTTTGGTGCCCTTAGGCCACTATAATCTGATTCTTTGTTGGCTCCGTACCTCCGAAGCAATCCACTGGGACCATGCCTATGCATTCCGCCACTTTCTCCAGGATTATTACTAGTCCGACTAGCTTACCACAGTGTATTCGGGAGACCACTCCATCAGCTCCGACCCCGCACTGCTTTCGCGGGAAAACGAAGATAGCTCATAATTTATCACATGCTTCGAGAGAATTAGTATACAGTCGAAATATCTCGCACCTCTTTCTCTGTTCTCTTCGCAGTTCTCACACATAGCAAACTTCAGTACCTTCAAGACACACCTACTTACTCCCTTTCAACCAATCGCCCGAAGCACTTAGCTCATATCTCTGAACAATGTCCGAATGCTGTGCTGTACAGTCATCTCATCCAACATGCTTCGATGATGAGATCGCAGCTCTCGCTCTCCAGTTGGAGGAGATCGGAATATATGCTCAAGGTGGAAAGGGGAAGCATCCCATTGGGATTCCACCGGATATTGATGTCGCATACGAAGCGTTTCGAGCCGAATTGGGGGACTACACAACTTTCCTGGCGGATCAGCAGCTCGCTCGCAGTATTGGAACCGCTGTACATTCCGATGGTGATATTGTAGCCAATTTGACATCTGGAGAAATCCAATGTCGTGAGGATCGTCAGTGCGCACTTCGAATGAGCCAAATCGAACCAGGATTCGAAAAGCCACCAGAGTCGACATCTAAGGAAGATACAATGTGTGCCGCCACTGAATACCAGTATGCCGGCTCCGTACTTAGTTTCCCCGACGATGTAAGCGACGATGCCACCGAAGCAGGTCCTTCAATGTCTTACACCGAACGTCAGGCAGACTTACTCGAGAAATTGTCGAAGCGTACCAAGTGCTCCGTTTGTCACGACCTTTTCTATTGCAATCTAGTTATCGCATTGCCCTGCGGTGATCGCTATTGCGTCACCTGCTTGAAAGGCTTATTCCGGCGGGCAACAACAGACGAAACACTGTTTCCTGTACGGTGCCACAAACAACCTATCCCCTACAGCTTGTTTCTAGACATATGTCTACCGATGAGCTGGCAGCTATCAAGCGAGCTAGTGTCAAATTTTCCACCGTTAATCGCGTTTACTGCAGCAGTCAGGATTGCGGAAAGTTTATTCCCCCGGGACAAATCACACCAGGAACCAATGAAGCTGTATGCGAACTCTGCAACGTATCTACGTGTGGACTCTGCAAGAATAGCTATCATCGTGGCATGGATTGTCCGGACGACCCTGCGTTGCGTCAAACTCGTGACTTGGCAGGGGACATGGGTTGGCAGACATGCTTTAGGTGTGGGAGAATAGTTGACTTGCAGCTTGGGTGCTATCACATGACGTAAGGTCCTTAATTCCACTATTACTTCACGTTCGGATGGCTAAGAGAATACGCAGGTGTCGCTGTAAAGCTGAGTTCTGCTATTTATGTGGTGTCGAATGGAAGAATTGTGGATGTGAGCATGCGAACATAGGGCGAGTATTGGAAAGAGCAGAAGAAATCGTAGACCGCGACGCCGTGGCTGAACTTCCTCAAATTGAACGCCAGCGACTAGTACGCCAGGTCCATGAAGAATTGGAGCAGAATCACGACTGTGTGCATCCAGGTAAATTCCAGCGCATATTCGGTACCGGAAGACGGGGATTTCGATGCGAGATGTGTGATGATAGGCATTGGAAGTATATCCTCCAGTGCCGGCATTGCTTCCTTAATGTATGCGAGGATTGCCGTCGCTACCGAGTGTGAGGGCTCCATTGATTGACACTCTTCTTCGATATCATACTAGTGTTAGATACCGGTCTTGCTGGTACTGCTGTAGATTCGTGGTTGAAGACTATCATCCCTGTTTTCCAATTGCACCATGTGCAAGAATTAAACCAATTAATTCATCACTTTGCGATAGGAACATCTCCACCCTGAAAAATATTGTCACAGACAGATCGAAATGCGGGCTTCCCTCCATATAATAAAAAGTCCCCCTTGCAGAACGTCAAATCCCTCTTATGATTCACCACCCATAGGTGCACGTGATCTCCTTAAGCGCCGACCCTCAACTTAGCCCAACACCTTCATTGACCTCCTCTGACAGCGATGCTACAGCATGGAGATTCTAAGCAACAAAGGTCGTACAGGTATCATCTACCATGTAAACAAGAATCTAGTCTGCAAAATGGTCCGCAGACAGGGTAGTCACAAGTTTATTGCGCGGAACGAGAATGCTTTATTTGTGGAAAAGCATCTTCTAGAGAGGCTGGGATTTCATCCGAATATCATCCGGTGTGTACTTTTAGGCCGCAAACGTACATCTCTTATACCGCGCTAGGTATTATGGTCCATATGAAGTCGGCGGCATTAAGGGTGGCATATTGCTTGGTAAAGCGAACCGCGGAGATCTCCAATCATACATGGAGAGCCCCGACAACAAAACCGACAATGCTTTGCGAAGAAAATGGTGTCTTCAGATGGCTCAAGCTCTTGCCTATGTCCACAAGAAAGGGATTATCCATTCAAACATCAGCGACACCAATGTCCTTGTTCACGAGACCAATCAGACGATCGACCTACTTCTTGCGGATTTTGGCGGATCGAAGTGTGTCGAGCTCTCCCTGAACGGACATCTACTCCCCGATATTCCTTTCGGTCATCCAGATGTGACAGACTTTGAATCCCCATCTTTAGATGTGTTCAGCTTAGGGGTCCTGTTCTACGTCATTGTTACTGGGCATTATCCCTTCCATGAAGGGCCAGCGCCAAAGAACGAGGAACATTTAGTGTATTATGACTATGCCGAGCAGAAGTACGAACAAGGCGAATTTCCCGACCTGTCTGGCGTCATGTTTGGAGATATTATTGCCGCTTGTTGTTGCGAGCGCCGATTTACGACTGCAGATCATGTGATTGATGCTCTTTGTGCTGAAATGCAGAATGATTCCGAAGATCCTGGTAGAGATGTGGCATCAATAACCAAATAAAGTACTCATGCAGTTTAGAACTTATGAATTCAACAACACTTATGAATTCAACAATTAGCAGAGTAGTATTTCAGGCTTGTCGCAATTGATTCATGCTTGAGCTAACATTACATTCTGGGGCGCTTCACGGACCCATTATAGTTGACAGACAAAAGTTCCAAAAAAGCCTCAAAGGACCCCTCAAGCCCATAAGGACAATCCTCTGGGCTATCAAAACCTTGCGGCTCCCCTCAGGACTCTCACATGGTATGCATCGTTCACCTCTCGTGTTGTTGCTGGCGCCGATCTTGGCGCAGCACAAGTTTCATGTACAGGCTGCAAGGCTGAATGTACATATCTCCTAGGCGCCAAAGGTAGAGAGACCCGTCGAGCTTTGACCAGTGACTTTTATTACATATATTGCCAAGATGCGGCTGTAGTGTACCCCGCCTCTGCAATTCGTTGCTCTCTCTTGCACGTCATGAATCTTTCCACGTTTTAACCTGGTTCACAGACATGGCTCAACCAACCAAGCTCGCGACGCGTGACAGCGTTGAAATGGCGATGAAGTACGCGGGGTATTCGGATGACTACCAATGGCATTACTTCAAGGTAAGTTTCAGGGTGAGAAATCGGGTACCTGCGCTGATGTAACGTGAGATAGAAAATTACCTTCGACGAGGCTGGACAGTTACGGGAGAGGAATTTCCACAAGTGGGCACACGTCCCTCCCAACCAGAAGCATGCATTTCTCGATGTCGTAAATGCACGTTTGAGGGCCGGAGGTCTACCTGATGCAGACCATCAACTCCTCGGCTGGCGTATGGAGAAGCTCATGCGCGGGTTCAAACGTAAGTGAGGACACCGTGTTGAATGCATCCACTAAACCGTGTAGAAGCAAGTCCTCAGAGGCAGGGAACGACTACGACTCCTTTCACAAACAATCCACCCACTCCACCTGTAGCACTGGCAGCACCGGTAGCACCAGCCAGGCTGCCATTTGATCCCGTCAGAGATGTGCGCCACGAGCCCCAGACGATCTTCCCTAAGACGCATGGGGAACAGACACTTGGTGGAGACTACGAGTACATAACATCGAATACGTTTGGTGCCGTCGATTATGACAGACTAGTGTCATGGAAGGCAAGCCCCGGGATCATTCACATCTGTGGCTCAGCAGTACATTCTATAAGAACGTCGCAGGATGAGGAGAATCAACTTTTCCCTGCCGGATTCCGATTGATTGTGAGCTATACTATGCTCAAGTTGATTAGGAAATGAGGATACCGAGATATAGAGGCTGTCATGCAACAGCGGCGTGCTGATTCTGTAGATCCGGCCTATCTGTGCCAAGGTCACAAGAACGAGATAGCGGGGAGAACGCAACAACATCATATACCCAATTTTACACACAGGTCCAAGTCACACTGTGCTGATATACGTACCTACATAAACGTTTAGGGTCTGACGTCGTTTCACATTTTTATGGGAAAGAATATTCTGACATACTAGAATGAGCTGAGGACTTTCGGAGGTAACTTTAATAGCGAAACTTGCCAGATGGCTACGCTTACATATATCACGACCCTACTCATGAGTATCGATGTTAGGAATTAGTTATCTAACCGACCCATCTACCTAGTAATGTGCGTTACCTACCAACCATTTCAGACAGAAGCAAGTACCCCTCATCGGCATGTAGTGATTTCTTGACTATCATACCAACATGTACCAATACGAACGCAAGGTTTCATAAACGCAAGTGAAGATTTCTCTATTGCGCTAACATACTGTTCATGGTATGACAGAACGTTGCTGGTTGTCAGTTTAGAGTTTCGGGCGGCGGGACGGCTAAAAGCTAGCGCACCAAGTCTCGTGAAATAACCCCAGTGCTAATCGAATATAGGCATTTCTACGTATCATATCGCTCTGTTCTCCATGACATTTTGAATTTTCTGACAACGCTGTCTTTGCAATCTCACGATGTGGCAGCGGAGAAGTGTTGTGGGTGCATCCACGCCGAATTTTGCGCAAAGTCCATTCGCATTCCTATAACAAACAATACCGTAGTATCCTGAACTATACCTAAAACCATAAACAGAAAGCCTTGGAAACCGGCAAAAGCCTTTACGAATGATGATCATCTTCCTCCGATGTCGACGCCGGCAGCGGCTTCTTCCCATAAACTATCCAAAAATTCCAATAAGCATGATACCTCCTCGTCCTAAGATCTGTCCTCACCGCCGCCATGAAAACCTGCACCTCTTCCTGCGACCACCCAAGCGCCCTAGTAAACAGCGCCAGACTCATCGACTCGCATCCCCAGGAGAAGTTCTCCAGCACCCATCGACCGAGCTCTTTGTATCTCGCGTCTCTCGGCCAAGTGTTGATTGGCCATTTGACGGGCGTGGCGACAATGTCGACGTAGCCTGAGTCTTTCATCATTTGAGGGACGCGGGAAATGGCGTCGAGTGGGAATCCTGCTTTTGATGCTGCGTCGTGCATGTAGTCGTTCCATCGGGAAAGGGCGGAGTCGGCAGGCAGACTACCGTCGTCGCATTGGATCACGAAGTCGATGTCGTGGACTTCGAGATAGCCGCCAATCTCTTGGTGCCTGACACGATTAATTCTTAACCTGTGGGACGGACGTACGCGTGATACTTACTGAAACGCTTGGTCGAAGAAACGCGGCCAGTCCTGGAACGCACCGATCATCAGTTGGCAGTGAATGTAGTCGAACTTGCGCGAAAACGTCCATTCCTTCTCGAGATCATCGACCTCAAAGTTTAGATTTGGCGGGACACTGGGAATAGTTAGCATGTAGAAGACAAATCTACCAGAGGGAAGATTTACTTCTCCGGTTGGACTGGTGCCAGATCGACACCAAGGACCTCGCTCTCGGGGTGCGCATCGGCTGGAAATTCATCAGAAGATCGGCTTTCAGGTATTGACGCACTGCATACCAAAGTCGATGGCCCATATTCCGGTACCACATCCAACATCAAGCACCCGACGCACGTGTTTCAGAGGTGCCATGCCTAGCTCTTTGTCAAGAGTCAACCAAACAATGTGATGCTGGAAGTCTGAGGTTTGTTAATGAGGTGAAATCAATGTTGTGTTTGTCCGAACCTACCTAGACGTTCTATCTCTTGCTATGGATGAACAAAGTATCAGTATATGTCTTCATGCATCTATACGGTGATTGTGTTACCTCATCCATGGGAAGAACATATTCTAACAATTAATGTTAGCTGCCTGAAACGGGTCAGGCATCATTTTCACTTACTTGCTTCCATATATCCTTGGTACTGTCGTCCATGTTCTTTCAATTGTAGTATCAATTCATCTCTTATTGAAGTGGTCGTGGTCGCCAACTAGTCAAGCTAACGTTTAGCAAACCGTTTGCCATCATTTTACCTTCACGTCTACTCACGCTTTGGATAGCGGAATCTCCATCATTGAAGCGTATTTCACGCTCGCTCTCCTGTGATTGTGTCAGTAAGCCGCCACACCCCCCATAGCCAAGCAAACTTGCGGTGTCGGGCTCCAACGGTAGGGCTGATTGTATTGGCCCAATCTCCGCTTCAGTGGCGCCGGCGGTGGCATCTTCGTCGTTAAATGAAGCCATCGCGCTGAGTCGCAAGAGTCGCGCAAGTACGACTTGGTCCCCAAGGACAGCAGCAAGCTCTCGAACGGCCCAGGAATATTCCCTCGAGCTGAGCTGACAAGGCGAGAGTTGGTGCGGGAGCAGATCTGGAGTCCACTAGCACGTCCACGTCTTGTCAGCCGCCGCGATCTTGTCCGTTGTGCCGCACCCCTGTGTCACATCCCTACAATCATCCGATTCGACTAGACTGCGCCAGAAAAGGGAAATAATAGCCGGTGGCATAACCCGGGGCTTGTGGGGGGCTCACCTTATGTCTTACCGAACTGTCCATTCCCAGGAACAACTCACGCCCAGCTGCGCAACAAAAGCAATTGCCTCAGGCGTACAGAGATGACTAAGGAGCAGCATATCGATGCCTTTGGCCACCGTCTGGTGCAGGACGTCTTCCAGATGTCGCGTACCGCGATTATCGTGAGCACTGTAAGCGCGCTGGTGCTGGCGTGTCTTGTCAAGGTCGTCGTACAATGGTACCGCCTATCCCATATCCCGGGTCCGTTCTGGGCTGCCTTCTCCAAGGGCTGGATGGTGAGGGAATCCCTCAAGGGAAGACAGCCGGCTGCGATCAAGGATGTGACCGATAGATACGGTAGGCTCACGCAGCGCAGATAGTGTTGATATCACCACTTACACCGTTCAGGTTCGCTCGCTCGCATTGGCCCGAACGAACTCGTGACGGACGATCCGGAAGTTCTGAGAAGGATGATGGCCGTTCGTTCCGCCTACACCAGAGGCCCTTGTAAGAACAGCTCGGATTAGAAGATGATTGAAGCTAACACCGATAGGGTACAATGCGATGCGATTCGATCCCGGACGCGACAATTTGTTCTCTATGCGCGATGAGGTCGCCCATACGAAATTGCGTAACAAGATGGGAGCCGGGGTAAGTCCACCAGTACAACCTGGGCGCTACCAGGATTGCTAACGCATCAATCATGATGTAGTATTCTGGAAAAGAAAATACCTCCATGGAGGGGTCCATCGATAACCAGATTGCGAACTTGGTGAATTTAATCGAGAGGAAGTATCTCTCAAATTCCGACTCCTACCGTCCCATGGATCTGGCACAGAAGGTGCAGTACTTCACTCTTGATGTCATCAGCGATTTGTCTTTTGGCCGTGCTTTTGGGTATATGGAAGCAGATGACGATGTATTTGACTACATCAAGATCACTGGTGCCTACATTCCGGTGATGCTGGTATTGGCAAATGTTCCATCGTTGGCAGATCTCTTGCATTCGCGCCTGTTCCGGGGCATGCTACCTTCCGAGAGCGATAAACTTGGATTTGGTGCATTCATTGGGTAAGTTGCTAAGTCGTTGAGATGATCTTTGCTAATGCACTTCGAAGAGTTGCAAAGAAGATGGTAGCAGAGCGATTTGGACCTGCAGCTAAGCATCACTCCGACATGCTTGGATCGTTCATCCGCCACGGACTGAACCAGGAAGAAGCATCCGGAGAAGCCTTGCTTCAGGTTGTTGCTGGCAGTGATACCTCTGCCTCTACTATCCGCGCCGTGATGATCAACATCTTGACCAACCCTGCCATATACAAGAGGCTCCAGGCGGAAATCGATGAAGGCATCGCACAAGGAACCATATCTTCGCCCATCACGGACTTCGAAGCCCGCAACTTTCCATATCTTCAAGCCGTGATCAAGGAAGGCCTCAGGATTCTTCCGCCAGCATCAGGTACTTTCTTCAAGACTGTCCCAGAGGGAGGAGATGTCATCCATGGCAAATTCGTTCCCGCCGGAACTCAGATCGGATCATCTCCATTCGGTATTCATCATTCAAAGAAGATCTTTGGCGACGATGCCGAGGTCTTTAGGCCAGAGCGTTGGTTGGAGTCGGACCCAGAACGCGTTCTCGAAATGACCAGTACTGTCGATCTCGTCTTCCATTACGGAAAGTACCAATGTCTGGGCAAGTCAGTAGCTATGATGGAATTCAACAAGATATTCGTTGAGGTATGCTTGATGGAGTCCTTTGAATAAGTCTTTATACTAACCTCAGCCACAGCTGCTCAGGAAGTTCGACTTCTCCATCACCAGACCCGACAAGCCGGTTAGAATCAGCAATGCCGTACGTATCATGAGAACTCCCCAATGAGAGCATATTGACTAAGCTGGAACAGGGCATTTGGATCATTGAGGACTTCTGGGTTCGCATCACACAGCGTCAGGTCTAGGTGTGCGGTCGGCAAAACTTTCCTTGGTCCGTTCTGACCGTTCTTGGTCCGAGACATTCTTCCCCTTCTTTTGAATGCCCAATCACATCTTGATTGGAGATCTGCATTTATTTGAGCATTAGCATTCTACATCAATAGCTGGGTGGAATAGCCCTTTACATCTTTTAGCAAGCCTGCCTACAGCATCTGGCTATTCAATACATTATCTTTCATTCTCGAAGATACAGAAATGATAAATTGATCTCTGATCATCCATGTATCTTAGAGAGCTCAAGGGCGGGTTTTCAATTGACCTAGTATGATTGTGCCTTCAGTGTCATGCTCAGATTTATGTGAATTATTGTTTTTCTTGTGGAAGTGTTCTTAAATGTTCTCGACGGAGACAATCTAGAACTGACCAACTTCCTACACCTACCTTTGCACTAGAACTATACTTGAACTATTTTTATTCCTCCATGATCTCTAGAACTTCTAACTAGTCAGTAAATCTCATCCATAATTCCCAAATAGGAACAATCCGGCCGTGGTGTGGTCTTCCGAGTAATGCTCCACGCGATTGAACAATCAATAAACGTGACATCAGCCCAGAACATTCTTTGTCCTGTCAATGTCACAATAGCCTCCGCCACACCGACCCTTCTGAATCCCCATCGGACGACCGTCCGACTCTAAACTCGCATCGCCAGCTTAGAATGGAACTAGATCATTTGTCCCTGACTAGGCCAATTCCGCTAGGTGTTGCCGCGAGTCTCCACATCTTCAGCCTCGCCCGGAACACCTGAAACAACAAACATTCGAACGACAATACCAACAGAAACAATTTCTCAACCTCACGTTGAACACACGATCTCTCTCACAATAATCAAGAAAATACACAACCCGACATCCCACGCCGACATCCGAAATCCATCCTCGCGCGCGATGCCCACAAGCGTCCCCTTCCACCAATCAAATCGGCCCGCGAAAAGAATCATCCCAACGCTGGTTCCACGAAAGCGTTTGATCGACGCGCGGGATCATGACTTTTTCCCTCGAACGCCCCAATGAAGGTCTCGGCCCTCCCTTAATTTCCAGCATAATAATTCCACCAGCGGGAGTCGGTTCTCATGGATGTGTAAGCCGTATAGGGCGTATTCCGTTCCTCTTCTCGTGTTGTGTTCACTTGGACGGTTGTACAGAAGACGTCTGTCTACCTGACCTATAACTATATGCATGCATGCGATGCTGTTAATATCACATATTGCGGGGAACCCGGTACTCGCTCGTACAAGCAATAAACGACGACATCTCGCGTAGAATTCTCCGTGTCTGCATGTCATTAATTTGCCTCTATAGTTACCTGCATGATTGGAAGGAGAAAAAAAACCAACGTGGCGAAATCGAAATTCGCACTCGCATCTCGCTCGTTCGTAACTCCGCCCAAATCCGATCGTTAAATTTCTCCGCCGCGATTAAATTGATAGCTAGATTGTTTTCCGCAGAGACTAGGTGGCTGTCATTCATGCGTTGCGGTTAGCGGGCGGGAGGTGAGGTGAGTAGAGGCGGGCCAAGACGCACGCATTGGGAATGTCTTGGCCCGGCCGGCCGCTACTTGTGTGTTTGAAACAAACATCGGGCTATTGGAGGGTGTGTGCGTGCTTCTTTCGTCTTCTGTTTCTTCGATGGGGAAATGAAGTGAAATGAATTGGGATAGAATAGGGTGGACGCTAGAAACGTGGGTGGGGAAAGGGAACATGCGATTGATGGATAGATGGTGTCTAGATTGTACGGACGAGGGTGTTTAAATACATTGGCTTCGCTCCCTCATGGGTTGATTCTGAGATATCTCGTTGAAGCCAGCTCTTCTTTTCGTTCGTTGTTGACACTTTCACATTCGTTTTCATACTATTAGTACACTCGCAATTCGTCTCGAATTACTCGGTCAGGCACCAATCTTCCATTCATACAATACATCAGACCGAACCGTATCAACCATCCCATTAAACCATGAAGGCCTCTTTCGCTCTCTCGACCGTTCTGCTCACGAGCACTGCGCTCGCCGGCACCCTTCCCACCGTCCACCAGTCCGGCCTCGGAAAGCGTGCCCCAGTCTGCAAGTTCGACGAGGCTCCGCATGAGTTCGACGACAGCAACGCCTGGGCCAACGTCGTCTCCTCATCCAAGCGTGACCTCAACCAGAAGAAATGGAACCCGCCATCCAACCTTGTGACCCCCCTCAAGCAGGTCTGGGACCACCAGATGAGCACCTACTCCAACCCCCTCGGGTTCAAGAACTACGGATACGACCAGGTGATGGCGGCCAAGGGCAAGATCAACTACTGCGTCAGGTGGGAGGGTACCAAGCCCGTTACGGCCGACCAGAGGGCCAAGGTGGAGAAGGCGATCCAGAGGCAGTTTAAGAAGTGGATTGATATCCTTGCTGGGTTCGAAGGCTTCCCGTACTCAACCGTTCCCGTCCAGGTTGTGGGTTGGGCCGTGCAGAACAAGAACATTCTGCAGGGTGATACTAGTGGAATCCAGGTCTACACGACCAAGGATTCCGAGGGTGTCCCTGAGTGTGACCCCAAGTGTGGAAGGTTCTTCCACCAGAACGGTGATTACAGCCAATGTGCTGCTGGCGCTGCTCGCCATTACGGTATGTTCGCCCTCTGATTTCTTTCGTGAAAAGTAACTGACAATCCGCGAATAGACCAATCCCTCTGGTTGACTCCTGGCATGCAGGGTGGTGCAGGAGGTGACTGGGGCCAGCGTGTCGGTCAGGAATACTTCATGCAGCTGCTTGACTCTGACAACATCCATATCGTTCTGCACGAGCTTGGCCACACTTTCGCCCTTGATGACTTCTACGACTGGACCCCTAGCGGCGTCACCAACTTCATCATGTTGGCCGGCAGCGCTACCCAGATCACTGAATTCGATGCCTGGATGGCCAGGGACTGGTGGAGGAACCTCAAGTCCAGGTACGGATTGTAAAGAGACAACTGTCTCAGGTGCCGAGGAGACAACTTCGCGGTTATTAGTATCATCGTACACATGCGTTGGTCACAAAAGGAACGAGGTAGAGGCTTTGGGGACGTTCGATTATTGTACATATTCTTCTTCACTTCTTGTAAATATCATAGCAGTCATAGTCAGATCTCAAAATTGGAGGTCTCACTCAACTTTGCATTCTTTGGTTCGAATGTGACATTGTCGTGGCGTCATGAATGACTTCATTTCATAGCTTGCCTCCAATTCGTAATCATTGCCACCTACCAGCCTCTATATTCATTGCTAGGGCCGGGAGGTAGCGCAGCACAGCCAACAGCAGTGACTGCCGACTTCAGAGAAGAAGCGTTGCACCCTTACTCGTCGGAGGGTTACAAATCCACTCATACCCTTTATGCCTTCACCCAATCCGCAATTCTAAGAACAGCCTCTTGGGTACCGAAGATCCGGAGACGATTTCCAAAATCTTCCCAGAAGGCGGAATCGGGCGGAGGCAAAAGCTCCATGGGGTCTCTTTCGATTCCATTGATCGTTTGCGCCAGAGTGTCGTCAGCGTGCCCCCAAGTAGGAACGCCACCATCAGGCGATACACTGCCATCATCATCCTCTAGGGCTGTTGAATTCAAGGCACGTAAGCCCTCGAAGATGTTGAACGTCGCAAATTTCTGGCTATCTTTCTCATTCGATGCGCGATCCTTCCTTCCCCTACTTCTGTCTCTTTTCTTCTTCTGGTCCGTATCTGAGATGTGGAGGGAATCAAGCGATATTAGCGCTACATGCGACTGTGAATCATCGACGGGTGGCAGTGTGACTGGCCTCTCAGCCTTGTCCCGGCCATCAAGCAAAAGTGGGTTTTCCTCGATTGCGGTCTTGAAGCTATCAAGGGAGCCTGAAGCCAAGGACGGCGGAGACGACTTATACATGGTGGCATTTAGCTTTGCCGACAAACGGATCATGACAGTGGCTGTCAAAAGACTGTCGTATCCTGCCTCATGGAACGCTTCGGTGTCGTGATACTTGGTATGGTGAGCGTGGGTAGCTGTACCAGGAGTTAGTTTTCTCTGATGACTTAAATCCAACAGTTGCGACTTACCGATTTTCGGGAAGAGTTGAGTTTTGAGACTCTCCGAAATCTCCTGCAAAGGGGGCGACGCATTCAAATCCCCACCGTCGAAGGTTGCCAGGTACTTGGTATCGATGATCCTGGGGAAAATCTTATGGACTGCACTGCAGAACTCACCCAGAGTATCTGGTAGATCTCCTATAAACGTCTTGTAGAAGTAGACTATATCAGTAAACATGTTGTGTCCAACGAGGATGGGCTGCGCTCGGCTAAGCTGGTCCTGCGCTCGCCTAAACCGGTGCTTGATGCTATCGAGATCGGCAGCGATGACCATGCCCGTGGTATCTTTCGCGAAATATACAGGGTCGAGCTCTTGGAGAGAACCACCAGCCAAAGCTTCTACCACCCATCGGAAGCCCGTTTGCTTCAGAATCTGCTCTTTCACTCTCTTCTTCATTCTGCGAGCATTGTCGGCCTCTCGGTCTGCATCGAAATGAATTATACGGATGTGGTCCGGCTTTGATAGTGTCACAAGGTCACGGAATTCGGCACGCACGAGCTGATGCACGAGACGTTTCTCGAAGCGAGTGATTGCAGGAAGCTCGGGCTGCATCTTGAGTCCAGTGTGAGTGGTGATCTCCAGTGAACCCTTGGAGGACTTCTTCCACTTCGTGATTGCATCTCTTACACGGCGAACGAAGTCTAGCGAGTCCACGTCGGTCTCCTTTAGCTGGAGGTCATCGACATGATTTTTCTTGTCGAAGCGGTCGTTGGCCAACTGCTGTGCTCGTGCGGCCTCGGCTCTCGAAAGATATTGCACTCCTCTGGTGAAAGGTAGGTTGAATTCGAAACCATGTTCAAGCAAGAACGATATTGCGCCTGTTTGGAATGATACCTCGCGTTCGATGTCAAGACGTTCTTCAACCAGAGGACTTATATTGATATTGTACGGTCGCAGGACATATTTGTTGGCTATATAATCGAAATGGGCGCACGTAATACCCACCTGCAGGATTTGATATCTGTTCGGATTAGTCAGTCATTGCAAGATGGAGTGCGTTTGCCGGGGATTTTACCTCTCGGCGCCAGCCTTGCATTCAAGATAGCGATCTTCGAGCGATGCCCTACCGCGAGCTCGTGGAAAACTCGGTATTCGTGAGGGTATTCCGGAGAGTTCCAGGTCAAAAGATACAAGATCTGAGTCTGCTATCGCTAGAATTATACCCAGAAGATGGTGGGGAAAGGAGATGTTATCGACCTCCATGGTGATGATGCAGAGAGATATATCGATCACGCCAACGATGTTGTTAGAATCAAGGCTTCCGCACTGATATAGAAAGATGAAGGGAGATTACCACGGGCGATGAGGGTAGGTGCCCCCTGAGGTATTATAAGAACGATGAATGCCTGGGGAAGTCTCGTACATCAAGGGCGCAGTGATTGCCTGAGCTGTAGGGTGAGTGGGCGGGAAGTCAGTCAGTGCGGGAGGCAATCCGAGACAAATGGGGTGTGTTGGTTTGCTTGCGTGGGAGCTCAACCAGATCAATCAAAGGTGAAGTCTTAATGTTTGTTTGCCTGTTGCGACGTTAGCACTGTCATTGCGGCTCACAAGCGGTTCGATGTGATGATCGTGGTCATGTGAGAGGGATGTTTAGGTTGAGGTGAGATGAGGTTAGTGCGGCGAGGTTGTTGATCGTCTGTGGCTGTTTATTTTGCCAAGCAATTTGCTACCGTCGGTCAGCCGAGGTATTGAGGACATCGTCACATTCCTCACAACGCCAGGAACACGTCCTTCTCTCCCTCTCCCTACCTCCTCCCAGGAGTCATGGTCGGTCGTATACCCGCGACACCATCCTGAATACTGTAGCTATCCTCCACCATGGCTGTCTCGTCCTTTGACGCGATGAACAGCTCACGCCTGCTCTCATCCTCCGTGTCCTCCCTATCCGGCAGCCGACAGCAATCCTCACAGATCGCCAAAGCCTATCGACAGGCTGCTCAACTATTCCTCACGCGTCGCTTGCCCGAGGCTCTCTCAACCATTCAGCCCATCATAACCCCACCGGCCCAGGAGGACGTCAATGGCTCGTACAATGGTGATCTATCGGGTTTTGCCCCGATCGCCAATGCCTCGCGGGGAACCCGGGTCAAGGTGTGGAGCTTCTATCTGACATTTCTGAATGCGGTAGTGGAACTGGGTGCAGAAGAAGGAAAACATGCATTCGGAAGCACGACATGGAAGGCATTGGTGTCGAAGTGTCGCGATGGGAGCGTTTGGGAGGATGTCGTCCGCGACGGATATGCCGGTGCCGAGGGAGACGTCGACGCAGAAGTCGTGGTGAACTTGTAAGACCTCCTTCGATATGTGTAAATAGGATCTAGCTGACAGGCATGCAGGTCAACCCTCCTCCTCACGCATTCACCATCACAGAGACTCAACCAGCAGCGCATGGAGACATACCTTTCCGCCTCGGCTAATCCGACCTTCGATGTGTCTTCTCACATGCAATCACCCTCCTACATGCAGCGAAGACATAGCCAACACAACAATGGCACCAGCACACCTCGCGACCTCAACACACGACTGAAGCTGCTCGAGCTCTACACCCTTCACGTCCTGCCGAGGAACGAGGAATGGGACTACGCTCGCGAGTTCATTAGCATGAGTGAGGTCCTCGACGACGAACGCAAGGAAGCATTCTTGCTTGCCCTGCATAGTCTGAAAGAAGAGAAGGAGGAGACGGAGATCCGGGAAGCCAAATTACGCCAGCAGCAGCAGGAACAGATGGAACAACGCCGTAAAGAGTCAGAGGCCCGCCGGTTAGAACAGTCACGAGCCGAGGATGAACGGCGGAAACGGGAAGAGGAGAACAGGCGGCAGCCCATAGGGTCTGACGAGGTGTTCAGGAAAACGCAGAGCCGCCAGGCGCCATCACCGGCATCGTCACGCGCATCACGTCCAGCCAAAAAGGCGGTCAGTCCGCCTCCGAGTTTCTACCACCGAGCCTCGGCCATGTTTGCGTCGATGCAACAAGCGATATCGAGCACGGCACAGTCTGTCACCACGAATCCGATGGCCTTTTTCCGATTTGTTCTTTTCCTGTTAGCATTTGCATTGGCGTTTGGACGACGAGACCTCCGCGAGCGGATCAAGCGGACGTTGAGCGAGATGTGGATGAAGATCCGCCGCACCGTCGGCATGGGAGTCAAGGTGTCTTATATTTAATGTTGGATGTTGTCCGTCTATCAGTCTGTTCCTCGATTGTTTTTCGTTACCGTGACACGCAAGTATGAAAAAATGTAATGCTTCTTGTATCATAATTGGATAGTTCACACTCTCAATCTGAGTGTAGATTTTAAATATCAATATGTCGAATTTATAGTCACCAACGTTGTCTGTGTTCGTCTCGCCTGCTTGATTGCCTCTATACTAGGTGACGCCGATGTAGTACAGCGTACTGCGGACTGAATACCATCAAATCCCAACTCCCATGAGTCAAGACCCAAGATCATCATCATCAACGAACGCGAGCACAGCACGACCTACAGAAAACCCCTCCAGTCCCTCCACAATATTCATACTCCATCTCACCCTACCCCAGAAATCCAGAAAAAGGGGTACGATATCATGAGGTCCACGCCAATGGCGCTACGCATGCATTTTACAAGGCGAAACCCTGCTCCCGTTCTCGCGTCTCATTTCGTCTACGGAGCACTATCCGTCTACGTAATGTTTAGCTTAACGGACATCAAACCGCGGCACGACGTTCACGACGTTCAGATGTAAAGATTGACTGGGGTAATGGTGTGAACCGAGGTCTAGGATAAGTAATTCGAAGATATGGACTTTGTTCTACCTTGATGTAGGAAAGCTGATTGCGAGTGTTTGATTAGTTGGAAGGAGCCTTGAAGGTCAGTGTTTGGTTACGTAAGCGTGTCTTTCCTCGTGGACGGCGCCATTCTGACAACATACATCATCTTTCGTCCTACATCATTCTCGTTGTACAGTCAGTATATGGCGAGCATTTACTTGTCTTTTCTGTGAGGTCTTCTATTCACTCGGAACAAGTTTCAGAGCCCTGGGATTTTGTATTCATTCATTGATTGCTTCATTCGCCCGTGTCTCACCGACGATGGATCTCCATCTCCTCAGAGCTTTTGCCCATAGTCAAGCTGAAGTGGGTCGCGCTCGACCTATCGTGACGATATGAACAAATTTCCTTTCGATACTCGGGGGTATAATGTCTGTTGCCTACACCAGGTACAGAGCTCATAAAGCACGATGATACGCTCCTGTAGGTGCGGCTGAATTGACACAGCCACATGTTGCCGCCCAGGTACAACACAACAGCTGGTCTATCTTCAGCCTGGTCCGTCCAGATCACTGTCACTGCAACTTCTCCAACCTTTCGTGAACATTCGGACATTCAGTGCTTCATATTATCTATGTCTCAACATTTTCTCAGCGATAAGGACTATCAATAGTCAGTATTTCAACCGTGGCGAACATAACAGATCTGAGAACCCATATTGTCTTTCGCCTCAGCTATGAGCCGTGCTTTTATTCAGGCTTCGGCGCTGAAGCCCGATATACGTCTTGCACAAGCTGTCTCTGAATTTCAGGCTGATCTTTCGAGCGAGGAGAAAGCCAAGTTCCAATCTCAGAGATCGCAATTTGCGGCAGCATCACCAGTGTTGGACGATGTCATGCGAGTAACAGCCGAAGTCAATCGGCAAACATCAAGGAAATTAGGCGGTCAATGTTTTGGGACTCGTTTCACAAACTTCATGCATCTAGTCCAACAATTTGCAGCGATTGGAGACGTTGTGGTTGGAGGGAGCCAGAACCTGATAGCGTGCGGCGTCTGGGCGTTGGTGCGCATGTCAATACTCGTAAGGACCATGACTTGCGACTGCTCTTTTCACCTCCTAACATGCTACAGTCGATTGCTAGTGCGTCAACATATGCAGACAAGCTGTCTTCGCTGTTCATGGACATCGGTCGCTCTGCCCCACGAAATCAAGCCATGGCCCTGCTTTATCCTCGATCTCGAAAGCTGCAATCGTACCTCGCCGAGTACTTTGTGGTGGCGGTCAACCTATGCCGGTATATATATAAGTTTGGACAGAAAGCCTTCTATCAGCAATTTGTCTCAGCAATGAGCGATGCAAAGTTGCAAGCTTTTCGCGGCGAACTTAACCAGTGGGCAAATTCAATCAAAGATGAGGTGTCTCTACTCGAGAAACAAGAAGACGCGGGGAGCAGAGCCTTGTCCAGGAAAATATTCAAAGACGCATCGTACCAGCGAAAGATTGCCACAAGTCTACGTGTCCTTGATTTATGCTCCACCTACGACCATCAGACAGCCTGGAAGCAAATTCGAAAGGCTGGAAATACCTCCTTCTTCATGCAACTCTTGGAGTATCAATCATGGAGAGACTGCGCCGAATCTTGCACCCTCATGTGCACAGGCCAGCTAGGGTCAGGCAAGTCGGTAATGTTAGCCAATATTATCGATGACCTCACCCTCACCGTTAGCAAAGAACGCTGTGTGGTAACATACTTCTTTTGCAGATACGATGTTCCGGAGAGCCTGAAAGCACGAACAATCTTCGGTTCTTTGGCACGACAGATGCTCTCCGCTCTGCCAGATCTTGTTGAATTGGCTGAAAGCTATGACATCACGAGACTGACCAGCAATGTCGAAGATATTGTCGAACTCGTCGAACGCGGCTTCCCCTCTTCCTACAAGTCATATGTTGTCCTAGACGGACTGGATGAATGTGGCGATACAGAAAGGGAAATTGTCCTCGCACAATTACAGAGAATTCAAAAGAAGTTCAAGGTTCTGGTTTGCGCTTCCTGTAGGAAAGAGCCGAATGATACTCTGCGGTCTACCACTCAAGCACTAGTGGCAAGCCGCGTCCTCTCGATGCCCGACAACAATCCAGACATTGAGAGCTTCATCGACATGGACCTGGAGCGTTGTCTTGCCCAAAACCGATTAGTGATAGGAGACCCGGCATTGATACTCGAAATCCAGGATGCTCTCATGAAAGGTTCGCAAGGGATGTTTCTCTGGGTGGCCCTCCAGATTCAGTCTCTATGCGACATGAAGACGGATCAATCGATCCGAGACGCACTGGCAGACCTGCCTAAGGATCTATCGGAAACCTTTAGGCGAATTCTACGAAAGTCGGGAGGCAAGAACCAGTCACTACAAGACAAAACCTTACGACTTGTGCTAGCGGCTCACAGGCCCCTTACGACTGAGGAATTGCGTGAAGCGCTCAGCGTTACTCCGGGAGACGCAACATGGGATCCCGCCAAAGTATTGAATGACGTCCATTCAGCATTGGCTTGCTGTGGCTGCCTCCTCACAATCGATGAAGAGGAGCTGACTGTTCGAATTGTTCATCACAGCTTCAGGCAATTTATGCTTGACGGGTTCGACGTGTCAACGAATCGGCATTTCACGTTCTATGATGCACAGAATACGATGGCAGATATTATCGTCACCTATCTGGGGTACAATATCTTCGAAACGCAAATATCCACGACGACGATCCGTCCAATCGCGATGCAATCAGCGCCGTTGAAGGTCATTCATGCTACCATGGATCCCTCGAGCACGATGAGTCACCTCGCCTTAAAATTACTCAAGTCTAGGAAGCAGCCCAAATTCGATATGACCCAAGCTCTTGCGGAAGCACGCAGCGCGTTCGAACGCAAATCAGAGAGCGCATTCAAGTTCTATGAGTATGCAAGATCACACTGGCAAGACCACATTCTATTCTTGTCAGGACAGAAAAGTCCTATTCTCACGCTGGCTGAATCGATGATGTTCCGAATGCCTAAGCTAGAGAGCGTGAACAACAGCTTTTGGATGTATTGTCGCTGGATTGTCGACAATAGGAATGGAAGTATTCTTGAGCTCCTACTGAAGACCGGAAAGATTTCTTGCACTATCATGGACGACAACGGGTTGACGCTGTTGATATGGGCTGCCAGCAATGGGGCCAGAGCACTCCTTGAGATCCTTCTCGATCTCAACAGATCCTACATTGACGAACGAGCCCATGACGGATTGACGCCGCTGGCGTGGGCGGCGAAATGGGGATATGGGGTTTATCTTGCGCTGCTGCTCGAGACTGAGAGATTTGATGTCGACGAGAAAAGTTACGGGACAACACCATTACTGTATGCAGCGATTGAAGGACATGAAGATTTAGTTAAGCAGCTGCTTGGCACTGGAGAGGCTAACGTTTATGCAACGAATCGAGACGGATGGTCGCCGCTGGACGCAGCACTATATCACCGACACATAGGTGTGGTCAAGCTGCTGTTGGGTACAAGACGCTTCGATGTCAATGCAGGTCGTTTCAATGGACAGACGCCGCTGACAATGATGGCAATGAAGGGGTACGAAGATATAGTCGAACTGCTGCTTCACTCTGAAAGGATAGATGTTAATAGAAAGGACGGTCTGGGAAGGGGTCCGCTGGCAACGGCAGCGCAAACCGGGCACAAGGATATAGTTGCGATGCTGCTTAACACTGGGAAGGTCGACGTTGACTCAGAAGATAAGGATGGAGTTACTGCACTAAAGGCAGCAGTACTTGCGGGTCATAAAGGTATAGTTGGGCTACTGCTTCACGCCGGAGCTGATGTTAATGTAATGGTTGGGGATGAAACGCCGCTGCTGATGGAAGCAATTTGGTTGGAGTCTGAAGATATAGCTGAGATGATTCTCAGCGATAGCAGGGTTCATGTCAATGCAAGGGATCCACTAGGGCAGACGCCGCTGATGTTTGCAGTAAGGAAGGGGATGCACAAGATGGTTGAACTACTACTCCGCTCTGACAATATCTTGGTTGACGCCCAAGATAATGGCGGAAATACTGCGCTGATGCATGCAGTAGGGTTGGGCAATGAAGAAATAGTTAGGCTGCTGCTCAAGACTGACAGAGCTCATGTTGGTGCTAAAGATCGTCGAGGGAGGACAGCGCTGATGCATGCGGTAGCACGGGGGAGGAAAGAAATAGTTGAGCCGGTGCTCCTCTATACAAGGGCGAGTCATTACTCAAATTACGACGCAAAGTACAAGAAGCAATTGATGAGGATATCGAAATCCAAGGAGATAACCGAGCTGATCGATTATTGGGATTGATTTGTACATGTACACAAGGGCAAAGGGCGGACCATATTAGGAGTTTAGATCTTTCAGTATGCAGAATGACATCTTCAAAGTATGATCCTTGTCGACCAAGACATCAAAGACAGCACCAATCTCGATGTCATTTCGATGGCAAGATTTTAGATAGCAAGATCAGGAGCAGGATCTGGACAGGCTGCACTCTAGGATGAACAAGGACTTTGCCGACAAGCTTTGCATGACATCCAAAGAACCCAATGATATCAAGCAACCACTGTCAAAATACACGCAGAGAACATGTATTTGCTCACTTTCTTCGAATGTTCGCCCATTCATTCGTTCGTCGGCGATGGTAGGACTTTCCCTATCCTGATTTTCTCTCTTGTTGTGCTAATTCACCGCCTCCCTAGATACACAACGAGAGAGAGAAAGAAAACCAGAAAAGTGCACAGGAAATTCGTACCGCTATCCAAAATGCAAAAAAAGTTCAAATTTAAATTCCCAACTGTATCAATCATTCTCAGTAATTGAGTACATCGATTAGATGGATCAAGGAGACTAATCGACTGGCGTGCAATTGGCTCCTCACCGGTTAGATATGCGCTCCCAGTGAAACCGGCAAGCCTCCCCGCCCAACCCCTATTGTCATACTAATGTACTTTTGGGTAACACGTTTGTGCTACTCGCAGACTCGTACAAGTACTGTAGTTGGACTGGTGGGTATGTCCGAAGTGAAGTTAGTTACCTCGGCATGTCCCCGGTAACTAAAAAAGGTGGAAGTCTTTCAAAACCATGGCATTTTCCAATGTAGCTCTGCACAAGCAACAACAAAATGTAACGAGGTTTATCTTGACATCAATGATCTTGAAATATTTTTATACTAATTCGTAGTACGAAATATTTATTTCATTGATAGTAGGTGAAGAATTTTAGGGAACTTTCCGGTGGAACATTCCGGCGAGCGGAGAAAACTACCAGGATTGGACGATAACCGACTAGCCGAAGCGACAACGTGGGGACGCGCGTGGGAGTCGGTGATTGGAATGGAGTTAATGCGGAGAAGCTTAACCCAATGACCTCCGCCGACTTACTCCTACTTACGTCTCCTCCTCTACGCATTATTCATTCATTTCGACATAATTACATACACATACCATATACACACGTTCATACATACCTACCGTGAATCCCATTTGACCCTCGTACACTCCCTCTCCGCTCCATACATCCCAGAAAGTGACGGACGATCGAGTGACAGCTACACCCTACATTCACACCCCATCACCGTGAGAAACATGGCAGACACCAACGTTGAGCCCGGTGCGCCCTCTGCGAAAGCAACAACATCGTCACTGTCGCCAGCCAACACCTCGCCCTCAGAGCGACCTTCCACCGCGGCAGGCGATGTCTCCAAACCCAGCAGCAGCAATCCCCCCAAAAGCAGCCCATCCGCATTGGCACAAATAGACCGTTTGCTCCTCCGATTGAACAAGTATGTATCCCCTTCAATCCCACATCAAACACCCCATTAACCTCTCTCCTCACCCGACAGACTCCTAGCCAGCCCCGGCGGCCTCTCCTCTTTCCTCTCAACCTTCAACTATACCCTCTACCTAATCATCCACCTACAATCCAAGTCCCATGCGCTCACCTCCCTCACCCGCCGCCTCATCTCGCACCTCACCTCGCGACCCTACACTCCCATCCCAGCCGTCGTGTCCGCGACACCCACCGGCGCCGCCGCCCTCGCCGCCCTCATCAGCCGCGCGCGCACCACCCTCCGCCTCTTCGGCACCCTCCCCCTCTACGCATGGCTCCGCACGCTGCTGTCCAACGGCCCGAAGCCCGGCGCCGATAAAGTCCTGCACGGCATCGCCATCACCCAGTGTCTGTCCTACCTGACGTACCAGGCGCTCGAGAACGTGTGTTTCCTCGCGGACAACGGCGTGGTTCCGAAGCGCGTCATCGCGGCGTTGAATCGGGGCAACCCGGCGACGGAGAAGGTGTATCTTGTCGGGTACCGGGCTTGGTTGGCGGGGATATCGTGTGAGTTCTTGAGGTTGGGCAGGGAGGCGCAGGTGGAGAGGAGGAAGAGGGCGGAGAGGGTTGCGGGAGAGGGCGGGAAGGGCGTCGCGGAGTACGAGGCGGCGGATAAGAGGTTCGATAGCAAGTGGTGGATGGATGCGATGATTGCGTCTGCGTGGTTCCCTATGGCGTTGCATTTGAGTAATTTGACGGGCGGCGTGCCCGGGTGGAGTTATGGGTTTATGGGGGCTTGTGGATTGGTTGCTGGCGGGCAGAGGGCACAGGGTTTGTGGCAGGCGACGTTGCATCCTTGAGTCTGAGGGTCAATGGAGAGGTGTTGATAGAAGAGGAGATGGTATAAACTGGTGTGAGTTCGGACGTGAGCGAAGTATATACCGCGACGTACATAGATACATCCATCCGACATGTAGATTGTTACTCCACACAACCCTGTCCATTCAACAACAGGACCAGAGAGTACATCGGATCTTTTCCTGTGGCTACTTACATACATATCATGACACCATGAACATAAAAAAACCTGTTTCAAAGCCTCCGAATGGATCTCTCATCGGCGCAAATGCTTGAACTTGAGCACCAACTTCTCACTGACAGGACCCGCCAGGAATCGGTCCTCTTGCTGCATATTGTCATCTTCGACGATCTCGGTCTCGTATCTTGAATATATCGCGTCGATGATAAATTTCAACACTGCAAAACCACCCAGTCAGTTCAGGATATCCTCGCTTATAACATCAATAACTTCCACAACTTACCTATCAGTGCAAAATCCTTCCCAATGCAAATCCGACTCCCCTTACTGAAAGCCCAGAACCAATTCCTCATCTCCGCAATCTTCTCCTCGTCGTCCACCAGCCATCGGTCTGGATCCCAGACGTCCGGACGAGTGAAGACCTCCGGATTCTTGTGTAGCACGGACAGACTGACACTGACTTCCACGCCACCGGGGATGAAGTAACCTTCGAGCATTGCACCCTCGGGAGGCGTGATGCGATGTTGCGGGCCTGGCGTGGGCGTGTAGACACGCAGCGTCTCCGTCAAGATGGCGTCGAGAAGGGGCAGCGCATCGAGCTGCTTGAAATCCGGAACGTCTGTATCTTCCCTCCTTGACAGTGAGCGTAATTCCTCCGTAAGACGTTCCCGCAAAGACGGCCGCTTCGAGACCTCCCATTCAAGATACGTCAACGTCGTCCTTGTCGCCTCCGCGCTCGCCACGAAGTGATCCAGTAATTCACTCGACAAGTCATCGTCACGAATCCCCTTCGACCTCAACTGACGAAACACGACTCCACCCTCACTCCTCCCATCCTCAACCCCCCTCTCCGTCCCCTCCCTCAACATCGTCCCAAACCCCTCCATCCACTTCTCCGCCTCCGCAGCCCCCTCCTCCCCCTTCAACCACCTCCCATGATTCCCATAATACTCCTCCCTCCTCCCCTTGTCCCCCACAAAATCCGTCTCCCCCTTCCCACCCCCTCCAAACCCATCCCCATAAATATACCCAATCGCAAACTCCGCACTCGCCGCCCCATTAAAACAATACACATCCATCTTCCCTCCTCCGTCCTCTCGCTTGACAACCTCATCCAACACCCCCCTCACCCTCGCCAACACCCTCCCCGCAATCCGTTCAACGCCCGCTGCGCCGGGCCCGAAGAGGAAACTCTTCGCATACACGGCCCCATGGCTCCTCTTCCGCTCCGCATGCGCCTTGTCGCGCGCCCCGCCGGACATGGAAACCATGTTCGCGACCCCGTACGTTATGAACTGGTCGACCCACCATCGGGGCTTGGGGAACCCGCCGCGGGTTATGTAGATGGTTCGCGCGGCGGAGAGGGAAGAGAGGGAGAGGGTGGTGGGGGTGAGGCGGACGATGGGGCCGTGATGGGCGTGCGCGGCGTGGATTGCTGGGAGGGGGACGGGGTGGGAGAGCGGAGGGGAGAGGAGGGGGATACGGCGGAGGGGGGAGAGGTAGAGTGGGTGGAGGAGGCGAGTGTAGATGAGGTAGGTTGGGATGGGGAGGAGGAGGATGGTGAGGAGGAGGGTGAGGGTTGTGGTGTTAATGTCCATTTTTGAGGTTGTGATGGTGGTTTGATAGAGGCCTGGGGATGTCGAGTCTAAGGAACGAGGGGTGGTTTTTCAAAGCGCTGGATTGATGTCTGGATGGTTCGATGTGCGGTTCAGTTCAGGTATATTCGCAACGCTTGATATAGGGTCCTTGATATTCGTGGTGCCATGTCGTCTCTTCTCTCTCCAGCTGTCGTTGCTATCGCGTGCATTGCGCATGCATATGCAGGTTGATATGCAGCGTTCGGCCAATCATCTGTGGATTGATTCAACGACATGCCGTGTGATATCATTCGTTAGCAGTCATTGATATCTTCGAGACATCTCCAAGCTCTTCGAACTGATCTCGCCATAGTTCTTCGGTTTGATCCTATGGATAAGTTTACTGCCAACATAGAGTCCTCAGGGAGCTTGTTTGCATCAGAATGAAACTTGAAATCAATCAGTAGTTAGTCATCGGCGAGATCTGGAGCCGTTGCATTTGTTCTTGAGTGCTGCGAGCATCTCCTGACGGTCATTAAAAATGTTTACTGTATAGAGTAGAAGACATGTCGTCTTGTATAATGGAGAGTCGTGGACAGATAATGGTAGATAAACGACCCGCACGGGTGCGGCTCCGAGATTGTCGCGGGGAAGAAGATAGACTAGGCCAGAGATGGAAATGGAAATGTATATGCTAACTACCCCATACTGACATACACGTTGCAACAATGACTGCGATTTAATAATTGGGCAATTCTCATCTACAGAGGGTTGGCACATCGGGCTGGTCACCTGATAGCTTCACATAGCTTTTATGTCTAATTTAAGAGTATACTGTAGCCAGCAAACAGTTCTATAGAGAACATTCTTGATAGATGTCTACCCGTTTTCAACAAGGTACTACAGAAGACAATTAATGAGCAGGACACTACTAAATCAATATGCTAACAGGCACGAGTCCTGTTGACATTCCAGGACGACTCACTCTCTCCTATGCAATCTCCCCCATCATCAGTCCTCACATGCCTGCGTCGGCGGCCCCTGATAATCACGATACCCCTTAACCACATACCAAAACGCCGAGACGAGCGTCGCCGCCACGAAGACGACTGGAGCGTAGTTAACCGTAGTCGCAGTGACGGGAATAGAAACCGGCATGCAGAACAGCGGCATCGCCAGACACGACCAAGCTGTTTCAGGAGTCAGTCAACAAGCTGCTCTCTATACAGACGACAACACGAAGCAACAAACATACGTACCGAGAGCAACGACATTCACAACCGCCCCCCACCGCCCGAGATTGAACCTAGCACGCGCGACGGCCCGGCGACCAGTGAAGAGGCTAATCGCAACGGGCACTGCATACGCGGCCGTGAGTGTGATGACCCCGACGCCAGAGAACGCATTGAACGCGGCGGTGGACCCGAACCAGAGAAGTCCGAGGAGGAGCTGGGATACCATGGAGAGCATCATCGCGTTGAGCGGGACGTCGAGCGTCGGATGCACTACCTTCCACCACCGTGAGCCGGGGATGGCGGCGTCGCGGGAGAACGCCCACGTGCAGCGGCTGGCGGCGGTGGTGCAGCCGGTTCCGCAGAGGATGGAGAGGACGAGGAGGGGGAGGCAGAGCGCGATGGTGGCGCCGGGGCTTCCGACGGCGGATTTGACGATGACCGGGAAGGGTTGTGCGATGTTGATGAGGGAGGAGAGGTCCGGGAGGACAAAGACTAAGGGGATGAGGAATAGGAGGCCGGCGAGGGTGTTGATGATGACGGTGGCGACCATGGCTTTTGGGACTTGCAGAGATGGGTCGCGGACTTCTTCGCACATGGAGATGATCATGCCGGTGGAAGAGGTCGCGTAGCCTGCGTGGAGCAGTCCGACCATGAACGCCCAGCCTGAGGGCCAGCCGGAGTGAGGTTCGAAGTCGCTGAAGACGTATCTTGCATCACGGCGGCCGTTCTTGGCTAGAGCGAGGACAGTGATGGTGATGGCTATAACGCCGGCGAATGTCCAGAAGATGGCTGCTGTCTGGTTCGTCGTCGTTGTCAATATGTAATATACATGTGTACGGAGTACATGAAATCCAAAGGGCATGGTGAAGGGAACATACATCTAGAATTGGGAGATAACAATTTCCCAGGCTCGATATCGCGTTACAGACAAGTGTTATGCCAAAGAAGAGGAGGTACAGCTGCCAGGTAGTTGGCTGGAAGATACCAATCCCCGGACTCGATTCAAAGACATTGATACAGCCCACGAAGAATAGAGCCGTTCCGAAATTGACGGATAGAGTAATCGTAATCGTACCTACAGTGTACAGCCAGCCGCAAATCCAGCTGGCAAGGCGACGCCATGATGGGGGCGCCAACATAAACGCCTGGTAGTAGACACCTTGAGAATTATATAATTAGCTAATCTGACCGAAAGCATAGATGCGTTGGGGTTGTTTTCTCGACTTGCGGGCCAGACGTGACATGGCATCACCTTACCTCCAGCCGTTGGATAGATACTCGTAATCTCGCCAAGAGACAACGCGACGCATATAGTGACGAGCGACACCGCCAGCCAACCCCAAATGATGGTCACAGCACCTCCGCCGAGGATTGGTATGTATAGCTGTGTCGCAAGTCCATAAGGAATTGAGGCTAAAACAAAGGACATGAATGCTACTTGCGCCGTCGATCGATTGCGCCTCAACTCAGACTTGTAGCCAAGTGACTCCAGGAGTCGATCGGCAGATTCTTTCTGAGGCTCGGCTTGGGCGTAGGTGTTGGCATGACTGGTTCCAGTGGTGTAGCACTGGTTGTCTTTTGCCGTGGGACCAGGCGAAGTCGACATCTTTGACTGGGTTTGTGTGAGTGAATCAGCTGATTGGACTCGGAGTTGCACTGCAGAACCGTGAGCTGGAACCAAGCCGTATGTTTTTCTCTGAAGGGTGATACAAAAAAGGAAAATCCAACATGAAAAAAAGGAGGCATCCAGAGGTCCCTCTCTAGGCGGGTGGATAGGTTGCATTCTGCGCTACCGAGTGTCTGCGGCCTCCGTGGTTTGCGGCGGCCGTGGAGCAGTTTGCGCTCCGGGTCTACTGTAAATAGTAAGTGATGTCAATCGCGCCTAGGGTTAAAGTTTCTTCCTCTCTCGCAGGCATTTTTCACTGTAACTGTATGCATGACCATTAGGCAATTGGAAATGGGAAAATGTTCACTTGAATTACACTGCAATTGATGAGAGCAATGGCAAGCCTTGACACTGATTTCTCAAACCAGACATGTTAGTAGCCTATCGCTACCAGAGTCTTCGTCCTGCGTAATTGATTATCGCTGCATGCACGCAGATAACTTAAAAAAGCACTAACTCATTGCTTATCATGGGTAAGCTTTGTCGTAGCAACGATGGGCTGATAGATCAACCTAGTACAAAATACAAAATACAAGTATCTAGTAAATACAAGAGATTTTTAGATCGCCACAATCAGTCATAGATACCGGGTATCTAATCAGCCATGCTCGAGACTGTAGCCGAAAGGGTGGAGGCTATTGCAAGCAACTGACACCTCACGATGCCCTGACCCACCTCCTTTGCAGTTGGTCCATCCCCAAACTCCCTAAAAGCCGATTCAAAAGGTCATGTTGCTGTTTTCTGGTGTGTCACATGGCACATTGTCAACCTCCCACCACTCATCGTGCCAGTTCTTCTCCATAATGTCCGATTCCAGAGCCCGCACTAGACTGAGTGGTTCGAAGCCATCTTCGAAACTTGGCATTGTCCCATGCATCTGAATATCTAAACCTCCAGATCCGTCTCCAGGAAAGTGAGATAAGTAGCTTCCTTGCATTCTGGGTTGGAGAGCACCCACCCCCTGTAGGGGTGGCATTATTGGCTCTTGCTGCGCGCTTTGAGGATCTGTCGTAGTCCCAGTCTCCATATCGGAGATTGGGTCGCGAGAGATTTGCGATTGAGCGCCGGGCGCCGCTGCTGGATAATTCTCGCTCGTTGCGCCTGCGTTTCGGCGCTGATCATCGAGTGTAATCTTTGAAATCCTGTTCAATGAGTTGAAAATACGAGAGAGCGAAACGAAGTCAGTGTGTACGTTGCTAGCCCGCTCCATGACAGCTCCGATACGTTCGAGAGCTTGAATATCTGCCTCACATTCTTTTGAGCCCGCAGAAGTGAAGACATGCTCGTATAAGGCGAACACGGCGCAAAACGGGTAAAAGCTGATGAAGCTGAAGCTGAACGTCAGTGGTCCCCCGATTGCAACAAGCTGGCGAGCTCGGACACTTACTGCGTGAAGGCAAAGCCCACTGTATCACACATCATGGTGGAAGGCTGTGGGCTGAAGTGTAAGATCAAGCCCACAATGTTCCTGGCAGCTCTCAATGAGACGCTATCGCTTGTCTGCCTATCCTGGGGCCGACGCATCATGCGCTTGACGCCCATGATGCTCATATGTATGGTGATGGCAAGATCGGCAAGTAAGTAGGCATATGCAGACGACTCAGAAGGAGATTTTGCGAGCCCTTCCTGAAATAGTACGACCAGAGAAGTCAGCGTCATGGTAGCTACTATCATGGCATTACGAATACGTACAAGGTCCCACTCAGCAAGCAAATCTTCAAGTTTCCTGCAGTACTCATCCACCTCTCGAGGTATGTCGTCGGAGGTGTCGCCAGGCGCACGACTGTCGATCAGTTTGAACAGATCCTTGGTCATGAGGGTACATCTAAACCAAACGACGTAGAGGGCAGTGGATGAACGGCTGGGGTGTGGTGCGGCTCTAGTAAGGAGTGATGGCGGATTGACTGTGTCTGTAGATCGTGGAAGGGCTGAAGGCTTCCCATAAGACATCCTGAAGAGGAAGTCGGTCTGTAGAACATGCCAGTAAATGCAGCGCAACGCATTGCGCTGATCTTCTTCTTCGTGGCTCTGGGCAGGTAGCATATCTAGACGGTGGATACCCGCAGCTGTGACAAATTGACATGACTGGCAGTGGAATTTCCACGCCAGCTGATAGTCAAAATTATTAATGGCGAGCCAAGTCTGAATAGCTCGTCAGCGTCATAAAGGACACATTAGCGGCTTTCAAAGGGACAAATATTGACCTACCGTAAAGCAGGCCGTGAATACATCTGGAATCGACCCTCGTGCAACATGGAGCCACTGCGGAACGGCTTCGAGACATTTGTAGTAGGCTGCCTGTGCTTGCTCCTGAACCTGTCCGACACTTTGCCGGTGCAAGCCGAAATACAAAGCGTTGTAGTACAGCACGCGCATGACTGGATCGATCTGCACATGGGGCGATTGTACGATCTCGGGCATGAAGTGCAGAATGGACACATCAAAAGGCCCTGCGGTGGATCCAGGCTCGAATAGAAAGGAAAGAGAATCCAGGAAGTCTAAGGATATCTGTCAGCGGCGCAACAAATATTGTGCTGTTGTTAGAGCTTTGGAGTTTGCTATCGCTTTGGATGATGAAGATGAGACAGCCATGGGGATACTGGTGCATGTTGACCTACCCTTGACGGAAGCCTTTGCTATGTCTCGTGAGATAGAGAGCTCATGGCAGCCAGGTTCGCTTGGGTTGGCTCGAACCTTGAGATTTGCGAGCTGCTCCAAAGCGTCGCTCAAGTCACGTATTGCACTGTCTGCGCCCGGGAGGGATGGTGTGCATACTGAGCTGGCATGGCGAGATGCGTTGGCTTGTTCGAACGTGTGCTTTGCATGGCTCGCAAGGTCGTAGATGAAGGCTGCAGCGATTCAGCAATTGCTTACACTCGAGGTCCTCGCGATACAGCCTACAGTCATTTTCGTTACTAGCATGAGAAAAACCGCTGACAGGAAAAGGCTCGGATCCAGCCGGCGACGTTGAATGGCTAAGGCTAGGAGAATCACTGGATGGAGGAGCAGTGGCAGCGCCTTCCGTCCTCCGTAGACGAGCCTCCAGCATCTCAAGGCGTCGACTAAGGGTGCCAACGCTGTTCCTACGAATGCGCGTCATTGAGGGATCACACATTTGGAAAGCCGCCATTGAGCTCACTGCATGATCCGGGGCTTCGGCCTGCGTTCAAGGTAAACGCAGTTGGCCTGGGCCATGGCACAGTTGTGGCATGCGCCTTCTGCCTTGTCGCACTTGATCTAACCAGGCGGCCGTGTCAGAGGCGTACAGATCATAGATGGACATGCGATTTACAACGCCCTACCTTCTTCGTTTTGCATCTTGCGCACTATGTCCTGATTCAGGTCAACTGCTCGGTGATTGGATGGAAGGCAACATACTGCAAGTTTCATTTTCAGAGACGGAAGCCGTGGTTCCGCAATTGCGATGACTACCTAGTTACTGTGTATACTGTATAGTGTATAACGTCTACACTGTATAGTAATTTTCACGACACTGTAAGTAGTTGTACAGTGTAATTGGGGGGAGCCCGGGTTTAAGACCTCGTCTGCGGCCGCCGGGTTGTCGCTCCGGCCGCACGGATTGACCGGGATCCGCGGCGATCAAGGTCCCGAACCTAGGGTTCCGCCCCACCCCCGGGACGCCAAGCCTTGTTCCTCTTCTTAGTAGTGAGGAGATTGTGAAGGGAGGTGAATGTAGAGAAAGCTTTCTCGATTGCTCAAATTATAAAGTAATAAGTACGATTCAAAAGATGTCTCTCCCCTCCACCTCGCTTCCTCTGGCTGCATTCCGGCCCCTGACACTCGTCTTCTTCTCGTTCTTTTTCATTTGCTTCTTCTGTTGCACTCTCGTCCAACGCTTCTCGTACGGCCTTCTTGCCTCTATTTTCATTTGTTGTTATTTTGATCTCCTATTCCTCTCGTCTCAATCATGCTACCTAATTCCCCTAAATCACTTACGCACGAGAGTGGTGTCTTGGTCAATCACGACCACGACAACTCGACTGATTCGAGTGCGAGCACCAACGACGCCTCTACAGAAGCAGAACCAGCTGTCCAAGTGTGCGAGTTGGCCCGCAAGTTTACCAATCAGTCTGTGCAGTCTCATCACCAAAACCCTTTCACGGCCGAAAAGGGCAGCCGCCTCGATCCTGCGAGTGACAACTTCAGCGCCAAAGACTGGGCCAGGGCATTCTACAACGTTAGATATAATGCAGACCAGGCAGCCCCTTCTCGGGTTGCTGGTGTTGCTTTCAAGAATCTGAATGTCGTGGGTACGGGCTCGCCGACCGACTTTCAAAGCAGTGTTGGAAATGCCATTCTCAAGTTCCCAGCAATGTTCGGGCGCGGGCAATCTCGCATCCAGATTCTTCGCAACATGGATGGTCTAATCTTGCCCGGAGAGCAGTTGTGTGTGCTAGGTCCTCCAGGGAGTGGATGTTCCACGCTACTCAAAACAATTGCTGGCGATACATACGGCTTTACTGTTGAGTCACAGTCTCTGCTGAACTACCAAGGCATTGCTCCTAAGGAAATGTCGACTGCTTACAAAGGTGAAGCTATTTACACTGCCGAAGTTGATAACCACTTCCCTGAGGTCACTGTCGGAGACACGCTATACTTTGCTGCCCTTGCTAGAACTCCACGACATATTCCTGGTAATGTGTCGCGTGAGGAGTATGCCTGCCATCTTCGCGACGTCATTATGGCTATGTTCGGTATTAGCCATACCCGTAACACGCGTGTTGGTAACGACTTCGTTCGCGGTGTCAGCGGTGGCGAGAGAAAGCGAGTCACAATTGCTGAAGCTGCTTTATCGTACGCACCACTGCAGTGCTGGGATAATAGCACTCGTGGCCTAGACTCCGCTAATGCTGTCGAGTTCTGCAAGACTCTTCGAACCCAATGCGACGTCTTTGGAAGCACGGCTCTAGTCGCTATCTATCAGAGTCCTCAAGCTGCGTACGACGTGAGTTCCCCAATGGGTCGACTTCTCTATTTGTTTCCTACCGCGTATGCTAATATAGTCCCGCATAGCTCTTTGACAAGGTCACTGTCTTATACCAAGGTCGACAAATCTTCTTCGGAAGCACACGAGATGCAAAGGCTTATTTCGAGGCCATGGGATTCGAATGTCCAGAAAGTCAGACAACGCCAGACTTCCTTACCAGTATGACCAGTGCGTCTGAACGTGTCGTCAAGAATGGCTTTGAGAATATGGTTCCTCGGACATCAGAAGAGTTTGCGCAGAGATGGAAAAACAGTGCCGAGAGAGCGACGCTGCTTGCCCAAATAGATGCATATAACCAAGCCCATCCATTCCATGGACACGATGCGCAGACCTTTGCTGCGGCAAGGAAGCTGGAGAAGTCAAAGAATCAGCGCGGAAACTCCCCTTATACACTCTCCTACTGGGGTCAAGTTAAACTCTGTATGTGGAGAGAGGTCCTGAAGCTCCGTAACGATCCCAGTATCTTAATCGCCATGGTCATCAACAATTTCTTCGAAGCTCTGATTTTGGCCAGCATCTTCTATAACCTCAAGTCAACTACAGCATCGTTCTACAATCGTGGAGCAGTCATCTTCATGATGGTGTTGCTCAATGGATTTGGGTCTATGATAGAGATCATGTCTCTCTACGCGAAACGCAACGTGGTCGAAAAGCATAATCGTTACGCGCTCTATCATCCTAGCGCCGAGTCACTTGCGTCCATGATTGTGGATTTGCCTAACAAGCTCGTCAACGCTCTGTTAATGAACCTCACATTATACTTCATGTCCAACCTGCGGCGCGATCCCGGTCATTTCTTTTTCTTTTTCCTAGTCTCTTTCACTATGACTCTAGCTGTAAGTGGACAATCTTCCTTGAGACAATGCATAGATCTAATCAAGTGGCTAGATGAGCGCCTTCTTCCGTTTCTTCGCGTCGATAACGAAAACGATCTCTCAAGCCCTCGCGCCGTCTTCTGTCATCCTCCTAGTCCTCATTCTTTATACCGGCTTCGCGCTCCCTGTCAAGTATATGCGTGGATGGATCTCGTGGATACGGTGGTTGAACCCCATTTCGTACGGATTTGAATCTGCCATGATCAATGAGTTTGACGGCAGGAAGTTTGAGTGTGCATCGTACGTACCGTCTGGACCTGCATACATGGACATCCGCCCGGACCAGCGAGCATGTTCTGTCAAAGGATCTGTTCCCGGTGAGTCCATGGTTAGCGGAAATGCCTATCTCCAGACTGCCTTCTCGTACGACCCTAGTAACAAGTGGCGCAACTTTGGCATCATTGTCGCCATGACTATCTTCTTGTACGCACTGCAGTTGTGGATGTCCGAGGTCGTGGCTTCTGAGCGTTCCAAAGGAGAGGTGCTAGTGTTCCGACGGGGCAAAATGCAGCAGGCCCAAAACAAGGCTTTGCAGACAGACGAAGAGACCGGACCAGCTGCAGCTGTACTGGCCGAGAAAAACGACAGTTCAACATCTGCCGACCTAATGGTACAAAAGCATACTTCTATATTCCATTGGGAGGACGTTTGCTACGAGGTTCAAATCAAGAAAGAGCCGCGTGTCATTTTGGATCACGTTGACGGCTGGATCAAACCCGGCACTTTGACAGCATTGATGGTAAATTCTTGTAGCACGCTACATCACTGTAGTGACTTTACTCCTCCTTGATCTGTGCTAATTCTGACATAGGGTGTGTCGGGTGCTGGCAAAACTACGCTACTTGATGTACTCGCAAGCCGCACGACGACTGGTGTTATCACGGGCGGGATGTTCGTAGACGGAAGAGAGCGCGACTCTTCCTTTCAACGCAAGACTGGTTACGTGCAGCAGCAAGACCTGCACCTCCCGACAAGCACGGTCCGTGAGGCTCTTGCTTTTAGCGCTCTTCTACGACAGCCCCCGCAGTATTCTCGTCAAGAAAAGCTCCAGTACGTGGACCACGTTATCGAGATGCTGAACATGCAACCATACGCTGATGCTGTTGTTGGCGTCCCTGGCGAAGGGCTCAATGTAGAGCAACGTAAGCGTTTGACAATTGGCGTTGAGCTTGCAGCTCGACCAAAACTTCTTCTTTTCCTCGATGAGCCCACGTCTGGCCTTGACAGCCAGACTTCTTGGAACATCTGCAATTTGATGGAGAAACTTACAAAGAGCGGCCAGGCTATCCTATGCACTATTCACCAGCCGTCTGCTATGCTGTTCCAAAGATTTGATAGACTCCTTCTGCTTGCGAAAGGTGGCAAAACAGTCTACTTTGGTGAGATCGGGACCAATTCTCAAAAGCTCCTTGACTATTTCCACCGTAATGGCGGGAAGGGCTGCTTGCCTGGAGTCAATCCTGCCGAGTACATGCTAGAGGTTATAGGTGCTGCTCCTGGTGCACATACTGATATCGATTGGCCGGCAGTATGGCGGGAGAGTAAGGAGTACCAAGAGGTTAAAAGTGAACTTGCCCGCCTTAAAGGGCTGGCTAATGAACCATCTGCTGTTACTGAGGCAGATGAATCAAGCTACAAGGAGTTTGCCATGCCCTTCACATCTCAGTTCCTCGAAGTTGGCAAGAGGGTCTTCCAGCAATACTGGCGGACACCATCCTACATCTTCTCGAAGGCCATTCTTTGCGTCTTCAATGTAAGAATCGATCTCTTTCACGTCGGTACCAGACCATTGACTAACATGCCCAGGCTCTGTTCATTGGCTTCTCGTTTTTCAAGGAAGAGAACACGACCCAAGGCCTCCAGAATCAGATGTTCGGAGTCTTCATATTTCTCTTCATCGTAATCATCCTCATCACCCAGATTTTACCACTTTTTGTAGCCCAGCGAACGATGTACGAAGCGAGAGAGCGACAATCCCGTGCCTATTCTTGGCAAGCTTTCATCCTCTCGCAAATCACTGTAGAGCTTGCATGGAACACGGTAAGACATGATATTGGACTTCATCAGTCGCTTTACTCACACCACCTTTAGATCATGGCCGTGTTGTCCTTTTTTGTATGGTACTACCCAATCGGTCTCTACCAGAATGCCGAATACACAAACACAGTTCACTCCCGAGGGTTCCTTTCGTTCTTAGTGATTCTGAGCTCTTTTCTGTTTGCAAGCAGCTTTGGTCACATGCTGATTGCTGGACTTGAATCCGAGGAGATTGCGTCCTCTATTGCAACACTCATCGGCATCATGAGTAAGAAAGCTTTTCCATCCCCCATTCCGAGCAAGTGGTTCTAACTTATTCCAGTGTACGCATTCTGTGGTATTCTCGCCGGGCCAACTGCGCTTCCGCGTTTCTGGATCTTTATGTACCGCGTCAACCCATTCACGTATCTCGTATCCAGTTTGCTCTCCGCCACGCTTGGCGCTGCTCCAGTCCACTGCGCCGAGGACGAGTTCCAGAGGTTCTTCGCACCAGAAGGACAGACATGTGGTGAATATCTCCAGGACTATCTCCAATTGGCTGGCGGCTACGTCCAGAACCTCGAGGCGTCAGGCAACGAGTCTTGTGGTTACTGTGTAATGCAGAACACCAACCAGTTCTTGACAGGCGTCGGCATCAGCTATGAGAAACGTTGGCGAGACTGGGGCATTCTGTGCAGCTTCATTGTGTTCAATATGGCGGCTGCTATATTCCTCTATTGGTTGGCAAGAGTCCCGAGGAACAAGAAGGTAGAGAAGACAGAACCACCAAAGGCCTTGTAGTGAAAGGTCGCATTTCAGTTCGAATCTTGTTGCACTTTCCTTAATTGGGCATCAGCCATTACATCGTCTTCGTCTTTGGGTATTATTTTAATGTTTTTCATTTCTCGTCGCGGATCGCTTCTAGAATCAAGAGTAGAGCGTGCTTCAAGCGCATTTCATTATTTTTGTCAGACGATCGATGGCTTCGACGTCAATTACATAGACCAGCATACAATAGGTCTATCTTTGCATTTGCTTGTATTGATCTTATGATACACTCACATCTTCTCTTCTTGGTTCCAGTCGTGTAGTTGCAGTTTTAACCCCGCTACACTCAAGAGATTCTTCACTTATTGATGTTCAATATGTCGTTCAACACGGATGATTCAAATATCAAATGTTTCTATAGCGCCCAAATGTCTTGTTACATCGTACCAGCCTTTTGCTGAAGACATCCGTTGTGAACTGATAGTGCCGCGAAAGGTTATCTGGAGTCTCGTGCCATCACCCAGGCTCTTGCTATGCCTCGTAGAGCTTGTTGTGACGTCTAGCAACAGCCAACCCGTACTCGTCAGAGAACCACCCTGTGCCCAACAGCCCCTATCGACTTCGCCGTTCGCGTGAAACTAGTCATCGCGTATACGATTAGTCCACAATTCAAGGCCATCGGGCCCGGAGCGTGTACGGAATCCGCGGCTCCAAGACGCCCGAGAAATGCACGGCGGACCCATCATCCTTCCCGCAGCCACTGCCGGAAGCTTGCATGTGCCCCTGATTAACCCTGCATTGGCGGCGGCGGCGAATGGACATTGTGCGGCCGAAGCATTGGTTGATAAAGTGGTGACTCTGATTGGAGCACGCTTCATCAACGACGGCCAGCCGACCGAAGAAAGTATACTGGTATCAGGATGTCGGACGTGTCTTATTCCTTGCGGGATGGGGATGTAATGTATATAATAGATTGTTCGCCTTGGAAATGGAAATCAATCTTCCAATACACTTCTTTTCACACTCGCCGTGACCTCTCGAAACTTTCATACGCTTACATTGGCATCACCAACATGGAGACGGTCGAACTACACATTCCCGCCTCGCCATGGACGCTCGCCCTTCCCCTCGGTGCAGACACTCGCACCTACCTCTACCTCATACTCTGCCTCGCCCTTTCCATCCTCGCCTGCAGCCACCTCCTCCGCAAGCCCACCTCCTCCCGCCCTGTCCTCAACCCCTCAGGCTTCGAAATCATCGGCCTGCAGCGCCGCATAGACTTCAACAACACCGCCGGCGGACTGATCACTCAAGGTCGAGAGAAGTTCCCTGGGAAACCATACCACCTGATCACCGACACGTGCGATCTCCTCGTCCTGCCACCGACGTTCGCCGAGGGGATACGGAATAATCCAGACTTGGACTTGACCTCAACGGTCGAGGAGGATTTTCATGCGTACGTGCCGGGGTTCGAGGCGTTCAGAGGTGGAAGAGAGGATGAGATTACGAATATGGTGATTAGGAAGCAGTTGACGAAAGTGTTAAGTATGAATGACATCGTCCTTGCGGCATCATCCCGTGGTTGTGTGCGTGGCGCTAATGGGTGTGTTTTGCAGATCAGATCACGGAGCCTTTGTCGAGGGAAACGGACTTTGCATTGAAACAAAGGTTTGGAGTTTCTAATGGTAAGGAGACACATTCAAATGCATGCGTGCGAACCACGAAGCTGATGGGGCCGAAGATTGGAAGGAGTATAAAGTCTACGAAGAGATCCTCGACGTTGTTGCCAGGATCTCCACCAGAGTCTTCTTGGGACCCGAGCTCTGCCGCAACGAAGAGTGGCTGCGGATCACGAAGAACTACACCGTCGACTCTTTCATCGCGGCTTTCGTGCTTCGCATCTTCCCGAGAAGTCTGCGAAGTCTCGTCCACTGGTTTCTGCCGCAGTGCCGCTCGATTCGACAGCAGCTCGCGGACGCAAGGAAACTCATCCTCCCTGCCGTGCAAGCGCGCAGGAAGCTGCGAGCAAGTGTCCAGGCAGAGGGGAAGGTGGTGCCAGACTTCAACGATGCAATCGACTGGCTCGATCAGGAAGCCAAGGGAGACCCTTATGATGTAGTGTCGTGCCAGCTCGGGATGTCGATGGCGGCGATTCACACTACGACTGACCTACTGACTGAGACCATGCAGAACCTCGCGATGCACCCAGAATTGGTCGAGGAGCTCCGCAGAGAGATCGTCGAGGTGTTGAGCGCAGGCGGCTGGAAGAAGACGTCGCTTTACAACCTGAAGCTCATGGATAGCGTCCTCAAAGAGTCCCAGCGAGTTAGGCCAGCTGGAACCCGTAAGTCCGCGTTCCTCTCGTCAAAAACTCATGAAGCTAACGCAATCGCAAGTGGTGATGCAGAGGAAAGCCACACGCACTACCAAACTCCCCGACGGCTCCACCCTCGCAAAGGGACAGCGCTGCGCCGTAGACTCCTTCGGCCCGTCGGGCATGGCGTCGAGCGAAGTGTATGACAATCCCTCCGCATTCGACCCGCATCGTTTCGAGCGCATGCGCGGACAGCCCGGCCTCGACTCCAAGGCGCACCTCGTGGCCACCGGCCCGGCACATCTGGGCTTCGGACACGGCCAGCATTCCTGCCCGGGGCGCTTCTTCGCGTCGAACGAGCTCAAGGTTGCGCTGTGCCATCTGCTCATCGATTATGAGTGGAGGTTCGCGGACGGGTACACGCCAAAGCGGATGGAGAATGGCTTTATGCTTGGGACGGATCCGGAGGCTAGGATTTTGCTGAGGCGGCGAAGTCAGCCTGAGGTGGAGTTGTTGGGGCTATGATTGGGAAGATTCTCATTGTGTGTCGACGTACGTGTATCTTGAGATCTTTTTCTTCGCGATACGTTAGAGAAACCGGGAGTTGATGTCAGATAAATTCAAATGTAGAAAAGTTTTGATTATACACTACTGGGCATACTATGTTAATTGTGGTTGATTGTCGTGATGTATGTACACCCTCCCCTCCTGATCGACTACTCTGCCGCGTGGTCATAGTACCCTGTATGATTGCACGTTTGGGAACTTCTCAACTACCAATGATCTGAAATCCCATAATTCTACCAATATGGCCGAGATGATGAACGATCTAACTCGAAATGAGGCGCCGAGGCTGGTGCGCGAACGAGCATGTGGAGCACCACATAGTCGCCACTAGTAAAACCCCATCTTCGTGGCACCTTCTCCGAGTTCGGTTATCATAGGAGGCTTTGTGTTGGGGAATGTATGTAAAGCCGGTACTCAGTCTTACTAGAAGTATTGAATAGAGAAAGCTATATTGGTCCCCGTCCCGTGTACTCCGTAGTGCCACTATTGTCATTCATAATTATTGTTTGCACAAACACAGAAATCTACCTACATACCACATCACAGAAACAAGCTATGGCTTCCCCACAAGTCGGATGGATTGGCCTTGGTTCCATGGGCATTGCCATGTCCAAGAACTTACAAAAATATTTCAATGAAACAAATTCCCCGGCGTTAATATACACCAATCGCACACTTTCACGCGGGGACTCCCTGAAGGCTTTAAACGCAATTCCTGCCGAGTCAGTCGGTGAACTTACAAAGAAATGCGATATAATATTCTCTTGCGTAAGTACTGCGAGTTTCAGCTTAGCTTATTCGAACGAAACACTAACATTGATAGGTGAGCAATGACGCGGTCTTGCTAGAAGTTGCAAATGAGATCATCGCATCCGGCGATATCAGTGGAAAGATATATGTGGACTGCTCTACAGTTCATCCAGATACATCAGAGCTCATTTCGAAAAACATGAGCAAAGCAGGCGCTGAATTTGTTTCAGGTGAGTTCTAGCTTGCTGCCTCATTACAAAAATTGCCACTCACGTATCAATAGCTCCTGTATTCGGTGCCTCCCCTATGGCTGAGGCTGGAAAGCTTATCTTCGTCGCCGCTGGCCCGGAAAGTGCAAAGTCGAAGATATCCACCTATCTAAACAGCGTCATGGGACGCTCAATCATCGACATGGGCGACCAAGTGTCCAAATCAAGTCTTTTAAAGATCGCAGGTAACATCTGCGTTGTCTCCTTCGTGGAAATAATGTCAGAAGCACATGTTTTTGCGGAGAAGACCGGATTGGGTTCAGAAATCCTCGAAAAGATGATCGGAGATATGTTTGGCCCTGTCATAGAGAGCTATTCTAAGCGAGTAACGCAAGGCCATTATGCTCCTCCACCGGGCGGAAAGGCAGGATTTGACGTCTCCCTTGCCATCAAGGACGCAAAACATGCGCTCAAATGTGCGGAGGAGGCGGGCACCAGGCTCGAAGTTAGCGAAGTTGCTTTGGCGCATATGGAGAAGGCTCGTCAATTGCAACCGGATCGGCCACTGGATAGTAGTTCAATGTATGGCGCCATTCGACATGATGCAGGGCTTGATTTCTTCTCGGACTTTTGTAAGAAGAGGGACGGTACTTTGTAGTAATAGCTTGTAGTTTTATCTCAAATACATTACTGTCCAAACTTGATATTATGCGAATAAAGGTTAAGCTGTGGTGACCATTGATCTCAACTTTATCAAATGCGTTAGTGCTCCATACTTTTGCGTTTCAGAATTGTGTACTGCATATTAAAGGCTCTATAGTTTGAATTGGGAACATTCGATAAAACTTCTTACACCGTCTGACCCCATACCTTTGTAATATCTCCCCCTTTTGATTGTTGAAGGAGATTACTGGCCTGAGCGCCCAACCACAGCGGAGCTTTCACAAAGCTCGCCTTCTCTACTGCATGTTGTAACTCCTTGGCGATGATGTCGAGTTGCGTACTATTCTTTGATACATCAGACCCTGTGAGCTTCTTGACAATTTCCGGCCCGACCTGCTCTAGCATTCGACTTGCTCCCGCTGCGTTCAAGCAAAGATCCAATACCTGATTGAGGTCCAAACCTAAATGAGCCGCAAACGCCAAAGCTTCCCCTGCTGCACATACATGCACGCCTTTCAGCAAAGCAATGACCAAGGCGAGTCGCTCCTCAATCGAACCCAGTTCTGAAGAGTTGTTCCCGTCTTTTGTCGAGACATCACCGGTGTAAATCCTAATGAGTCCGCTGTCGTCATCGCGCCCGTATCCTTGCCTGAACGCAGTCACATAAGCTTGCTCTGCTATACTTGACATCGGTGCAAGGAAATTGCAGCGCCTTGCTTCCGACGTAATGATGCCAATATCCTTCAGCATGATGGTCAACGCGCTTGCGACGGGTTGAAAGTTGGTAAAGATCCTAGGCGTACGGTGGTCGAACATGAAGGATTGAGCATCAGATTTCAGGACCGCTTCTCTTGTCTGGGATAGGTCCAAGCCGAGGTGGTCTGCGAATCCCATGGCTTCACATGCTGCTAGAACGTGTATCGCCGCCAAAACTTGATGGACCATCTTCATGTTGCTGCCCGCTCCAATTTCACCTTTTACGATGTACAGCGATTTCTCGGCCGACATTTCGGAGAGAATGTTTTGTGCCTTGCCGATGGCCGCATCTGAACCAGCTGCCATGATTGACAGCGTTCCCTCCGCCGCGCGCTGGACTCCTCCAGATATCGGGCAATCAACCAGAAACACATCCTCGCGGCCCTCGGCTATCAGTTGGCGAGAGAATTCTTGAACATATGCGCTCGAAACTGTGGATGCGACGAGAACGGTTGCATTTGACGACAGCTCCGGGCATGCACGGGAATTGCCAGTGAAGAAAACGGATTGTGTTTGTTGACTGTTTGCAACACAGCTTATGATGATGGATTTCCCTCGTACGGCCTCTGCTGGAGTCGCTGCAGTTTTCCCTCCTGCTGCTCTGAATCGTTCTAACGTTGGACCCCAGGCGTCGAAGCCTGTGACATCGTATCCTCTCTTCAATAAGTTCGTAGCCATGCCGAATCCCATGGCGCCTAGGCCAATAAATGCTATGCTATCTGATTTCGCCATTATTATCGTTGGTTGATCCTGAGTCTGTGGATTCTTCGTAGTGCTTGCTATCGTAGGATGTTGACTCTGACTTGAGCACCAGCTTTATGATCCGTGTCTGACCCAGCCTACTGTTACTGCGATGAATCTTACAATATATCAATGAATACTACCTACCAATTTGACCGGATGTAACACCTATTCCACCGGCACAGATATCCATGTGGAGCTCCGCATGTCGGAGACGCGTCCACGTTCTACCCATCCACCGGACCGTCTCAGCACACGAGTGGAGCACGTATCGTCTAGCGTGCGCTCAATTTCTCCACACAGCGATCAAATGCGGAGGTGCCGACTGGAGCGGAGATGGTTTGCTTAATTCCTTTCGATATCGTTATCGGCGTGGAGTAACTGTAAAAACTGGGGCCATGCCCATGTGACATAAGATCCAGAAGAACACGTAATTGAACCGGCATTACTTTGGGGTTCTGGACATTTGATGCAACCATTAATTCCAGTTTAGGACATTATACATTGCCAATATGCACATGTGATGATTCTACTACCTCAGATTGATACATTCCCTATGCAACAACGCAAAGAATTGGTATTTGAAACTAGGTCAGATTCTATCACTTCTCACTTAACAGGTGCAAATTGTAGTAAGAAAACCGCTTTAATTGCCAAAAGCATTCTATCTAAGCCATGAATTCACTGAATTCCTCATCGGGCAGCTCCTGTTGAGTGTCTTCTCCGTCCAACATCCCAAGGTACCAGCTGAGATCGCGCCCATCGAACTCTCTAGCAGCAAAGCCATTACCAAAATGGCCAAATCTATTTGAAGTCGTGTACTTCAAGTTATAGTCTTCCCACCTGGGGTTGTCCATGTTCTCGAAGAAATGGATGCGCGATCCCGGCCACATCATGATCTCTCCGTCAATCGTACCCTGTTTGAACCATGAGCTGCAAGGCGAAGACCATGCGGTACGTGGCAAGAATTGTCTGCGGTGCTGGATGAAATCTTCGACTGCCTCGACCTTTGGATCAAATGATGTGATAGCCTCGTAAGACATCTTCGTGAAAATCTTGATGAAATGCTTGGCCAAAAGCTCGGTAATGGGCAAAAAGCTTCCGTGTCCGTAGGGTCCGAATGGTCCGTTAAAGATTAGGTAATTCGGGAAGTGAGGAACTGTAATGGAGAGGTAGGTGTTTGGAATCTCCTTCCACTCCTCACTCAGACTCTTGCCGCCGCGTCCAATTGTAGGATAGCGAGGTCGCCAGCTAACGTCAAATCCAGTTGCGCAAATAATGACATCAAATTCGTGTTCGACGCCGTCCTTGGTCTTGATTCCCTTGGGTGTGATTTGCTCGATGGACTGAGATACTACGCTGACGTTGTCTTCGCAGAGAGCCTCCAAGTAGCCATTTCCGGGAGTGGGCCTTCTGCAGCCAACAGCGAAGTTCTTTGGGACTATCACATCGGCGATGTCTGGTTTCGAAGCAAGCTTCTTGCGCATCTCTTTGTCGGCATACTGTATCATGTTAATGTCTGTGCCATAGCAAAGCTCCGGATACTCCACATACCTCTTTAGCTTCTTGCTGCTCCTTGGAACCGTTCAAAATGAACCTGAATCTCGAGTTCAATTCAGATTCGATCTTTTTGCGATACGCAAGATATTTGCGAGGGTCATTCTTTAAGATCGCTTTTTGTTCTTCGTTGTATTTGAAGTTCGCACCGCCTTTACCAGCGAATCTCTGGCCGAAACCCGCTGTTACCCAACCAGGACTCCGGATGAAACATTTCATATCCCCAACAACTAATGCAAATCAGTAAGAGACTCAAGCTTCTATGCGAAAAAGAAACTTACTTGGCTGAATGTTAGGCACGATTTGCACGGCTGAAGAACCAGAACCAATAACACCGACACGCTTTCCTTTCAATTCAATGGAATCATCCCAGTTCGCGCTGTGTAGCATTGGTCCTTGGAAAGTCTCACGGCCTTTGATCGCAGGCCACTTCCACTTGTTCAGAACTCCACTGGCGTTGATGAAGACATCGGCGCTATCCTCAATCACATCATTAAGATCGTCTCCCCTCTGAATCTTGACATGCCAGCGCTGCTCTTGCTCATTCCAAGTTGCTCCAACGACTTGATGGTTGAGTTTAATGTATTGCATGAGATTGTACTTCTCAACAACGCCCTTGAAATATGCCAAGATGTCACCAGCACTCGAATAGCTAAGATCTGGATTAGTATGTTGGGTGTTTCGGGCCGGAAACTTTTGAACTTACAAGGATGGCCAGTCCGGCGAAGGTGCCCACGAAAGTTGGTAGTTGACTGATGGAATGTCGCACCCACAGCCAGGGTATCTATTCTCGTACCAAGTACCTCCAACCGACGGGTTCTTCTCGTAGCATACGAGATCGAGATCAAGTGTGCTCTCCTGGACTTCATGTGCGAAGTTGATGGCGCTTGCTCCGGCACCGACCACAATGATCTTGAGCTTGCGACCTATTCTGCTAGGAGTCTCCACGATTTTGTAAGGCGTTTTGAGTCCATTTGCTTCTTGGTGGATTTCTTTGACTTCGCTCAGGACTTTTGGTTTGTTGAATTGGGCTACTGGTACCGCGTCGGGCAGAATGTCGACAGAAATGGAACCCATTGTGGATTGATTGTGATGCTAATAGCAATAGAGATAGGAATTGGCAATGAATCAATTGAATGGCGAAACGTTTGCCAAATGAATCAATTAATGAAAGTTTGAGATGGAAGCACGATCTTGTACTTTTTTTTAAACCAAGAGGACAAGCACACTAAGTATTCGCATTGCCTCCCACCAACTATTCCAATGCGCGATCAACGCGGGGTGAGATAGCGTGAGCAATTGTGTGTACAGACGATTGCTCGCTCCCCGGCCAAACGATTGTCGGATGTGGAGCACCACATACTCCGCCTCCACATTCTCGCCACCATCTCTACCCCTCACAATGCGAATAGTAACGCGGAGGGCAATGTGGAGCTCTCCGATATGGAACATAGTCAGATGAGCCATTATCCGTATGATTGTAATAGAATTAAAGGAACTCAATGCCGGAACGATGGGTTGAATAACTGGAGCTTCATTATCAATAAGTGGTCTGATCATCATCTTGTTGGCGAAAGCATAGTGATGCTCTTGGAATAATTCAACTTTCTTTCTTTTTAAAAATTCATTTCGAAATGCCTTCTATTACAAAGCCAGTAGTGAGGATCTCCATAGATCGTGGAGGCACATTCACCGACTGCATCGCTCGTGTGCAAGGCCAGGCCGACATTGTAATCAAGATTTTGTCTTCTGACAAGAAGAATTATCCTGATGCACCAACGGAGGCCATTAGACAGGTGTTGGAGAAGGTTGAGAATAAGCCAATTCCAAGAGGAACAGCTTTGGATCTCAGCAATGTCGGCAAGTAAACATCATTGTAGCGGACTCAAAATTGTGCTAACGTGGTTACCTCAGAATGGATTCGCATGGGAACCACTGTAGCAACAAATGCTCTGTTGGAGCGGAAAGGAGAGAGAACCGCATTCCTGGTGACAAAAGGATTCAAAGATATCCTTCTCATCGGCAACCAATCCCGACCTGCAATGTTCGATCTATCCATCAAGCGAGCAGAGGTGTTGTACTCTAATGTTTTCGAGGTGGATGAAAGAGTTGTACCCACAACATGTTCAGATTCAGAGTTGAGGAAACTGAACATGCAATATCCCGAAGTCCCAGACATAGTTACCAAAGTCTCAGGCGAGAGCATAAGAGTCATGAAGACGCTCGATGTGCCCGCCGTCCAACAATACCTATCGGATGTCTACAACCAAGGTTACCGATCCATCGCAGTATGCTTAATGCACTCATACATATATCCCGAGCATGAGATCCAAATCCGAGACATTGCTTCAAAGATTGGATTCACCAATATCTCACTCTCACACGAAGTTTCCCAAAGGTCGAAAATAGTCCCTCGAGGCAACTCAACAGTCGTGGATGCATATCTGACTCCGGAAATAACAAAATATCTCGATCAATTTACTGCCAGTTTCCCCGAACTTAGCAGAGCTGAAACCAGAATTGAGTTCATGCAATCAGACGGAGGTCTTGTGCCATCTTCAGATCTTTCAGGATTACGCTCCATCTTGTCAGGCCCTGCGGGAGGTGTAGTTGGCTACGCCGAAACCTGCTATGACAAAGAGAACAAAATTCCAGTCATTGGCTTTGACATGGGCGGCACAAGTACGGATGTTAGTCGGTACGATGGTGATCTACAGCATGTCTTTGAAACAACAACTGCGGGAATCCCAATTCACGTCCCACAGCTCGATGTCAGTACCATTGCCGCTGGAGGAGGAAGTATTCTTGCCTGGCGAAATGGTCTAATGACTGTCGGCCCTGAAAGCGCTTCCTCCAGCCCTGGCCCCGCTTGCTACAGGAATGGCGGTCCTCTCACCGTGACCGACGCCAATCTAGCACTCGGGCGGCTGATTCCTGAGCATTTTCCATCCGTTTTCGGTCCTAACGAGGATCAGCCTCTTGATCGAGACATCGTTCTGGCCAAGTTTGAAGAGCTCACCAAGGAGATAAATCTTGATACTGGCAAGTCTCTTTCATGGGTCGAGGTTGCCGACGGATTCATCCAAGTCGCCAATCAAGCCATGTGTGGTCCTATCCGGTCTTTGACTGAGTCGAGGGGCCACGATGCTTCGAAACATGACCTTGCATCGTTCGGAGGAGCCGGTGGCCAGCATGCTTGTGCAATCGCAGACATCCTTGGAATTAAGAGAGTCGTCATCCATAAATACTCTTCAATTCTATCTGCATATGGCATTGGATTGGCTGATGTCGTACATGAAGAAGAGCGAACATGCGTCAAAGATCTCGATACGGCCACCGATTCAATCTATAAACAATTGAACGAGCTGGCCGAGACAGCAAAAAGTCACCCATCAATGGAAGCGTTTCCGATTGTCCAAGCTCACAAATTCTTGAGCATGCGATACGATGGAAGCGAGACGGTTATGATGATCCACGCGGATGAGGGCGTCGATTCCCGGCAAAAGTTTATCGACGCACATCACCAACAGTTCGGATTCACTCCCACGAACAGAGCCATTTTCGTGGACACAGTGCGCGTGCGAGCGATTGGAAAATACGAGAATTCGTCGAGCAGCACTGATTCATCTTCGTCGAAACTTCAAAAGTCCATCCATGCTCCCAAGCCTAGCTCGTCAAAGGACGTCTACTTCGCTTCTCGTGGATGGATTAATATCCCAATCTATGTGTTTGACACTTTTGAACAAGGCACAACATTGGCTGGGCCTGCACTCATTGTCGACAAGACCCAGACCATCATTGTATCTCCCAACGCATCCGCAGTCCTCTCCGGCGACAACCTTGTCCTGACCGTCGAAGACTCGCAAAAGCAATCCTTGAGCGCGTCCGAAATCGACCCGATACAACTTTCCGTGTTCCGCCACCGCTTCTTCGGTATCGCAGAGCAGATGGGTCGAGTTCTCCAGAATGTCAGTGTGAGTGCAAACATCAAGGAGAGGTTAGACTTCAGCTGTGCGATCTTCAGCCCCGATGGTTCTCTGGTCGCCAATGCACCTCATGTCCCTGCTATGATTGGAAGCATGGCGTTTGCCGTGCAATCGCAAATCAAGCAGTGGGCAGGAAAGCTGAAAGACGGTGATGTTCTCTTGTCCAACTCGCCTCGCTTTGGAGGTGTTCATCTCCCTGATCTTACTTTGACCACGCCTGTGTTTGACGCGGAAGGGAAGGAGATCATCTTCTGGGCTGCGTCGCGCGGACATCATGCCGATGTTGGCGGAATTCTACCAGGTTCTATGCCGCCAAACTCACGGTTCCTGTGGGAAGAAGGCGCGGTATTCGATTCGATCTTGATCGTCAGAGACGGCAAGATTGCAGAAGACGAACTTTATCGGATCTTGTGTGTTGAGCCGGCGAAGTACCCCAACTCCAGCGGCACAAGGTGTTACCAAGAAAACGTCACAGACATCAAAGCACAGATCGCCGCAAACTACTGTGGTATTCAACTCGTGCGATTGTTGATCAAAGAGTACACCATGAGCGTCGTCCAAGCCTACATGGGCGCCATCCAAGACGCTGCCGAGCTAGCCATCCGCAACCTCTTCAAGCGACTTGCTCCAAAGTTCAGCGGGACGGAAATAGCAGCAGTCGATCATATGGATGACGGCACTCCCATCCAGCTCAAAGTAACCATCCGCGAGGACGGCTCGGCGGTCTTCGATTTCAGTGGCACGGGCACCCAAGTACATGGTAACTGGAACGCCCCGCCAGCTATCACCAATTCCTCCGTACTGTACGCTTTGCGCTGCATGGTCGATGCCGACATCCCGCTGAATCATGGCTGCATCAAACCAATTGACATCGTCATCCCTGATAACTCACTGCTCCGGCCCAAGTTCGATGCGGCAGTATGCGCAGGCAATGTGTTGACTAGTCAACGCATTGTAGATGTCATCTTCAAAGCTTTCAGAGTCTGCGCTGCAAGTCAAGGCTGCATGAATAACTTCACCTTTGGCATCGACGGCGAGGGTGGCTTTGGTTACTATGAAACAATTGGTGGAGGTGCAGGCGCAGGACCGACGTGGATCGGTACCAGTGGAGTTCACACGAATATGACCAATACGAGAATCACGGACCCAGAGTCGCTTGAGCGACGGTATCCCGTGATTCTGAAGCAGTTCGGTCTGCGCCCCAATAGCGGAGGTTCTGGAAAGAATCCCGGTGGCGATGGCTTGGTGCGTGACGTCGAGTTCCGCATCCCGATGTCGGCAGCTATGCTATCAGAAAGGCGTTCATTCGCTCCATATGGCATGGAGGGTGGAGGCGAAGGAAGAAGGGGAGCCAATACATGGGTGCGGACAGATGGCACACAGATTTCAATAGGAGGAAAGAATTCTGTGTTCGTTCAGCCTGGTGAGAGACTAGTCATTGAGACGCCGGGCGGTGGCGGCTATGGTGCTCTAGAGCTATAGTTACTTTAGAGTGTGTTCAATAATGATAAGCTTTATTCCTTCACATTAACTTCTTAATGATTGTGCTTGAGATCTTCCCTCCTGGACTATGCTATCCCGCTTTGAGATGTTTCATGCACTGCTTCGTCTAAAGACGCTGGCTACGATCTACCAGCTTTACGAAAGCCGAAGTTTCAATATTAGCTGTGTACACAAGTAGATTAGAAATTGATACTTTGGCAAAGAAACTCGGATACAATCTTGTCGGGTTCAAATCAACGGAGGTACGACCTTATCGGAAAACTGGATAGTACTAAGTATGATTCATCTATATATGCTTGCGCCCAAGATGAGGTAAAAGAGAGTATGTACACAAACAGCCAGATCCCTAATCATATGACAAACCCCAAATGGGGACTACATAAGATACCTTGACTTGTTACGTAGTAGAAGAAGTGAATGAAGGGCGTCCAATTACCAGATTCGGGATCATCCAAGTGTCTAAATTGACAAGATTCCAGCCATCGACTACAATACATATCGGAAGTGTGGGAGTTGGAAATCGGTGAGATCCAAGAATTCTGTACCCTCGACTTCCGGGGCTTCGGGCTCTTCCGCAGCCTTCTTGTCTCTCCTCTTGTTCTCCCAGATGTTAACGAAGCGGAGTGCAACTAGCGTGCATGCAGCCAGACCATACATGATGGCGACCATCATCTTGCCATTGTGGTAGAGGGGAGCCTCGTTAGAACGGAATGTTTGTGGGCCGATCCAGTTTCCAGCAGCATAGGCAAGAATTTGGCAACCGCTGACCGTCGCCTTCTTCGTGTAACCCAAGGTGTTGTTGGAAATCATGACCATGACAAGACACCAAGCAGAGCCTGCGGCGCCGATGAAGTAGTATCCAACAAGGAGCGCGGCTTGGGCACTAAGAGGAATCGTGATCATCATGATGCCACCAATCATTGGGATGAGAATGGCGATGAAAGCGAAAAGTGTCCTGTCAAGATATTTGTCCGAGAGCCAGGTGAAGAACAGCTTGCAGAAGATGTCAACCACACCAGTAGGCATGTTCAACAGCAAGGAAAGGCGAGGACTGAATCCGAAAGATTTGATGACAATCGATCCGAAGGAGGTAATTCCTCCGTTGGGGATGTTCATGAGTAGCGAGAACAACACATAGAGATAGGTCCTGGGGTCACGGAAGGCCTCAAAGAATTGATCCCACTTCCAGACTGTGGAACCGATACCCTGATGATTGCCACGGATGCGATCGATGGCAATCTGCTTCTCACGGTGGGTGAGGAACTTCGCCTGAATCTGGTTGTCCGGCATGTAGTAGAACAAAGCAAACCCAGTCAGGACAGTCGGTGCTCCAAGAACAAGGAACAAGACTTTCCAGTTGGCAAAGGACGGTGCCTGGATACCAGAAAGACCGTAGGCCACCGGGCCCATGACGAGCAATGCGACACCGTTGCAAGCCAACCACCATCCCATACGCTTTGCCTGTTCATCTTGTTTGTACCTACAATCATGTGTTAGAAAGTGGCGAGGACACGTAAGATTGTTCAGCTGAACTTACCACATAGATGTCAAAATGACGAATGCTGGAGTGACAGTGGCTTCAAGAGCACCCAAGAAAAATCGGACACACATCAAGCCAACATAGGATGATGCAGCACAATGGCAGAGGAGGACACCACCCCATAGAATGATGTTGACGGATGTGTATTTTCCCAATGGGAGACGTCGTAGGAGATAGGTCGTTGGAAATCTGGCCAGACATGTGAGTATATCCTGTTGCAAGAATTGATTGGGTGTAAACTTACTCAAAGGCAATATAACCGGCGTAGAAGATACTGGATGCCCAGCTGTATTCCTGAGACTTTGGATCGAGGTGGGTGTCTTCGCGGATTCCCATCAAAGATGCGTAGTTGAGAGATGTCTTGTCTGCGAATTGCAAGGCATACACCCAGCAAAGCATAGGCATCAACATCAAGTCAATCTTTCGCAGCACGGCAGTTCCCTCTTCCGCAGTGTACTCAATGGTCTCTCCAGCCATGAAGACCAAGGCTGGATCGGCATCTTTCACGGAGAGAAGTTTGCTGCCGTTCTCGACTGCAACAGATGGCACCTCGTGGATCTGGTCACCTCCCATCTCATTCTTCTGGCCCAGAGTGTCTGCCATAGTGATAGAAGAAGTTGGAGTTGGAAAGAAAAAAACTCTTTTCAACAGGCTGCGAGCAACGATTTATGCGACAGATTCTAGATACGGTTGATACGACAATCGGAATGGCAGCTTAGTTGGCCGCCCTTGGATATCATCATGGATTGCAGGTCGTCGGATGCATGTTATAGGGATGTGTTGAAGGTCTGGAAACATGGGGTAACAGATTTACCCCAGAGTGGAGCTCCACGACCGGTTATCGTGTGCCTCTGGCGCAATCCATTCATTGGTTGGCTAGTTCGTAGCGTTCCAACTACACCTGCTATCCGGCCCATTACGGAGATAGAGATGGCTTCTCCCCCTTCAATCAATCTCCACCTCCACTGATACCAGATACTGCGGACGAGATAGCGCTCAGATTGTTTGAGTCATGTGCTTCATTTTGGCCAAGTCCGATTACGTGGGAGATTCCGATAGTCCAACACTTGGCCTACACGAATCATCTAGTCAAAGGATCTCGTATTGGGGGACGTCCTACGACGAACATGACTTATCGCCCACTCAGTCGGTGAACATGCTCAACCTCCTTGAATATCCATGGTGTGTGGCTTGAATCTGGTAGATAGCAAGTAGGGCGATTTTGAACAGACCCTCAGCAATAACTCATTAACATGAATGTAGGAGGCTGGAGACTTTGTATCATGTCTGCTAATATACGGTGCACAGATCGAACTAAGAGTTTCTTAATTGTGCAGTACAACGATAACAGGGTCCTGGATTTCAAACAACTAAATAATTATCCTTATGGAGCAGAAACTATAGCTTGCCCGACTGACGAGCGTACTTCTCCTCGAGACGAATGATGTCCTCTAATGGACCGAGCACGTCTTTGCTCATCGCATCTATGGATGTATTTCCTAGAGGCCTTCTGCCTATGCCTCTTCCATAACCGAAATAACGTGAAACCACTGCTTTGACGCCTGCCACGCCAACCTTCTGCAATGCACCATCAGCGTTGCTCAATCTCGATTGCAGCTGTCTGGCCTCCTGAAGCTTTCCTTCATTCCACAACTGAATCAGCTTGACATGGGTTGCTGGGACAATATTTGCGAGGGCTGCGATCACACCGTTGGACCCCGCGACAAGCCCCGGAAGCATGAAATCGGACTTCCCTGCAAATGCTGCAAATTCATCTTCTGGAAGGCTAGACCACACTCTTTGCAGCTTGCCGAGATTGCCGCACGTGAGTTTGCATCCGACGATCTTGCCTGGATTCGCCTTTGCGAGTCGGATTATGGCATCGGAGGATATGTCGATTCCTGAAGTGACTGCAGGAAAGTTGTAGATCAGGAAAGGAAGCTCGGCCTCAGCAGCGACCTTGAAGGAGTAAATTGTTAGTAAATACGTTTTTGTTAGGATGATTATTTTTAAACTTACTGCGTTGAAGAAGTTCTCGACGACAGCTGGAGTCATTGCTGCTGCCCAATATGCAGGAGGTAGAACCAACGCATAATCAGCACCTGCTTGACGTGCTTCTGAAATCAGTGTGAGGGTCTCGCGGACGCTGGCTGCACCACATCCTACGATCAATTTGACCTTCGTGAAGCGGAGTTCGTTGAGATGGGATCGGATTGTGCGAATGATCTGAGCTCGTTCTCCATGGTCAAGGTGAGGGGCTTCGCCGTTGCTACCTTGGAGTACGAGGCCAGCTACACCACCCTCTGCCATGCGCTTTGCATGCTGCTTCGTCGCTACAACATCTATTGATTCATCCTCATTGAAAAAGGTGACGAGGGGAGTGTAAACACCGAAAGGAGGCTTCGAGATAGGCATTGTGATAGACCTTGGATGAGATTGTGAGACTGAATAATTTGAAATTTACTTCAACGATATCAAACGAAACTCTCAGATAGACATTCAGCAACTATACCCTCGGACCCTGGAGCCATTGGGTGCTCAGGGTCCATAGCGCTGCTGCAATGAAGCTCCGAAGCTATGTTGAAGCTCCGAAGCTATGTTGAAGCTCCGATGTCCCAAGGGCGTGGTGCTCCACATGCATCGGCGACATCAACCCCAGAGTATGTTTAGAGGTCCTGTTGAGGAATCTAAACCGATAATCAGGGCGAGCCGACTCGTCTACGCCAGGGAAGATCAAAGATAACCGATAGTTTGCAGTGGCATTTTGCGCGAAAAGTGGAGCATGTGGTGCTCCACATCAGCCTCCACCTCCACCTCCAATCGGCTCTCTCTCTTGTCGCGTTTGAGTGCGCATGGAAAATCGCTAATGTGGAGTGCTTCGAAATCATTCTCACAATCTGGGGGAATTCGTATTTGTCAGATGGGCGTCGGGTAATGTGTAGGATCCAAATGTCTCCTCGATTGTGACACTCTCATCTTTCCCCCATCCCTTTCACGAATTCCAAAACACCTCGCCTTTGCCAATTCTCCTCTCCCTTCGCGACTTTGCAGTAACAACATGGTTGTGACATCTACAAGTGAGGATTTCTTTGCACAAGTCGCGTACATACCACCTGATGCGATATTCGACCTCACAAAGAAGTACATTGCGGATTTCCATCCACGCAAGGTCAATCTTGGCCAAGGGACTTACAAAGACGAAGACGGAAACCCATGGATTCTTCCAGCAGTCACAGAGGCAAAAGACAGGATACGGGATGCCAATCATGAATACCTCCCAATTTTAGGTTTGGCAACCTTCCGCAAACTTGCGACAGAACTGGTCCTGGCCAAGGACTCCCCAGCAATTGCCCAACAGCGGGTAGCATCTTGTCAGGCGCTGTCTGGTACAGGTGCGCTCCATCTAGCAGGAGAATTACTGTTCAGAGCACTGGGAAGCGAAGTGCCCGTCTACATTACCAAGCCAACCTGGTCAAATCACCGTCAGGTGTTCTCAACAGTCGGTTTCAAAGTTCGCGATTTCAAGTACTATGATGACGACACGGGCGTATTCGATTTTCCATCAGTGCTAGAGACTCTTCAAAGTGCGCCTCCGCGATCCATCTTCATCTTCCACGCCAGTGCACACAATCCCAGTGGATGCGACCCCACTAGGGACCAATGGAAGCAAATTGCGCAGATCGTACGGGAGCGTAACCTGTTCCCTGTTTTCGATGCAGCATATCTGGGTATTACATCAGGTGACTACGACTATGATGCGTTTGCCATTCGATACTTCATCAATGAATGTGGCTTGCAAGCCGCCGTGTGCTGCTCGTTTGCGAAGAACATGGGTCTCTACGGGGAAAGAACGGGACTCGTGAGCTTCATCACACAATCTCCAGCTTCTGCCAAAGCTGTAGAATCTACCCTTGAACAGATCACACGGGGTGAAATATCCAACCCACCTGCGTTCGGTGCAAGGATCGTGTCTGAGGTGCTTAGTGACGAGCTTTTGAGATTCGAGTGGGCGAGCAATTTGAGGATCATGAGCTCGCGCATTGCTCAGATGCGCAAGGAGCTGCACAAGGAGCTTGTGAGATTGAACACGCCCGGAGATTGGAGTCGTGTGGTGAATCAACGTGGGATGTTTTGCATCTTGGGGTTGTCTCGAGAGCAAGTCCTACATCTACGAGGTGAGTAACCACAGTACATCGGTCTCCTTTCGCATTGGATCTTACTAACAGTTGCGACATTAGACAAATATCATATTTACATGGCAGATAATTCAAGGATCTCAATAGCGGGACTTAACTTCCATAACGTGCAATACACTGCTCAAGCCATAGATAAGACATTACGGAGAGAGTCAGGGCGGTTATGATTATAAACGTAGGAGTAGAGAAGGGCAGAGCAAGGAATGCTTTGATTCCTTTGGGTGGAAGATCAAATAGTGTTAGAATAACCATATGATCATATATGTAAAACATTGCAACATGAACACATTATAATATTTAGTGCATGTGATTTGTTATCTCTCTCAATAACATGTTACAATCCTGACTACGATCAGAATTGGAACTTGGCCAATCAAAACTTCAACCTCGGGTGAATGACTCAGCTGGCAAGGGCACTAAAGCCAATAGCGTGCAGTGGAGTCTCCGCATCTATCGACGTCTGCCTCATTCACTATCCGATGACCTACAATCTCCAAAAAGCAGGCTTTCTACAAGCGGCTTCCATTAGTTAATCATGATGTCGATAAGGCCATTTGGCTGTGAAGAGTGTTCCTCGACATTCACCAGAAGTGTACAAATGATGCTTCTTTATCTTTGTCCGTCGCTAATGATAAACTAGGAGAATCTTGAACGACATAAACGAACCAGTAAGAGCAGCCGAGATTAGAGAAATCAATCATTGCCTTTGAATTGTAACTAAATATTGATCAGGGCACGGAGACGCTGCGCGTAAATCATTCCAATGTCCGCATTGCCAAGCCAAGTTCGCTCGCAGGTGAGCCTTTGTAACAGTCCCTCGATGCAATGGAAGAAGATTTCTGGTTCTAACTTGGAACTCGAAGAGACATATGTAAGCGGCATGCAAACAGATGTCAAGAGAAATCTCTCCAGCAATCTGCTTCCTATCAGTCCGTTACGAGGGCATCGTCCGGTGGTGGCATCCACTCACAATCCGAGCCCCTACAGAGAGCTTCGTCGGAGAGCGAACCTTCTCCATCCTCAAAGGCTAATGACCACAATCTGCGCCGGAAGAGGCGGAGACGATCATCTTCACCAGGCATTGAAGCAGCCGTCGTTGGAAACGGAGATGCAGAGGGACCGGACGCTGACGCCTCGTGGCATTTGTATACCACGCCCCATCTGTCGGAGCCGCAACCTGCACGTAACTCAGAGGCACTTGTCTCTCCCGAATCGATCAGCCTTGGGTGAGTCATGATCAGGTGCTTTTGATACCGTAAGCAAAGTCACAGTTGCTGATTCTGTTTCAGTACAAGCAACAACTCAGTTGGCTTTCTAGTCGGGCTGTACTTTGCTTATTTTCATGCCTCGCTGCCAATCATTCACAAAGCGACTTTTGAACCAACGACAGCCCCTCGGCCACTGTTGAATATTATGGTGGCCATCGGTCACCTGTACTCCATCAAGGACTTTACGGACGAGCCAGCGGCCACCACTGTTGAGCGAAGCCGCAGGCTGTGGGCTCAAGGTGTCGAAGAGCTTGAGAAAATTGTAGGTCAATACTCTTGTGATATACAACACTCAGCATTTCCAAAGGGGCCAAATCGCTGATATCTGCAGAGGTCATCGGAGTGGAGAGAACTTCGGAAAACCTGGGTGATGCAAGCGTGGCTGTTGCATATTGTTTATGGGGTCTATGCGGATGTATCAGCACAGGACGGTACAGCGCGGCGGATGCTGCGGCATCTCGTTGATGTAAGAAGCAATGCCTCAGTACCCGTATCGATGCACTGACGTTAATCCGACAAGGCCGTTCGAGACCTTGGGCTGCTCAATTATGCAGTAGCAGCTACGATGTTCCCTCGTATAGATGATGAGATGATGGCATCTTTCAACTCAAGTGAACTAGGCTGGCTGGAGGATACCTGGAGAGCGTACCTCCACGAAGAAACCTTGAAACTCTCGCTCCAAGCATTGATGTTCTTAGACCATCATGTCTTTTCCTCATGCAACATGCGTCCCCTCCTTAGTCCGATCGAGTTCGTCTGGGAACTTCCACTGCATGAGGAACTCTGGGAAGCGAAAGACGCGCTCTCCTGGCGGATAATATTAACCGACAAATATGGCGAGTCGGCTATGGTTGGAACTACACTCAAATGGCCTATTCCTCTCAATCGGGGATCCCACACCATGTCAACATCCCTCGCCACGCAGTCACTCATGTCGGAATCGCCGTGCCCACAGCTGATAGAAACCCTCTTCGCCTCGCCGATGGCAACACTTGCCGTGCTGACCAACATCGAACTGCTGATCAAGGACTTCACACGCTGCTACTACCAACTACCACCCAACCCGTCCGATCCATCAGCATACCACATTTTGACGCAAGGTCAGAACCAGCGCATATTTGCCTCACTGAAAGTACTCATAGACATCACGTCGACACAGGTCGTGCACGAGACGCACAACGAGAAACCGCTCTGGCGAGCATGCGATATGACTGCGCGAGCAATCAAATTGAGTCTCTGCAGACCGGATGACTTGCTGATCTGCGGGATCGTAGAGAGCAACGTTATCGCGACTTTGATGACCGCGACCCATCTCACGCTCGGTAGTTATGTCGCAGCCAGACGGTCGACGCAGTCGCTGCTAAAGAAACGATCCGACGACGAGGGTGCGCTTGCCATCACAGAAGACCTGGTCTCAGCACTTACCAGCATTATGGGTGCCAGTCCGAGACTCGCATACTGTGAGGGCCCGTGGACGACGGCCATCAGCTACCGAATCCTCCTACTCATCTGGAAAGTCCTGCGCTGGGCCGTGGGAGCGATTCGTGAGAAACTCACCGCTCGCATAGCAAACGATGATATAATCAATTTACCACGCTCGTTCGGGTCATGCTCGTTGGTTCTGAACTCTCTTCTAGAAACGATATTTAACGGCGAGCCCGAATCGACGGCTGCTGCGTCTCGACAGAACAGCCTCTGGGCAACGGATCTGCAGAGTTTGACGGCCATTTTGGATCATAGCGAGGCGGATCTTACCAACCTTATCATCAGGATATGTAAATCGCGGCCTGTCTGGGCGATTGGTTCTGCTATGGTGTCGTCAATAGAGAACATCACAGCGACGACGTCGTCGAATGTGCCTTTGAATATATACCTATAGCAGTAGCTCTAATTCCAAACTCGATATCAGATCAAAAAATACTCTTTGAGCCTACAAGGCAGTGCTGTGAATTTTGAACAGGTCACTGGGTCTAATTTCTCATTCTACTTTGAACAAGTAAGATGTCATACACAGCAACATCGGATCTTTTCGTACGAAATACGGCAGGAAGACTCCAAATCAATCTTTCTTGGATAAATATTGAATCATTGTATGAGTGCAAATCCACCGTTCAAATGTTGTGACGTTATCCTTTCTTGGTCTATATGAAAAGAAATCTACAATAAGACTACCTATGTTTACGAGACTTACAACAAGAGACTAGACTAAGGGTTTTGCGAAAGTATGCTAACTCGCTGCTGATCATTATTTCACAGATATGAATTCTACAGCTATTCTGTTGTTATTATATGACACTCGTGTATCGCATCCACATAGGAAACTCTGCGTTGTTTGCTCACGTGATCCCAAAACAAGTGAAGGAGAAATGTCAATAGTGAGTACCTTTGAACCAACCACAGGTGACCATGGGCCCAAATGACCACTTTTTAATCACTTCCAACGCATAGACCTGGGCTGCGTCTGGTAATGGCACTGCAGTGGGCTTAGCGTATCTTTTCCGCCATATGCATTCATAGACATGGCGTAGACAGCAACGAGTGAGTCCACAACCTTACACCTTAGCTATAGTTGCAACTATGTTTCTCTCCCATGCGCACAGAGTTAGCCTAGCATCTCGACTTCAATTTTCGAACATGCCAGGGCCCATTTGGTAAGCCGACACAACTAATCAACCCAGCTTTGAGTTTGCTAAATATGCTAGGAACCAAACTCCCGCTCATTGGGGAAACATCGACGAGAATGGCGAATCTATCCTTGAAGAATACATCCTTGGCTACCCGAGCAAGCAAGAGCAAGAGAATCGTAGGCGACGCCCGGCATCCACCACGGAACCTGTCGGGTGCAGGGGATGCCACAAGATCTTCAGAACCCAGCGCGAACTAGCTGTATGTTATCAATCCACATACTAAGAACCACAGATACTGACATCTTGTAGAAACACTTCAGGTCCACTCTTTGTGGCCACTATCGTAGCGCCAATATCTCATCTACGCCTCGAGGGTCTAAGACAATTTCGCATCAAAGCGATCATCAGAAGCCGGTCTTTGATTGGCAGTGCAGGCGTTGTGGATCTCGTTTACATAGTCACTCCGCAGCTCTTGTGAGTGTTTCTTTCTCGTTGCTTCTTATACGACAAACTAATATGTTTCTTTAGCATCACATAGCCCAGAAGTGCCGGAAGTCTTGTAATGAGTGCAAAGCTTCCGGTCGTGCAGACAGCTGCAGGGCGCGATCGAAATCAGGACCTTGCGATCGTTGTGTACGGTATAGAATCGAGTGTTCCAAGCAAACCGCGCCTGTCGAGAGTTCCAGTCCAGTCATGGCTAGACAGCCCAGCACCATCTCTCGGTCATCGGAGGCGAAGACCTCCAAGAAGCGCAAGGCAGTGGATCAGCCTCAGTTGGGCCGGAATCAACAAGAATCAAAGAGAATCCGCGAAAGCATCTCCAGTGGCGAAAGTTCACGGAAGGCAGCCACACTTCCTCAAGCACCGAACTCAACAGTGCCCCAAAAGCCTAGGATCGTTGATCAAGCAGGCCTTCTTGAGAACATGGGACCGTCAAGGAGAGTCGAGCCTGAACACTACAATCGGCAAGGTAACTCCCACCTATCACCAACTTCATCGTGGATTGATGCTAACCATCTGCAGTCCAAGCTCATGACTCCACACCTCCATCCTTCTACCTAAACCCAGTCCACAAGGAGCCTCCATCAGCATCTACACCAGTCACAAACAGCTCGGTCCACAAAACTCCAATCGAAGCCAATATTATGTCACCATACGGCGCCATCCCCGACAAATTCAAAATGCCTTCGACAATGAATACACCGGAGCCGTCACCAAACCAATACGCATTCCCAGGACCTTCAACTGCCCTTCCGGTGATTTATTTCCCAGTCTATCCCTGGCATGTGGCTCCCCAACAGCCACCCGTCCAGGATCGTCAAGATTCTTCGGTGCAAACTTCCGGCGAGAAAGGTGCAGATACAAGCGTCAATGGTGCGGCCAATATGCCCCACGAACTACGCAACGAGCATTCGATCGACCATAGCGAGTTTCCAGACTTTACTCCAGAAGATTTGGGGATAGAACATCTATTTAGTGGACAGCCTTGAGGATTGTTCAGTCCCTTTCGGTGTGCATGGGCATGGCTGCTAAGCGTGGAGTATAGCCACAAAAGCACACGGGTCTCACGAGCGGATTGTGATCGAATGCCGGGCAGTGAAAAGAAATGATCATGAATAAGAGACCAACTAGACCATATCTATTATACAATAAAGAAAGGAAAACCTGAGCACTTGTGATTCATTGATCAGAGAAGTTGGTCTTCAATTTTGGTGATGGCATCAATTTTGGTGATGGCAGAAGGAATGATTTATGGCCTGTAAACACAATGAAACTTTCTAGCATTTAAGATTCGAAAGTTTTGTTTCGCTGATTTGGTTTGTCTGCTGTCTTCTCATTACATGATTATTTTCCAATAGACAACATAATTGACATTCATATGACATGAAATTTAAAAAGAAAATCCGGAAAAAGAAAAAGAAATGATTGAAACGTTTCACTAATATATTTACAGGAAGAAAATGAAGCAGCTTTCAGATACACCAATTTCCATCACCACTGAGCCGGATCAGCATCCTTAAACTCCTCACCAACAGCAATCTCATCAAACCAAATCTGCCTGAAGCTCTGCCCCTTGTTGGTGCCCTGATCATGCCACCCATTAGCATAGAGGCCGACCCTGAACATAAACTGCTTGTCATTGTCGACCGTGGTCTTAATTCCCGAATGCTCAACGACCTTCTCGCCATCATACCAGACCTTGAACAAGCCGGTCGAGTCCGACCTCCAATTGACCTGCATGACAATCTTATGCCACGCTCCCGCAGTAACAGTAGCCAAGTTCCTGAACGGAGTAGTGATCTGCGCAGAGGTCGGACAGACACTGCCGGTCTTGACGCGGGAATGGAGCTGGTTTCCCTCGAGCCAGAGCATGCTGGACGGCATGAATGTCTCCGAGCACTGGCCGCTGAAGTCGGCGATGAACTGCGCGATGTTGAAGGACTGGCCGTCAGAGAACTGCCAGTCCTCCGAGAGGCGGAACTGAAAGCCGTAGAAGCGGTTGTCGCCGCGCTTGTAGCCGCCGACGCTGGTGCCGACTTCTGAGTGGTAGCGGCCGGTCCAGGAGGAGTCGTAGGTTTGCGTCATCTTAAGGGCGGTCGGACCCTCGGAGAAGACGTTGGTGACTTCGGTGATTTTGCCGTTGCGTTCGGTTTGGAAGTGCGACCAGCCGTTGGTGCCGCCGTTTTGGTTGAGTACGCCTTTGTTGCTGAAGAATTGGGCGCCTTCAGTGAGGCCGGCAAGGCCAAGGAGGGCAGAGTACAAGAATGTAGAGCCGATCATAGTTGCTATATGTTTTTGAGGCTAGGAATTGGCTTGAAATGAGTTGTAGAAGCTATGTTCTGAATACAATGTTTGACGATGGATCCGCTGCTTCTTATATTGACATTTTGACAGACGTAGTGACCAAAACAGAGCACAGTGAGAACTTACAGATACCTATAATGGAAGTAAATAAAATCACACCTACATCGAGGTTCACAGCGGTACGAAATTGGTTGTTTCAATCAGTTCCACCAAACGTTGATGTCCCACAGCTAGGCTGGCGCCAGCACACGGGTAACCCTGCAATGAGCTAGACATTTGCACCTCAGAACGTGATTGCAGGGCGAGAGGTCACACGAGGATTAGGAACCCAAAGTAGAATATGAACACAAGTAAGTAGGGAATACAGTCAGGAAGATTGATAATACTACTTGAAGGTCTGGATGATGCACGGGATGGGACGGCTACCGCACCTTGCTGTCGGGTGTTGTCGAGCACTACGACCAATAGCCCATTACTATTGCCCTACCTTTTCGAACCAATAACAATCATATGGCTCAGCTTCAAGAAGTCTCGGCATTCAATTCGTGGATATTCACAGGTCACAAGCGGGGTTGACCAGGGCGCCATCTGTATCACGAACAAGACGTCGTGTAATACCATCGAACTTCCCAATACGGTTAGCACCATGTATAGGGTTGTAGATGCTGGCAACCACTATCTTACCGTGGACCCTGTAACCTACGAAAGGCATTTCCAAAATCGGTCTGCGATGTAACCTATTCTTCGGATTGAGTTGGGTGCGGTCTAGTTTCTGGTAGATTTTGGTCGGCCGAATCATCTAAGACAAGTTGGTTCTATGGAATGTGCGATAACCGAAATCAAGTAAAGCTAAACTGCAGTTTTCGAACATCTTTCGCCTCTCATTTCATACAACGGTACTGCATGAAATGATCAAAATTGCATTGTAACGTCGGAAGGTTGGTCGGGCTGGCAGCTGTGGAGATAAAGAGTTCTTATTCCCATGCAGGACATGTGAATGGCGGATGCAGGGGCGATACAACAATGGCCAATCCCAGGATGACCAGAGTGCCTCAAACATAAGGCTCCTTAGTCAAACATGGCATTTGACAGCTATTTCGAAATTGTGGCTTTGCGCATACACTGTCCGATTTGGCAAAGTCGTTGTTACGGATCAGCTAGGATCCGACGATTTGGCCTCGTATTCGTTCTCGTTTGGAGTCCAGCCCTTTCGTTGAAATGTACTCTCAACTTTGGGCGACATTGAGAATATGGCCAGAGTAATTCCAATCATAGACGCAATGTCGATCTTAGAATAGCCCAGTCCAATGTCACCCTGATGCGCAATTAGTCCGATTTGTGTAAGAAACGATAGGACGATTCGTGTTCAAAGTCCCCTTCATTGCCTTGTGACTTTGGTAATGGTACTCATAGATAAAGCCGATGATTCCGTCGTATTTATTATCGTCCTTTTTGGGCAACACCGCCGTCTTGTTCTATTCGGTGTGTGTGTATACACCAGATACGTGCAAAGAAGTGCTAGAAGCCTGAGGGGTAATTGTTTCAAGACCAGGCATTCTAGACTTAGCGCGAATGGCGAATAGGAAGTCCGAGCATACTTCGTAGAACGCAGTCGATTGCCCATAAGCCTTGAGGTGAACACATCAGCTGCGGCTCGCGACGTAGAAGTCTGTCAGTATATGACGCTGCCGAGGCACTCGTCGCGTGCTACATTAGAAGCGATAACGATCTCGGCTCGGGTTGACCCGCATACGATTAGTGTCTGTGGCGTAATCAAATCGAACGGCAAACACATGTCCAATCGTCAGCTATGTTACTAGAACAGCTTTGACACATCTGTCAGGAATACTCAAGCGGATTCGAAGTAGTATCCTGATGATAATGGCACCATCAATCAATCACACGTTAGCGGTATCATGTAGTCCGATCTCTCCCTAAATTATTTGTTCATGCGTCAGTTCATATATTCTCCCAGTGGTGGGAGGTCCCTAGCTGTGTAGGGTAACGAAGATCATCAATGATTACCACCCATTTGTCCTCAAAGAGGAGTGTCATGCAGCCTCGGGGCCGCTGACGAGGGCAAAAGCTCGCCGGCTAGCACAGGTCGCAGGTGTTGAAATATGAATTGAGAAGACGGAATGTCATTGCTGCGATGCTGTTGACTAGAGCACAACATGGAGTGCATGCGACCAATCTTGTGTCGGGCGAAACTTCCTTGCCGTTCCCGTACCAGTTACATATCAAACCCAACAACTAATCAATTGTTGTCCATCTAAATTCTATCTAGCTCTTCGAAACATTTCGTAATCTTTAGATTTCGCCATTCGCCAAACTGTAAGTGATTCAAACCAGCAAAGACTTAATTCAAAGTTCACGAAATCTTCAGAACTTCCATCGTTTGGCAAGCTCGATTCCTTCTGCTATTGTGCCCACGCGTGCATCAATTGCATATCCTTCGCTTTCGTATTTCTTGCAAAGCGCCCATAAGTCCTTGAGCGGGACAGCAAACGTCTCGATGAATTCGTTGTCTTCGAGTTCGGGTTGAGGATTCTGGTTTGCGGGGTTCGACATATCGACGGTGATGTGCACCATGCGGAGGTTCGTATTGCAGAACCCTGGGTCTATGGAGACAATTAGTACATTCCGTGCACGGGTCGTTGCATATTGTATTCTCACCATTGAACATGATGGGGCTGACGCCAAATCCGGCCTCCATGACAGTGCCAATGTATCCAGTCTCCTCCTTCAGCTCACGTATCGCACATGTTTCCGCCGACTCGTTGGGGTCTATCAGCCCGGCGGGGATCTCGATGACTGTGGCATCGACAGGAGGCCGCCATTGCTTCTGGAGCAGGATCTGAGGGTCCGCATCAGGCTTCGATGGGTCCTGTAGAATAGCTACAACGCCGACTCCATCTATATCGGAGCCAGCTGGTCGTGTCAAGCGCTCCCCAGACTCCCATGTTCTCTCCACGCCTTCAGGGTCGGAGTAGGTAATCCTGGTGGCATTAAGTAAGCATTAAAGACTTTTGGAAAGCCAATTGGGGGTAAGGGGAGCCATACTTCAGCAGGGTTGCCCATTTCGCATCTTTGTAGTCCTGAACGGTGTCAGGACATGGCGCAATCAGCGTGGAGCAATTGGACTGACCAGTGGCTCGGTTTTGAGGACTTTAGATTTGTTCGAAGACTTTTCTGGAGCTGTCATCTTTGAAGAGGGTTTCTGATTGAATTTGCTAGGTGAATAAAGTGTCAAGAGTAGGAAGATGGAAAGAAGGGAGAAGGTACGTTGCAGATGTTTGTGTTGTCAAATAGTGGGGCAGGAGCCAATGACGAAAAACATCACCAACGCATCGTTGCCAAGAGCCTCACAATTTCTTCTCTGACATGGCATTCTTCAATTGAACACTTCAGACGTCTGGTACAACAAGTCACCATCAGCTCGCTCGTCTAATATCGGCATCGGGATCGTCAGTCTTTCATCTCGCCGAGACGCGGAGATACGAGTGGCCTAAATATACTTGATCATCGCTCCCGAGTTCCCGCGATCCCATCATATTAGCGGCACATCAACGCACGCTTCCAACCTGCAGATCCCTACGATCATCGACGCACGTCTGTTTGACTATCTTTTAATGAAGAATGAATAAGTACCTTCGCAAGCAGCGCATTTCCACAGCTTTGAAGACCGTATGTCCCTGTCTATGCCCCCAACAGAGTAACGATCCATCGAGCACATGATGCACGACGAGGCCACTGGCGCGATAAATTCCAAAACGATAGTCTGTCTCGTTGCGCACTGTCGAAGTTCGACCTGGCCAAGAAATACGGAGAAAACAATAGTGGGGATCGCCATGGAAGAATGGTGTATTGGTGGGCGTGTTTGCACTACTCTGAGTTTCAGACGACTACACTGCCGGTGCTTGTTTTAGATCTACGCCGGCTTCTATCGCTAAACTCTGCTCGACAAACAAAGGTCAACAAACCGGAAAGTTGATGCCTCTACAATCGCATTGTGCAATCCGTGAGAAACATCGCAATGAGCACGCCCGATGACCGCGCGCGAATGTCAAAATAAACTGCTTCTCAGCCTCCTTTTCACTCTTATGAGTTGGACGCGTCGAACAGACATCCGTGGGACGCAACACAAGGAGCAGTAAGCTGCATACCGTCTCTTCCTTTCTCAGCTCCTTGCATCTGAATCCGTGACCGATGCAGCGAAGGGCAGGCCAAGGGGCAAATAGCCAGAAATTCGCGTGCAGGCTACCCTCGACCTCCTGTAACCCAGTACGAGAATGAACGAAAACCTACATGCCGACGAGAGTCTCGAATTATCACGCCGCTATGTATTGCATGAACGATCCATGTTCTTCGCGTGATTGATCCTGATGAATGGAAAAAGGCATGCAAAGGTCCCAACAAACCACCGTCATTAACCAGGTAATGTCCGCAGGCTCAGCACAACAATAAAAACCGCGTATATGCAGAGTTATCAGCTTTCTGACTCCTCGGGTAAGTAGATTTGTTCGCATCGATGTCGACGACTTCAGGGAGTAAACACAGAGTAAACAGGAGACCGTTTGAGTTGTAAAACATTGGACCAACCACATCCAAGCCACTTGGTCACGGCGCGCTCTACAGAAAACCCTTGGAAACTCTTCTTCTATCTGCGTGGGGCCCGCCTTGCCCTTTTACGACTTTTCAATGGAATTCTAAACGTCGGAGGTCTTCAAAGTTCCCCTGCCAAGGAGTGGATGGTCGGTGGAGACCTGGCAGTTAGTGGCTGCCGTTGCCAGCGCCTTGCCCGTTCCTGCATACATCCCCCGCAAAGGGTCAGGGCTTGGGGAGGCCTTAGACGAATCGCGCCCGTAAGCTTTCTAAGTTGAGCAAGTCGAAGGGCTCGCCGCCCAAAACGATGCAATCTACAGACCAATGCTGTATGATCAGCTTACCCGTCGCGATCGCATTGTGGACGGGCGATCACCATCATCAATTGCTCACACCAGGGGCATACTTGGATTCTGTTCGTAGTCGTCTTCAAGTATTCCGGACGTATTGAGAGCGCACTTAACAGAATGTCGCTAAGAGCTTCCCAGCATTCGAATCGCGACTCGTGAACCATGTCTGGCAACTAGAAGAACAGTATCCATACATACTATTGCTGCACGGGGTATACTGTTCAAACAAGTGAGACACCAAAGGGGTTAGCCCGATATGGGAGACGTCCAATTTAGGATGAATCCACTATAGTAACGACTCAGTTATTGGCCGGATTCGCTCGCTTCGCGGATGAGCATGAGCATACAGGCTTTGATTCCGCTTTTAGATCGAAAGCTTCAAGGTGCGCTCAAACGTGAGAACCTTGAACCGTCTAGATGGCGTCGGAGCACTGTGCCAGTACGGGTTTTTCTCTTTACACAGCCTTGCTCCCACAGCTCTCGAGTCCCGAATATCAATCAATCCCTTTCGCCTCAGGTGTCTTCGATTCTTACGCCAGTCACTCACTGTGTTGTGTGGTTTCACACGTCCTTTCGTTTCTCACCATTATCCAAGAACCTATCGAATCTTGAGCATTTCTCTGTTCGGTTGTTCACACAATCCTTTCACAAGTACACTCTACCTCTCTACAAAACGTCTTTGTCGAGAGCCACTGTGCGCCTTTCCGGTTCGAAACCGCTGGAACAATATTGACAGCTTTCCACTGGTTGGGATTTCTTCTCTCCCACGCCAAGTTTGAATCTGAGTCTCACACGAGCACTCTTCCACTCTCCTATCTTTGATCATATTTCCTTTACCTCGGGCTTGCCCTTAGGCACTTCAGTCACTCTTTTTCCTTTCCGCCTGCACATTAATAGTAGTAATCACAATGGGCAACTGGTTCGGCGATCTCGAGCTGGCATACAAGTACATGTAAGTAGTGAACCACCAAGTCGACCGCTCTTTGTACTGATGGGAATGTAGTGTTATTTTCCTCTCGTTACTTGTATTGGCCATACTTGCTGGTATCGTCAAGGTTCTCATTGTTCGCCGAAGGTAAGTCACTTTTCCTTGGTGCTGGTCAAGACTATACTAACCATCCTCAGGCTCAAGAAGCTCACGAAGAAGCAACAAGATGAAGAGACTGGACATATAAATGACCCAGAGGAGATGGACCAGCGACCGAGGGATGAAGGAGACCTTTTTGGGGTTCGTGCTATCGAAGCCGGATTCTACGCAGGCATCCCTCAATCAAGGCCGACTTCCAGAGCTGGTTCGTTCGTGGACAGCCCAGCGATGAGCTCGCAAACACTTGTTGGATCGATCCACTCTGTCAAAGCCAAAGGACACTCTCACAATGACAGCGCCGCCGGATCAATCCACTCCCTCAGAGCTCAAGGGCACTCTTACAATGACAGCACGTCCACCTTGCCGGTTCCGAACACAGGCCGCAGCAACCGCGATTCGGAAGCTCTTGGATCAAATTCTCCTGTGCAGATGAAAGAACGTCCAGCTCTTCGGCTTGCACCATCCGAAGCCGAACTCAGCGGACGACTCAATCATAGTGCCATTACCAACATGAACCTACAGGCCCCGCCGGCTCCCGCCGTTACCAGAGGACCTGAAATGCCTGGGTTCGGTGGTCTTGATGACGATCAGAGTGACGGCGAGATGTCCCCACGACTTAAGCCCGATTATTATGTGCCCGCTACGCCGTCGACTCCTTTCCGAGAAGCTCTCCGTGGGGTCGTTCACTCTGGAGAAAGTCACAAGTCTCTGGCTGGATCGTTGAATATCGCATCTCCTCTATCCCCTGGCTACTCCCCGGAAACGAGACTACCCACTCTCCCTGCAAAGGCATATCGCGAGGAGCCTCGTTCTTACCCCGACCAGAGAAGCGCATCGCCCGAGGCGCAACTACTCACTCTCCCCGCAACGGTATACCGTGCGGAGCCAAGGTCTCAATCCAACCACAGAAGCGCATCGCCCACGTCAGAATCGACACCACCGAGTATGTAAAGCCCCAGTCGCATTTTGTTTTTGTACATTAGGCACGAGATCATGAACAAGAATCTGACCACGCGAAGGCACGCAAGCAGAACAGCCACTGTCACCTATCCTTCTTCAGCCAAGAACCTATCAACCTAACTCGACGCACTACCGCGACGATAGCAATGCAAGCAATTTTCACAGCAGCGCCAACAAGTCGAAAACACACCGGCCGAAACGCAGCAACTCGACCGACTTCTCTTTCAACTTCGCGATCCCGAACGCCGGACTAAACCTCACTACTTCATCAGACCATGATGACAATCGCCGCCCGTCCCTATCAAGTTCGCTCAACGTCCCAGGCATTCCCCAACCTGGGCAGGCTAGTGAGTCGCGATTGAGCGGACTGAGCGAGTTCTACGATGCGTACTACCGACAGTCGCAGCTCAGCATACCTGCCAAGGAACAGATGCGACCGCAGCATCACAATGTCGTCGGAAGCCCCATCTTCGAAGTGGACTCTGCCCTTCCTTCGCCCGCCCGATAGATGTCTCTCAAGGTGCCGGATGAAAACGAGTGCGTCAAAGGGAAATGGCCATGCTAATTGTGAATGGCTAGCAGTAGAAACTACCTCTTAGGATCCGGGCTGTCCTCTCCTTGACCCGTTACCAGTCCGTTCGATAGTCTCGATATTGATCAATGCTTGTTCATGGTCATTGTCGTCTTCTCTTGACGAGAGACCCAATCGTGCTAGTCCACGATGGTGAGGCTACAATCAGGAACGCGGTCCGGTCGAGACTGGATTAGGGCTGAAAAAGTACTACTTAAGCTTGCCCGGAACGGGAAGGCGTCCGAAATCCATGACGCGACGATGAGAGAAAGAATCGGAGAACAGTTGAGGCGACTATTACAGAAGTAGAATCGACTCGGTGGAAGAAGAAGAACAGTAATCACAAAAAAACGAACCCATTTATCGATCTCAACACTCAGAGGAAGATGGAGACGACGGTAACGGTTTTTCTACACGAGCCATACACGGCTCGACCTTAGGACGACACCTATCTCCCTTACCTCGTAATGTTTATTATAATTATACCATGGTCGATTTGCTAGGCTGGGACGACGCGTAGGTGTATATCATTGTAGCATTATTGTAGCATTTCATTTTGGCTTACTCGTACTCAATCCTCCGTAGAGGATGAAAAGCAGAAATACCCCATTTTTATTCGTAGTATTACTAGCATTATTATATTTTCATTTATCCAATTGCTTTACCAAGACTCTAAATGTGACTTGCATGTGAAAAGGACATAGAGAGTGTGATAGGCAACAATATCTGTGACAGGCAACAGTTTAACATGAGGGAATAGTTGATACCAGGATGCAGTAAACATTACGAGTAGTACACACCGCAAGATTGGACTGACTGATCAACGGAGAGAGTAGGAGATGGAAGGAAAAACTGCAACTGTCCATTAGCATGTGAAGGAATCGCGTTGGAAGGATGGGGACGGGATGGTCTGATATACAGTGCAGTTAAAAGGAGTGAATTAGGGATGAAATGACCTTCACGTGTCGGTGGTGCCATCAATTGGACCGTTTTCTTCTTCCCGCTGTTGCCCCTGGCAGAAATTGGCCAATCACAGTCGACCTACACCAAATCTCGGCCACTCACCGCCCCGTCGATGAACCCCTTCTTTCCCTTCACTTTTCCTACTAGACTAGACTATTCCCATCCTTTGTTCTAGAAGAAAAGGAATATCACCGCATAGATACGATACTTATACAATAATACCCCTCCCCTCCATTCTACTCCTCTCCTCAACTCTCACGGGCTTCGTATTCAATTAAATCACATCTGTCATTGCAATAATCAATCGATTGATTGTTGCCTACTTGACCTTTAAATTCCCCAGCCCGGTTATATACGCAGCACGATTGCGTAGAAGGCGGCGGCGACGGCGAAACTGCGGTAGATAGATTATATTAACCTCAACCTCAACCTCGACCACTACCACCACCACCACCACCACCACCTCTCTCCCTACATATACCTCCTCATTCAACATGTCGTCGACTGCCACTACCACGACAGCCACCACCACACGAGTCACCGCCCTCGAAGACCGCCCGCAATCCATGACCTCCCGCCGCAACAAGTCCTCCTCCTCCCCCCTGCACAACCTACCCACCGACGCCGACTACCGCGAGTACCGCCGCCGCGTACACCATGAAGCCGACATCGTCATCGTCGGCGCGGGCGTCGTCGGTTGCGCGGCCGCCGTCGCATTCGGAAAGCAGGGGCGGAGCGTCATTCTGCTCGAGCGGAGCATGAAGGAGCCGGATCGCATCGTGGGAGAGCTGCTGCAACCAGGAGGTGTGAATGCGCTCGAGAAGCTGGGAATGAAAGGTATGCGACCAATTGGTAGATTTCGGAGAAGAGCGAGAGTACTGACATTGAGTTAAGACTGCCTCGAGGGAATTGACGCCGTCCCATGCTACGGCTACGAAGTCACATACCACGGCGAGCCCGTCAAGATCCCCTACTCGTCCATTGTGACGCCGGAAGAATACGCCCACAGCAAGCCAGAAGGACGGTCATTCCACCACGGTCGCTTCATCTCGAAACTTCGCGCCGCCGCGATTGCAACCCCCAATGTCACCGTCATCGAATCGACCGTGACCTCGCTCGTGCACAACACCTACACCAACCAGGTGCAGGGAGTGCAGGCGATGACCGCCGGAAAAGAGGACTACTTCTTTGGCTCCCTGACCATCGTGTCCGACGGCTACGCCTCCAAGTTCCGCAAGGAGTACCTTTCCCACACGCCCGAGGTGCGCAGCAAGTTCTGGGCGCTCGAGATGATAGACGCAGACCTACCCGCTCCCAACCACGGGCACGTCATCCTGTCCGACGCGCCCCCGATCCTAATCTACCAAATCGGCACGCACGAGACTCGCATCCTCATCGACGTCCCGGAGAACCTCCCGTCCGCGTCCGTCAAGAACGGTGGCATCAAAAACCACATGCTCAACGTCGCGCTACCCACCGTCCCCGAGTGCGTGCGCCCCTCCCTCAAGCGCGCCATCGAAGGAGGCAAGTTCCGCAGTATGCCCAATTCCTTCCTCCCCTCCTCCGTCCAGAAAACACCCGGACTCTTTATCCTCGGCGACGCCATGAACATGCGACACCCGCTCACAGGCGGCGGCATGACCGTCGCCTTCAACGACGTGTACCTCCTCTCGCAACTCCTCTCCCCCACCACCGTCCCCTCCCTCGAATCCACCGACCTCGTCCTAACCCAACTCTCCCGCTTCCACTGGGCCCGCAAGACCTCCTCGTCGCTCATCAACATCCTCGCCATGGCCCTCTACTCCCTCTTCGCCGCCGACGACTGGCGCCTCATGACGCTCCAGAACGGCTGCTTCCGGTACTTCCAGCGCGGCGGCGCCTGCATCGCCGAGCCGTGCGGCATGCTCGCGGGCATCATCTCGCGCCCCACGACCCTCGTCTACCACTTCTTCGCCGTCGCCTTCTACGCCGTCTGGATGCGCATCCGCGCCGCGCCGTGGTACCTCGTGCCGTGGGCGCTGTTCGTGGAGAGCGTGCTCGTGATCGCGAAGGCCGCGTTCGTTATTGGCCCGTATTTGCTGTGGGAGGTCAGCAAGTAGGAAATATTCCCCGCCTTTTTTGTTGCGTTTGACGAAGCGAAAGACTTGTTTTACACTTATTTAATCCTATTACTTTAATTCAGAGGACGAAGAATCAGCGCGTTTCGGCGTAGATCAGTTTTCCCTCGTTTTTTGCATGGGTTGGGCGATTTGGCGTTCGTTGATAGATACCGTTGTTCGATATGAGTCGAAATGAACGGTGTTGTTGTTTTCTATTTGAAAAATGGGGAGTGGTGGTGAATGGTAATATGACCACACCATGCGGGAGAGAAGTGGTTAGAGGGTGAAGAAGGGGAAGTGTATATCATGACGAATACAGTAAATATATAATACATGTTAGTGTATAAAACAATCACAATCTACAATATCTACGACATCTACGGCTTGACTTGACGTGACGTGCTCATACATCTACGCGGCCTACATTTTTCTAATTGTCAGAGTATACGATGGTGGTTCGTTTGATGGAGCGTGGTACGATGTCGTTCAGTTCGATGGAACATAGTCTGGCGTGGTAGTAATCCTGGGCTGCATTTGTTGGGACTGAAGTGAAGAGATGCAGTGTGTATACGACATTGAATACGTCAAACTAACCATAATTGTCTATTTATCAGTCTCCGTATTCCCGAGTTTGTGCTTCCTCATCTTATCTCGAGACATGGTATAACACATGGCATACTTTCTCGACCGTTTCAACCGACCTGAAAGACCTGACGACAACAAGAGCACAAGAAAAGATACAGCCAACCCCATAGCAATACTCCCTTTCTCCATATACTTGATCTACGTACACAATTCACACACTTTGATTCTCCCCCCGTTCGGCACCTACACCCGCCGTCCTTGTTTTCTTTTCTAGGGCTTGGGATATACCGCTCCCCCGTTACCTTCCTTTCGCGACTGACACGACATGACACCATAGGACTATCAGACTATCAGACAAGGGTGCAAAGTGAGGGGACGAACGTGTGGTTGTTGGGGGTTTTACGAGTTTCTCTATAGCTCACTGGCGCTCTGGTGTTTGGTGTTGGGATATCGCTCGCTTACATGGACCAAGAAATGGCGGATACCAAGATGAACATCAGTGTTAATGCTTGGACTTTTACACGAACAAATTGAAGTCTCGGGGGGCGGGGGGATCGAAGTAGCGCTGAAGAATTGCCTGCTGAGAGTTAGTTCTGGGAAAGCATGGTTTCACTCCTTCCAGTCTGTCGAGACGGATCTTTGGGAAAACAGTCGGTGATGCATGCATGGCTTTCACCACTGCTAATGATGAAATGACGTTTACAACCATAGACTCGATAACAACAGAACAGAACAAGCTGATGGGGGGTGGGTGTACATCAGAACCTCAACCTCAAATTCCCTCTCTCCACATTCCCACCGCATCTCCCCATTCCTTGAGCGAACCTCGCGCATAGATCCCTATGCATACACACATTGATACACGAGAGACGAAGGATTCATGACGTAGTGGTATATTCGTATATTCCCCTCGTAAAACACTGCCTCTTTTATATCTGCCTAATCTAATCTACAATACAAATAAATAAAATCTGGTTTGTCTAATCTTTCAAGTTCGTAGCCCTAAAGTAATTTTTAGCATAACTGCCGCCGCCGCCGCCCAGGAACCTTCCTCTTCTTCTTCCGTGGTTTTCCCTTCACTTTGTCTCCTCCTCCTCCCTAGATGCGGTGGTAAGGGATGATGATCAGTAATTAGATTTTGGTGTTTGACGTTTTGAGAGGGTTTCTGCCTCTGGAATTGACATTGCACATATTCCCCCGACTCCCTTCAACGTTCACTCGTCTCGACTACGTCCTGACGCCTAGAACTGCGAATCCCCATTACTCCCATTCACCGCCAATCCATCAACGGCCCCCCGCACCGCCTCATCCTGGTACTCCCTCGAAATCCTCTCGAGCTGCCCACTACTCGCGGCGACGAAGCCCAAGTACGGCCTCGAGGGGTCAAGCACACGCGACAAGTACTCAGGATGGAACTGCACGGCCACAAACCACGGATGATCCTTGATCTCCACGACCTCCATCCTCTCGCCCTTCTCGTCCTTGCCCACGAAGTGAAGTCCCCCGGTTTCGATCTGGCCGATGTAGTCGGGGTTGACCTCGTATCTGTGGCGGTGCCGCTCGAGAATCTCGTCGGAGCCCGCGTACAGCGCGCGGAGACGCGACCACTCGCTGCCTGGCTGGAAGAGGGTTGGACGCAGCCCGAGTCGCATGGTGGCGCCCATCGTCGCCTTGTCGACTTCCGGCATGAACATGATGACCTTGTCCGCTGCGTCGGCGTGGAACTCCTCGGAGGTTGCGGAGGTGATGCCGCATACGTTGCGTGCGTATTCGATGACTGCGACTTGCATGCCGAGGCAGATGCCGAGGTAGGGGGTTTTGTTCTCGCGGGCCCATTTCGCGGCTGCGATCATGCCTTCCGTGCCGCGGTGGCCGAACCCGCCGGGGACGAGGATGCCGGATGCGGTGCAGACTTCGTGCCAGGCTTTGTGGAATTTGGCGGGGTCGGACGTCCGGGTTTGGGGCTCGAGGTGCTCGGCGTCGACCCAGATGAGGTTGAGCTTGCGTTGGCAGCGCATGGCGGAGTGCTCGAGGGATTTGATGACGGAGAGGTACGAGTCGTGCAGTTCGATGTACTTGCCGACGAGGGCGATGGTCACGGTGTCGAAGTAGCGGTTTTCGGTGTTGGTGAGGGATTTCCATTGGTTCCAGGTGTTGATGCCCTTGGATTGGAGGGGGGAGGAGATGGTGAGCTTGTCGAGCGCGAGGATGTCGCGGAGCAAGGGGATGAGGCCTTGCTGCTCGAGGAGGAGCGGGACTTGGTAGATGGATGGCATGTCGCGGACGACGATGACCTGGGACACGTCGACGAAGCAGAAGTGGGCGATCTTCTCGACTGCTGAGGGTTCGAGTGGGATCTCGCAGCGGCAGGCAATCTACTCGATAGTCAGAATACTTTGATCACGACATTTTAAAACACGGTCAACGCACAAGATCCGGTATCAGACCGGCACTCCTGACCGCCCGGATGGCCTGCTGTGTGGGCTTCGTCTTCTGCTCGCCGTGGATGACGGGCACGTACGAGACGTGGATCTGCAGGAAATTGTCCTTGCCGGCGCGTCTCCTCAGCTGCGTCATGGCCTCGACGAACGGCATGCTCTCGATGTCGCCGACGGTTCCTCCCAGCTCGATGATGCAGACGTCGGGCTCCTCGCCCGTGTCGTCGACCGGCGTCCGCGCGACCTTCTCGATCCAGTCCTGGATCGCGTCTGTGATGTGCGGCACCACCTGCACCGTCTTGCCGAGGTAGTCGCCCTTGCGCTCGCGCTCGATGACGTGCTGGTATATCTTGCCCGTGGTGATGTTATTATCACGGGTCAGGGTGATGTTGAGGTAGCGCTCGTAGTTGCCGAGATCGAGGTCGACCTCGCCGCCGTCGGAGAGGACGAAGACTTCGCCGTGCCTGTGAGGAGTTTACTCAACAACGTTGTTCTTGCAGGGGAGCGGGGAGGCCGTACTCCTTCGGGTTCATGGTCCCCGCATCGACATTGAGGTACGGGTCGACCTTGATCGACGAGACGTTCTGGCGTGTCAGCAGGGTCTTGAGAGCTGCCGGTTCGAGGGTGCACCTATCTTGAGTCCAATTGTCTTGAGTAGCAGTCCGGTGGAGGAAGCTGGAAAGCGGGGTGTCAGTTTTGTTCGTGCTATGACTCAAACGCGCTCGTGAGGTTTGCGCTGGCTCAAACTCCAGCGATACCCAGGTGGTCAATCGTCCGACCAGGAATGGACTCTGACGCATTGAGGGACGTCCACTGGATCGCTGGAGTTGGTAGCCTTCTGTGAAAGTCGAATTGCGTACCTATAATACCCTGGAGAGAGTGTGACGCGGTTAGTCGAGGATCTCGAGTTTTTCTTTACAATTTCTTCTGGACGCGCGGGGGAGCAAGACATACCTTTCCAACGCCACTGATGACACCACCAGACACGAGAACGTACTTCATGGCTGTGTGCGTTCTGCTGCGTGGAGTGAGGAGGGTATTGGGAGGGGTTTGTGGTGTATATGATATGATATGGGAGGGAGGGAGTGAGGAAGTTGAAGATAGTAGGTAGGTAAGTAGTGGGAGAGAAATAAATCTCGAGAATAGAGTAACAAAAATTTGGGCCAATAGGAAGAAAGGCGGGTGGGGGACCAGTAGGAAGACGCCTCGAGGGTGGTCAGTGGTGGGTCTGCCCTATCGATAAGACGGGATTAGCGTCCGCCCTCGTCAAATTCTCGAAAAAAGGTGGATCCCCAATCTTCCATTTGATCACAAAGGAGAAAACATAAGGAAAGGCGGAAGGCCATTAAGAAGAAACCGGATTAGTCCCAAATGCCCAACCTCATCTCATCATCCTCCCGAGAATTGCCAATTCCAACCTCACCTCTACCTCTCCTTTGCTTTTCCTGTTATCCTACTGATCCAATTCGTTGAGTTCTTACAAGTACTGACATAGGAAACCTTGTCTCGTACACGGCGCTGTACATTCACACACCACCACATCACGTCACTACCATACACCTATATACGGTAATCCCGAGAGTGTAAATACTTAACAGCATATCAATTGGTATCGTGCTTCTGATGCTTTCTGCTAAACAACCTCTCACCTCGTACTCTCATATTCAGAAGAAGAAAAGGAACATGCATTACTCCATTGGCCGCCGCCCTTCGTTTCCTCCCATTTTCCCTTTCCTTCCGCCTTAGACATATCCCTTTCCCATCCTTCCACCCTAACAAAGAGAAACTGTTCAGGTCCAAATACCCCATCCATCTCCATCGTGAATCCTCAATTCTCCCTGACCTCCCACCTACAATTGTCGATGAACGGCATTGTACTTCCTTTTTCCTCCTCCCTCCCGCACGCCGAGTCGTGTCGAAAAACTAATCCGCAAGACTGCAGGATCAAACAAAAAGTGGTCGTGAATATGGTCGTGAAAGGATATGCCGGATGTGAGGAACAATATAAACCAGCCAGAAAAGACAGGAGATGAGTTAAAAAAAAGAGAAAGAGAAAGAATGATGAGAAGCCAACAAACACCATGATCGTCGGACATCTGGGAGAATACCGGCAGAAACCAATATTCCCTCCCAGATATCCCGAAATTTTCAGAGATGCCGCCCAGGTTGCTTTCTAATCGGAGAGAGAAAGGTAACTAACACAAGGAGAATTTCGATTACAAGTAGCGCCGCCCAAATGCCTTGGCCCTCACCTTGCTTGCTTGCTCCAGCTAGCGGGCTGAGGCCATTGGGTATTATGCAGGTTTTCCAGTCGCCCAGGGGCCCAGACTCGCGTGGGCAGGACCACTACTCCTTGCGCCGTCGCTTTCCCATTTCGTCGTCCTCGTCGTGCTGGAGGAGGTGTTGCGGGTGGTGATCATGCTCTTGGCTGGCCGTCAGTCGCTTGCGCGCCAGCGCCTTCTCGTTGCCCTTCTTCACTTGGATGTTGCATCCTTGCAGCTTCAACGCCCGCGTCAGAGCACTGCTCGGCCGCATGCCGGGGAAGTCCTTCGCAGTGTAGACGGTGAAGACGTCGCTCAGCACCTCCGTCAGGATCGGCGAGTATCCGCCCACCACTAGGCTCGCCGTGTCGATCCGCATCAGGACGAAGCGGAGTCGGTACTTCCCGTGTGTGCGGCACGAGAGGTCGGGGAAGCAGAAGAAGCAACCCTCGACGTCGTGCTCGTCCTTCGCGACTGAGGGCGAGGCCACGAGCTGGCCCATCAGTCGCCGCGTCGTCCGCCTGTCCGGTTGGATGAGCGCCGTCTCCTCATTCGTCCCCTCGGCATTCCATAATGTGCAGTGCACCACATTCAGCGAATACCGCAACTCCTCCTGTTCAGCCACGCCCGTCTTAGGATCCGTGACGAGCAGCTGGATGATTGGTGGCGGGTCGATGACTCTGCGGTCCCTCTCCCCGAATCCGCATGCTCGAGCGGCAATCGGCTGTTGGCGAACGACGAGCTCGTAGTTGAGATTCCTGTTCCAAAGTTAGTTCGGGGTTCCCCTTCCCCATTCAGCCCTCCGGCATGCTTACAGTTTCTCATTGAGCACTGGCTGTGGTATGGACCCAGGTAACGGGATCACTCGAGGCTCTTGCCGCGGCGGAGGCCCACTGGTGGGAGCTTCAGCATACGCCGCGGGTCCCAACGAAGCAGTTACGGAGCCCCGGTGCGATTGGGGGTGAGAGCTCACGGACCCTCGGAATGGTGTGCTACTAGACGCATAACTTGGCGTGTAGCTAGGTGAGGGCAGTGGGGCGTACGCCTTCTGCTGCTGTTGCTGGTGCTGGTGCTGGTGCTGGTGCTGCGAGGGTTCCACTGGCGACGCAAGGGAGGCATACGATTGCTCATGGTGGGTTGGGTGGGCGGCCCGAGAATCTTCGTACGGATAACGTTGCTCAGTTGGTCTCCTTGGTCCCCGATTGTCGAACTCGGAGCGGGGTGATATTGGCGGTCCATACTGCTGAGGGGAGTAGGGTGGATCGGACCTGGGAGGCGTGTAGGGATTCGAGTGGAGGAGCTTGTCGACTGGCGCTGCCCGCGGTATGGACGAAGGCTGATGCTGATGCTGGTGGTGATGCTGGTGATGCGGCTGTTGCTGTTGCTGATGCTGATGCGGCTGCGTGTATCTTGGAGGAGGAGGGCCTGGCTGGATGGACGGTAGTTGATTGATGGGCGAGCGGAAAGGGTAGTCCGACCGTGGTGGTACAGCGTCTGGTGGGATGTCCACCTGCAACGGCGGCAGCTGGACCGGCTGGGGCAGTCGTCGATGGGGATAGAGAAATCCAGGAGGAGAGAACACTGGCAGCTTCTGAGTTTCCGTCATGTCTGGAGTTGAGCGAGTTGTACTGAGCGGATGCAGCGGAGGCGGAGGAGGAGGTGGTGGTTGGGACATGCGTGTATAATATTGTTTGCCCGCGCTAGGACATCTGCACCCATCCACATCTGGGGGACTCAATGACCAGTTCTCTGTCGAAGTTTGGGTGCCAGGGAGTCGTGCAAAGGTCGGACAGGATGGCAGGAATGTGGGTTACTGCGCGATGCGGCGGCAGGCGAGGATTAATAGTAAAACGTCCCCTTGTAGAAGTCCCTGCACGTATCTGGATCGCCAGCAAGCCAGATCGCCCGCCCGGATTCTTCATTCAGTTACGTCGACGTTAGGCGGATGCGCTCAGACTCAGACAACAACCGGGGAGGGATGAGGGGAGGGATGCATAGTGGAGCACACTTTAACTTGCAAGCCTCAGACCAAACATTTTTGCGCGCGACCAGCCCAGTCGGACCATTGAACAGAGAGTCATAAGCGACCGGGTCTTGTCTTGCTGCCGCCATTGGAGATGTTCGATGCGTTGACCCGGGTGGGCTTGTGCGGCACAACGACAATATTCTTCTGGGAGGCAGTTTCAACGTGATGATGCTCCAAAGGCTCATGGCGGACGGGTTGCTGTGAGCTGTCTACTTTCAAGAACAACAACAGAGAAAACACATTACGAGCAGCCAGACATCTTGCCCTCGATCAGGTTGATGCCCGCCTAGAGCTGCGTCTTGCAGCAACAGCGGCGGCCTGCATCCTATTGCACATCGCCCATGAGCCGCCACCGCTGACACCCTGCTGCCGCTACTTCTGTTATAACAGTTGCTATTGCTTCTATTACTGCTCGTCCGCTAGGCAAGGCCTGGGAGCGGGAGACGCTAGTTCCCAGGGCTGCCGGTGCAATGTACACGCTGTCGTTGGGGTCTCTCGTGGGCGTGCCGAAAGAGAATAGGCTCGCACCCGGATAAAACAAACAAGCAGCAGTTTCGAATCAGGTTGCCCCAGGCGTGGTACATGTGCATCCGGCGGAGGGCCAATATCGAGAAATTTCGCCAGATTGGCATATGTAACTCCGCCAATTCAAGGACGCCGCCCAGCGTAGCATTTGGGGGCTTCGCTCTTTTGCGAGCGAGATCCCGCCCGGTCTACCTGGCCTGGCTGGGCAGGTATACCAGCAGCAGCGACGGTGGCAGCAGCAGCAGCAGCATGCAGCGGTGGAAGGAAGAGCACGGCGCGGACTGGTGCCCCCTCGGGGCCCCAGGGAACATCAGAGGCTTTCTTGTTTGGGGTGAACATCGCTGTAAGCGGATGGACGGTGGCTAGCGAATTACCAGGAATCGATTGATCTGTCAACGTTGCGGTGCCTATCGATGCTCTCCATTCGTCGCGGCTAAAAGCGATCACAGTCGCCCTGCCTGGCCTTTCCGCCATCCCTCCCACCGCGCGAGGCAGTTGTGGCGTCAGATCCACAGGCGCTCCCTGGGCCGTTGCAAGGGCCCTGGGAGCGAACGTTTGGCCGTGCGTTCGCTCTGACGGGAATATCGCCAAAAAAAATCCTCCTCGCTTTCACACCACTAAAGGTGCTCCACCAAATCCCAGGTCTCCGGATCCTGCATGAAACGGCGTTGATGCGCCGCAATAGTTGGCAGGAGACGATGGCTGCGTAAAGAGACAGCGGCATTTGCAATGCAAACCCTGGCTGCCGGTCTCATCCACCCCTCATTCCGCTGTCGGACGCGACGCAAGAGTCGGTCCAAGGACTCTGTGGCTGCTTAACTTTCAGGATAGGGTGATGTTGGTGTTCTGGTTGCTGCCCGTCGCGATGCTGCCATCCCGTTATCAAGGATGAGAGCATCACACCTGCAGTTTGCAGCCGCCCCTGCCGACGACCAACATGACAACCCGACCTGTAAATAACTAACTACGGGAGATTGGGAACCATTCGAAAACATCTGTAACGGCCATGTTCCGCTCGAGGGCAAGCGGTGAGGTCGAAGGCATTGGCATGGCAGCAAGGCAAGGCAAGGTAAGGCAAGGCAGGGTCAGGCAGGGCAAGATTGAGAAATGAGTTGCAAGTCATGGGGTATTGTCTGCGATATGGCTTTCGCAGGCATGACCCAGAACTGCAACCTGGAAGGGCGGTGGGACTGCCGATTTCAGCCGGGGCTGTGGGGAGGAGGAACGACAGCAATTATCCTCTGCTGGTTCTGTACGACGGCGCTTCCTGTACATGGCGTCCAGCCTGAAAGCAGGAAGCCATATTGCAGCAACGGATTTCTCCTTGGTGACACAGGCATCCTAGGAGTTGCAGTCTGGGTCTAGAGAGACTGATGCAATTGGATGTGTGGTGATATGATATTCGGGCCTGGTACAGATGATGCGGCGGGCATTGGCAGACATTACTATTGCATCAGCAGGTGGGGAGCAGATCCAAAAAATTGGAATGATTAATTGGAGATGCCACGATTAGATTGGTAGATTCCAATTTTGCGTTGGTAACCCTGGATGATGGTTGGCACATGTGCAGTGGGAGCGGTGCACAGGAGGAGTACGAGTTCGGGAGAGACGAAACCGGGGAGGCGATTGATGATTTCCAATTGATATGATACGACACGGGTACTGGTAGGGAGGTAAATTCGGGCAGCGGAGGAAGGACAAGCCAGCGTCATGTCCAGGGGTTTGGGCGTGTGGAATTGAATGGAATTGGAATATTGGGAACCGTCGTGAGTGTCTGTGTGTGTTGTGTATCTGCAAGTGTCTCTCCCTGTGTCCGTGTGTCTTCCATTTTAGGGCGACCGTTGACCGTTTGGTGGTGCACGGTCTCGGACTCTCACGCCTAATTCGAGACATGCAGATGGACGGTGAGGGTTGTCTTGATTCTGTAGACTGCGAGGTAGACTGTGAGTCTGTGAGTAACTATGTAGACATGTACGGAGTACTCCGTACTCCTTGATGAGATTGGCGTTATCTGAGGGGTGAGTTCGGACGGTTCGAGAATGGAGGAAGCCTCAGAAGGTACGGAGAACTGTGTACGGACTACGGAGTATTGACAGGCAACAAGGGTGGTCGAGATTGGGTTTGAGTGTTAACAGTTAGAGTAGACCCAGTAGAGCAGTGAGGATCCTAGTATGAGGGTTAGTATGAGGGGATGGTTTAGGATGAGGGTTAGTCTGAGGGGGTTAGTTTAGGGTTAGTTAAGGTTAATGAGGTTAATGAGGTTAATGAGGTTATGGATGTGGATATGGATATGGATATGGATATGGTAGGTGTGGACACTGTGGAGACCTGAATTAGGTCATGATGGTCCATCTCACCTGATAGATCGACAGAAGGATGAGTACAGGTACCCAGATTGGACGAATAGATACCTACCAGGTACTCCGGCGATTAGTAGTGCATAGTCAATGTTCTTTGGTAAGAGTGGAAGTGAAGATGAAGGTGAAGATGAAGATGAAGAGAAGAGAGGATGAAGAGGATTAGTGATCGAGTACGGGGTTGTTGTCATGTTGGCAGTGAAGAAATCCAGAAAGGGAAGGAACGAGGATGCGCCTTCTTCCTATTCCATCCACCTATCCGTTGAGTACCTACCATCTACCTACCCATCTACCTGACTTATCTAGTCATTGAATGTATCTGTCAGGTACTATTAACATCACCATCGTCACTATTATATACACCCTCGTTGTTCACTATACTGTGTAGGTAGACCTACTGGACGATTGACTGACTGACTCTTGACCTCCACCAACTCAACACACCACCACCTCAACACCAATCCCATCACTTGTCCATCATCACCATCGCATGATCCCAGCTACTTACTCACTTACTCACCTCGAAAGACGGTCGACCCCATCTCATCTCATCCCGTTGCATTGCATCGCGTCGCGTCGCGTCGAGCCAGAACTCTGGGCTCCTTCCTTCCTTTCTTCCTTTTCGGTTCCCTTCACCGCCATCACCCTTCACCCATCATCCATCATCCATCACCGTATGCATACATTCACTCAACACCACAACCCAAGATCATCCACCAACAACAAGCCACCTCAACAGGACAAAGACATTCACTCAGTTCAACACAACCTGTCGGGGCATCATATGGACTCACTGATTTATCCATTCCCAACGCTACGAAGCCGGCATCCGTACTTCCGACCGTGCACACCCGTCTTCCTCCTATCCTTCCATCCTTCTTCTCCCTTCTCTACTGTATAGGCGAGATCCATCCGAACTTCGTCACGTACATACATTTTCTCAACTAATCACAGCAAAACTCCCTTTTCCAGAACAGCCACCGCCGCTACACCTCACTAAACGGTCACAGTATCTACCTGCCTAGGAGCACGCTTACTACAAGCACTCATACGCTAACTGGTTCCTACTTTACTAACAGATGACAGACTAGCTACTCCGTACTAACTAGCACCTACAGACTAGACTACAGTACAATACGACACCGCCCGCAACAACACACAGACCTTTCACTCAGAAAAACATCCCGAGGGAGGATCTACACCATTGCCGTGTCCATCTTACCTTCTTTTCTATCATTTTTCTCTAGTCTCTCTAGTCTCTCTATTCTCTCTATCTGAATTTCTCTCCTCCCCTTCTTTCATTCGCTTTCAGTCAGCAGATAGAACCCGAATCACTCATTTCATACACACAAACACACTCCATATCACCGATACTACCATACCTCCTCCGTCACCAGCACGACTCAGGTAATACCATCGTACCATCGTTTCCAATCATCTATCCCTCTTTCGCCATTACTTCGGCTGATCTGATGGCGACCACAACGACTTGGGGCAACTATAGAGGTATATCCGCACCGTTATTATTGCACTCCATCATGGATGGCTCTTCACTGCCCCATCTTCCCTCCCGTCTCACACACACACCTCACGGTCCTCACCTCTCACATGCCCCCTCCCCCCATCCTCTTCCCTGCAACTTGTCACTATGATCGTCTACTAAGTCCGTGTTCGTGCTCCCACCCCCTAGATTATCAAGGTCCTGCAAACCAGAATCCAGGTTCGGCTCCATCTATTCACGTCCGTGATGTCCGTTTGACCCTGCTCGATAGCTTGCTTCCCGGTCTGTTCAATGCCAAGAATTGCCTTGACATCGGTTGCAATGCCGGGAGGGTCTCTTGCCAACTTGGTAAGCTCAAGGAGGGGGATCCCCTGCCTAATCCTGCAACCGATTATACCTCCACCTTACTGATATTGCTCCCTCTCTCCCTCTTCCAGCTCTCGATTTCGGCGCTGCTTCTGTCACTGGCGTCGACATCGACACTAAGCTCGTAGACCAGGCAAGCAACCTGCTGGCCCTCCGTTCCTCACGTGTCCGCCCTGCGAACGCTCCCGCAACCGCCCACACCAACGCCAATGTCAATGCCAATGACAATGCCAGCGGCGACTGCTCCGATTCCGTCGTCAATTACTTTCCAATGTCCGCCATTTTGAATCATGGCTATCGATTCGAACCCCAGGGGAAAGGAACACGCCACTCGACGGCTTCCGCGCCTACCTCTGGGCCTGAGACAAACCATCGCGTGCGATTCGTCTCCGAGGATTGGGTCGTGTCATCTAACCCGGCGACCGATGGGCCTTACCATGTGATCCTGGCCTTAAGTGTCATCAAATGGATGCACTTGGAACATGGCGACGAAGGGTTGGTGAAGTTCTTTCGCAAGTGCGCAGCGTCGCTCGCAAACGGCGGCTTCTTGATCATCGAGCTTCAAGATTGGCAGTCATACCAGAAGGCCGTCCGCTCGCAAAAGGGTCCACACTACCGCGAAAGCCTGGAGAAGCTGCAATACCGGCCGGAGACGTCTTTCACAGAGCTATTGCGAGAGCAGGGTTTCACATCCTGTGCGACCTCTGAAGAATTACCCCGCCGCATCAGTGTATATTGTTTGAAAAAGTGATGATGGCGAGTACTCTGCCTGCGGGGATGAGGAAGATCAGAGGCGGGAGGATTACCCTTCCCGCACACCGTTTGTGCAGTCACGGCCGTTGGCCCAACCCATATCCAAGAACTCCACCATGCACTTCATCTACACTCGTTCTGGGTTTGATTGACTCTGTCCCGGGGATTTTCGATACACCCAACCAATCATCGAACCATCCTTCGGCAATTCGACCAGCCTCCTCTTCTCTCTACCAATCATCTCCTCTGAAATGCATCATTCGGCAGTTGAAATTTAGTCCTCGTCCCCCGAACCAGGAAGCTCGCTGTCTGGGTGAAGTCTTGTCCAACTACAAGTCTGTCCATCACGAGACATGTTCAGACAAAGAGGAGCCATAATCTCCATAATCTAGTATGCGCCGTGCATGATCTGCAATTCGCTTCTGTGCGCTCCAAAGAGCATCCACTCATCACATACATTGAGTTGCACCTTCAATTAGCGTGGGCAACGGAGATGTTATTGACTAGCGCAGGCCAAGTCACTTCACGCGGGCTACCCAGCATTATCACCTAAATGGCAAAGTATAAGTACCTTACAACATGTCTCAATATCTGCTACATCCTTCGTTTTTACAAGCCAGCTCCTTGCTTGCACGACGTCTTCTGCTCTAGATCATGCATCGAACATCGCACCGGACCTCCAACCTGGTCCTTGCAGTTTAGCATGATGTGCGGTGTAAAATCTGCATTTCCATCGGGAGAAGCGGCCCTCAGCTGCCGTACGGGATGTGCTCAATCAATTCTTCCGTGAATTCGAATTATGTTGCACTGCTGCCACACCAGCGATGCTCCCAATTCAAATCCTGCATTCGAGGACAATGCATTTCATTTCCTCCCCACTATTATCTGGGGACGACTGAATCGGGCCGAATCGTAGTAATGACTTGCCTCGTCAGGCTTGGCGGATGTGCACTTATGCATGCATTCGATAATTGTCAACATAGCACTTGCGCCTGAAGGATCAGTTACGTTTCGTCACATGTATGAAATGTTCGGTTTGCAAGCGTCCGGATCTTCGTCGTGCGCTCTTGCTCCTCCACATCCAATCGCTGCCGATCTCCGAATTCATATCCGTAAATCAAAATGCTCTACTAAACCGTCCGGCAGTCGCCCTAATTTCCCTTTCTCAGATGCTCCGATCATCAATAGATTGTTGCAATATCGGACAGATGGCATCTTCTACAAGTGCCACGAGTTTGGCTTATGCATGTTATATAGAGGAAATCTCGGTTACCTGCGCGACCGGGAAAACCAAACACAAAGACGTCAATGTGGTGCGTTTGTCACGGGCTAAAGAAATTCAACCATCGCACGGTTTTCCCGTCCTATGATTCACTTTGTTCACCCAGACCGCTCATGCACAGAAGTCGGGTGTTTTCCAGAAGTATCCAAATGAGTGCACAATGAACGGTAAAAGTCTCTTGCTTTCAAAGTGATGCGTGCTCATTCGGCCTACGTGAGCGGCTCCGCATCAGTCATGTCAATTTCAAAACCTTGCTGATAGCATCAAGCAGGTGAAGCTGCAGATCATCCGAACGGTCGTGCATGGTATCGTTTACGGCTACTTTGCGTCTCTGCTTGTGACATTGCGCACGCCTCTATACATCGTCCCTTGCAAGCGAAAGCACATATGCAAGAATATTGACGCTCAATGCTGCTGCTGCTGCTTAGAGGATATGCATGCGTACATTTTTTCTTGAGAAGGTGTCAACATACAGCCGTGGACCAGGTGATAGTCCAACATGCGTTGAAGAAGTTCTGTCACCGTATGCAATTTACATACTACAGAGACATGGTACCACAGGGTCACATCGTGTTCGCTGTTGTGACTTGGTCTCTTGCTTCGTTCAGACTTCTTTCTGAAAGTTGCAGGAGGATAAAGCTATTGAATCCACCATGATGTTGTCACAGGCATACGACAGCGGCCCGAGGCTTGATCCTTCGCAACGTCAGACTGGACTAGGGGATACAATGCTCACCTGGCATAAAAGCAGATACCCCAATCTGCAGGTCCGAGTAAGTCCGAGTTCCTTTGCAGGACCAACTTCGAAGTGATTTCACAGTTTTGCGGCCATCCATGACTGCAATACAACAACATCGGGACTGTCGCAGCCGTGTCGTTCAGCAGCAGACCTAACATGGATTCATCCCGAATGTCGGATCGTGCAAGAAACATTTGGTGTCATCGGAACTCCTCTTGTTTTGGGTCCCGATTCTGCAAATACCTTGCGTACGCTAGATGCGCTGCGTCTGCGAGGATCGCCGGAATCGCTGCCCGAGGAAGTCCACATGCGAACTGGTCCAGCGCAGGAAATGCAGTAGATCTGTGCGTAGTGCCCTGAGGGATTTCGAGAAGATATTGTTTCCTGTCTGAAAGCTTATTCTTCGTCTTGTGCAGATACAATGAGGTCAACGTCCTTCCCCATCTGCCATCACGGAGGATGAAAACATCTGAGACAATCGGTCACCACCACAGCAGAGAAATGAGTTAGAGTCAGGCACGTTCATCCATATGCATGAAGAGCAAGCCTTCAGGACCCACTACCAGGCAGAGGACACCAGTGACCGTTACCTTGGACCGTTCCGTGCAAAAACCTTTTTTTTGAAAACTTTGCAACTTGAGAACACAGTTGCAACACAACCGTACCCATAGACTTTTATCTCGATCTTTCGATCCCGCCAGGGTTGTTCTAGGGTATTGTGAAGCCCTTACAACTGTACTCTGTACTGGCAAGGTTGCATCCCATATCCCGTGCTCAGGAACAGGGCGTGATTGAGCTAGTCAAGGCACACGTTACCCAGCTTTACAGTCGCCCGAAACATGCTACAACGGTATGGCATCGCAGCATTGAAATGATGGTGCAGGTCGAAGACGAATTCCATGACACTGTCCTCCCTTGGATAAGGGCACGACAGGCAGAATTCTGATATCACACCCAATCAGGGCAATGCTGGATTCCTTCGGAACCACAATTCTCGCTTGCTCCAGTGGTACGACATCAGATTTGTAACCGTCTTGCTGCAAATTCATAAAGGCAAGTGACGACTCTGTCTTCACGAGGTCTCATTGTACGGTGACCGGGGTACAAGTAACTCATGGCGGATGCGTGAACACGTACAAGGCCGTCATGAAATTTTGTCCCAGATAAATAGCACGCTGTACCTGAAAGTACAGAATTCGACCCAACCCTGAGCCAGTAGACCACGTCGGGTTGGCATACCCCGTCGTGCGTATCTCCGTCATACATTCTGTGTTGTCTACGGGTCACACGAAGGTCTCGCTCGTCTCATGATAAAGCCATCTTTTCATCCCGATCGATGACGATGACGGCAATTGAACAGACGACATGCGAGGAGTTTGGAAATGGATTCGTGCACACAGCATGATAAGGAAGACGAGAGAGAAAATAATGATGAAAAATTCTAATCAAGCTATGAATATATTTTTGCCATGAGAAGATTTACGGTGCCGTCGCTCAGACGCGGGAGGCAAACGTAACCGACATGATTGGCACCAAAACCTCCAATGAAGAGGCCTCAATCGGCTGCATGATGAACATGTTGCAGACGACCCCCCCTTGCGCAGCTGCAGAACATCTCTTTGCCCTGGTCGTGACACTGCGACAGCTCACCACTTTGGCCACAACTGTCCCTCTCCCGATGCACAGCGTCCAAATCAACCACCTTCGATGCAACTGATTCTGCACCACGCCCGAAAGACCGACTCCCCGCATCCTCTCGCGCAGATGAAGGGGCGGTTTCGACGCTCATCCTCGAGTGCCACGTAGTGGGAGACGGCAGCGTGCGCCGACAGGTATTATTTTCTCAGCGCCGCGGTTCCTCTCGCATCTCGCCTCGCTGGGCACGCGTCGGCAGCACCTCCTTGATGTCGAAGTCGACGACGCCGTCGACAAATACTCTTCTGCCATCTCAAGCCCTCCAGGATGGAGGCCGCACGATTCCAGGGACCTGACGCTTCCGCGCAGCGATGGGGACGCATGGCAACCAGTGAGCCCTGACGACTGCGTGGTGGCGGATCGTGGTTCAGCTTGGATGGAGCACCATTGACACCCACCGCCGGGGCCAAGGGTGCTGGCAGTCGGTCGCCATCACGAAAAGGAGTATTTATATATCACCCCAGGCCGGTGCTGTGTGTGCAAGTGCGTGTATGCGTGTGTTGTCGATAATTCCATTTCGCTGCGAGACAGAAAAGCACATCATCCTGCGGGACGGGGCGATTTGAGACACACTTCCCAAGTACAAACACACTTCGCAGGCCCGATTTAGAGCTCAATCAATTATCCTTCTGGTAAGTAAGCAACCGTCCAGCGCTGGCGTGCAGGCACGCGTGCGACCCTGACGCCAGCATTCCCCGACGAGACCAAGAACGTGGACCTGACAAGCCACGCGGTGGATAGTGGTGGTTGCGATGGCCGACTCCAACGTTCTGACTGACTGTGACTGACGATGATTGTTAGGGACTGGAGAGAGAACGAGCCGGCCCATGCTCGACCACGATCGTCTTGCAGATATATAATAATTAGCGGAGTGGCAGATTGGCCCTTTTTTTGTTTTCTCTTTCTGCAAAAAAAGCTGCGCGTGTCAGCTTACATGTGCCATCATCCACCATCCTTGCCGCGACTCTCACAGTCGAAGCGAATGACCTGCGGACCTACGTCGTACAGCCCGAACTAAGATACCCAACACCATTCGGCACGTCAAGCGGGGGGACAGAACGCTATACCGAAGCTACATATATTACTGAGGTGCGGAGCCATCGCGCGGCGAGAGCTTTCGAAAGAGACGGAACGAGCGCTTGCTCTCCCAGGGTCCGATCCAACGACGACCGACCGACGAGCAGAGCAGAAGCAGAAGCACGGCACGGCACAGGTCGCGTCGCAATCGCCGTCGCAGTCGCAATTGAAAGCCGCGTGCATTTTACAAAGAACGACGCGATGCCTCCGGACAGGTCGTCGTTCACGGCGCTCAACATCCCCAATGACGCCGTACCGGAGTGGATGGGATCGTTCACGCTTGCCGCGCCGCCCAACACCGACCTCTGGCGCAAGCCCCCGAGCCGCGACACGTCGACCGCGCCGATACTGTACACTGCGCTGCGCCATCCTTTCGTATTGGCTGCCGTGACGGTGTCGGCCGACTGGGAGCTGGAGTGGGATCAGGGCGGACTGGTGATATTCGCAGGGGCGCCGCCGCCAGGACGAATCGTTTCGCCGGGCAACAATTCCAATTCCACCTCGACCTCGTCGGTTTCGACTGCTGCCAGCAGCACGAGTAGCAGCACCTCCCCGCCCGTCAGCACTGCAGCAACTTCCTCTCCCCCGAGCGCCAGCTTAAACGTCGCGACGGCCCCATCACCGGCATCCATCACGAGTGCGGGGCAGCAGCAGCAGCAGCAGCAGCAGCAGACGGGGCAACCACACGTTACACAAAACGCAGCACCACCTCCCGTCACCTCCTCCTCATCACCAACACCCTCCCAACCTCCCCCCGCTCCCCCTCCCCCTCCAGCGTACATTCCCCCAACCCCCCCATCCTCCAAATGGGTCAAAGTCGGCCTCGAATTCTGCAACAACGCCTGCCACGCGACCTCCGTCTGCGCGACCTCCGACGGCGCCGACTGGGCCCTCACATCCCTCCCCCCGCACCACGCCCGCCGCACCGACCTCCGCGTCAAGATCGAACGCATCGGCTACGCCCTCTGGGTCTGGTACGAGGACGAGATGTCCGGCTGGCGCAAGCTGCGCGAGGTCACGTGGTTCTTCTGGGGCGTCGAGGACAAGGCGGTCCGGGTCGGCGTGTACGCTTCGAGACCCGCGAATCTGGGCGGGGCCACGATGTATGAGAGGAGGAATGGAGGCGGGACGGGGGGGCAGGGGGTCACGCAGAGGAATCTGTGTGTGGACTTTGAGGGGCTGGAGATTATGTAGGGGATGGAAGGGGGAGGGGGGGGTTGACTTCTTGTATCTTTGTTGTTTTGCTTCATATGAGTTCCTGTCTACGATTGATTCTGTTTCATGGGGTTTTTGTTTTCTCTTTGGGGATTTATTTTGGTGGGCGTGGGCGTACAGATATACCTTTCTTGTTCTCATTGCGTTATGTTGAAGTTTTGGCATTTTTATCGTTTGTATTGTTAGTTTTACCCTCTTACGTTTTTTTAAACTTACTTTTGGTTTTGGTTTGGTTTTTGTTTACATAGCGAGTTCAAGTTCATATCAAGCCCAATCGAAACTTTCAACACGAGATCCTAGACTTTGAGTGTTTATTGTTTCTTTTGAAAAAGGGCCCGTCAACATTTGATGACATGAGAGGAGGAAAGGAAAAACTTTTGCATCTCCGCATCTCCGTGCCCATACTTTCGAAGAAAACAGCCTCCGTGAACACGACTCAAGTACTGATAACATGCCTCAAAAGGCGAGAAAGCAAAAGCCTTGCTAACTCGCACATAGACAGTAGGAACCTACATACGTGCAAACGCTTCACAAGCAAATCTAAAAATCTAGTTGATAAGGGAGTGAGTTAAGTTTCGATTCGGTTCGGTTCGGTTCGGTTCGATTACAGTTCAACTTATATGCCTTGTGCACGAGGGGAGTAATAATTGATATTAAAGAGGAAATGGATGTTCGAGGGAGGAGTGGATGTCATGTTCTCGATATCCAGTCTCTCAAGTCACGCACGTCCATGGTTTTATCTTTAAACTTTGATTTGATTGGCATTTAATGCTCATGAAAACTCCCCCAATATACCGCCCATCCTTCCTCCAATCGAGGACATAGCTGGCCAGGCAAGGGAAGGGAAGTCAACCATACACCAAGACCATCAAGACCACCAGGTCGAATAAAAAAACCCCTAAAATGCCCCAATGTGTCCTTCCTGTCTGTACAAAAAACACCCAGGAGAAGACATGACCAGGGTAGGGGGGGATCTCATAGAAATTACACCAAAGAAACATTCGCCCCTTCCATACTGAACCAATCTCGTTATTCTTTCCCAGTCCCCACGTTCATACGCCCCCGCTCCTGGTTCAGATGGTTGCAATTGATTGATTGATTGATCCAAAAAAAAAACTCCACACACATGCAATATAAGCCGTACAAAAACAGATCCCCGAAACACCTCGTGTTGACATAACTTCGTTGATGGGGGGTCGATCCATTCGTTCAATAAAGGATCGCCCGGGTGGTCGAATCGCCTCCTCAGCCGGTCTTGGTCTGCTTCTTCGCGGTGCCGATGTGCGTGTTGTACACCTTGGTGGCGAACTTGAGACTGGTAAGGGACTCCTGGAGATGGGCCTGGAGAGGGCTGACCATGACAAACATGAGCGTCTTGGAGTTGCCGCCCAAGGAGTATTGGAGAAGGTATGTCAACTGTGTCATATCGTTAGTGCAATCACTTCAAATGATGGGCGGAGACAAACCTTGGAGTTGCGGTACGGGACGTGACCTCCCTCTTTCGAGCTTCCGAGAGCGTTGATGACGTCGCCCAGGCAGCTGAGACTCTTGTTGATGTTCTGCGTCTCCTTCAGACGGGCACCCTCGACCTTGGAATGCTCGAGACGCTCAGAACCAGCCAAATCGACCAGGTTGAGTGTACCCTCCGACCTCTCGCCAGTGACACTATTAACACCCACGAGCTTGAGGATGAAGACAGAGTGAGAGCGGGAAGAACGCGAGTTGGCCCTGGTGGCAGCGACAGAGCGGTTCTTGTCTGCCGTCCTCATAATCTCCGACACACGGTCCGGGCTGTCGAGCAAGACGCTGACGGCGTTTTCGATGGTGGTCGACTTCTTTGCGGAGTCATGTCGAATCTCAAGCTTCTTCTTGTCGAGATCTTCGGAGCGACCGAGCAGATCGTTGTAGGTCTCGTTGTATACTTCGACGAAATTGCCCTCGATCTGGTATCGCCAACCTTTCTCTTCGAGTCGCTCAGCCTCGGCGTAAATCTGTCTTGTAGCCCGGGGAATCATACCATCCTCAGAGGACATGGTAAAGGTCTTTCCGGATCCGGTCTGGCCATAACAGAAGATGCAGACGTTGTAGCCGTCAAGTGCGCTCTGCACAAGCTGGCTGATTTCTTCAAAGACCTCGTTGTTCTGGGACTTGGGACCGAACACACGGTCGAACGAGTACGCATAGTTGGCTGTGGTGACAGTGCCCATGGCTGACTTCTTATCCTGTCCCATGATGGTGACTTCCTTGCTGTCGGTATTGGAGTCTGGGTACAATATCGTGGCCGGGTTGTTCTCCGTGTCTGGGTTCGTTGGACGAACACGACACATGACTCGGATGTTTCCTTTGAGCTCTTGGACCTGGTTGTGGAGCCTGCGGCGTAGAGCCTCCTCCTGGCGGAGCTTCTCGTTGGCTGCCTCTGCCGCCTCGATGGCCTCCTCCATCCGTCGGTGTAGATCGTTGAATGCTTCTGACTGAGCTTGGCTATCCGATTCCAAGAAGTCGATCTTCGCCTTCATGGCCTTGTTGGACGCATCCAGTGTCAAGTTGAGTGCTGCTGCCTCGGAAAGCTGGTGTTGAAGGCTGGTTTTAACACCCCTCTCTCGGTCGAGCTCGGCTTTTGTGTTGGTCAATTCTCCCTTGACGAGCTGGTTCTCGCGCTCCTTGGTGTCTGCTTCGAGACCTGCATTCTGCAGCTTGAGCTTGAATTCAGACTCGATTGCTTGAGCCTCCCGTGACCTCCTGCCCTGTTCCTCCTCGACCTGCGACTTTAGCTTCTTCTGGACCGTTTCCAGTTCATCGGCATGCATCTTGAGCAACTTGTCGATCTGAGCCTCAAACTCTTTGCGCTGCTTGTCAGCCGCTTCTTCAGACTGCCTCCTCAACTTGTCAGCCTCTTTGCGGTACTTCTCTTGGAGATCCTCCATATCATTGCGGTACTTCCTGCGCATGTCGTCGACCTCGAAGGTGTGGTTCCGCCGGGTCGTCTCTAGTTCCATGTTCGCAGTTGCCATATAGCTCTTTGCATCCCTCAAATCTGACTTGAGTTCGTCGTTTATCGCCGTGATCTGGGAACGTATCGCCTCCAATTCAGCCACTGCCAAACCGTTAGTGCCAGTCAGACCTTACAAGTACGACGAAGACCCACCTCTACTCTGCAGAGTCTTGATCTCTTCTTTCAGGTTCGTCGCGTCCGAAGTGTCGCGTTCCATGCTCTGCTTAAAGGCATCGAGTTCTCGCTCCATTCTCGCCAATCGGTCTTCGGGGTCGAACACTGGAGCACGATCGTTAGTATCCTTTCTCAAAAATGGTGACTGAGGCGGAGGCTTGCGCTGACGGCGCTTTGGGGTGCAAGATTGAGGCCGATGAGAGACAAGAGGAGGCGGCTGGACAGGAGTCTTAGGCCGTGGAAGAGAAGAAGGAAATTGAGAAGAAGAGTCCGAGTCCTTGCCAGAAGCTATTCCACGCCCCGAGCGGCTACTACTGCGGCCATCAACAGCTGAGGCGCCCAAAGTAAGGGCGCCCAAAGCATCGGTGACATCGTCGTAGCTTGCACGGGTAGGGCTTCCGAGCGCGGGACTGGCAACAGGAATTGACGAAGAGAAAGTATGAAAGCCTGAAGTCGGCGTGGCAGAGAGAGACCTCTTGAGGAGCGCATCAGGGACAGAGGCGACCCGATGGAGTACAGGGCGAGGTTTGAGGGGCCTAAGAAAACCATCGTCGAAGATTTGACTTTCAACTTCGTCGGTTGAGACAATAAGAGAATTATATGCACCTTTTCGTTCGGGCCTGGGATCGTCGTCATGTTGTGCGTGCGAGGTGAGCGGGCGCTGGCCTTGGTGATGGGATTTGCTTCGAGCATGGCCGTACGCTGTTTTGGGTCGGCCGTTGGTGGCGGGCGCTCGAGCTGAGGGGCCCATGCTACTGCCAAATGAAGATGCGGATGTGTTGCGAGAGGCGTTGCTGTTGGCGGAGGGCACGCGGGATGTTGACTGTGAGAATGGGCGCGTGCCGTTCGCAACGACACCCTTCACTGCGCCATTGACGGGGCGGGTGCTCGAAGGTGCGGCGAGTCTCGAGTGGGCAAACTCCTCAGCGCGTTCCTTGAGAGTTTTCCGATGTTTGTTGGGAGGTTCCGGAACTGCTGGTGTTAGTAGTTTGCAAGGCGCGGATCTAGAGGTTCTCACGACTAGAGGGTTTGTGCTTGATTGAGCCGTTGGCAGACATCATTGGAACTCTTGAATTGGCTGTTGCATCGGTCATGTCGCCGAGTGCAGTGTTCCGTGATGGCGAAGAGGGAAGCTGAATCTTTGTTGGCGGACGTAGACCCGTTCGCGGCGCCTGGGAATTACTTTGTTAGTGGGCGGACGAAGCCTAAACAATCGCGTACGAGGGAAGGCGCCGGCGTACCTGATTTTCGTTGGTAGTGTCCATTGACGTGACGAATGATGGCGATGAAGAATGGGTTTGCTGTATCTTTTTCCTGCTGAATCAACTTGGTCAGTAAACCATCTCTTCGCGAACGCAAAAGGACGGCGTAGTTGATTGACGAGAGAAGTTGGGGTTGGCCGTGAGTTGCTATCCATAACGGGGTCGGAGCGGCGATCGCTGTTGCCCGAGCAACCACAGCAAAGAGGGCCGTGCACCATTATCACCTTTACTATGGACAACTTCGAATACTTGATCATTGTTGTAATCATTATTGTAGTTACTTGAATAATTTTCCTAAGTCCTTTTCTATGGTGGGACATTGGTATTGGTTTCAAAGGGTGTGGATGGGCTCCCGTTGATGTCATCTTTCATAAAAATCTCTCTCCCAAATACATCAACGTCTGCAGCAATGATAGTGAAACTAGTCTTTCGACTTATTAAGATCTCATATCACAATATCCATTCATATCCTACTCTTTACCTAAGAAGATAGGAGGAATCGGTCTACCAATCAACATTTTTGACATGCAGAACTTTCCTGCTCTGCTTCTATAGTGACACATTGAAGCTCATGCTCTGAGTTTCCCAGCTATCAGTATCTAATGTAGAATCGGAAAGGGTCGGAAAAGAGACAGACAGAGGCATAGGTAGAAGGCAAAAGCTACTGATTCACAAACAAAACTGTACACGACTACATCGTCGCCATTCTCTTCTGAGAACCCCAGGTTAGCAAAGTGATCCTTTTGAGGTATTGATGCTTAAATGGAGAGCAAATGTCTCACGTGCTATGTCTAGTATGTTAAGCATGCATGTGTATGTCAATGAGGAAAGGATGATTTCGCTGTTAGATTGTGCTTTGAGTTAGACCTTGGAGGCAGTACACCGTGTTGCGCATATGTAGACAATCATCTTGGAATATTCGGACGGAGAGGGGGCTATGTGCTTGCAAGAGAAGTAGATGACAGCGGAAGAGTGCATGTGTACATGGCTTATCTTGGAATGGTGGGTAATGAGTCGATTGGATGTAGTCTGTGTAGATAGCTAAATCCGAGAGAAAGTCTCTGTACGGAGTATAAGATGGAGGATAGAAAGGTGAAGATAGGGATGGAAAGGGTCTTCTTCCCCCGTACGCGGCGGGTATGCAAGATGGATGGATAGATGAATGGTCAGGGATAGTAGAGCAAAGGCGGGCGAGTGGGGTGAATCATGACGTTTGACCTGCCATATCCTATATCGATGTCTGAGAAGCGATCGACGTTTCAGACGGTACCATAGCGATGTAGAAAATGCGCATGTGACAGCTTATGGAGATACATGATGGCATTCTTCTGGAATGTGGTGTGCTGGAAATGGAAGCAAACAGGCCGACACGCGGGTCATTCATTGATTGAAGATGGGTCTTGTGGCTATTCTGGCTGCAAGGTACATGGTGGGAGAGGTCGACGAGTGACCAAGTGCACCGATTCGTGTGGCTGCACAGAAACGGCTACGGGGTTGAGCAGCAGACGGGCGGGTGTCGGGTGGCAGTTCGGGAGAAGCGCCCGCTGTGATGCTTGTTGTCGTACAGGTTCGTCGTTGTTTGTCATTTGTATGTGAGTGAGACAGCAGCTTCTCCGTACTGTGTATCTGATAACATCAACATCATTCAAGACTATTGTTAGGACATGGTACAAGACTACGAGTATCAGTCAATGGGTAGTACGGAGTACTGTGTATGCTCGTGGAAGCGCCAAGGTACTCGTAGGTACAGTCGAGTACACCTAGTGCAATGTAGTGCGGCAAAGTACATGAGGGATACTTGCAGATACTCCGTAGTTCCATACGGAGCCCCAGCATATTGTATCTCTCATAGGCGATCTCACTAGCCGGTACGTCGAAGCGCGCCGATGATATCGATTGCTATAATTGGTGCATCATCACATCAATCTAGCCCATCAGTCAGCACCCCTTTCCGATGGCGAGGCTATCGTTGACAAGTGCGGAAGAATGTAACTATTTGTATTTACTTACCGACATAGTCGAATAAGTGTGTGACGATGTGATGAGACTGTTCGATTGGGTTGGGGGAGGCTGGAGGCTGGAGGCTGGAGGCTGGGCTGGTCTGGGTGATGGATGGTTAAGGTGCAGTAGAAGGGTCCCGGGTCTGTGCGCCACCAATCAGGGTGGAGTATGGAGAACGGGTAGAGAGACTGTGGGTATTCATCAAGGCTCACGGCGCTTCAAGACAGGTCGGACGTCTACCATGTACTCCATACAATGACTGTCCTGTATGTCTCTCTCTTGTTAGTGGTCCATCATCTGGATGGTCGCGAGGCGGAGGTCAGTCTTCCCCAGGGTTCCATCCGGCCGCCTTCACGGCCACATCTCGTCCATGGCCGCATCCAAGGCCATCCTTGGACTGGGGATGGGGTGCAGTCTGCAGATCTAAGACAAATATGTGCTAGAGCCGAAGTAGCCAAGTCGATAGAGGTGGGAGACGAGATTCCATCCGCAATTCATCCAGAAGACCACAGCCAACGCTCTCTTCCTTCTTCGTAACTCGTGTGTGTAATGTGAGGGTAAGCCTGTGAGGACGAGAGCCACCCCTGTCGGCTGGGTTGGTGTGGGTGCCGGCCAGAAGAACTATTGATCAGCCTTGAGTACGAGGGGACAGGACTGGACGGTAACGACCAATGGCACAGCACGGCACTCAGGAGGTGGGTGTGTGCATGTATTCCTCGCTACCAGAGCTGTCTTCGACAACGAAATGGATTCCATATGTACGAAGTTCTTGCGTCTGGGTACTAGGTAGAAGGGAACTGTGAAATGACTGTCCATGTCACGATTTGAGAGTCGAGAGTCGAGAGAGTTCCGGCGGCTGGCTTCAAGTGGATACCATACCATTGATGGTGTTGTTCTTCCCGCTATGCATATGGATAGGATCCGTCCGTAGCGGCGTGGAAGGGTAGGGGACACACATTAGGGATAGTTCTGGGAGGTGCATCGGCCGGAGGCTGGTGTGGGCGTGGGATGGGGGGACAGGATGAGAGGGAGAGGAGACAGAAGAGGTGGAGTCTGGCAGTCCAGTCTGGCGCATTGTCGTGCTTGATTCTGTGAATTGGCGGCGCTTTCATTTCCGCCCGCTCATCGTCTAGTCCAATCCAAGTCCCAGTCCAGTCCAGTCCGGTCCATGAACCCCCTAAACTACCTCTACTGTCTAGGGACCTGAGACCTCTGTTGCGAAGATATCCAGGCACTTCACTGGTAATCCGTGGATACGAGTGGTGACAAGGACATGTACTCAGTACCTACGGATCCACAGTGCTGGCTATAACATACCTTCCACCAGGCGAGTAAATCAGATATAGAAGAACAATGATAGTTAGCAAGAGATACGGGTATAGTAAGGAGTGGTACTCCGTATTAGTGCAAACATAACCGGTTACTATTAGTGTGTTGTTGGTGTTTGCTTGAGAGTGAGAGGAGGAGTGGATTGTATACTGTACTCGGTACTGAATTGGAGTGTACAAAAGGGTAATAATTAATACAGACATTATTGCTCATCTCCCATATCCTCCATCCCCCAGCATCTTCTGTGTAGAAAGTAATACTGTAATAGTGCAGTCCAGCAGTCCAGCAGTGCAATCCAGTGTCCACCCACGCGCGCTTCCAGCGTCCAGCACCAAACCAAACCGAACTGAACCAAACACTCATCTCCCATCCCATCCCGTCTCTTTCTCTCTATCGCGCTCTCTCCATCTCTCTTACACCCTCACCCTCTCCTCCTCCTCCCTCTCCCTCCTTCATATCCTCCCTACCTCTCCAAACTCCGCCTCATTTGCGCGCCTCTTCCACTCACTCCCACTCTCGCGCGCAATCGATCTGTGTGTCGCCATCGCTTTATATTGCCGTGTCGTCCAGCCCATCAGCAAGTTGTCGCCAATTACCCATTCGCGTTCGCTGTCGCATACCACGATTATATACCCATACAAACGAGAGAATCGGGAAGCTCAGATAACGGCCAACCCACCATTATATTATAGTATCGCCCTGCCTCGCCTCGACTTTCTCTACTACTGTGTACCTACCCGTACGTAGGAATATATCGTGTTGTATTGAAGGGAAGGGAAGCCAGGACTTGTCATCGGATCGGATCATCCATCATCCACGAGGGTGACCTCCAAGTTGGCAACCAACCAACCACGCGAACCAACAAAAGTAAGGAGCCATCCACGTCCACTCCCTCTTTCACTCTCTTTCCACTTGCACTTCGCATCGCATCCCATCGCATACCATCATACCTCCTCCCCCCAACCACTACATCCACCACCACCATCATTCCCCCCCTCTCCTTTCAATTCTCCATCCCTTGCCTGCTCTGCCCTGACAAGGCATTCGCATCCAGGACTGCGCTGCGCCGCCATGAGCAGCGACCCAGCCGTCACCTCTCCTGCCGACGCTAGCGGACGGCCTCCGCCCCCCGACAAGTCTCTCGCTGCAGACGATAGGTTGGAGCAGCCAAACGGCACTGGTAAGTCAATCATTCGTGATGCATCATTGCGTCCATTCAATTCGGATGATGCAAATCCCTGGCATCTCCGTTGCTATTGTCGCCTTCCACGCCGCCGTCGCCATTGTTTGTTGTGGTTGTTATTGTCTTATTGTAATGGACCCGCCGCTAATTGAGTCGCCCCATTAGGTCTGCACCCTAATTCATCCGCCAACTCCAACTCCATCGTTCCCCCTCAACGCTCATCCTCGCGCGGCGCTTCCTCTTCAGACGACCCCCTACGAAACGGCTCTCGATCTACCCAAGGTGGCGAAGGCGCATCCAGCACAGAGCCAGAGCCCAAGAAGAAGCGATCGTTTCTCAGCATCCCCAGGTCGGGATCGCAGTCCAAGGACGAAGAAAATACCCCCACCGGCACAGGATTAAGCGGAGCAACCGTGGCGGACTCGGAGAGCATCGGACGGGGCTCCAAACGGAGCTTCGGCAAGCGAAGGGCTGGCAGCACCGCCAGTAGCAAGCGCTCGCAGCAACAGCAGCAGTCGACACAGCCCACTGGCGCATCCGATCACGCGGAGAAGGTGCCCCCAGTCCCTGCCGAGCATCGCGAGGGTTCGACGAGGAGTAGGTCAAAGAAGTCGGGCGGAGGTTTGCTCTCCTGCCTGCCCTGCTTTGCACCCAAGGTTGAACGCTCTGCGGACCAGGAAGAACCGTCACAGAACGCCAAGCAGGCAAGCAAGCCTCGATCGGTCAGAACCACCCAGGCAACCCCCACGAAGAAGTCCGACGCAAACGCTGTAGAATCGAGCACCGCAGACTCAAAAGAGCCCTTCGATGAGAAGGCGCCTGAGTCGGAGAAACAGCCCGTGCAGGGGGATGCAACGGTAGAATCCGCTTCCGAGGCTACGCCCAAAATAATAAGAACGCCATCGAAACGACATGCTGACGATCCTCTCCCACCTCTCCCACAATCTCAGCCCGGCCGGTTAGACACCAATTCCATCCCCCAGATTGGTGTCCAAGGCCCGACTCCCGGAACCACGCCCGTGCAGCCGCGACCGTCCGTCGAGCAGGAGCAAATAATACACGATCAGACGCCGCATCAGGCAGAGATTGATAACGACCTTGAGATGCGCGATGTTCCCATCTCCTCAAAGGACGTCCAGACAGATGAAGGTACTTCTACATCGACCGAGAGGAATGAGAAAGAGTCACAAAGGCTCCCCGACCTACCGCCGCCACCTCCGCTAGAGCAACGACAGATCGCGATCCAGGAGCAACAGGTCAGAGATCCCGAGGCGCAGGTACCGAAGAAGGAAATCAGCCTGCTGCCCCCCATTCGCCCCGAGTTCCAAGGAAAGAAGTGTCTTGTCCTGGATTTGGATGAAACGCTCGTGCACAGTAGTTTCAAGGTAATGCATCTCGTATCTCTTCTCAGGCGCGTCACGACTAACACGTTCAGATCCTGCAACAAGCCGACTTCACGATTCCCGTCGAGATCGAGGGCCAGTACCACAATGTGTATGTCATCAAGCGGCCCGGCGTTGACGCATTCATGAAGCGCGTCGGTGAGCTTTATGAAGTTGTTGTATTCACTGCTTCCGTCTCCAAGGTACGTCCATCCAGCCCCAATTCCCGTTGCTCTACTGACGCGTTCGTCTAGTACGGCGACCCCCTCCTCGATCAACTCGATATCCACGGTGTCGTTCACCATCGATTGTTCCGTGAGAGTTGTTACAACCACCAGGGTAATTATGTAAAGGTAATTTCGCACCACTCCTAGGTTAGTGACGGGACCTAAAGCTCATACTTCGTAGGATCTCTCACAGATTGGCCGTGACCTGCGCGACACCATCATCATCGACAATTCGCCCACCTCCTACATCTTCCACCCGCAACACGCCGTCCCAATCAGCAGCTGGTTCTCTGATGCCCACGATAACGAACTTCTCGATCTGATACCCGTCCTTGAGGATCTTGCCGGCCCCCAGGTCAGCGATGTTAGTTTGGTACTTGATGTTGCATTGTAAGAGGAATATACCACGCCACTACATAGTTTTGTCGCTCTCCCCGACCTTCCTCGGAGGCCCCATCGTCGACCGCGAATCATCAGGAGCGTTTCTACCCGTCTTTTCGACCTTCGAAGAAAGCATTCTCTAGGCTTCTTAGATGTACCTTTGTAATTCCACACTTGTAATCTGCATCTTTGAGCGAGCCCCGCAATCAGCGGTTCTGTTGAGTTTGTTCCTCTGCATCTCCCTCCTCTTCCTCTCTCCCACCTTCTCCTTCCCCTCTACCTGTCCAGATTTCCTCTGTCTCACACCCGGCTTCTTAAGGTTACAGAGAAGGTTGAATGTCATGTCGCGCAAGATTGTCTATACAAAAAAGTACCTAACCTTCTGGCCTTTCCCCCGTGGATGGTCCTCTATTTATTTTTCCTTGTTACTGTTTGAAATTTCCGAGAAAGAGGGTGGTTTGAAGAAAGATTCTGATCGTATATGGACGGTGCTGGGTGGGGAAACAGACGGACAGGCGCCTTGAACCGAAAGAAAACAAAAGGTGGAACAGAGGGCGAATACCGGCAGGACTCGAAAAGGGAGACTTACAGACTTAATTTCTCAGAGCATACCTATTCATACCCCCATCTTAACCCAGAACTCATTTCTTTTTCCTTTTCCTTTCCATTTCTTATATACACACAACTGGTCCGTTTGTTTGTTGCTCGGGAGACATTCTTGGTATAGCATTTGCCCGCCGGCGGAGGGGAGGGCTCAAATTCATCATCTGTTTTCGAACGCTTTTCGACACCCTGCGCGGTTTTGCTTTCTTTCTCCCCGGACCATTCGACATCTGTTCTTTCCTGCATAGCGGGGTCTGCTTCTTCTTGCAACCTTGTCCATGTCAGGCTCTCTGTTTGTCTGTTCTGTCTGGTCGATGATGGGCATCCACTCTACTCCTCCAATACATTTTCCTTTGTCTATTCTAATGCCGTTGATTCCCCCTCTCGTATCTGCCTGTTTTCAGCAGATGACAGTCTTCGAAAGCAAAACAGGCATTATCTGGTGGGCTTGGAGATGAGGCGAGAGATATGCTTGAGTCAAGCAAAGTACATTTCTATCTTTTCATTTCCTTTCTTTTCCCGGATCCCCCCGACTCAGAAGCATGTATGTAGTGTTGTAGTAGTAGCTGTTCCAAGGCGCGTGAGGGCAATTAGATGCAAATATAAATAATTCTTAACTCCATTCACAGTTGATGTTTACATATGTACGTGCTATCCGGTGCGGCTGTTTCAGCCATGCAGCAATGATTGTCTCAAAGAAGAAAGGCACAGCATTCTAGAAGGAGGATCGAAGGGGATCTTGCATGAGGAGCTTAAGCATGAGCATGAGCATGAGGAATAGTCCAGGTTGATAGCTTCTAGTTAAAGCTTGCTGGAGAGCTTGAGCTCGGTCCAATTGGCTATGACATATGACGATTGATGGATGGCCGTCACGCTTGGCGGTGGGCGAATTTCACATGCCACACAAACTCGCGTCCACCTCATCTCATCCCATCCCCCATCCTGTGACTTTCATCGACGATCAAGCTTCTGTGAGCTGAGCAAAGACAAGTCGTCCCAGATACGGTGACTTGCAGCCGCCCTACGCGTCAAAAACGAAGATTGGATTGGGAAACCACAGTCGCTTCAAGCAAGAAAAAGAGTCTCTGCCAGGGTCTTCAACTGCCGCCGCTAACCCAGTCCTGCCAACAACCTGCGACCACCGTCCGTCCAACTGAGGATTAAATATTACACCCACTCTACCTATACGGAGCACAACGACCGCTCCCCTCCACCCCACGGTTCCGTTCACTCCTCATGGACCGGTAGTACCACACTTAGCGTTCATTGCCATTACTACAATATGGAGAAATACTCTCAATTCAGGGACAAAGGTCAGTCTCCCCTCCTACGCCTTTCTAACCAGGATCAAGACTAACATAACATCATCGTAGGCACTGCCATCGCACCCTTCCTCCCCGTCCCCACGCCCACCTCCTCCGCACTCTGGACTCCCGTCCACATCCTCCTGTTCCTCGTCCGCCTCCCCGCCGTAACCTTCCTCTCCTTGTTCTATTTCACCTTCCTCGAATTCCTGCCCGTGGGCTCGTTCATCAAGACATGCGTGCTCTGGCTCATACTCGCCATCCCCGGCGTGTGGTGGGTAGACCTACAGGTTGACGGCGTCAAGCGAGGGTATGTCACTAACATCCATTCCTCCCTGTACGGCTCGACGGGGGCGCGGGCGCTCGCCGCGAACTTCTTCGCCGTGTCGCAGAGCACCAAGGCTGAGCAACGTGCGCGGGACAACAGGAACCTCGCCAACGCGAAAGACCACCTGCCCTACGCGGGCACCGTCATCGCGAGCAGCTTTACCAGCCCGCTCGACCCCCTCTACCTCGCCGGCATCTTCTCCCCCGTCTTCACGCGCTCCTACCCGGGCTACAAGAAGGTCGAGCAGATCTCGCTGCTCGGCGCCATACTCCTCGCGTTCGCGCCGCCGAAGCTCGAGCCGAACAACCCGGACAAGCTCGTCACGCTGCAGGAGCTGAAGAAGAGGAACCCGGGGTCTATCATCTGCGTGTTCCCGGAGAGCACTACGACGAACGGACGCGGCATCCTGCCGTTCAGTCCGAGCTTACTGACCGCAGACGAGAAGACGAAGGTTTTCCCGGTTAATCTCAGGTACACGCCCGGAGACGTGACGACTCCTGTCCCTGGAAACTACTTCTCGTGGTTTTGGAGGTTGCTGTCTAAGCCCACGCATGTGATGCGCGTCAGGATCGCAATGCCGCATTACATGGTGGCGGCACCGTCGGACAAGTGGGTGGATGATGTTGGCAATGACATGGGGTACGACACGAACATCTTCGACGACCTGAAGCTCAGAAACAGGACGGTGGAGAAGGACACGAGGAACGGGGAGAGCGAGGGCGTCGGCGAGGCGGAGCGGAAGGTGCTCGATCGCGTGGCGGAGGATCTGGCGAGACTTGGGAGGGTGAAGAGGGTTGGATTGGGCGTCGTGGACAAGATCGAGTTTGTGAAGGTCTGGACTAGCAGGCGGCGGTAGTAGTGGGGGAGGATATGAGGGTTTTTTTCGAGCAGGTGGCGAGATGTGTTGTTTTGAAGATAGGCACAGTGCTCGGTGGAGTTGCCATTCGGCGGAATACGCATCATTAATCATTCCAACCCAGCATACAGTTAGTCCTAGCATTAGAGGTACGAGAAAGTACAGCGTTGAGAACGTGAAGATTGGGGAATGGAGATTAGTGTTAGCAGTCACGATGTTCACAATTGAAACAATCAACATCCATCCATTCATATCTGTGTGTATGTTGAAATTTGAACAAGAATATTCACGATTGTTTACGACGATGAGATATGCTGTGTATTGATTGGTGCATGTGAATCCCCCACTATGTGCGTCGAGCACGAAGAAGCTGAATCCTTGCAGCGACTAATCACGAGCATTACCACTTCCCCGTAACTATTATAACTACTGTACTACAACTACAATGAATTACCAAAAGTAGCATTTGATTGCTTTTTCTCGACTGATCTGCATACAGAAAAGAATACAGTACTACCTCACTGCATGCACGTACATGTCCACGGGAACAAATAAGCTTTTCGCACTTCCGACACTTGTTTTCGTAGCAATCGTTATTATCTAGTGTCTTTCTCTGCTTGCTTGCTAAGCTCTTCGTCATAGTTAAGCGGGCGGATTTCTTTAATAACTTTCGAAACTTTTGCCTGAGACCACAACAACACACATTACACAACTCCACTCAAGGCTAACACAACGTCTGCCTATTTACGACACCCTTCCGTCCAAGACATTCGCCGACCACAGCCTACGCGTATATATATCTGAAGACTGCTCTGCCATAACGACCTTCTCCGGCCAAAGGATACCTCTCACGAAATCACCGCAGCCATGAGCAGTTCCGAACCAGCTGCCCCGCCGCACGGTGAAACCGACCCCGCGAGCACAACCACACAAGCACAACCAGAGACAAGCACAGTCACAAGCACAGATGCACCTCCTACCACGACAGCCCCCTCCTCCCACCCCGAAGCCGAGACCAAGGAAGACAAGCCCCGCGACAGCAAAGGCTGGGACGGCAAACTACGCGTCGTACGAGGCACGTTAGGCAACGGATCGGGCGACCCCAACGCCAGCGACGATGAAGGCCCCTCCGAAGACGAAGGCCCGCCACCGGAGCAACTCGCCGCAGACGAAGACCTCCTCGACGACGTCGAAGACGACGAAGAGCAAATCGACCTCGTGCACTTCCGCGTGTCGAGCATCCCGGCACTCAAGCTCGAACGCTTCACCAAGCTCCAACGCCTCTGCCTCCGCCAGAACCAGATCTCCGCCATCGAGATCCCGGACGCCCTCGCCCCGACACTCGTCGAGATCGACCTCTACGACAACCTCATCTCGCACATCAAGGGCCTCGATGCGTTCGTCGAGCTCACGTCGCTGGACCTGTCGTTCAACAAGATCAAGCACATCAAGCGGGTCGACCACCTGAAGAAGCTGAAGGACCTGTACTTCGTGCAGAACAAGATCAGCAAGATTGAGGGGCTGGACGGGCTTGACAAGCTGCGGATGCTGGAGCTCGGTGCGAACAGGATACGCGTGCGTTCCCTCCGGGAATATATCCCCCCCCTGTAGAATATAATAGATACTGATGAATGGTCTCAGGAAATCGAAAACCTCGACACCCTCACCTCCCTCGAGGAGCTCTGGCTCGGCAAAAACAAAATAACCACCATCACCAACCTCACCCCGCTCACCAACCTCACCATCCTCTCCATCCAATCCAACCGCCTCACCTCCATCTCCGGCCTCGAATCCCTCACCGCCCTAGAAGAACTCCACATCTCGCACAACGCCATCACATCCATCGACCCTTCATCCCTCGCGTCCAACACATCCCTCCGCGTCCTCGACATCTCCGCCAACCCGATCGAGCACCTGACGGGTCTCGAGCACAACGCGCAGCTGGAAGAGCTGTGGGCGTCCAACTGCAAGTTGTCGAGCTTCGAGGAGGTGGAGCAGCAGTTGGGAAACAAGGAGGGGTTGCAGACGGTTTATTTCGAGGGGAACCCGCTGCAGAGAGTGCAGCCGGCGCTGTATAGGAATAAGGTTAGGTTGGCGCTGCCGGGGGTCAGGCAGATTGATGCTAGTGAGTTTATGATTTCCTTTCCTTTTTTTGGTTTTGTTTGAGGGGTTGCTGATGATGCGGGGTTGTAGCGTTCGTGAAATGAACTACATCGACGAGGCGGAACGAATCGAATCGAATCGAATCGAAATGAGATAGAAGTCACGACGCAACACAAGAACTACATGACACACCACCGATAAGATAGCAAGAGATTTCCCAGTAGGACCATCGTACCATTTTCACAGACGACCATAGACCGGAAACAAGTCGGCAAAGAGGAAGAATGAAGATGAAGCAGAGGGGGGGAAGGGAAGGCTGGAAATATGGGTTCTCATATGTCATAGAGTGAAGGAGAGTAGAGTAGAGTAGTTATTATACCCCACATCTTACCCCCACAAAATCATGGAAACTGAAATGGAAATTGAAATCGAACAGAGATGAAGACTTCGTTCTGTAGATGAACTTTGTGTGCACTTGTGATGAAAACCTCTCCGTCTCCAGAATCCCCGTGAAACTCACACTCGTCCGGATCCAGATGTCCTCTTGTAATATGGAAATCTCCAAGAACCCTAACGTAAACTCTCCCCAACCCCACCGCAAAAATGTACACTTACTTGCCATTTCAAACTGGATGGGTTTCAGAATTTCATTCCGCTGCCTCTCTCTTTTTATCTTCTATGTTGCGTGAGACTGCTTGTGCGAGAGACGCGTAGCGCGTAGCAGGTGGTTCGTGTGTACATGTCCAGGTATCTCTGCGCAGAAGAGGGAGAAGAGGGATTGTAGAATCCTTCTCGCTCGCCGTTTTATGGGGGCGCTGGAGGGTATGTGGAGGGTTGAGTGTTTGACCTTTTTTTTTTTATCTTTTTTTCCCGTTTTTTAAGGGACGGTCTGATTTATTGTTCTTTACGTTTCCACGTACGAGTTGAGTAAGAGAGAGAGGAGAGGGGAAGTCAGGATAAGGGACATGGTGATGAGACGGAAGACTGTCTTGTATAGTTCGCCAATCTTGCTTTAAATGTTATGTTCGTTGTGTGTCTAGGTCTTACAAGGGAGAAACCTGATTCGAGATGGGCTTGTAGTAATTTGTATTTTGGTTTGATTTACGCGGTGATGGCTATTGATAGAACAGCATGTAGTTGAGATGCGTGAAGATATATACAGGGAGCTAGAGAAGGGGCGTCTGGTTGGTGGGTGAATGTGTGGTAAGTCTCTATCTATATCTAATTGTTCTCCCCGTACTGTGTGTAGACGAAGGGAGGATTTACAAGGCGTGTGGTTTCGACATGTACGACGAGTACTGGATCAAAGCTCGCCGGTGAAGAATGTGCCGCAGAGGAGGGGATTGAATGTATACGTTTGTATCAGGAGGATGACTACTGTTTGAGTGAGGCGGTTGGTGTTTTTCGTTTTTGCAGGAGACGACAGTGATATATCATAATATACGTTGGTTTTATTCAGTGGACTCAAGGGAGAGATACGCAGTATATATCATAGACATCCTCTGACAGGTTGGTTGTACAGTCAATCCATAGATACACTGTCCGTCTGGACGAGTATTCCTTTTTTTTATGTTCTATTGTCTCATCCTTGGGGGGTATTTCTCGCATTTTAACGGGGACTAGCGTCTACTTCTATCTAAGCTGTAGGTTGAAGTTCTTCGTTTCTGTTTAGAATAGACCCTAGAGTAGAGAAAGAGTTGTATCAGGGATGGGAGCTCTGGTGTAAGCTCATGATCTTGTATGTGTGCGCGTATCTATGTTTGTATAGGGCGTAGATACACTGAGCTTTTAACGAACTTCAGTGATGCCATGATCCGCGATGACTCCAATTTACAAACGTTGAGAATGAAGAATCTAGATCTCCGAATTTTGTTCAACTGTTTGTCAGTGCTCTCGCGCACATTGACAACCACAGCCTCGCTGTCGTCTGGACACTGGACCCTTGAGACACGAAGAAGAGGAAGAGGAACAGCAACATCAAATCGACTGCAACCCCCCCGACCCTGGGTTGGGTTCACAATTTAACTTTGCCTCCCTCGTTACGCATCGACGTCTATCCCGCAACGTCTTCTGGAGAACCGAACAGGGCAGGGTGGTCGAAGGATTAAGGTTTACATCCTAATGTTGAAAGGTAAAGAAGGTATGGGGGTAACGGGCTATTTATCACGAACCTGGACCCATGGAATGGCTGGAGATGGTATGCTTTGCCGGATATGTCTACAGGTAGATGGAAGACCCACCGTGCGTGAATGTGCTGAGTGCTGATCAAGTACGTACAAGTACATAGTACGGAATCCCCACCGCGATGCGAATTCCTTCTAGACTGTTAGACGGCACCAACCCTTCAACCCTTTACGTACATAAATAGTACAAAAGGTTGGTCACTCCATGCATGTCACTGAGTCGTAAGTACAGAGAGGCGCCACGAAGGGTACGATAGCGTACATGTGATTCAGGCGGGATTGGCATCGGCCGGTCGGCCGGCCATGGCGATGCGATTAATGGTTACGCCAGCGACCTGGATCTCGGTTGGGAGGGGACGTGGAGGCGTGCACGTTGAGATTTGGGTGATCTGATGGCTTTTGATTTGCTCACGCGAGTCTTATATTGTGAGCCTGCAAACTTGGGGGTCCTTTGTTTTGCAATCTTGAACTTTTGGAGTTCATGGTGGACGATTCGACTTAGGAATTTCTTTGATAGATCAATGCTGTTTGAGAAACCTAGGGTCCCATTTGGTCGTAAGGAAATGCAACGAACGCTGTAGATAGCTGACAAACAAGCGAGCCTGCAGGCATTCCTGTGGCGAGAAGAAAGGCCAAACCGTTTTCAAGAGTGATGGGAAGGATGAGGTCGCGTTTCGCATCTGCTACTGCAGTGTAGGTCGAACGGACGAGTGGAGTACATGGGACTGGTAGGTGGTGAGCACTACGCACGTGCGCAACCTTGGTACAACCTTCGGCGCACATTTCCCATAACCGTGCAATGCCCGAAACGGACTGGAGACTTATGCTGTAGGTTTCTAGGTAAGAATTGACAGAATTCGAGATGATTGACGGTGGCTTTGATTTGATGTGGCTCTCGAGACGATCAGTATGGTCTGTCAATGCTGCTTCGTTTCTCCCAGTGTTCGCGTCGCGTCCGTTTCGATAACTTCATGGAGACGTCAGAAGCGAAATCAAGCGGAGTCACTCCACCATTGTTCGATGGATCCTTCTGTGCAGAGAAACTATCGTATCGGATAATCCTAAGATTGAGATGGCGGCGGCAGGGCAGGAGAAACACATCCACCGTTCGGCGAATATCTTGGTGGACAATGCCGGCAGTAGACTGTAAGACGAGCTGGTGTACACGACGGATGCATGAGCTCGCCAGCACTTACACACGTAACTCTTGTCGATTATACCCTCTGAGGTATAGTACTACAGGCGCGCGTTCCTGAAACCACAGCTGCCGACGAAATAGAGTTTGAGGGCACGCCTTAAGCGACCTCAAGCCTGAGTTCAACAGTGCGGGCGTGCACTTGCCCTTACCCCCCATCTCCACCTCCCCACAATCTCGCAATCACCAGCTTGCAGACTTATGAAGTTGGAGAATCAGCCTCAGAGGATGAGGATGGAAATTGGTTTCGCTAGGGTTAGGTAATAATTGAAGCCGAACGCGTCTAGCAAGCTCGCCAATTGAAGACGAGACCTTTCAAGACAATACATAACGGTTAACCTGCATGGCCACAGCGTTATGGTTAGCGAAAGAGTCCCTGTCGTGTCATGAGTAGACGAGTCGACGAAATGTATCTTGTGCAGGTTGGTAAGTGTACGAGATATGGGATGTTCCGAGAGTATAGAGTAGGCTGGATGATATCAACTGCATCTGCGCCTGCGTCTGTCGCGAGTATGCGTTCTGAATCCCCGGCTAATTGACCTCATAATAAAGACAAAACAGTTAACGGCAGGCAACGGCGACGAGAAATCTGCGACGAATGGTCGTCATCGCCACCTGTACTGCCACCAATTCCTACCTTAGCACCGATGGGCAGCATTTACACAATGGACTGGCGGGCGACGACTTGCTACCGTATTCACGCAGCATACGAGCCATACAATAACGTACGTTTTATGACTCGGATCGGAACGATCCCTACCAAGAAGAACTATCAAGCGAGGGCGTGACAGTGACAGAATGACAGGCCATTGGAAGATCCACTTAGCACCCTCCAATTGCACGTGAATACCCACCGCATTCCTGGCCACCATGCTCGCTCTGGCATGAATCCAAACTCCTTTGAGCAATTCCAGCGGTGGGAATGATTACCACTGGCTGGTCAGCCCTTTGGCTTTCTGTGGGGGTGTCGCTCCGGATATAGCTACTCTCTTCCATTCTCCCCCAGCCTCTCTCCTAGCAGCATTTGCTCAGTCTAATGCATCGCAATGCACTTTAGCCTGATTCACAGTGCCTCGAGACTCGCTGTGACGCTTGAGAGACAAGCTGCGCTGCAGAATGTGCCATTGACCATGGCTTGCATCTCGGTACCAGAACAAGGTGCTCTAGCATCTGCGTCCTCTGGATAGACCACGGATGATGGATGATATCATGGCCATCAGAGCCTTCGACCACCTCCATGGTTGATGACGGAAACCGGCTTGAACTATCCTCAATGCGTCACGATCATCACCAGATTTTCGGAAGGTCTTCCCATCCCATGTGTCCGTTGCATCCACGTCGAATCATTGAAGCGATGTGGAGCGACTCGCCTTCTCCGTCCAGGCCTTGCGACACACGCTGAAGATTGCCCTACGAGCACCCTGGATTCTTGGAGAACTGAGGACAGATCAACGAGGGGTCCAGTCGATCAGCATGGGCTTCTTGATGCACGTTAAATATGCTCCGCAAAATAAGGTTCTTGCTTCTTTCCATGTCTGGTCAGATTTGCCGGCTCGCTCGCTGCGGCCTCAATGTGACGGGTGCAGGGCCGATAGCAATTGCATGGTAGGAGGGAACTCGGCGGAAAAAGGGCTGGCCGCTAGTACCTGGCAGATGGGATGCTCTAGTACCAAACTCTATTGCATCTTGATGCCCTTGAAACAAAGTACGCTACGACTCTGCGAGCTGGGGCTGGACTCAATCTTTCATGTCTTGGGCCTGGCGGCCGTTTAGCTTCCCCATATCCCATCCCATCACCCAAGTTTCTATTTAGATACTGGGAGAACCCTTGGACCGAACTGATCTTCAGTATCGGCCCTTTCACGCTATATTTGCTTCTTGTCTCCACCTGTTTGCCTCTCACCATAGTCGTCGTCCATTATGTCTGCCCTTCCAGGGACTGCGGAAGAGCAGAGGAATCAAGACGCCTGCACAGGCGTTTCGACCGCCTTCACCGTAGTATCTGGTCAGTGATTGATTCTGTCTGTGGACATTGTGAAGCTAACGAGTTGATAGTCACGATCGTGGCATTGCGAGTATATACGCGTGCTGGGATCATCGGCACGTTCGGAAAGGATGACTTTATGATGCTGGGCGCACTGGTAGCATTGCCCGTTCGACGGTTTGATATACTTGCTAACGAGTTGCAGCTATTCACACTCGCATATCTTGTCGATATCTTCGTCCTTCGACAGAATGGAATGGGCTTCAGTGGAAAGAGATTGAATCTCGACCAAATGACGGGCCTGATCAAGACCACCCTATCACTTCAGATCTTCTACTATCTTGTAGTCTATTTCATCAAGATTTCCATTTTGTGCTGTTACTTGCGTATAGGTAAGTCTAGGAGCTGAACTTTCTGATAATGATCGTACTGATTCGTGTTGTAGCCGTCGACAAAAGACTTGAGAAATCGTGCAAGTACACCATATACTTGTTGACCGTCTTTGTGGTTATCTGCATAATCGTATGCGTAACGCAATGTCTTCCTCTCCACAAGATGTGGGATCTCACCGGCCAAGTTCCAGGAACTTGCATCAACACCACGGCTTTCTTCTATTGTACTTGCCCATATCTATCGCAATATCGTTTCAATCACTGACCAGCCGATAGCCACAAGCACCTTCAACATTCTGACCGATATCTGGATCATCTACCTCCCCATCAACACACTCCTCAAAATTCAACGACCACGCCGCGAAAAGCTCGCTTTGATCTTCGTCTTCAGTCTGGGGGTGTTCTCCTGCATCGCCTCCATCGTCCGCCTCCACTCCATCCGCATCTACACCGAGTCACCCGACCCATTCTACGACTCCGTCCCCGTGAACATCTGGTCCATGATCGAGATCAACATCGGCATCTGGTGCGCCTCCATCCCCGCCCTCAAGGCCCTGTTTATCCGGAGTCAGAGGGAGAAAAGCAGGGCAGCGACCGGGTACCACTACCACAGCCGCGACAAGTCGAATAGCAAAGGGGCGACAGCCAAAATCGGCGCCGGCGCAAGCGATAGCGATCGCTCACAAGGCACCGTCATTGGCCATGGCGACCGAGACTCCGTCCTCCTCGACATGAAGCCCATCGCCTCCGTCGCAATTGGACCACGGCCAGCGAACTTAGAAACGCAGGCCGAGAGAGACCGCGAGAGGACGGGCAGCGAGGACCGAATCTACTTCCCAGGCGCGGATAATAGGGTATAACAGCCCTCGTACTATTGCGATTGGCGCAGCGTGCTGGGGGAAGACGTACTGCACATCTGTCTGTCTACATATGCGTTATGTATGTACCCCGCGATATGTCGGAAAATTTAGGCGTACCGGTTTCTGGGTATGCGGTGGTGTTATTGTGGGTACTTTTTCACGAGAGGGTTCGTTTTTCTGCAGGGCAAGACGTCGGGAGGTTCTGATTTTTCCCTCTTGGTCGTTCGGATGGCGGGTGATCCGATGTGGGAAATCTGCGAGGGGGTCTACCACTGGCAGAAGAAAAGGGTTGAGGTTACGATGAGATGCTTGGATGGGTCCTCATGCAGGTTGTCTTTGATGCTCTGTCACGCTAGATGACCCCCTGTCTCTGACGGTCTTTCTGTTTTATTGCTTTTATGCTTATGATATCCCCAATGCTCTAGCTATACCAATTAGGCGGTTTTCTGATTTTTAATGAAAGCGCAATTAATACCAATCTCATCTGATATTTTTCTGCAAGCTGCACAGTGACTACTTAGGCTGCGGGAACTTGGTAAGTACCACGGCCTCACTCACATCGATAATATCATGGTACAAGCCGGTCGTCCAACGACAGTAGTTCTCACCCAGCAAACTCAAAAGCTGAATGGAACACGCCGAAATACATGGTATCCCCCTGTGGCGCACCTTTTACCAGCAGTACAGTTCAGCAACCAAGGGGTGAACAAGAATCCAAAAGCCAAGACGGTTCAATTCACCCATAACCCTTCACGCCATCCGCCTCAGATCCCCAATACATCCAATGATGGCGTCCGCCACAACAATTCATCAACCGGCAGAAAATAATCTGCTGCAAACTTTGCTGCAAACAAACTTTCTTGAATACCCTTAAGCTTTCGACATTCGGATCGGCGTCGTGGGTTTACTTGGATACAGTGTAAGCAGTGTCATCATTGTGATATCCTGTATACACTGTTCCCAAGCTTCTCTCGGCTTTGACAGCTCGAGATTGGCTAGTACTCGGAAAGGTCGACGGGCATGCGTCCTCAATGGGACCTTCCAGCACCATGCGTGACGACCAAAAAGGTCACAGTCCGGGGGCAGGGCAGAATGCGGGGTGCAGATGCAGTAGGCTTTTGCTTGAATTGCTTTTCTGGCTCTTGTGCAGAGCTTGCGTTCGCACGCATTGAGGAAATGATCATCATAATTCAGCTGTTAATGCTCTCCCTCTTGTATGGCTCCAATAATGGGGAGTTTATATCCCAAGAATATGTGCATATTTTCAAATGAAGAGACTCAACAATATCTGATCCAGCCGAATGTTGTTTGGCAGTGAATAATGTCATTCTTGTTCAAACCGCCCTGGACAAGTGCGATTTGTTTCCTGAAACGTTATACACTACACTTTTCATAACGATAGTATCCCCAACCGGGATATTTCCCCCTTCGGCGCGGACCGAGAACTAATGCTGGCCCCCGTCGCTTGCCCCTACACAGGTTCGCACGTTCCCGACTCCCCGTCCGAGGATATATGTATTGGCTTTTGTTACCTACCTATCCTGTATGCTCTCTCACTGGCTTCTGTGCCTGGGGGTCGACTATGTAAGAATTGAAATCCGAGGCATTGAAGAACGTGCGTGTGGCTTAAGCACTTCAATCAGCCTTGATATTCGCGTATTCATAGCGATATGCGCACAAGTTCGTATGTCAAGTTCGAGAATAGAAATGCTGAATGAATGGGAGTTCTACACACAGCAATGCAAGTAACGTATGATACTGAACATAAGGTAAACTGTCGGTGAACAGATTCCCTTGGTCCGCGTGCGGAGTCTTTCTCGTTTCGTTCTTTTCCTCTTTTCTCTTTTCTTCGATGTATGTCCGCGTGGATTGGGGCGTTAGAACCTGCGTCTCGGAGACGAAGAAAAATCTTGTTTGCGGATGACATGTATGCGCGAATGTTTGGAGATATGGGAGGGGGAGGGAGTGAGCGAGCAGGTCGAGTTTACATGTGAGGTTCGGACGGCAGATTCTGTCAATAGCGGGGAAAACATATTGGTCAGGGATTAGATTTTATAAGTGGCTTGGGGGGAAAAGAAAGGGCGAGTTGACATTGGTTCGTTCGATCGTTGATTGTGTCTCGTGCATGGGGGCGGGGCAACCAGGAGATATCGACATGGTTGTTCGGTTTGCTCCCGTTTCATGTAGGGCGGGAGAGGTGTGATGAGGTTTTACTTGCAGGCGAGGTGGACTGGGAGAGAGTGATTGACGGCCCTGCTCATGCAATGCTGCGAGTGCGAACCAGATACCGGTCATTTTGGAGATGCGGAGACTAGCGGTGTGATGGTTCTTGTGATTGGGGCCGTTGAACCAGAGTTCGCCGTTGCCGATCTGATGTATGTCGTCAACGGCAGAGTGGTCATTGTTATGGTTCTATTAACTTGATTTTGAAGCCATGACAACACATTACGTTTAGTGATATTGCATTGCATCTAGTGCCTCGCCAGGACGGACGATGGGCACATCAGTTTGATCTGGTCAGACAAGCAGCATGATCATACTCAGATCCATGGGTCTGCAGAGCACATGGTCGAGTCGTTATCCAAGAGGAGACACGGCTCGAAAGAAAGCCGAACAACTAGCATTTACAGGCTATGGAATCGACTTCTATGGCCACATGCTATGCTATGTATGTGCTCGCTCAGTTAGGGCGACGAATGGTTCATAGATTGAATTATTCGTTGCCAGAAGTGTTTTAACTTCTCCGAGGTGTGGTTTGAGTGCAGACGATTAGCAATGATGACCGAGGTTGTCAGGAGCTGAGATAAATCAATTGCAAGTATTTCATAGACGACAGATGATAAGGAAGTTCAACCTCTATGGTAAAGATCCATTGATTGGTGAGCCACGGCGGGGATTGAACAGGAGTGAATCGCCTTGTCGATATGGAAAGTATTTCATTAGAGATAACGTAGTATGTGGGAGAAAGAGGTCGCATGTTGATCAAGTTAGTGTTGTCGAATGGACGAAGCCTCATCACTTTCAAATTAACCCTGACGTCCAATAACAAACATCTTTGGAGTTCTGTCTTTTGATTCTATAAATCCAATGTTAAATTAGTAGCTTCCACATTTAGTGCATCCAGCTAGCTTTCACTTGGTTGTAATCCTTTGTCAATTGATTGAAATAATTAATGTAATTGGACTTTTAAGGAGACTCCTATAACTAAAACGCTCCCATCACGTTCTGAAACGTTGACTTCCGCGTTTCAAAGCCGCACCTTCACTCTAAACGAAACGTTTATTTATGGTCTGTATCGGTGGTGATTGCGTTCCATTCCTTCAACAACGCTTCGGTTCTCTCGAGCTTGCCTTTGATGTAGGGTGGTGAATCGGATCCTAGAGCCACACGTTCTGGAATGTCCTTCCCTTCGGCTTTTCCAGAATGGGTCAAGATGTCCACTATCACTTTCGAACCTTTGATAACATCGCCAGGCTGGTTGTTATCGGTGGCGTCCAAACCGGCCCTGACCTGACCAACCAGAGTATCGTCGTACGCCTTGATGCGCTGCTCAGAGTTGACTCTCGCTCCCGCATTGAGAAATCCAGTCCTGAAGTATCCAGGCTCAATGACGGTGACTTTGATACCAAAAGGTTCGAGCTCTGCTCGCATAGATTCGCTGATACCGCTAATGGCCCACTTGGTGCCGCAGTACAGGCCATAGCCAGGACCACCAGACCAAGAGGCAATTGATCCGAAGTTCGAAATCGTCTTTTCGCCTTCCGTGGCGCGGATATATGGTAGGAAGGCTTTGCTGACATTCAATGCTCCAAACACATTGGTGTTGAAAGTGTCGTAGTCTTCTTGTGGTCTACGGCTCGTTAGTGACCAATTCTAATCCTTTTCATCAGTTTATTACTTACGAAGTTTCCTCTACTGCACCAGCGAGGATGTAACCAGCAGCGTTGACAAGATGTGTAATGTGGCCATATTTGTCATTGGCCTCTTTCGCGACTTTCTTGATTTCCGGCAGAGGTGATGTGACGTCGAGGACCACAGTATCCGCCCCCTTTTCAGCAAGGTCTTGGATCCTCGACGTGCTTCGTGCACTGGCGATGACCTTGTGGCCGCGGGAGAGAGCCTCTAGAGCAATGTACTTTCCGAAGCCCGAACTGGCAGCAGTGATGAACCAGACTGGAGTTTGCGAAGTCATTTTGATTGAAAGGTGAAATGGATAGGTGTATAGAACAAAGGATTATTGGATGTTGTTTAGATACTCTTGTTGATTGTTGATGGAAGTGTTTGGTATGAGTTTGGAATGAGACTACGGATACAAGTGCTGACGCTGTACATTTATACTTCGATATACGGCATTCTTTGTCCCCCGCCCCTTCAACATCCTAAGGGTCCTCCGTGACGTTAGGTCCGCCGAGAAAAGTTCTGTCGAAAGATATCGGACCCATGGTGGCACAGATTACGGATCTTGCTTCCCACTCGATCAATCAATCAATTCACCTTGTAAGGCTGACTTTCGTCGTACAAAGTTGGGGGTGTAAGGAGTGGTGATAAGCTTAACACCGTGCGCTAGTCCCAATTTGGCCAATTATGGCCGATTTTAAATGCGACGTCCACAATCCGACGGCCTTCGGAACACCAGATAGAAGTCGGATGTGTAAAATCGGCTTCGATTAGTATTTTCTTGATGGCCAGAGAGTTTGTAGAGACTGGTAAGGGAAAATCACTTGCAGAGACATATTACCTCGACGACGGAGTTAATTGCAGTGGAGGGTAAAGCTACGTCATCTACCTAAAATAGCATTTCCTACAGCGAGACCTATTCACTATACAGTTCGTTCATCGGTAGCAAATATCCATATTCATTGTCCTCAACAATGTACTTGGAAGAGTTCTCAAGCTACGCCTTCATTCTGTGTCTTCATCCTGCATCTTCGTGAGTAAGGCATCGACTCGCCTACCCTGGCCGCGCCACCATGCAGCACACGTTGTGTAGCCTCGTCCAGGCACCTTCGATGTTATTCAAACCTGTACTCCGTACAATATGTCTCCTAAACACTTTCATTCACTCGCAATAATCTCAAGAGATGGGTGTCGATCCATTTGACAATTGGTACGAACAGCACCTACGTTCCGGTAGAGATGTGAACTTCAAACCAGACGACTTCAATTTTGGACTTCTCAGGTGTGATGTGGGATCTGCAGATAACATCAGGAAGGAGGATGTCACAGCCGAAGAACTGCTTCAGTGGACGGCAACTCGTGTAAGTTGTAGAGTGGATTTCGAAGCCGCAACTCTGAATCGCAATTGACGGCGTAGTCTCCACGTCAAACGCCAGGCATAGACCTAATGTGAGCTTGAAGATATACGTAAATACAAACATTTTCAGCTCACCAAACTAGAATCTGCCAATATAAATTCTGCGGCCTCAGGGATTATTCCTACACATCGCTACCCCTGCGAACATCAGAGATGATAGACATCTTTGGAAAGTTGCACCTTCCCAAGCAATACCTTCATCTTCGTGGGATAGGCGGCGCGCATTCCGGCGCATTCACATCCTTCATCGATCGGGACTCTGACGGAAAGGTTTCACAGATTCGTGCGTAATACTCATCGTCCAGCTAAGCCACAACATCTGAAGATCTAGGTAGAGTTTGTGATTCGAGTCGGCCATGGCTCATCAACGGCGTACTCTTCGATGTGGTCATTTGCTCTCAAATGGGATGCACAAACTGGCCGAACTGACGGCTTTCTCGAAGGCTTTTCTCCAGCATCGCTCACTGAATTCACGGAACACATCAAGTCTTCTTCAACATATCTAGGCCACGGCCTTACTCTTCCAGAGATACTCGTGCATATGATCACAACACAGCTAAATGACCGTATGAGAATACCGTGCGAGGAGCTGTTCTACGATGAGGAGCGCCGAACTGACCTCTCTAACTTGTCATATCTTGGGTCTAAACGTCCAGCTGCGCTCCAGACGTGGAGCTTGGATGAAATTCAGGGAATAACTACACGAGCAAACAGATATATAACGACAATGGTATACCTTAAAAGAAGATTTCGGTCCACGGCACAGATCACGCACAGGCTGTTGTCAATTTTGGAGGAAGTCAGCCGCATTGATCGCACAGATTCCGACGCTTGGACGCAGGATCAATTAGAGGACGACCGCAGGAAACAGAGACTACAAAATCGCGTTGGGGTTCTTGAAGGGTACGAATACCAAACGGAGTGTATGCTAAAACGCATTGAAAATCTGAACAATGTGGTGAGTAGATGAATGTTAGGACCATTGCAGGTGTGATGCTGATGCCCGGCCAGCTGTATACTGTACTCGCCCAAATCGATAGCAGAAATCAGGGCCGCCTGGCGAAAATCAATCTTCAAATCGCCCAAGCCGTTCGGAATGACAGCTTGCCAATGAGAACCATCGCGTACATCACCCTGGTACTTCTGCCTGGTGCGTTTGTGGCCGCCATCTTTGGCATGAACTTCTTCCAGTTCGATGAAACGACTCGCGAGCTTACTGTGGCCCGCACCTTCTGGCACTATTGGGCAATCACGATTCCAGTCACAATCCTCGTGCTCCTGGTGTGGAATGTGTGGAATTACAGGGAGAATAGGAAGGGGATGGACGTGCATAAAAGCATGCAGTATCTGAGTAAGAAACCCCAGGTTGATGACATGGAGACTCTAGACGTGGATCCTTCTGCCTATTATCAACGATAGGAGATGACAGCTATGATGCGCATATGTCACGCCTGGCGAATGGGATTGGATAGCATTATAGCTTTATGTTTGCGGGATGTAGCGCGACAAGTCTGCAGGTAGAGATTCTCTTATATACAAACGAGATAAGCTGCAAATGTTCAGTTCCACTGCTCTTGTTCTACCCGCATGCTTGAACGTATAAGAGACATATAAGGTTACCCTTAGAGCATTATCCTTAAATCATCAATGGCCACGGAAAGGGATAATGTGAATACACGGGGCGATGCGGGTACCCCAATCCTGTCGCAGAATTGTTCTCGAAGGCCTTCAAGCACTCGCATAAAGTGAGTGTTCTGATGGGCTGTGCAGACGAATTGGTCACAATCCCATCATCACACACGAATTGCAAGGGTCAACACAGTCAGATCAACAGAGTAATTTCCTACCACGATCCTCCCGCGTTTCCCGTGCCCAATGACAAAGCTTAAAATCTCAACATAGCGTATATAGAGATTCTATTATATCTACAACCAAACGCGAAACATCGACAGGTGATGCCATATTTTCACGACCACGTGAGGAACGCGGTATGCATTGATCTCCATCACCTTCTTTTTGGAGTGGCTGCTGACGCTTTGGATCCCATTTCCCGGTTCAGCTCCCTGTCGACCGCACGAACGACCACGCGCCTTGACATCTAATTTCGTGAAAATCCTTGCATTAGGTTGAGCTTGTAGGGACGACATGGTGGCCATCGTCGCCTCTCAAAGGCGTGCCGTCATGTGTTCATGTCTGTTTCTTGGGGTTGTTGGTGGCATGAACATTGGCATAATCTGAAGAAACATGACTAGCAGTAATCATATCAGTGGTTGATATTGAAGTTATCCACAATGTCTAGTATAAGTATCCTACGAAGCGTCGATCATGTAGCCTTCTTCTTTACCAATACCTACCAGTCCTTCCTTTGATTTCTATCGTCATTGTCATTCTCTTGTATACAACATGAAGTCAACCTCACTCGCAGCGCTTTCGCTGCTGTCTACATTGAGCTATGCCTCACCTCTCCAATCAGTCAAGCGTGAGCTTCTTGAAGAGCGACAAGCTCCAGGCCCCGGGAACTATTTTGCCATCACTGGCGCCACGGGCGGTGTCCATCCCCGTCTCGAATTGAGGGATCTCGAAGCCACTGGGGACATGTGGAATCTCTTTCTTCTGGCCATGACCGATTTCCAGGCTATGGATCAGGATGTGATTAACTCTTGGTTCCAAATCGCTGGTATGTGGGACATCGAGCGTTTGCTATATATGACGTGAGATACTGACGGGTTAACAGGTATTCACGGGATGCCATGGTACATTTTCTCCTCCCGATTTGTCATTGATCATCACTAACACATCACAAGGACTTCTTGGGACGGTGTAGAAGGCAACTTCACTGGCCGACAGGATCATCAAATGGGCTACTGTCCGCATACCAATCAACTATTCGGGACCTGGCATCGTCCTTACCTGGCTCTCTTTGAGGTACACTCTAACAACGACTGATAGATACAATCTGTGGCTGACTTGACATTGACAGCAACAACTCCAAACCGTAGCCAACGGTATAGCAGCCCAATTTCCTGCATCGTCCCGGTCAAGGTACCAAGACGCAGCAACTAAACTTCGCATACCATACTGGGACTGGGCAAAGAATATCCCCAGTTCTGAACCCGTCATTCCAGTCTCCATGACAGAAGAGAAGGTATCAGTTACGTTCCCCAATGGCACGGCTGCTCGGATCGACAACCCCCTTTACGACTACAACTTCCATCCCCTCGACAACCGCCAGATCAACGGAACTGTGAGACTTTCCCCATCATCCGTTGCGTTCCTCCTACTAACAAGCATCAGGGCTGCATAACGAGAGGAAATCAAGGAGGAGTAGGAGGCGGGATTCCTGAAGTCTGCGATACCATGAACCACACAGTCCGCAGAGACTACCCAGTCTCCGACCACGACTCCCTCAACGCACGCTTCCGCGCCATCCTGCCATCCCAACGCGACAGCCTCTTCCGAATCCTCAGCCAGTGGGGAACCTTCGACCGAGTCAGCAGCGGCGGCGGCACCCATTGCCCCTCGAGCGCCGGCGGCGGAGGCGACCTCGAAACGCTGCACAACCCAATCCACGTCGCCAACTTCCCAGGCCACATGTCGCCCCCCTCCGTCGCGGCCTTCGACCCCATGTTCTGGCTCCACCACGCGACCGTCGACCGCCAGATGGCGCTGTTCCAGGCGATATACCCAGACTCGTACGTCGAGCCTTGCGAGAGCCGCACGCCGACATACACGATCGAGCAAGGCGAACTTCTCACCGCTGACACACGTATGTTTCGTCCCCATCTTTGATACAATGTGACACTGACACGCAAACCCCAGCACTCACGCCCTTCCACCGCAACGCAGACGGCGACTTCTGGACCTCAGCCCTCGTCCGCGACACCGCCGTCCTAGGCTACACGTACCCCGAACTCATCGGCAGCCCCTCGAACGAAACGCTCATTGCGAACGTGACGAGCCAATACGGCGCCGCTACCTCCACCGCCGCTGTGACTTCCAACAAACGCCAGGCCACCGGCAACGAAACGACGACGACGACGCTGTACTTGGCAGACGTGTCGTTCCCCGTGTACGGACTCAGTGCCGAGGGCGGCAGCTCGCCGTACAATGTGCTCGTTTTCCTCGGCGATGTGGACGCTGAGCCTGCGGAGTGGTTGTTTTCGAAGTCGTTTGTGGGGTTGGTGTCGACGCTTGGTGGTGGGGAGCATGCGAAGGATGTGCAAGGTACCGCGCAGATTGGGCTTAAGGGGGCGCTTGACAAGGCCATTGCGGCGGGCGAGACGACGGAGGAGAATGCGGAGGAGTATTTGAAGAAGAATGTTCATTGGAGGGTTGGGTTGGGTGATTTTGAGATCGGGAGGGATGAGGTGCCGGGGATGGAGGTTAAGTTGGTGGGCACGCAGGTTGAGGTTGCGGAGAAGAAGGGGGAGTTTGATCGCTGGGTCGGAGGGTTTACGGAGTATGGTCTTGTTGATGTTTAGATCAGACTTCAGGGAGTTACCGTTCCATGTACATATTGGAGACTTGGACGTTGGGTAGATAGATTAGTAGATGGAATCCCGCGAGGGCTTGTTTGTAATGCTACATTGCACTTCTATGTACCTGTATATAACTGCACCGTGTGTTGATTTCTTTGTATGAATGACCATGCTAATGCCGAATAACGCCTGGAAATGCTTAATATCAAACGGAGTACTCAAGAATCTTCCGGCGGTAACTCTTTCTCAGTGTAGTTGGTTTTACACTTGATCTGTACGATTTTTTGCTTGCCAGCTGCATCGATGACCATTGCTGTGAGCTTGCCACCCCGGACACAGTTGGAGTCCAGCCCAAAGGTGTATTTGTTGATGTTCAGCCCCCTTTTCGCGTCATGGCCATACGCGACGGTCAGTCTCTCTTTCTTGGGGAGCTTCTTCTGCTGGTGATTCCAGAACTTCTCCCAGTGGGTATGATCGCGGGACTCGGAGGGTATGCGTGTCTTCAGATCGATAGTTCGCATATTCATACACTGAAATGGATCCTGCTGTTCGAGTGGCATATCTGGAACCAATCCGGCGTGAACTACCACGAGATCACCAATGTCTGGTATGTGACCAACTCGCAAGATAACGGGGCATTCTTTCAGCCATCCTATCTGCTTCTTCGAGAAGGATTTTGCGAACTTCCGCAGTTTATAGTCTCCATGTGAGAAGGATTGCTCTTCAAGGAAGTCGGTCTCACGATCGGGATCTTCATCTGGACCTTGCAGGCCAGCGTGACGATGACTACTCTCCTGGAGAGACAGGAGGACCTTGTCTTCGTGATTGCCGCGCACACAGGAAGCACCTAGTTTCTCCGCCAGCGAAACGACACCCTTCGAGTCTGGTCCTGCAGTTTGTCAACACCTATGCCATTTGACCTCAGTCAAGTCTGCTTACCTTTCGCGATGATGTCTCCAGTCAGAATGAGGTGGTCGTTCTTCTCATCGAACCCGACCTCCTGCAAGAGCTGCTCCAACTCTTCCTTACAACCGTGTACATCCCCAACAATCACAAGCCTCTTGTCCCCCTTCGGAAGATGTTTCTCGTCCAACGTTTTCATATGTATCATATCCTTGAACACGGGCCTCAGACTCGTTCCGTATGCCGCTTCGGGCACTGTGTCCATCTCCATAATCAACTGCTTGCGCTCAGCGTATTGCGGACCGTAATGTATCTTCCAGGTAATCCAGGCCACGAGCAATAGCACTAGGCAGATGGCGGAGAAGCGCTGCACTCTCCGCGGTATCTTTTGTGAGGTTTGCTGTGCGAGCGCCCGCCACTTCGGGTGGATTATGTAGTCGTCGTCGTCGTCGTGGCGGTAGAAGGAGTCTTCTTCGTCCGAGGCATAGACGTTGTTGTCGGGGATCAGGTCGATCAGGCGGAGGCTTTCTGGTCGGCCGTCGAAATTGTTGTGGTACATTTGAATATAGAGGCGTCAGGGAGCAAACGGGGGTGTGAAGTGTAATCGAATGCTATCGTCGCGAGCAGGTGGAAGTCGTGAGGTGTTTAGAGGCCTGAAATAAGGCATTCAATCAAGTGTTTGCGCGGCGTGCAGAACCGGCTTGCGTGGACAGGACACCTAGGGAAGAGGAATCGGCGTACACGAGGAGTTGTGAAGAGTTGGAAAGGTCGCGACAGTGATCATGGAGGCGCATCATAACCATAAGCCAAGAACTAGGAACCGTTGCTGGTTCCGGGTCAATGGTCCCATCCCAATCTTGGTCTTGTTGGTCGCGGCTTTGTCGGAAGTCGGAAGTGATTACCTGGGGTTCAGATTCAGAGCGATCCTGATTCAGGCTTGGCGGCTTCTCTGGGGGTTTGGACTATTGAAGGGGACGCGTCATGGACGTACCCAATTATGGACAGTGTATTAGATTTTGTTCGTATCTCCTAAGTGCATATACGGACATATTTACAATAATACCAAGTTAGTCTCTCATATAAAAATTGAAAGGTTGAACCATGTATAAGGTTGCATGGCCCTTCATGCCCAAATACAGTTAGCGCCATAAGGCAAGGCCTCCATCTCAAGAACCTCCAGATAGACAACACATAGTAGTCAGGTAGTCTATGAAACGTATCTCGCAATATTGTGTTTACAGTATCCCCAAACATGCGTCAAGTATCGAGTATCCAGAGATTACTTCGTAGATCCAATGCAAATGACCAAAGTACCACTCGTGGCTGGTTCGTGGTAGTATTTGGAGAGCCAGGCGTAGGCAAAACGTGCTTCACTGACATGGTAATGTGCTCCTCTATTTATATAAAACCGTATACAATTATGTGTATGTATGTATTAGTTTCACTACTAACACAGACAACCCAGTTTCTAAAGGGCGAGCACTTCCAACTCTACGTGCCTAGCGCTCAACCCGAAAGCAAGTTCATCCAGGTCGGCAATGTCAGACAATGCATATTCCCCATCGACCTGAGCACCAGCGTGTACAGAGATCCCCAGCACGGCGTACACTCCAATATCTTCTTCGAGAGCTTCATTAAGAAGGCGGGTGGGTTTGTCTTGCTGTATGACATCACCGACAAGGCTACATTTGACTACATTACCACCAAAGGCTATTCTCGTATCGTTTTGTCCCGTGATACTGAGGATGAGTATGGTGTGCCGTATGGGTCTGGGACGCAGCGGTTCGGATGTGTGCTTGTGGGGACGAAGCTTGATCTTGCTGCCAACAAGCGGCAGGTTGATCGAGCGCTCGCGGAGCAGTGGGCAGAAACTCAAGGAATCGCTTTTTATGAGGTGGACAAGTATCAGAGAGATGCGATTGATGCTATCATGGTGGACGTGGCGCTTTCTTCGGGCGAGGCCGAGAAACGAGATGCAGAAGATGCGGCAGAAGCAACAGAAGCAACAGGCGCCGTGAAGCCATCAAAATCGAGAGGCATCTCGAAAGTGGTTCATATGTTTCGAAAAAAAGGCCAAAATACATAAAAGATCCAGACCATCTATATGCTTGGTTGAGATGACATGGGTTCCATCCCATATGCTTGATTCAACTACGCCCCGCCGCCCCCGCAGGTCCAGCAGCATCAGTGTCTTCCACTGGGTGCACAGTCACCTCGGCATCTCCATTTCCTCCCTTGACAGGCTCGGGACGGGTCACCAAATCTTCCTCGTCCTCTCGCTGCCTCTCGATGCTTTGGTCCAGAGTTTCAAAGTGCGCGTTACGGTTTCTCTTCCTGTCAATGCGACGTCGCCAGGGCTTGTACAGCAAAACGCTCAATCCGCCGAACACGACAAAGCAACCACATATGGCTCCACCTACGTATCGTCAGTTAAGAACAGTTCTTTGAAGTTCGGCCACATCGTTAAGCAAAAAGTCATCATGGTAGTACTCACCGACAATGTCCCACTTCTCACCCAACCTCTCGACACCGTCCCAAAACGGCCCCTTTGGCTCCGCGACATTGAGCGCAAGATTGAGAAACTGCACAACACCGATGACCGTAGCAACAACTACCGTAATGACCGTAAGAACGATGCTGTAGTAGCAAATCGCAATCGGATCCCTCGCAAGCTGCGTGCTCGTGTACAGGCTCATCATCAACGCGCCATCGGTCGTGTCTAACAAGCACATTCCCGCAGTGAACAACAAGGGAAACAGCAGAATGAGCCAGATCGAGGTCCCCTTTGCAGCTTGAATGGATGAGATACCGAGGATCGCGATCTCAGACGACGTATCAAATCCCAGACCGAAGAGGACGCCTAGGGGATACATTTTCCACGGTCGATCGATCAACTTGAACATCTTCTGGAGGACGTTGAAAAGAAATCCGCCGCCTTGGATCTTGAATTCTTGATGCTCGGTCCCGGGCTCGCTCGCGATCAGCTTACGCATCTGGACGATCAGTTTGTAAAGAATGTAGACGTTCATCAGGCCAAGGAGGAGAAGAAATGCTGCAGACACAGAAGTCCCAATGATGCCGCCGATACGAGAGAAATTGTCGAATCTGTCAGACACGGCTGCTGCAGTGCCAGCGACCACAAGAGAGGTGATGATGACGATAGTCGAGTGACCCAGGGAGAAGAACATGCCCACTGTTACGGGTCTTTGCCCAGCTGCAATCAGACGGCGGGTCATGAGGTCGATCGCCGAGATGTGGTCCGCATCAAGAGCATGTCGAAGACCGAGAGTCCATGAAAGAATCGCAGTAGATATTAAAGGAGTATGGAAATGCTTCATAGCGGTCAATTAAGGTTTTCATTGGAAACTGAACCTTGTGAATACGTACCAATACGACGCCAACAGCCGCCCATGTAACAATGTTAATAATAATGAGTGTTAAAATGATTGCAATAGCAGCGAGTGGCAACTTTGAAAGGTACGGAACTCTTGCATGATATCTTGACGCCTTGTTCGACACGTTCACGAGAAAAGACGGTTTGCCTCCATCCGCATCTACCGATCCGTGCGGAGATGAGGGGCGTGAACTTGTCATTTTCGCCTTTTCCTTCACGCAAGCTTCTATAAGAGCACAGCAACCGCACAGAGACTATGACAAGACGATCCTTGAATTGTGTAGATGAAGAAGAAAGATTTGAAGCTTCAGCTATAATTTGACTCTAGACTAGACCCTTAGTGGGGTTTCCCGCCGTTGGCCGATGGTTTTTTGACATGATGGTTCCTTCCTTATCTATTCGTGGTGGGGTAGGTAACTTCCCTTTTCATCCAGTAACGGAGCTATGACCAACCCATATATGTCACTAATTAGGGTACCCATAAACGATGTACGGAACTCTACCTAGTTCATGATATTCATAATATATAAGCTTCTACAACTACTAATACATTACATTTTGCTGAAACACAGTGATGCATTGGTCCCCCCAAAGCCAAAGCTGTTGGAGAGAGCAACTCTGACCTCTTTCTGTTGTGCGGTGTTGGCTACATAATTGCAATCGAAGTCCTCCTTGGGATCCCCAGGGTTCTGTAAATTCAATGTAGGTGGGAGAGTGTTCTATCCACGTTAGACTTCATGTCACGAAATCTCCTCGTTCTCCTAAAAGCACTTACATTATACAAGCCGAGTATCGTGAAAATGGCTTCCACACTGCCGGCAGCTCCGAGCAAATGTCCAATAGCACCTTTCGTGCTGCTGATGTTGATATCAGAGGCGTTTTCTCTACCCTCCTCTCCTAGAAGTAGATCCTTGATGGCTCTGTTTTCTGCTGCGTCCCCAAGAACGGTACTCGTCGCATGTGCATTTACATAGTCGACTTGGCTAGGCTTGATGCCTGCGTGTCGGAGTGCATGCTTCATTGCGAGACGCGGGCCCTGCCCGTCTTCTCGAGGCGCTGTCATGTGGTGGGCATCGCTGGACAAGCCGTAGCCAGCAAGTTGGGCGTAGATCTTCGCACCACGCCTTTTTGCATGCTCGAGTTCCTGTTTACTATTAATATCGTTGCATAGACACCAGATTGGGATAGGAATACTTCTAGCACAACAACACCAGCCCCTTCTCCGATGACAAAGCCAGCGCGGTCTCTGTCAAAGGGTCGACTCGATTCAGTGGGTCGGTCGTTCCAGTCTGTTGCAAGGCTTCTCGCTCTTGCAAACCCTGCAATGGCAAGTGGGTGAATGCAAGACTCTGCTCCACCAGCTATCATGACATCGGCGTCTCCAAACTGAATGAGCCGAGCTGCATCGCCAATGCTATGGGCACCCGTGGTGCACGCGGTTGTAGCTGCATGATTAGGTCCCTTTTGTTGAGTTCAGTGTCAAGACGACAGCCAAAGCCTCAATACATTTGCACATACCTGAAATCCAAAGCGCATAGAGACATGACCAGCGGCAAGATTGATGAGGAGACGAGGTACAAACAACGGCGACACCTTCTTGTAGCCCTATAAATGATAAGCCAGGATCCGATGAATTCGTTGAGGATTTGTATACTCCATGTTCATATGAAACAGTAGTGTCATAAACATCATCTAAACTCCCAATTCCAGACCCCATGTAGACGCCCTGGAACATGTCAATTGGAAGCCCACACACGTGATATCAATGACATACCGTAGCCTGTAGATCCTCATCTTTAGTAGGCAGCCAATCTGCATCTTTAAGCGCCTCCTCCGAAGCGACCATGGCATACTGAGCAAAGCGAGCCATCTTTCGTTCGTCCTTCGATTGCTTAGCATCGTCTTAATGGGTGATTGGTGTGAACTAACACCAGGACTTAATAACTCCTTTGGGTTCCATTCGCCTCTTTCTTTCGTACCCGAGGGCACGACTGCAGCGACTTGACTCGGCAGAGCCGCGAATTGCGGACTTCTATCTCGGATGGAGACAATGCCGCTATGTCCATCTAAAAGACGACTCCATGTTCGGCGGACACCTGGAAAGATTGTGAATTAGAAGCGACTCAAAGGTGCAAGCCAGCATCAATGCAGTACCTATTCCGAGAGGGGTCACCAGCCCGAGACCTGTTACTACCACTTTTCGCATGGCATCTTTTTATGACAGTAAAGTGATGGTTTGGGGGAATGCTTTCGAGATGGAAAGATGAAAGGTTGAATGGTTCAGTCTAGCTGCATTGGCTGTTGGTGAGTGGTCTGTGCTTCTGTTCATATGGTACTCTACGCGCTTTCATCATTTGTAGGTTTTCACGATCGTTCATTTCAACATATAATTTTTTATTCAATTTTCAGACTATCAGAAACTATTTTTGCGGTCATGAAGTCCTCAGAAGTTTGGATGGGATGGCCTACGAGTTACAAAGCATTAAAAGACAATGTCCGATGGGGACCGCCACGACCTTTCAAGCATTGCAATACTTTTCTTGTACCATAAACCTATATTCCTGCAGTCTCCTCAGGATCTCATACAGAATTATCTTCATATGCGGTTGCCACCCGGTTCGGACGTAGAACTTGGGCGCGACGAAGGCTCCAACGTCTGACAATCTTCGTAATCGCATGCCTCAGGACAACCGTCAGTATGATCGTATGGTGTCGTCTCACTGATGTGCGGCGTATCAGCCCTGGCTTCACGCTGAGAGTAAAGCTCCCTGGCTATGACAAATTTTGGCTTTTTCCGCAGCGATTTTGAGGTCATTTCCTGGCCAGCGTTTGGCGAAGGAGAGTTCTCTGTCCGTGGGTGACCAGAAAACGTTGGACTGCATGATGAAAGTCGATCTCTGGCGCCGCGGTCGTTTAATCCTCTGCGACGTAAATCGCGGAAGGTTTCCTTGCATGTGGGATCAGAGGTACAATTTTTCTTTTGAGACCATGACATGCCCGACACGTATTCCTCTGAGACCACTTCAATGGAGGATACCGGGTACTGTGAAAGACTCGTGTTCTCCAAGTAGTCAGAATCGTATAAAGTAAGTTTGGAACCCCTGGATCGCTCGATGCCCATTTCGCTTTCTAACTCGGGGCGGAAGCGTCGTCTCATGGGCTGGCCGGCGTGCTTTTCGACATAGGGGATGCGGCCCTTAGGTTCCCGGGCGTCCTCTGGTGATCTTGAAAAGATGCATTCAACTCCCTCCATGCCTTCAATATTGTTATTGAAGAGATAAGGTAGGATACTGAACAACTGAGCCGTAGAGTCAGTAGAGTCGAGGTTTTCGGACTCATGGGAGAGCGAAAGGAGGGCTTCTTATAGACATTGTCAGTGGACAGTAATACAACATAATGTTCGAAAATTCATAGCAGTTACCATACTCTATGGACTGCATGAAAGTGAAGTTTGGCGTAGTGTGTCGGTGACTCGTAATCATGTCATTATTTTGTGATCGTGATGTTTGTTTGAATTCCAAATCACTGCTAGGTATGGCAGATGTTGAAGAGTGATAGTCAATGTGCAATAACACATGACGAACACAAGGTTCTGTCGCATTTTCTAAAGTCTAGAGTTGGAGTCACAGGTTTGAGGAGCAAACACCTCGTACCACGGCGAGGACGACTAGAACTTGAAGATTGGCCTGGTTGAAAGCATAGGCAGAAGCTTATCGAAACTTCGACGGAATACCACGGCTTGTATGAATTCGCAATCTTTTTGTTTAGGTATATGCAAGATCGATCACTTCACCGTTACTCTAATGATGCAAATAGTCTTTGTTACTCAACAAACAGACAGTTTAGGGCCATCGGACAGCTGCATAGCCGAACGACTTGTAAACGAACCTGTTACATAGAACTTGTTCAAGTGGAAACGTCCGCGTCTAAATGCTCCTTGGGTCCGAGTCAACCTTTGTGTGCAGATATGTGTGGCTTAATTTGGCATCTCTACTATTGGCCCGGTTCGACCATATCGGCATGGCCGGACGAATCGGGGTAGCAGACGAATCCGCTTTGATTTGACGATAATTTCTCTAGTTGTGAGGGGTCTTCAAGACCTGAAAATCGACAAAAAGACAGACAATACAAGAAGACGAGATGAATAAAGATGTTGGAAGATGGATCGTAACCCCCCACTACTGAGTAAGAGAGAATAGGCAATTGGACCGAGCACGTCATTTCTCCGCCGGGGATTTCTTATCGATAGGACAGGAACGGCAGATGGAGGGGACAAACGTGAATCCGGCCTAGAATGTCATTAATTTAATTATTATCCATTCTTCTTCATCTTCATGACTCCAACTTAAGTTACCTGCTAAACTATTCGTTAATGAGCTAGTTAGCTGGGTGACTCCTCTCTCACAAGCATGTGCATATACATACATCGCCAATAATCACCACTCTTATTTACCCTCACTTCAACCCCTCTATACACAATTCACCCTCAGTCGCCATGTCCGCGCCCGAAACTCCCACTGGCGCTGCCAATGGCACGCACAAGTACAGTAAGCTTACCTCTTTTGATTGTATTCCTCGTTTTTGTTCTTTGATACTCGTCTGGTCCCTCCCGAGACCGACTTACGGAACAAACAATACTAATCATGAAATGTTTGCACAGAAAGAGTCACAACACAGCCCGAGAACCCCTTTCTCAGTTTGCTTCCCGACCAAACCATTGCAATCATTCCAGAATTCACGCTAGAGTCCGGCGTAGTCCTATACAATGTACCCGTCGCATACAAGACCTTTGGCACTCTATCCCCAGAGGGAGATAACGCAATGGTGATATGTCACGCTCTCACAGGAAGTGCTGACGTGGGAGACTGGTGGGGTCCGCTGCTTGGTGGCCCTGAGAAGGCTTGTGACATCTCCAAGTTTTTCGCAGTCTGCATGAACAGTCTAGGCAGTCCGTACGGCAGCGCGAGTCCTGTGACTGCCAAAGACGGCGACCCTGCCCTAGGCCTGTACGGACCCGAGTTCCCTCTCACAACCGTGCGCGACGACGTCAAGTAAGTTTTCGGATCCTGCACAGCAGCTCGCTACGCTGAGGAAATCACTGACTGGAGTAGCCTTTTCAAGCTGATCCTCGACGATCTCGGGGTCCGACAGATTGCGGCCGTGGTGGGAGGTTCCATGGGAGGTATGCTGGTTTTGGAGTTTGCGTACTTCGGAAAGGACTATGTGAAGACAATCGTTCCAATCGCAACATCTGCGCGCTACAGTGCTTGGGGAATCAGTTGGGGGGAGGCCCAGAGACAGAGCATCTACAGCGATCCCAAGTACGATGACGGCTACTATCCATTTACAGATCCCCCGTCCACGGGGCTTGGAGCGGCGCGTATGTCTGCACTCTTGACATACCGCAGCCGAGATTCGTTCGAGTCGCGCTTCGGTCGCAATACCCCAGATCTGTCTAAGAAACAGAACATTAGTGGTGCAACGAGACCTACAACGCCTAGTCACGAGCACTGGGCAATCCACAATGAGGGTCACAAGAATGCCCGATCGCCACGAACAGCTTCTCGAACAAACAGCTCTGTCGCATTACCGTCAAAAGCAGGAGCAGGCCAGACAGACCTCGAATTCTCCAGCTCGTCCGATCCTGTAACGCCCGTGGAAGGGCCAAAGACGAATGGGCAAGGTGCAGCACCGCTCAAGAAACGCGCCCCTACCTACTTCTCTGCGCAATCCTATCTGAGATATCAGGGAGAGAAGTTCATCAAGCGATTCGATGCCAACTGCTATATTGCCATCACTCGCAAGCTCGATACTCACGACGTCTCTCGCCATCGCTATCCCGAAGGAACTTCCCCGGAAACTCTGGACCCTGTATCCGCACTTCATCACGCCTTATCGTTGATCGAACAGCCCGCACTGGTTCTCGGCATCCAATCCGATGGACTATTCACTTTCGCAGAGCAGCAGGAGTTGGCGGCCTATATCCCGAATGCAGTGCTGAAGACGATTGACTCACCAGACGGACACGATGCGTTCCTACTAGAGTTCGAGCAGGTCAACGGGCACTTGGTAGGCTTCTTGAATGAGAACCTCCCTGAGATCATGAATAGGACGCCGAACAATGCCTCTCTGGAACAGTCCGATACCGGTTTGACAGCAACCAAGTCCAGCACATTCGGTGAGGCAGAGGTCGACGATATCACCGCGTGGTAGAGACAGAGGTAGAGTCAAAAGGCCGAGTCTTATTTCATTGTATCAGCGCAAGGCGTTTGGGAATGTTCATGCATGTAAGTGGCGTCCAGCTTTCGGCATATGCTTAAAAGAAAGCGTTCGTGTTAGAATTGTCCGGGAAGGGCAAACCATAAGGTTCAACTCCTTATGTTGATTAAGTTGTGAAGATGTGGCACCAAGGGCCCGTATGGTTGGTAGCCAATAAATAATATGTAAGATCTTTGGTTCAGTCGCTCGGTTTTGGTGATGTTTTGCTTTACCTCATTCGTTATTCGGTATCAAAATGGGTCATGTGCCCAACATTGGAAGCTCAACATTCTATCTCGAACCAGAGTTGGCGATCCCGAGGGATTGAACCTTGGGATTCAACACTTTCAATTGATTTAAAGGCAACAGTGGCTCCGCCAGTATGCAATTCCTCACAGACTTTCCACTCCATCAGTATCCCGAAACCATCAACGCAACACTTCAGAGTGTATCATCCATCTCCCAACATCCACTGAAGCTAGCCACAGTAGACGATTGACGTTCGACTCAGAATCCATCATCTCACCCTGACTGGCCTCAACACCTTCTGAAGTCGTTCAGTGCCATTAAGCAACTGTCTCAAGGCGGATACAGCACTCACAAGCAACACACTCTCAACGAAACAAATTATACACATATCCCTCAGTACACCAAAGCAAATCTTTCAAGATGACCAGTACACCACCCCCGCCGGCATACACTGCCTTCCCTCATCAAGGGGAAGAAGAAGGGGAGACACAACCACCACCCTACAACCCCATCACCCCAAGATCCCTCTCTCCTCAATCCTCCATCGACCAACTACGATCTCGCGCGGAGACTCTCACAGCCCGCATGCAGGATCTCACAGCTTGCATGAGATCTGAGCTTAATAACAGGAGCCGTCTCACCAGCGAGCGAGCTGAACAACCCAACAACAACGACAATAACGACGACCAAACAATAGACCTGGAGTCCGGTCTCCATCGTCCCTCTCAAGACTCCTCCACCCCAAATTGGCCCTTGCCCTCCCCACCGCGCCCCGTCTCCCCAGCACTCACCAACTTCACAACCACGGTCCGCCACGCAGGTCGTTTCCACACCCCAATCCCCTCAGCACAACTATCCCCCCTCCCAACTGACCCCCTACCACGCACCCAGCGGGACACTACCACCAACAGCCGCCGCAACCGCAACAGCAACGGGAACAGCAACGGCAGAACCTCAAAGCTCCAACACTGCGGCGTCAGCGCCATCCTCCTCTGCACCATCATCGCCCTTGCGCTCATCGCCCTTTGCATCTACGGCGTGGCGTCGGGAAACGACGACAACGACGGTGGCGACGCGTCGAAGAGTGATGGTGCTGGTACGCCTGAGGAGTCACCGTATGCGTGGAAGATTACGCTGATTTGATGGGAGATGGCGGCTTTGGCGGTGTTGGCGGTCTTTTATGTTTCTGCGTTTGTGATGTTTTTCAGGGGATGATTTGTAGGTGGGTGGTGTCTTGGGTGAAAGGGGGTTTTACGTTATGTTCTTCAACTCTGGACTAGATGGTTCAAGATATGTCAGGTTAAGGACGATTAAGTGTCGATGATATCCATCCATAGCCATGTCACAGTAACAATGAAAACAATCGGAAGCTTTATACCACATAGTCTCTTCAAGATATGTTGACTCTCGCGCGGAAATAGTTCAAGTAATGCACGACGAAGTCGACGTTGCCTTGTAATTCATGTTGATCTTATGTTTCTATTGATACAAATACTATCGACTACAGCTAAAACTAGGATCTTTTCCTTTCGAGCCTCCGTGGGTATCATGGTGAGTTTGTTTTGCTTTTTAAACACACAAGAAGAAAGGATAAGCGACAATAACAAGGGCGAAGGAGGAGATAAAAATCTTTCCCTTTCTTCCCAAAACATCAAAAATGTGGAGCCCGTTCACATCCCATCCAAGTCGGTCTATCCCAAGGCCTTTCCAAGTTTCCAAAACGCCGCAGTGAACCCCAAACAAAAAGACAATAAACAGTGCATACAAATGTTGGTGAGAAGTAACCATCCTGCAAGGCGATACTTGCTCACTTCTACGCCGCATATGCCGCGCGCCACGTGAACAGCTCTCAATAGCCAACCACAACTGTACAAGTCTACTGCACGCCGTTGAACTCGCTAAACTTCCTCTTCTTCGACTCCTTCTCCTCGGCGAGCAGGCGGTACACGGCCTCCTTGATGCTCGTGCTCGCGGCCAGGAGGTCCCGCTCCGTGACCGGGTTCTCGATGCTCTCCAGCACGCTGTTGACCGTCGAGATGTGGTTCGCGTCTTTCTTGTCGTCTCGCCAGCGCGGCGTCGTCCCATCATCCTCTTTCTTGTACCGCCACTTGCCGTCGTCGCCCCGGTAGCACTCGATGATCCGCCCGTCGAGACGCTGGTCCAGCGCCTTTAGGTTCTCCCATTCTTCCTCCGTGACGGCGAGGTCCGCAAAGTGTTGGTAGTTGTTACTGTTGTGCTGGACGAGGAGCGAGAAGGGGAGCGGCATCGCTTCGTAGTCCTCTATCATACCCTCTTCGCCGTCCTCGGGGTCGAATGTGGGGAATTGTCCGAGCCGTAGCTTGAAGTCGATGGTGTTCTCGTGCGGCGGCTTCCACTTGAGAATATGGCGGTCTGTTCCGAAGTGGTATGGAGTATTCTTACATGTAAAAATGAGGCCATCGTTGCCGTGCGGCAGCCGAGGAAGCACTTCCTGGAACAGACGTTGTGTGTGGTATGCTGCGTACATTTGCTTCTCCTTCATGCGGAAGGGCTCTGGGATGGGTCCTCGCTGTCGCGCGCGCTCGTACGGGTTGAAGATCCATTCCTTTATGCGGCCGAGGCGCTTGTCGAAGGGTTTGCTTGTGATGTTCTCGCCGTCGATTGCGAGACAATCGAAGACGTAGAAGACGAGGCGGGGCTTTGGCTGTCCTGGTACTGTGTCGTGAACTAGCTCGCCATCGAGGACGGTATTGAAGAGGAATTTATTTGGGTCGGCAGGGTCGCGGTGGTACGGTATGCGCAGCGGCGGTGTCACGTCGAAGTACTGGTTCTTACGATCGATGAGCAGTGTTACTGGCTCGAAAGCATCACCAGCGTCGCGGAAGTAGAGGAACAAGAGGCAGCGGATTCCATCCGTCTTTTCGCACATGAAGTACTCATTTCGCTGCAGCTCGGATATATGTTCGCGGGCGAACGAAACTGGTTGCGCGCCTGGGAAGCGGGTGCTCTCGCGTTCGAGAAGGTCCGCGACAACGCCGCGAAGCTCTTCCGCGTCCTGTGGAGCGACGTGGGTTCCTGGGATTTGCGGGGGCGCGGATGAATGCGTGGCGGTCGCGCTGTTCGGCATGGCGTTATATCGTCTATGGTAGATAATGGGTGGTCGGCCCTAGGTCCTGAAGGTTCTATGAAAGACAGATGTGAGGTTGGAGCCTTGATGTGAGATGCGCTTGCTGAGTCAGCACCCAGATGAACGGAAAGCCGCATAAGAATGCCTACCTAGGTAGGTAATTATATCGATTAAGTGACATTGTTACAAAGATGAAAATATGTGTACTTTTGTGATTGAACTGATCTATAAGCGCCCTCAAGGCAGAATATCATTGCGAGTGTTGGTATAGTATACAGACATACATCTACAGAGCATCAAATAGTAAGTTTGATGGGAGCGTACACCCACCAAGGTGGCCTCATCAATATCGTACAAATCTCATGTAAATAATAGAGGAATACGACCAAAACGACGATACCAATGAGTCGTATCCCCTGAACCCAAATCCTGACGTGCGCATCTCCTTTTCTTCATACAGCACACGCTCTACGCCTTCTCATTCTGCTGCATCATCTTGCTAGGCCTCTTCACGAGCTCTGCAAACTCGCTAGGATCGCCAGAGAACTTCCACAGCCCATTGGCAACCTCGTCGTCAGTGGCGGCGTCCAGCCTCTTGAGCTCCCTGCGCATGTACGCCACGATCTGCGCAAGCTGGACGTAGTCGACGTCCTCCCTCCCAGCGAAAAGATTCCTCCACAGCGCAGCCGCCAACCAGGCATCGCCCTTCACGAGAGCCTCGTCGTACGATAGCAACACGGCACGCCACTGCGCGAAGATGTCCTTGAGGTATTTCTGGCGCAGAGAGTTCGAATTCGTATTGTGCCAGACGACCAGCCGGTCCTCCGCGGCGTAGAAGCAGTGGTTGGTGAGATGTTGGATCCAGAGCGGGGCGTGCGTGCTGGGGAACATTCGGAAGCGGACTTGGAGCATGTACATGTGGATGAAGGTTATCTGGGCCCAATTGATGAACGTAGGTTGAAGTCCCAAAGCTGTACAGATTCAATGGTTAGCACGCGGTTTCTTTGGTCCTGTCAGAGGGCGCGAGGAAGGACTTACTGTCATACCACCACCCCGTTCCAATGCCTATGTGAGCACCCGTCTCATCTGTTGGGATCTCGCCATTCTTCTCCTGCGCCTGGGGGATCTGGTAGTCTCCCTTCTTCGCACACTCCTTGAGTAATTCCTGCGCAGCGCCGTACGCAACGTAGGTCTCCGTCATCAGAGGTGCTTTCTCTCGAAGCTTCTTTGCGAGCCCCGCCGAGAGGCCTCCTGATTTCGGCTGCGGCTTTTTCTCTGCCGAGAGGCTGCTGGTAGCATGGTATGACGATGAAGCAGTCGACGAGAGGCTGCGATGCGACTGTGGGAGGTTGCGTAGGATATTTTTTCGAGGGATCGATTTCGCCTGGAATTATCGAGTCAACTTCAACCCCCTCTCCAGGAAGAGGGAATTTATCTCTCACCTGTCCATATAAAGACGAGGGCGTAAAAATTGCCCTTGAGCAGGCTCTACACGTGTAGTTCGAGGCCATCGTTGTTGTGCTGTGAAATGAATGCTTTTTCGTGGTTGGATCAGCTCTCAAAATTGAGAAAAGTCCCGAGGCGGCGCGCTCAGATTCCGACCCACCGGGGTCCATGACTTCACCACTTCCGATGTCCGTCTACCGCCAATCATGGGTTACATATATCTCGACCTCACTTCCACAATTTGATACGCTGTGCAGAGTAAGCCTTTCAGAATTGATTTCAGGGATGAATCCGCATAAAGTTATATTTCACAGCAAACTTCGATGATCTCAGATGTAGAAAAGAAAAGTAGATTTTGATCAACTGGGCATCTATCCCTAACACATAGCACAGCATGCTCTACCATTGTTGCTTTTGAGTCAAACCCCTCTCAGCCTCCAATCTCTACGGGGAATGTGTTTGAGTGTGTTTGTGTGTGTAATGCGGAAGGAGATAGATACCCTACGAGCGTGTATTTCCTCCTTGTATGTTCCTCCACTTTTGAATGCAGCCGTATCTGAAGCAACACATAACCCCAAGAAAACCCACCAACGAGAAATCGCACCAAACAAGAATTCCTTCCATCGCATAAAACCCCCAGAACCCAAATTCCCATCCAATTCGTAATCATATCGTACAGGCCTGATGAACCGACCAACCGACCTAATCCGACATGAAGAACCAGAAACAAGGTGGGGAACAAGGCCCGAAAGGCGCGTGCAGACGGAAAAATGATAAAGCACGGCCGCCTGTCCTGGGACAAAACGCCGGAAAGTAGGATACAAGAAGAGAGAAAGGAAATGGAATGTTTGAGATGCAAGTGTGAGACCGGATAGTAGCTCCAGGAGGATCAAGGCTGAAGCGAATGTGATGGGAAACGAGAACGCCTAGTTTGCTTGCTAGTGGAAAGGTGTGGTTTGCCGAAGTGCTTGTGGAAGAACGTGCGTGGTCGTGTGGTTCGAGAGGCTAAGGCAGTCCTGCTCCCTTCTCTCTGCCTGTGCAGCTCTTGAAACGACAAAGGAAATGGCGGTGGATGGTGGCAAATCAGAGCCGTTGTTCTTGGGGTGCGAGAAATTGAGACGAGAATGCTAATGCGATATGCTAACACAATTGCTGAAAGACACAAGGCAGACGTGGGTATGTATCGATTCAGATTGATGCATTGAATGTTGATCAAGGGGTTGGTGGTTTCGACAATGTATAGATCCAAAGTATACTTTTTCATGTCATGCGGCGGTGAAAGGTTCTACCGATGACAGCAAGAGGCATGGATGTCAATTACCGCTATTCATCATTAGTACGTTGATGTATTAACCGGCACCATTGGGTTTACTTACTCGTCCACGTCGGCCAACGGGCTGGGCCTGCTGCTGCTGTTGCGGAACGTACATGTTGTATGGGTACATTGGTGCTCCACCCATGCCCTGGGCCATGGTAGCAGGTTGCATCATTGGCGATCCAGCGAACCCTGGAGCACCTCCGGGCGGCATGTTTCGAAATCCATCCATGCCTCCAGCTGGCGGCTGAAAGCCGTTCATCTGGGGATAGAACTGACCATTCCTGGAGGCTTGTGCGAGCAGCTGCTGGTATTGCAACTGTTGTGGGGTGGTGGCGACCATTCCTGGCATGAACATGGGTCCATTGACACCCATGGGGAATTGCTCCAGACCGTTCGAGTCCATGCTAGCAGTGCGCTGAAGTGCAATTGGATCAAAGCCAGCAGGTGCCACACCAGGGTAGAACTGTCGCATGGCGGGATCGGCGTGGGTGCTCGCGGGGCTGTCCTTTGAGGAACCTGGGCGGGTGGCGGAATGGTCACGGTGACCGCTGGCGCCTCCGGTGCGAGTGGACAGATTGACCTCGTCCATCAAACGCTTGTACCCCTGGGCTGGCTGTGCCTTGATGCGTACCAGAACATTGCGGACATTTTGGACGACGTCTGCGCGGATCTGTTCATCAAAGAAAGGAGTGGTCAAGACCTTGAAGATAAGAGTGGCGCCACAGTTCTGGTCCGCGAGAATGTCTTCCAAAACTTGATCGTTGGGCGAGAAGAACAAAGCCTGCAGTATGGTGTCGCGTGCTTCGGTCTCGTTGCGTTGGTTGATGATCTTGAGGACGGTCAAGTAGGCAACCTTGTGTGTGCAGAGATGGACGAGGTGGGGCACAAGGCGAGGTGCGAGAACGGTTCGCCTACGCGGGAAAGTGCAGGTATCAAGGAACCAAGTCAATAGCAAGGCGCCATTGGCATTAGTAGCCAGCTGGACACTGTGTAAAGCAATGGCAGCGGCGACCATACGCTGCTGATCCTTGCTGGCGTAATGGCTCTCCAAGCAAGCTCGCATGGCACGAGCTCCAAAACGGCCTTGGGCGAGATCCCAAAGTCGGTTCAGCATGGCTTCAAAGATGAAGTTGTTCATCGGAGTCTGATATCGGAGGCAACCTTGCATGACGTAGTTGCCGAATTGGTCAAGGAACAAAGAGACTGCGTATGGTCGGAGAGAGTCAACAACCATCTTCTGCAGAGTCGGAGTCCTGGCCACGTCGATGATCTTCTGGGCAGCCCAGGTTCCGTTCTTGTGGACGCCAATCTTGGCGAGATGAGGAGCAATCTCGCGCAACATGGCCTCCTTGGTGGGCTCAGAGCAGTACTCGAAGAGCTTTTGCACCACCGTGTTTCCTAGATAATCAGAGGCAAGCTCTGCAATCTCCGGTAGCATGTTGGTTGCGATCTCCTCGATCTCAGCCGCAGAGCAAGAATTGTTGTCAATGCGCTTGCGAATCTCACGGAGGCGAGGGGCATCGTGAACGCGGCTGTGGCTAGGTTCCTCGATAGGAGGAATCTCGTCAATGTATGTACCATGCTGGATGGCCTGCTCCACATGGGCGGCAATGCTCGTTTGCTCTTCATCAGTGGCGCCCAAGTCTTTCACGATCTGGACGATGTCGGCACGGATGTCGGGCAATTCGGGAGTGGTCAATGGTGCAGTTACATTTTCAGCTCGGGCACCATTGGCGTTAGCGTTGCCTGCGGATGCGTTGGTTGCATTGTCGCCTTGAGCTTTGGCGTGAGGATCTGGGCTGGGGGACGGATATAGGCCACCGGGTCCGGGTGTTGGTGCTGCACTCGGCACTTTTGCGTAGCCAATGCGGACGGGTCCTGCACCGGGGAAGATCTCCTTTCCGTTGAGTGTAGACTTGGCCTGAACGGCACTGTCGATGTTTTCAAAGTTGACGAATCCACAGTTCTTGTGAGTTAACACCCTGGTGGATTCAATTGGGCCATAGTTGTTGAAGATGACGTTCAGCGACGAAACAGTGGTAGAAGATGGAATGTTGCCGAGCCATAGAGCACGGGTTGGGCCCTCCAAGGTGTTGTCATCACCTAGGTTGGGAGTGGACTTGCCACCGAGCTGTAGATTCTTGACGGCCTCGGTAAGATTGTACTCGGCCTCTTCCGTCAAGTCAGCTGCGGTGAGGCTGCTGTCCAGACGGGAAGGAGTTGGCAGATAGCTACGCATCAATCTCGAAGAGGGGGAATCCAAGACACCAGCAGTGCGGGCACGCGGGCGCGATGCGTTCGCCATGTTGGCAAAGGCCTGCACCTCGAGGTTGTGCTGACGGACAGCCTCCTGGAGGGCATACGCTTGATCCGAGGGAGTCAACGTGCCGCTGTAGTTGCCAGCGTAAGCAGGGTCAAGTTCGTCCTCGTCATCGGCATACTTCTCCTTAGCATTGACAGAATAGGAGCGGAATCGATTAGCAGTATTGTTGAGATTTTGACTAAAGGCATTCCTTTGACCCTCGAGGAGAAGTTCGATATCAGAGGGGGCAAGGGTGGCACGGGCAGGCTGAGGTGTGTCTACGAGGCCGAGGTAGTCGAGAGTCTTGACGTCGGTATCCGCGAGGGAATCCCTAGAGAAAGACGAGTTGGGCGATGCAGGACCGTTGGAAGGCTGCGACTGGATGCTCTGCAGAGTGCTGCTCCTCTCTCGGTTGCTGGACCAGCCGGAAGAGAAGATGGAATTGCCAAAGGGAGAGGATACCGGGGGGATGTAGCCAGGTCGCTGAGGCATCGAACCTGCTCGAAGACGTGACAGTAGTGCAGATTTGGCGGCAGCGTTGTTTGCCCCAGCGGGGAAGTTGGAAGCATCACCTGGAGCGCCAGAGCCTGGCTTGAACGGGCTCGTCGAAGGTGTCGGGCGAGCAGTCTTGGGGATGAGAGACGAAGACGGCATGGGGAGCAATCCGCCCGTTGCGGTCGAGGCAGAGAACCTCGATGGCAGGGTGCCAGCGCGGGCGCGACGAGTGGAAGTCTGGGTAGCTGCAGCGGCGTCCGGCATGGTCTGGTTGAAGTCTGGGAAGCTTTCACCATTTGGCGATTCGGGGATGGTCTCACGGAGAGGTGTGGAGTTGCCGCTGGTGGGAGGACCCCATAGTTGAGGAGTAAGCCCTTCCTGAGCTTGGATCTCGCGTGCGCTGTAGTTCGGACGTTAGCCACCAATGTCGAATGGGTTGCCTGTTTCAGGGTGCGACATACCGTTTGGAAAATAACCTGCCACTACCACCGAATTCATGCGAAGGGGACCCCGCACCCAACCTCACACCGGCGGTTGCACTTCCCAAGTTGGCGGGAGCATTCGAAGTAGGGGCTGGGAAGCGAATCTGGCCGCCAGATGGGGGTTCGATGGGCGAGGTAGCCGCGGTGGAGGAGCCCGAACGCGGCGGCTGGGAGGTGAGCTGTGGCAGATAATTGTGATTAATCTGATGCTCCGGTCGTGTAGATGGAGGAGCCATTATGGATTATAGACCCTGTCTGTGAATACGGTTTATGTTTGTTGTAGTTCTAATATTGAGGGAAAGATGGGGGGAAGGGTTCTGGATGAGAAGAAACCTTCGTTTACCAAAACCAGGGTAACGGCAAAAAACGTGTGATGGTACCGGCCAAAGGAGTGTGAGGCGGACGATTATTGCCAGCAAAGACCGGGCTCAGCTAACTTGTGTAGGTGTAGGTGTAGATATGCCTCGTGTTGCGAAAGGTTGTTGGGTTGTGCTGGACCGGTTCGAGGGAGATAAACTGACGGCGGTAGTGGTACTTGATGTTGGTCCAGGCCAGCTGATGAAAGGTTCTCGACAGGAGCTGAGCTAGACGGCGAGGGACCGGTCGATGGCTCGATGGCTTGAAGGCTCGATGTAGGACGGATGGGCTCCGCTAGAGATGCTCTTTCGAGTGTGCTACTAGCAGATCTGATCGCGAGGTTGCGATGACGAGGGAAGACTGAACGCTTTTGTGTGAAAGGGTTCAGTTCAGTTCAATTGGGTTCAGGGCCGTGGAGGAGCGCGCAAGGGAAGGATGGGGAGCCGCGGGCGTAGTAAGCAACAAAGCTGGGTCTGGAGGTGACAGGAGAGCAACGCGCGGTCGACGCAGGCGATGGGGGGGACAAAAAAAGGCCGTGAGGGCTTTGGGGGGCTGGTCAAGGAGCGATGGAGCTGGCGGAGCAGTAAAACAGGCGTCAGGCGGATACGGCGAGATGGGGAGTTGATGCTTTCGTGGCCGGATCGCAGGAGTTTCTCTCTCTCTGTGTCTCTTCTGATTATTGATTGACCGATTGACCGGTTGACCTGGTACAACAGGCGAGGGGAGGGCAGTAATAGACAAATCACCCACGTACTAGGTGTGAGGATGATCTGGAGAATGTAAGGGAAAATAAAGGATTAAGCAAATGACCGATTAGACAGTAGCTTCGCTCATCGAGAGTGCCAGAGTAAAAGGCGGAGGAAGTTTTAGGACGGATAGGTGGATGTATAAGAGAGAGAGTGAAAGAGGAGGGTGTGGATGTGGGTGTGGATAAGGAAGGGTAAGGGGGTGGTTTGGTGGTTTGGTGGTGAATGGTGGTGGTGCGCGTGCGGAAACGGTGTAATGCGTAAATTACTCGTAAGGTGGAGGTCGATTACACCAGTAACTAGGCGTATTTAGCGTTTAGGTAATTAGTCAGTGGGTGAGTCGTGCGTAGGCGAATGCGTATGCGTGTGCGTGTCCCTTGGTTGGACAAATTGATTGAATAGAAGGGAAACTATCAAGAGCAGAAGAAGAAAGATACGGACCAGACCCAGACCAGACAGACAGACAGACAGACAGGAACAGGAACAAACAGGGGACGTCCGAAGGGGGACAGGAATAGGAACGGGAACGGGAACAGGCAGGGGGAAAAGAAGAATTAGAAGAATAGTCAGGTATTATTTGGTCACTGTGTAATCACTCCATAGAGTAATATAGAATAGAGCGAGATGAAATTTATAAAATACTTTGTTCCCTTGATTCTTTGAGGAAGATGAGACGACGTTTCAGTGTTTCTTGTCCTTTTCCCTTCTTGTCCAGTCCTGACCTGTCCTGACCTGTCCAGTCCCGTCCAGTCCTGTCTGTTAATCCTGGGCTTGTCCTTAATCGTCCTCGTCCTCGCCAAATCCTTCTCTCTCTCACGCACCATGGCGGCGGCAGAGGAGGCGGAACAAGCCCACAACGGTGATGGTGACGAGCGACACAGTATCACAGTACTTTATTGACCGGCACCTGGTCTGTCTCTAAGATTGAAAGATGACTATATTATCCACAGAAGAAGGCACGGAGTATGTATCTACTTGTAATCAATTATCCTTTTATTTTTCTCGAGTAACGGTACGTACTCGACTGGATCTACTCTACCTACTGTTTTAGCTTGACGCTCTTAAAACACAGGCACACCTACTAACTATTCACACCACCAATACCATCGCTATATCAAGCATACCACTAGACACTCCACAATCCACAGTAATTAATCATCTACATCTTCTTTCTCGACCAGGAGTAAGCCAAGCATGGCAGAGCATGGCAAAGCACTCACTACGCACTCTAAGGCGAGCAAGGCAACGCGTCCAGAAAACTTAACTGCTCCGTCTCCAGTCTCATTAACTAGTATTACTACTTTTAGGTATTCTTAGGTATCGTTCTTCTCTTAATTCCTCGCTTGATGGAATCCATCAAAGATCCTGATACACTAGGCCTGTCCTGTGATGTGCTGCGTCCTCCCATTGTCCTTTGCTTTTCTCCCCGTCTGTCTGCGCCCTCTGAATCTCGTGTCATAGACTCGTAAGGATGCCGGATCCTCTCTTCGGCGGATGTGCTGATATGGGGCGGGAGGGGGCCGCGGACTGCGTGTTTGGACTTCCGCAATCGATCTACTTCACCGATGAGGTTAATCAACTAAGCAACATGTAACACCGCCAATCACAGCAGTAACAGTAGAGAGTACGGTGCTGTGTATAGCACTCCGTACATACTGTGTACTCGTACGGAGAAAAGACCATCTTGACAGACTTCACATCACCAATCACTCAGCACTTTTGCCTCAGCACGTTTCCCTCATCTCCTCATCAGACGTTAGATTACACAGCCAACTTACCGGCCAGTTGGTAGGATAACTACGAGTACGCCCGTATGCGAAATGTCATCGCATGGATGGCGGGAACGGCATTCCATAGGCAACTCCATGGCATCACAGCATGCGACTTTCGTCGTGAGGCACCGCGCCGCAACGCACCAACCGTAGTCGCACCCGTAGTCGTCGTCGTAGTAATTAATCGGCGCCCAAAGAGAAGCTGAAACGAGCTCCTCTACTGCTGCCATCCATGGTCCGATGGCTTTCTCTCTCCTGACTGGTCCGTTCCGCCAATTGGAGGACCTTACGAGTATGCCCCTGGTCCGCAATCGCCAAAAATATGAAACGTCCCAGGCGCGTCCATCCAACTGTGCCCCATCCCAATCCCCAACCTTTAGTCTGACGTGGATCGCAAGTTAATTAGATACCGAAGTTCCTGATGACCTGACCTGGGAATGCCTGCTTGTGACCTGTCCTGCCCGTCTTGTCTCCTGTTTGTCCTGTTCCACTCTGCTTTCTCCGTCCACCATCCCAATTGGTCTTCTTCCTCGCGAGGATTGCACCGCATCAGCTACAAGTACTGTCGGCCTTGAGCACATCATCCGCCGTCTTGTCACAGAGTATGATAGGACAATAAATTCCTTTCATAATTTTCAGACTTGTGCGTCTCGTTCCATTTCCGCATTGTAGCAGAAAGCGGCAGTCATTCGAATCGAGGAATGCCTACAGTGCTTGATCTTCGTCCGATCAAATCCACCTCTCAAACCACTAGGCTGGACTTGCCCTATCTACCTACACAAGTAACACAACACTCCCTCCCGTAACCATTTCTACCTAGACATACCTACAGAATACATAAGAGGGGCGCGGACCCTTGCAGTTATCGCTCTTGGATTTCATGCAGCACGCGCTGGGCCCTCGTCTGCGGAATACTGCCGCCTAGGTACTTACAAACCTGCAATTATGCACATGCATATTCGTACAACAATCTACTAAAAACATATCCTTCCTCTCTGTGTACGACGAACCACTACGGGTACGCCCCATAAGCCAAGCCACACGCGCTCAAAGTGATTGTAGACGACGACAGGCCTGGCAAACAAAAGCTAAAATAAGTTTATCTTCCGAGGAGAGGACGCCGCAATCCTCTTCTCCACTTGCTGACTGCTTGGTGCTGTGCTGCTGACAGCATGGTGATATCGACCTGCTTGATTATTTTTCGCATCCTACGGTATGGTATCTGAAAGGTTGCTGTTGGGTGATGACATAGTTCCTCAGGCGTGTTGGATGACGCATTGACGGAGTATCGTTCGATCGACATGGAACACATATTCATCCACGGGTATGATGACGACTCAAAAAGAGAGAAAGTAGAGAACTCTGAGGAAGTACACTATGGGTCCTATTCATAGTTCGTAGATCATCTAGTTCCTATGAGAAGGAAGCTTACTGGGGTGGGCCAGCAGTAGCCAACACTGTCTACCCTGCCCGCACGCCTACTTATACCAAATGGCATTCAAAACTTATTGATGCGTTTAAGATTGCTACAATTTTTCATTCAATGAGCATTGTGTTGCGTCTAAGACTATATGATTTTGGAAAGTTGCATGCGTCTTGTACTTCTCACATGAATAAAATTCCCTAGTTGTTCCTCTTGTTGCTCTCAGGAAAGAATAGGCTCGTGGTAGTGGAAGAACTTCTCTACACACATAATTATATCAATCTCATTACTTTCTCCACTAACTACTCTAGAATTTCCTGCTTTATAGTCGATGACCTCGTTCCAAATAATACTACAGTAAGCAGCTGAGATATCTGATATCACTGATAGAACACTGGTAACATTGGTCCAGCGATGTCGTGGCAGAATTTGAAACCTCAGGAACTCTGGTGAATCAATCGTTCGAACAATTGATAAATAGCGCGTATGATTTTTATCAGGATATCGCCTTTACCTACTTATGTCCTCTTAAATTTTCGTAGATGTGAAGATTGCGGTCAGCAAGCCTTCCTAAAGTGTATTTCTTGAGTAAAATCTTGCTCTGCAGCAGGTTCTCTTCACCACACATCATTGAACGATTTCAGTGCTCCAACAATCGATGCATTTGATAATACTTGTCTCTGCTTAACATAATTACTATTTCCCTTTGAGAACATGTGCAAATGATTTGCGACATTGACCTGCATGGAGTACATATTGTGATACTGTTGGTTCAAGTAGGCCGTGAGCTAAAATGCCTACCTACTAAAATAGCACGCACACCAATCCCAGAAGAGCCTAACGTCGCTTGAGCTCGCTTGATAACAAGCAAAACACACACAGCAAATACTACACTACAGAAATGACTCACTACATAAAACAAATAAGTTCTGAAACTAACATCAATTCATCAGGCAAGATGGCCGAGTGGTAAGTTCAGCCAAAACATCTTCGAACATCGCAACATGTTCTAACAGTCCCTCCCAGGTTATGGCGTGTGACTCAAGCGCAAGCTTCTCTGATAACTCAGAGCGCATTCTCATGGGCTTTGCCCGCGGTACGTTCCCCTCACATTAAACATCTCAGCAACAATATACTGATTATTCCTAGTGGGTTCGAATCCCACTCTTGTCAACATCTTTACGATCTTCTTTTTTTGCCTTTTTGGCAGAACCTTTTTTTTCTTGCTCGTGCATCTGCAGGAGGACAGCTGCAGGTTTCTAAGGCTTGTTCTTTTTTTTATTTGTTTAATATTTACAATCAACTAACAAGGCTACTTCTCTGTGCGCAAAGATTATAATTCCTAACCTTGGGCTTTTGTAGCCCTTCGTGTCTGTCGTGTCTGTATTAACTATGACAGCCATGCGCCAACATTGCACCTAACATATGTCTACCCCACTACGTACTCTGTACTGTGAATATAGACATGAATGCCCTCCTTCTTTAATTTAGTTTACGAGAGACACATCCTACTTAAATTGTATACTCAGGTTAACAAATTACAAGATACTAAGTTTATCAGCAAAATGCTTAGATTGATACTTTGTAACTACACTGTATATACACAGGTTGTAGTAGTCTCTCTCAATGTCATTCGTAAACGACTAGGATCAGAATAAATCCACCTAACACAGGTAGATGATGAATTCCTTGCATGAAACAGCTTACAAGTAGACATATAAAGTCAGAAAAATAATCAAAAATTACAGCTGCTCCGAGAAAATAGCTGATGGTGTGCCATGACCTCAGTTGTGGTGGTGGGATTGGTGGACTGGCGGACCACTATGACTATCAATCGGAGACGCGAGACTTGGGTGGAGTTTCAGAGTAGGAGGAGAGGTGGGAGAATCTCATGCATGTCTGTCCAGCAGTCTTAGCTTCATGTCATCTATAGAATGCAGTTAAGATCGGAAACAAGATAGCAATAATAATTAATAGTAGAGTCCTGGGCGTGTGTCTCTCTCATATGCGTACTTCGCCTGGTCTTTCCCGCTTGGCTGCGGAGGTCCCTCACCACTAATGACCATCAATCTTGTTGTTACCTCGCCTCGACACGACCGACATTCACTCATTCGACTCACACAACCTACGTCCACACGCACGCGACATCCACTTCCCCGCCGCATCACATCACCCACCATCCGCTTGAAACGCGCCGGCCTCATCACCTATTCCTCGACCATCGGCTTACTCCCTTCTCCGCTCCGCATCGCCAACCCGTCCTGCAAACACAATCCCAAACCGCTGACCGTTCGAACGCTGCGGTACGCATAAACAACACCACCCATGGAATTATTCGAGAAGCCCGCCCGCACCCCTTGAACGCTGTCTATTATCCACCATCCACTACCCCGTTCCCCGGGCACGCGAAGCTCGCTTTGCTTCAGCCAGGCTCCCCCGGCCGCCTATACCTTCCTTTGCTCCTAGCCCTCGATCCGGCCGACGACGTCAGTACCTGCCGACATCATGTCTCAGGAACCCCAAGAAGCCATGGACGTCGATGAACGCGTCGCCTCTGACCACGGCGATGACGAGGAACAAGTCTCGCGCTCTGAGGAATTGAGCGATGGCGAGTCAGAGCCACCGGCAGACCTCATGGTCACAACGCGCGCCAGGAGGACAAATGCGGGAAACCGCATGGCGACCCTCTTGGCCACGACGGCCGCAGAGGAAGAGGAATGGGGTGAAGAGTGGGAGGAAGCTGCGAATGAAGAAGAGTTTGTGGGAGATGATAACAACGATCAGGCCGATTTCAACCTCGAGTCGTCTTCATCCGAGGACGAGGACGACGGAGATGATGACGACGCCGGCGAGAAAGAACTGCAGAAGGCCGAGCGACAAGAGCGCATCAAGAAGCGCAAACCCGCGGCCAATCCCTTCGCTGCCCGCCTTGCCGCCACCGCTCGCAAGAGAGTCAAGCTCGACGTCCCCAGCGAAGATGCCCAATCCGCACTCCCTCCACGACCCAAGAAGAAATCAGAACGGGCGTCATGGATACCCACGGACGAGGACGGCCCTATCCGCACGTCTTCGCGTCGATTGACCATGGCGAACAAGGAGCACACAATGGCTAAGCTCAAGGCCAAAGACAGGCGCCGTGACGACACACTGGCGATGATGAAGGCCGCAGAGGCACGCAAGTCGAAAGACGAGCCGAAGACAATGTCGCAAGCGGAGCGGCTCGCAGAGGCTGCCAGGGTTGAAAGGGTCAATAGCAAGAGCTTGCATAGGTGGGAGGAGGCAGAGGAGCAGAGGGCAGCCGAGAGACAGGCCAAGATTGACGCGCTTAAGAACCGTCAACTTGATGGGCCCTTCATTCGATTTTACAGCGGGCCCGCCATATGGGTGGACGACAAGCTCAAGTACACCGGAAAGAATGCTCCAAAGATCGAGGATTTGACCGAAAAGTACAACAAAGAGGTCCCGCCTACACCGGATGGCCAGGAGGTCAATGAATCGAAATTGGATGCAGCTCAAGGGCCAGAAACAGAGGGTCCGCACCCAATGAGCGGTGTTCAGGAGCATCCCTTAACGCAATCATCGCCAGCAGCCCCGGCCTCTGCGGCTCAATTGGGGGAACATGCGCCAACTGACCACACTACCACGACACAGGCACCCCTACCAACGGAGCCACATTCTCAACCGCAACCACAACCACAGTCCCAGGCTCAATCAGGGCCACAACCGCCACAGCAGAACACAGCAGAGATACACGTTGCACCACCACAACAGACACATGCTGTTGCATCGGAGTCAATATCGCAGCCTCCTCTTGACGGATCGGAGACGAGATCGCAACTTCCGACTCCGTCTCTGTCACAACCCCAATCACAATCCCAACCAGCTCAGGCATCACAGGAACCGCAGCAGTCGGGGAAGACTGATTCGCAGTCTCAAGCAACACTATCCTCCCAGCCATCAGATAACACTCAGCAAACCGTGCCTATCAAACATGATGAGCAGCCGGTTGAGTCTCCTGCGGTGCCTAATCCTGGCCCAACCATGTCTACACCCCAAGACAATTCAACGTCGTTCCTCTCGGGCATAGAGCAGTATGTTTCGGAGCAGCACGACTCTCACCGGCCCTCCGAACCTTCTCCAGCGCTCAATACGTCTCCGCAACAAAGTGGAGTACAACATGACCAACACTTGCAGGGGCCACAACAGCAACCTTCACTGCAGAACGGCCTCACCCAGGACTCGTCTCAGTCGGGTCAGGCTACGCCCTCGACTCCGCAAGTCCCCCAGAACCCGTTCACCCAACTCCCAATGGGAACACATACCTCTCTCCCTGCAAATCCCTTCGCCTCTCATCCACCCTTCGCACTCCCAGACCTCCCATTTCTTTTCGTAGGATCCGATACCCAGCCCCCGGGCACTCACCTTCAGCAACCTCAACCCGAAAATCCTATGCTTCCCCCGCCACCGCCACCACCACCTCGCCGCAGAGTCATCCGTCGTGCCCTCCGCAACCTCCTCACCCTGTCCTCATTCCCCAACCTCGACTCACCATCAATATCCCACATTCCCCGCTCCATCCGCGCGACCACCAGTTTAGCCAAGGAAAAGGACCGCGTGGCACTGGCGCAGCTCTCCGCTACCCTCTTCAATTGGTCTCAATCCGAAGTGAATGCATACTTGACGACACTGCTGAACGCACCCAAGAACAAAAAGGAGCGCGAGGCCCTCGCCGCAAAATCCAAGAAGGAACTCTGCACCGTCACCAACCTCGAAGCCAGGTTCCGCGACCCAGAGACCGGGATAGCATACAGGGACAAGAAGGCCTACGGAATCCTGAAGGGCGTCGTCAGCGGCGGCTTCATCTGGTGCGGCGGCCTGGGATGTTACGTAGGCGGGCGCCCTGCTCCTCCACCTTCAACAACTACAGACGGCCTGGAAATGGCCAACACGAAGAAGTTCTATGGCAAGGGCATGGAACCCGTCAAGGGTGTTCCCAAGAGGTTCCTCCAGATGGCGGGTTTCCCCACGGAGGCATCGCCGCCAAAGAAAGCGTCCGAGCCTATTCAAGAGGGCAAGAAGGAAGGTGTCTCCGAATCCGCAGCAAAGGGTGGGGAAGTAAGTACCAAGCCCACGGCCACGGCCACGGCCACCACTGCTGGAAGTCATAGACCTGCCGAGGCGCCGGGTGTTGTTAAAGTCGAGCGCACAGCTACGACATGAGGATGTTTGGTATATGTATAAATAGCAATCAAATACTACTTACTGTGCACACATTGTTACGAATGAAATGTAGTATCAACTACTCTCTGGTCTATATACTTGTTGTAGTATCACACACGTATCGGACAATTATCATAATGTTATATCAATGCCTTTCCTCCCAGCTCATATCCAGTATCGTATCAAACGTGCACTCGATTCCCTTGTCACGGCCGCCGCTACCCCTTTTGAATGCAATTATGTACTAAATCATACACTTGATCTAACGGATACATACATACATACATACATACATACATACGCACTCAAGTAACAATACCTACTAAGTATTTCACGACACTTCGAGGAGCATATAGAGACCACGGACGGCCGTCGGAGGGGTGACAGTTAAGAGGGGCTGAATGACCATTCTGGTTTAGGAGATGAGGAAAAGGGGAAGGAGCAGTAAGCAGGAGCGTAATCAGTGTATGTAAAGGTTTGGTTTGGGGTGGGATGTTGAGGGGTTGGGTGGAGCAGGAAGGAATAAGAGACAGGTTCGGTAGTTGTTTGCGTGGGCTGAAGTTGATTGTAGGATTGGGCTTATGGACGCTTTTGTAGAGTATATAAGGAGGATGTTGGATGGTGGAGACGGGGTTGCGTGTGGTTGTAACAAGTGGCGGGGTTGGTTCGCAGGAAAAGACAGCGGGTTGAAGAGAAGAACATAGTCTTGCTTTTGTCATATCGTTATTGTCATATCGTTATGCCGCTAGGATGACCTATCCGGTAGAGTAGAGCCTTTGCCTGTGGTTAGAGAATTGGGTATAAAATGCTGATCAGGTCAGTAGCACGACAAAATCAAGTCACGAAACCCATAAAAATGCTTTCGAAATGTCCATGATATGCATTGATGGTTAGCAGACGAAATGAGATCTCAGAACGCCACCCCATCTTGCTGTCCTACACGCAAGAAGTTTTTTTTCCCAGGCGTTCATAAAATTGGTTGTAGCTGTACACATGGCCCACGGCAACTCCCATGTCACTACCCTGAACGTCGTTCCTCCATAATACCAGAAGAAACAGTTCGGCGAGAGGACCACCCTCAATGGGAAACCGTCTATTTCTTCTCCTTCTTTGCGCCCTTGGTCTTGGCCGTACCCCGCATCTCCTTCGCCCTGTTCTTGCGCTGCTTGCCTGTTCATCCTGTCAGTATGTGTCCATTTGCCACGTAGAGTCTGACGATGCCACCCATCGATGTAGGTATAGAACGTCGAGGGGAGAGACGTACGCTGCTGCCTGCTGGCCTTCTCGATCTTGGAGGCCATGCCGTATCGGACGAGCCTGTAGTGGGGTTCGAACTTCTTCATCGCCTCGGGGGAGTCGTAGATGAGGGCAAAGCCGGTGCTCTTGCCACCACCGAATTGTGTCCTGAAACCGAAGACGGAGACATCCTCCTTCTTGGCCTTGTAGAGCTCACCGAGCTTGGTGCGGAGCTCGTCCTTGGAGACGTTGGCGCGGTTGGGGTGGAGGACATCACTGCGGGTTGCCATGCGTTAGAAATCGTGTTCGACATTTTTCTTGATGACCCGAATGCGAAATTTCGCAATCTGCCATTAGGGAAGATGGTAGGTTCCTGCACTTACAGAACCATCTGGCGACGGCCGAGGAGAGGGTTGCGGATGAACTTGCGCGTACGCAGAGTAACTTGTGAGTCGGCCATGGTGTAGGATTTGTGTCGTCGACCTGGAAAGCGGAACTGTTAGAAAGGCTGGCGTTCGTGAAGTTGTTGGAGAGACTTTAGAGACTGAGAGATTGGGATAGACGCACTGGGACAGATCAATCGCTCGTGATCCTGCTCGGTGTCGATGGGGGTTGTTGTACTGGTGGCCGCAGGATGTCGTCGATGAATGTCGACAAGCGAAAAATCGAAGGTGTGCGATGGGCTTGGCGCGCTTCGCGTAGCTGGCACGGTCTAACCATTGTCGGTAGGCGGGGAGTGTAGATTATATAAGCAGGACTGTTCGATGCAACGACGACCACACACTAAAATGTTCAACGGCTTCCTGCGCCTTTGCGGATGAAGTGTAGATAGAAATGTACAATCTTTTTCTCTATTCCTTCGGTACACTGCTGCAGTAACAAATTGAATCAGGAGTGCGAGCTCACACACCGACAACTGGGATTGGAACTACGTCAATTGTCTAGGCTCTAACGAATTTTCCTTCTTCTCTTTGTATTTATGAACATGGATCCGTCGACTCTTCCTGATTTGATACTTTTGCGTCGCCAGTATTTCCAACTGGTCGAACCGATACAATTGAGATGGCCGGACTTCCAAGTGCTCAAGAGACCTGAAGTACAGGACTGGATCTATAGGAATATGTTTGACAGCAGCATCGAATCTGCACCACCGGATCGTTATAAGATGAGAGTTCTAAAACCTCTGATATCGAAATTGGAGAGGACAATTGAAAACCCTGAGGAGGATGTATGGTCTCTACTTTCTTTGATTTCTTCAATTTTCTTTTTCTCTATGATAGGTTCATTATCGGTCACACTTGGTCATTCGCAGATCTCAAATCTACGAAAGCACCGCCCAGGGGCAGTGAGGTTTACGCAAGTTTCAATGCATCACTCTTCGATCTACAGAAGCCTGTCGGGTTTTCCGGAGTACCTACCTTTCCTCTGGTGATTTGCTTCGTGTCGGCTCGACTTGGCCCATCGTAACAGACTGCGTATCATCTCCACTGTACTGACGCTGACGACTTCTACAACAATAGGAAATATCAGATGATCTCATGAGTGCACTGTCCGAACTACTAGGCTCCGCACTCCCAACGGAGTCCACATCCGCCCAACAGAAAGCGTATGTGACGTACACTTATCCCTTGCAAGGCGCCGACGGTACAGGCAAAGGCGTCCTGGATGACGGTGCCGTAACGCTGCTTGAGTCTCGATCAGTCATTTCATCATCTGGTACGACGGGTCTCCGGACCTGGGAGGCAGCGCTGCTCCTCGGAAGCTATCTTTCGTCAGAGCAAGGCCAGAAGGCCATCCGGGGAAAGAGGGTCTTTGAGCTGGGAGCCGGGACCGGCATGATCTCCATCCTCTGCGCGAAACACCTCGGTGCGGCGGGTGTAGTTGCGACCGACGGAGACGAAGCTGTGGTGGACTCCATCAAGACCAACGTGTTCCTGAATGGACTAGACACAAAGGAGTCGTCCAGGGTCCCGATCCATACGGCGGCTCTGAGATGGGGATATCCAGTGAATGGAGAGACTTTTGCAGAGGATTATGGGATGGAAGCGCCGGAAGTGCTGCTGGGAGCTGATGTCGTAAGCCAATGCCCTGGAGGAAAAACCTCTCCCCTCTGCACAAAGCAAGCGAGCTTAAAATAGCGGCCTTTAGACCTACGATCGATCCGTGATTCCACGCCTGGTGACGACGGTGAGGGAATTCTTCGACCTGAATGCGGACCTCGAGATTCTCATCGCCGCGACAATACGCAACGAAGAGACATTCAGGGCATTCGAGAACGCTTGTGGTGGGTCATACCAAAAAGTCACCGACTTTTTTTTGGATGGTTTCTGGTCGATTCTACGACAGTTGGATTGACGAAAGAGAAATGCGTACGCTGACTTTTGTGGGGTAATTGATTTTAGGGCGAAACCGGTTCCGTTTAGAGCTGGTGGACTTCCCAGCAGTGCCCGAGCACCTCCAGGTAGGACCTTTCTATCCAACGACGACTCCGATCCAAATCTGGCGAATCACTCAGCAGAAGGGGTCGGAGGACCCATTTGCACTTTGAGCACTTTGTGAAGTCATGGACACGAAGCAACACGTGTCGGCGCCGACTGCGATGACTTGAGCGATGGGATGGGGCGGGCGGCGGGCGTACCTGGGAGGAGGGAGTACTGTGTAGGTTCCTGTTGGTAGGTCGGTAGGTGGTGGAGTGGAGTTTTCTTTAAGGTTTCACAATAATAACAATGGAGCTGAGGTCTAGAATGCGTACTGGACGATGGTGCGAAACAGGCACGAGGAGAAGACATTGGCTGGGGAAGGGGGGAAGTGGAAAGGGGCGGGGATTTACCTGCCTGTTGACTAACAATTAATTAATGAATTTTTCTTCTCTCCAGTTACGCGTGTTGTGCTATTCTATGTGCTATTATGTTACTGTGTAGTGCAGTCAGGTAGTCAGGTGTGGATGCGTGTAGAGTGTAGAGTGGATGTCGTGCACGAATCGTAGGCTGTGGACGAGACTCATGGGTCAATTGGTCAACGAATCCAGGAAGGTGTTTGCGACACGCAGGGCAACACTCAACAAACTTACCTTTGTTTGCACGCGCCCCATGGATCCTCGCCCAGCTGTTGGTTGTAAGTTGTACTTGTAACAATGATTGATTAAATCGATGTGGGGGGGAGGGAGGGGAAAGTGTCGGGTTGAGTTGCCTTGAGGAGGGGAGGGTCGTACAGGGACAAACAAAGGAGCAGGACAGGGTCTCAAGAAAAGATGAGATGAGGTGATGTTGGGGGCAGACAAAACGGCAGTAAGCTTATAAGAATAATACCATTATTGATGGTTGCGGGAAACGGTGATGAGATGGACGCCGCAGCCGGAGTCGGAGGGACAGGAATGAATGAATGATGGATTATCGTTGATGGCAACTGGGAATTGCTAATCTGCACCCTCTAATGGCGAGCAATGTTGCAAGACCAAGCAAGCATGGCATCTGTCTAGTACACAGCAATTGTAGAACTTGTACAACAGTCGTAGTGCACATTGCCTCGGTGGCCGTACCCGGCGTGTACCTTTGTCTCCTTGTTCAAACTCGGGTGGACTCCCGTGTGTGCATGTGTATACCACAGTACTCGTACTACCAACCTTGATTCGCCATTCCCCCTCTTCTTTGGTCAATAGATGGCCACTTTGCAGAGCAACCCTGATGTCCTTCAGGTACCATTCATTAATTCGACATGGGGACAGTATGCAGTAGGGTCGCTGAGCGGCTCCGCTATCCATAGAAAAGAGGGGAGAGCGTTGGTAGTATCAATTATTATTACTATTATTATTGCACGTTGAAACATGAACTGTGCTGTACTGCATCATGGTACGTACTAAAGAATACGTGAGGCAGATGACTACCTATACGGTATTGACTTGGTCAAGAGGTCAATGGGAGGGTTCGGCTCTACTTGACGATGGTGTGCTTGATGGAAGTGATGGCTTCATTCAAGCTCGCCATCGATCCATGAATTCCGACTGTGGGATTATGTGCTCTTACACACACAGTCAAGCACCTTTGGGTAGGTATGGGTCATAGCTACTTTAACCTCCGTGGTTACGTATTACTTGTTGGATATTTTCGCAGTCAGCTTCAGCTAACCCAGTCATATCCGTTCCCCCTCCATCTCCATGCCATACGATATGTACCAAAGAATCAAAATCCACTCTCCCCCACCTCGACCACCTCGTGGGATGGATCATGGGTGATGGAGGGTGGATGAATGATGTGCTCCGATGGTGTCTTTTCATGTCTTCCCTCCAACTACCTAGTGCGCAATCCGGGTGCTCCATTATCTATTCTTCCGGCCACGGCCATCCTTGACTCAACATTAGCTACTTGTACCATTCTCTTAACTAGGTACTTGTCTGTTAACTTACCTACCTACATAACCAACGACGAGTCCACAAAGGTCCATGTACTCAGTAGTGCTCGGTCCATACACAGTACATATACTCGTACATACAAGTCCATACCCATCCTACCTGCCTGCTACCTAACCTATCGACCTACTTAATTCCACGATCCCTCCTCTCTAGCTCTCTCCCTTCCCGCCGCCCCCTCCTCCACATATCAGTCACAGTCACAGTCACTATCACTATCTATCGGGTCTATTCTCAATCTCAATCTCAATCTCGGGCTTCAGCTTGCCACTACATACTACAAACAACAACTACGACCACCCCTTGATCCAATCCCTATCTCTCTCTCTAGGTATCTCTCTCCGATATTGAGGGATTGCCGACGTGAACCGATTGACCCCAGGAAAAGCGCGGCTCTCTCTGCACTTCGGCAGTAGTCTTATCGCTCCCGCCTCTCGTCCCACCTGCATCTCGTCTCCTTGTCTCCCTCCATTCCACCCTTATCGGATCCGATCCGGCCTGGTCTGGTCTGGTCCCTGGCCTGTTGTTCCACTTGCAGGTCTAACTCCAACCTTCGAGAAGGTCATTCCCGGCCGTGTTCGGAGTATCAATCAATCATCAATCATCCAAGGAATCAATCAATCAATCAATTCATCCTGCTATCATTGCCGAAGAAGCATTGTAGCAACATTCAATTGCCTTGTCGTTCTGCATTTACCGTGAGTACATACTATCTCCTATAATCTATCCATCTACCCCTCTACCCTACCATCGGAAGCGTCGCACGGATATCTGCCCTGCCTATTGCATTGCTCGTCTCGTTCTCGTAGATAGCAGCCCGAGATAGTAACATATCAAGGGGGGCAATGGCATGGATGATCGCGCGCTTGATGGCGTTCCGTGGCGCAGATCTCGTCGAACCTGCTGAACACAAACAATCCATCAATTGACTATTGACACAATAATGCCACCGCTTGAGCTCCGTTCCTGGCTAAATATTTACCATCGCAGGGGCCACTGATAAGGATTTCTATTCATATCATCATATTCTTCGGACACAAAAAAACCAATCCCATCAAATCACACAACAGGACGGACAAGGGCGAAAAAAAGGATTGTGTGACTCCTGTTGTTCGTCATCATCATCATCATCATCATCCTCAGCAGCAAAGCAGCAAGTAATCCCTATCCTCCTCATTCTCAGCCCAGCCCTGGTAAGAGGCCATTGCTTCTTCCTGCGCGCACATCATCGCACCCATCCGGCTGTGTCACCGATCCCCTTCCCATTCCACCCCCCAACGCATCCTATTCGCAACTCATCCCATCGGGCCCATCCCCATCGCTGTAGGGGAATTAATTCACTCATCTGGCCTGTAACAACCCTACGGACGTTGTGCCTGCTTGTTGCACCGTGCCCATTCTATCTATCCTGTTCGAGCGCCATTGCTCGTTTCCTCACCGTCTTTCCAACCACACACACGTCTCAATGGCCACGCATCACAGCCGCCCGTCAACCCACTCTAAAAGGCCGCTGCCGCCTCATGCTCGCCCCTCCAAACCAAGTACCCACTCATCCAAGCGTTCGCATCTCCATACTGCCAGCAAGAGCGGCCACAAAGCCGTCTCTCCCAAGGAGGACGACTTCGAGGACGAGGAAGTGATGGCAACGAGTTTCTTACAGTATTGGTATGTCATGTCCTCGTCTATTCTTGTTTTTGTCTTTATCGTTGTCGCTGTCGATGTCGCTGTCGCTGTCGCTATTGCTATTGCTGTCGCTATGGTTGGTCGCATCAATGCTATCCAATCCCCCTTCTCCCTGTCGCATCCCCTCCCATCATGCACCATCATGACGAGTCCAATGCTAACGGAAATGTCGTTCTTGTAGCACTACTTGCGAAAAGCAAATCATCGTGCCCAATAACTCGGTTCTGTATTGCTCAGAAAGGTATGCTGACATTTATTACCATTTACGGCAATTCGGCCCCAGCCACAACAGCAAGCTGACATGCGCATGCAACAGTTGCCGCAAGAAGGACAACGAAAAAGAATTGACCTTTTCGCTCGACTACTCGCCGCCACTGAGTCCTTTCACCAACTTCACATTCGACGACATTCATTTCAAGGACATCGTGCCACTTCGCTCGCCCACAGCAGCCCTCTCGAACCGCTCATCAGTCGCCTTCTCGGAACTGTCCTCGGACGATAATGCCACGTCTAGCGACGACAAATCCCGCCACAGTTCCAATGCTTCGCTGTATCTACATCAAGTCCAATCTGGCAATTCCTGGGCTGACCTGACCAATGCCGTGCGGCCAGCCAGACCACGGTACAACCGTGCTTCAACATCCTCCGCCAACTTCAGCGCTGCACCCTCTCTCTCCCACACCCCAGGCTCTACGACCAGCTTCTCGATGCCCTATACACCTGCAACAACGAGGCCTCTCCCACCCAGGACGAACCCTCACACGCATAGCGCATCCTACCATGCCAAGTCTGTCGATCTAGTCACTCCTCTTACCTACACCACGAGCAACAGCCCGCCTCAATATTCCTTCAAGGCCCTTCCCGTATCGACAACATCGAAAGGAACGGTCGAAGGCGAGATCCTCTATGAAAAGTCGCCCATCCCGTCCATCTCGCCCGCCAACAGTAGCTTGAGGCAATTGTTCGCTTCTACGCCTCGTTGCAGCTAGGCTTGTAGTACCTAGTACAGCGGTGTCGTGTCGTCAATGATACCAAAGTCTCGGTGCTCGATCATCAATTTGCGTGGTTTTCTCCCATCCCCTGTTCACTGCATTTCGGGGCATCGACATCCATCCTGGCGGCATCCAACAGTATCATATTTATGAGCCTTTTTATTTTCCATTCTCCTCCAATCCACGTGCGTCATTGCCCTACCTCGGATCGAACTCAGATAAATAGCGCAACCCGACGCTAGTTGCGTTTGCGCAATCGCATTCCATAATGTGTTCTGCTATGCTGTGCTGTGCTGGCGTAGCACAAAACCTTATCTTTGGAGGAACCATCATCCCTTATTCCCATGCTCATTGAGCCTTTTATTTTCTCTCCTCATGTTTTACCAAATCATCGGCGCAAGTAGAGGGATTTTCCACCACAAAAGTTATGGATTGGGCGTTCTTCCTGCTTGTTCTGCTTGTTCTGTCTTTTCACTTTCTACCCCATTTGATTTTTACTTTCATCCAAATACGATTCCACATGTTAGTAACGACAACAAGACATTCATGATTGTTGCGATTACATCCACGAACGACCTATACATGCGCCATATACCACCACAACAACGACATTTTACATTTACCGAGTGAGCTGGGCATCATTACCTCATAAGGGAGGAGGACATTCGAGTTCCCTTTTAGATTTAGGCTACATTTTTTTATCCTACCTATCACATCATATCTTAATATAGAGAAAGCTTAAAGTGACCATTTTAAGCCATTGAATAATATAGACCACCCCCCCATCATCTAAACTCCTTCATGTTGTTTGAGCCATTTTGTGCCCGCTGGATTGAATTAGTCACTTGACTGCAGTTGGAATCGTGTCATGCCGACAAACTGTCTGTACCCTGGTTCTCTAGTGAGTCTTGTCGCTTCTCTCTCCAATTGATTGACCTGATTTCTTATTTGGACGTACTAGATTATTAAAAAAACGAACAGTAGTTATTATTAGGAAGTGCTTGTATTCTTGCTATGTGAAGTGTCGTAATTAGGTATTCAGTGCTTTCATTAAGCTACATCTCCCCAACTACAACGAGTCCTAAAAATTTGGCTTGATATCAAGGTCATCTTATACAAGCATCTAGACAATTCATATACTAGCAGGCTTTACTAAGAAGTACTGGCATAGAAACTGCTGCGCAAGGTCAGGGAGCTAAAGACGAATCGAACCAGAAGTTGAACATACTTACCACTACATTTCCCAAATCTACACGATGATTACAGGCACGTATCAAGAACGAATCAAACCGAACTTCAAACGGATTTTGGAATACGTCGGAGTTTTAGAGAACATTATGGCCTGCCATATGGTGCTATGGTAACATAAGTAGTAGTAGCGTCCGCTAGTTTTTCCTCCATACTTATAAGTTATAACTACATATAGCCGAGACGACAACCGGGTTCTCGAGAGACCTCACCTTCCCCTCACAATGCATCATGACCGAACACCCATCATCGCCTCCTACAATTCTACAGGCCACCACCCCCCGAATCCGTGCCTCCAAGGCTTGTCGGAGATGTCACGACAAGCGTGTCAAATGCGACGCCAGTGAACGCGGAACACCATGCACTCGCTGCGAACAAAGGCGAGAGCCCGAATGTACACTCATTCAGTCACGAAGGGGCATATACCCTCGCAAAGCACGCCGACAAATTCAGCGTTCCACTCTCGACAAATCACACAACACGGCCACCATTGGATGTGATCCAAATACTGCTCCGACCACAACCACCTCGGCACGGGACACCAATGCTGCAAGCAATACGGAACCTCTCCGTATGCCAGTAGTAGTGCCAGACTCTGCTGATATCACCACGCCCAGGACCACAGTAGAACCAGCTGCGAGCAGTCCACATGCCACTCATACGAACCAGTCAACTTCATATCGTGAGGTCAGCTGGGCAACTACGTTCAATCACTTGCTAGAATGTCATCACAGTGGAGGTGATGTCTTGAACAAGCATTCCATTACTTACATTGGTGAGGCCTCTCCTCTTGACATCGTCCTTAAAGATCTTAGAAGAGGTACTGGGCGTCCTCAGCTTCATCACCCTGCTCCTCCGTTTGCAAGTGAGGAAGTCGCCGATTCTCCTCGTGTCTCGCATCCCGCAGGAATGCAGCCCGAGGAGATTGCCTTTCTTGAAGCGAAAGAGGCATTCACCGCCCCGCCTAACCAAACTATGGATGCACTCATGGATATTTTCTTCGAGCGTGTCTTCCCTCTCTACCCAATCGTCAATCCACAGGAGCTACTCCGGCAGCACAAGGCACATCAGATCCCCTGGATGTTGCTACACGCTCTCTGCTTTATCTCTGCCACTTATTGTCCTATGCAGATCCTCCGCCGTGCGGGATTCGATAGCAGGCTAGAGGCGCGATCTTTATTTCATGGAAAGACAAAAGCTTTGTTTGACATCGGCTACGAGGGGAACAAAATTGTAGCCCTTCAGGTCTGTATTTTGATGAGTTTCTGGGGCGGAGGTCCGAGCAACTACTGGAACTTTTACACATGGATTTGCACGGGAGTGACTATAGCCGAAACCTTGGGTTTCCATAGGTCCATGGCAGGGGCCATGATCGAACCGCAAGACAGAAGTCTGATCAAGCGTTTGTGGTGGGTCCTAGTCATAAGAGACGCGACCTGCGCTTCTCTTGTAGGCCGACCCTTCCGGATCAACCTGGACCACTGTGATGTTGATCCATTGACCGAGGAAGACTTGCGGTATGACGGGTCCTCGACTGAATTCCTGCAAAGTCCTCACGTACAGTGTTCTGGCCTCTACCAGATCCATGCAACAAGGCTGTCGTTGATCCTCCGCCACATCATCACAACTCGCTTCTATCCCCGCAAGCAATTCGCAACAGAATCCTTGCAGCAGATGCTGTTAGATTGGCGAAATGACCTCCCTGCAGAATTGAGATGGTCTGACTTCGCCAGCAATCACCTCAACGTATTTGCATCAACACTTTGCATCCTATATAATCACAACATAATTTTAGCACACGTCAATGGACCCACGGATTCTGCCCCAAACGATCCAGAAGGAGCAACCTCGCACACATTCTTCGGAGAGGAGGTTGCCAGTGACGCAGCCCAACAAATTGCGTCTAGTGCTTGTTCCGTCGTCACTGACCCAAACGCCTTACTTCCTCCGCACGAGCTCTTCCACGGCCTCTTCATCGCATCGGTAGTCTTCTACATGCAGACAAAGAGCGACAATAGAAGCACTGCTAGGCTGGGCATGTCAGGCCTTACGAATTGTAAGATGGCCCTCCACGCTACGCGCGAGACATGGGACGCAAGTCCGTGGATATCGCAACTGTTCGACAAGATCTTGTGTATCTCCACGGCCAACCGTCGAACCAATACAGAAAATCTAGGCAACGATACGGATACGCGGGCGGAGATTGACCCCAGCATCGGCTCCCTTGACCTGAACGGGTTTCCGCTTCCAGAGCCCAACGAGTGGCCCAGCCAACTGTTCTTGGGTAATATTTTCGACATCCCATCGAACTCGACCTTTTCAATGCCGTATCCGTTCGCTGCCATGATGTAATGGTTCTTCTTCTGGTTATCGTAATGTCACAGTCCTTCGTTTTCTTGGCCACTATCAAACATCGTATCTATCGTCGAACTAGGGTGTTAATAATCTTCGAGACCCCAAAACCCCCACTTCTCCTTATGTGATTGGATCATGAATCAATGCTGTTGTAGCCAGTGCGTCGGGTCTGTCCTAGTGACAGAAGTTGCATGGCTTTTGATAGTGTGTATGATCGTGTGTGAGCATAAGGCAGTTGATGCCTTCACTGTATGTTTGTTCTGTACTCAACAACCAAGGAACGTCAATCACAGCAAATCTGGGTCTACCATCTCTCGAGACCGCTTGAGACAGCTTTAGGATCTGTGTGTTGCACTCTTGCTGCAACGCGAAGGTCTTGCAAAAAGACAGCCACCTTTCTCCTCACCACGCCTAGATGAGTACTGATGGTGTTGTGGTCATGATTGCTAGAGACTTTAGCTTAGACGCCCATGGTCAGAAAATACGAAAGCTCTGCAAAACTATCAATGAGATAGTAAGGAGCGCAGGTTCGGTGTTTCGCTGATGGAATAGGCCCCTCCGTAGATGTTTTTTGTAACACAACGGCCGGTTGGTTGGCCACCGCGCCATTCGGCTTCTTTGGGGACAACCCAGAAGCATATAGCCGCACTTCATCGAGGTAGATGCAACACTATCCATTTTGGATGCGCCAATAACCATGACGCGCACTCTTGTTATAAGTACTCCCTAGGATAAGGATATAGGGTCATCTGTTGCAGCACTTTAAAGAACATTACGGACAGTCCATTGTGCTAATCAAACTGTATACCGTTGCAAGATGTCTCTACTACTACTCGAAAACAGGGTGATTATGTATATTCTCCCCCGAGATCCACACATTCCTCAATCTAAGGAGACTGTACTAATGGCGGATTCCAAAGTATCACAGGGAGTAGCTCAGGCATTGGGCGCGCTACGGCCATCGAGTGCGCGCGCCATGGCGCCAGGCTCGTTCTACACCACATTGGAGACGAGCAATCACGACAAGATATCAAAACACTGCAACATATCATATCTTCTGATCGAAGTGAGGTTCAGACCTCTGGGCAGAGAGCAGTCGAGATTGCGCTGGACATACGAGATGTCGATGCTGGGCAGCGGTACGTGATGCATACCCCTTCTCCAAACATACGAGGGCCAGCGAGCTGTAGTCCTTGGCTGACGCGTCTCTGCACTTCAGTCTTGTCGATAAGGCCATCTGCTCGTTCGGCAAGCTTGATTCCATCGTGCACAATGCGGGTATCTGTCAGTTCTCAGACTTCATGGCTGTGACACAGGAGCAGCAGGAACGACATATGGCGATCAATTACACAGCTGCCTTCCGCATCACGCAGAGTGTAGTAGAGCACATGATATCCCAAGGAAAGGGAGGGTCTGTGGTCAACATCGCGTCTGTGACCGCGACGGCAGGCTCGTCACAGCTTGTGCACTATGCGGCATCCAAGGCCGCCCTGCTCGGGATGACAGTGAGCAGTGCGGTGGCATTGGGCAAGTATGGCATAAGAGTCAACGCGGTGAGCCCGGGAACGATTGAGACAGCAATGAATAGGGACGATCTGAGTGGTGCAAAGAAGAGTGTTATGGAGCAAAGGGTGCCATTGGGACGACTCGGGAAACCGGACGATGTTGCACGGGCTGTCGTGTTTTTTGTGAGTAGCTTGTCAGAGTATGTCTCGGGGCAGAATTTGATAGTTGATGGCGCTGCTACAATAAGCTATCAGTGAGAGATATAATTGATGCAGGTTTCAAATACAGCCCAATCATGAATCTGGGTTGTACATATACCATGCAAGAGTGTTTGAAGACATTTGAGAGCTAAAGCCGTGTACGACAAGAACGGTTGATTCTATTTTCACATGGGTAGGTAGATCGAGCTAAGCAAAAGTACACACTGTTGTCAGCGAATGCCCTTCATCATTTCCATCTCTCTATTTTGTTTATAGGAACAACTGGGCTTGACACACTGGGCTCTTTTACATCCACCCGAACAAACTGTTGTGCTCCTGCTCCGCCTGGTATCTGGAGCAATCTGAAAAGATTCGTTTATGGGTCACCAAGAATCTGGGTTTGTGGCGAACAATACACAATAGGGCTGTCACCCAGGGATTGCGGTCAGCGATACACTATGAGGCAAAGTACTCTGTTGAATTACCCTTCGTATATCGTGTGTTATGCCTGCGAGACTCACCCTCTTCATACTCAATTGTCAATGTTATACAAGCCAGAACCACGTCTAGTCGTCATTGGTAGGAGAGTTTCTAGTATTCGCGCAGCTATTCTATCAGTGATGATCGATTACTTAGAATCCTCTTTCAGAGGATTTCTATCTACTTCTACGAGAAATGCACAGACATGACTAACTTGGTAATGGCACCATCCACCCATGTACTGCTGCGCCCGCATTCCAACGTTTTCGGGTGGATCGTCGATCATTGTCCTGGGTGCCGATGTACTCAGATTGCAATTCGCAGAACTTTCAGGACTCGGGCCCTCGGATCTCCTTCCACGGCAAAGAAAGCGAATTGAGTGGAGAGTTCGTTGGACGGGCGGCCATGTATGAGGTGAGGAATTTCGGCCTTGAAGCCGGTTCGGCTTTCGACAGTGTGTTATCGAAATGTGTCCGACTATCATATATCTGCATAGATTGGCGAATCAAATGTTATGTCACATCATTTCAATAGACCAAATTGTGCGATGAAAGCTATGAATATTTCATGTGATGTATTAATGACGTCCTCAACGGCAGGCATACGATGCTAATAGATAATGTAGTCGTTGGTGTCACTCGCAGCCAATCCGGTCGTGTACCATATAGCCGGATTCCCATCAGTCGGGGACAAACAGTATTGATTTAAGAAGCCGAAGAAGACTCCCGCATTACCAATTCGAGCACAACATTGGATATGTGCCCATTATGGAATAATTCATCACACTGGGGGTCGATCGCGTACTGTAATACTTCCTTCAGTCACCTACATTCAATGCTTCCGCCGCGCCTACGCTCGTAACCCTCTTCTAATATTCTACTTCATGTCGTCAAATTGAATCTAGAACCACGATGACTAACACTATTGCAGTGCATACCTGACTATAGAAGTGACTAGTTGTTGAAAGATTCACTACTTGATTTTCTACCGTTGACCAAGAAATAAAAGACACTACTATTGCCGGTGTTGTTGGACTACGCAAGACAAAGCGAAGCTACAGCAAAGCCGCACCGTTGATTTTTATTAGGTTTTCGCTGAATGATGTTGTATGTGATACTCAAGATCTATGATTTGAGTGCAGTATATTGACGTTTATCCACTGGCCCAGAAAGTGACCTTACACACACATAAATGTACGCTATATGCTGAGAACATATTGGATAACTTCGAAAGAGTGGGGGTTTCCGGGAAAAAGATAAATAACAAAACTCGATCAATTGTGGTGAGATAACTCAATCAACCCTTCTTACTTCGGGAGGCCACAATACTATAGGAGACCCTATTCAATACGGCATATCATTACTGAAGCGTACTATAACCAAGCTGATACAGGTGGCAGCATTTTTGCAGTTCTCATCCTATCCCACGTTATGATATAACCCTTGACTGTGTCGATCTCCTCCGCAAATCCAACCGCACGGCTTCTGCTAAGGTCATATTCTCTGTTGAAATCGAATTGTACGAGCATGAAGTGCACATGGCCCCAGTTCTGTTCCTCAACGACCTTTTCCTTAAGCCCATATTTGTCCACAAGTACCTTCCATGCCTTGTCGTTACTCTTAACGAACGTCTCCATTGGGACTGTGTTTTCTATAGGACCTTGCCCCTTTAGACCAAAGTGCTCGGCCAGCTTGGGCCAAACTTGGGCCCAAGTGACAGTCTTTCCGTCCGCGACATTGAAAACACCGCCATTGCCGCACTTGTCAATGTTTGCTGCGGCATATATCTCCATTTTCGCCAGTATGTCTTGAAATGTATCTGTATGGGTTGAGTGGTAGCCATGCTCTTCGCCTGGAAACGGCACAACAGCATCCTTGCCATGAACCTCTCTGTAGATTGAGAGGTAAAGAGCTATACCTTGCGCCATGTTCATTGCATTCGATGTCGGTGTAAAACCCACAATGCCATCGGGTCGTACTTCAGAGAAAGTCCATGCCTTCCCCTCGGAAAGCTTGGCAAGAAGATCGTACTGGGTATAGTAAAAGATCTTACTGGCGTAGGGCTCGGGAATTCGAGGCATGTCCTCACGGAGAGGGGGATGAATTCCGACTTCCTTCGGAAACTCCAAGCCATAGCTATAGTGTTTATTAGAAGCACATCTTGATGGTAAATGGGATCAGGGGAGATTTACCCTTTACCCCCAGTCTGTAGAATGATTGTTTTCAACTTAGACGAGACCTGTTCAACAGCTTCCACCGCCACTTTCAAAAGATCGCAATTGATCTTCTTCAGACTCTCGAAATCTCCAGTTTGTATGTATGCTGTTGGTAATATTAGAATACCGCCAAAAAGTATACTACTGCAAAGAGTTCATACCTGCGTAGAAAACGTGTGTAATGCCCTCTGCGTCTTCAATTTTCTCTTTCAACAGTCTCGCAACTTCTTGAACCGGTTTGGTAAGATCAATGCCGTTGACAAGGTTGTATCTAGAATCCGTATGGAGTTGGGCTTGTTCAAGCGTAAGAGGTCGGTTTGATAGACCAGTGATCCTGGAAAATGTAGTAGGGCTGGGGTAGTCTTTAAGCTGGTTGAGCAGAGACCATCCCGAAATACCAGAAGCTCCAAAAACCAGAGCGTGAGACATGGTGTTCCTTGAGAAAGTAGCTACAGTGTCGATGATTACTCGAGGCGTATGGGGTTTGAAGCAAATTGTTGGTCGCTTGGTTGCACAGCATTTATATTCTTGCGCCACACAGTAGAAAGACAAGGCCGGGCGTTGCTCTAGCAAATAGCCGGCCCTGCCCGCAATCTCTCTTTGCGATTGAAGTCATGGGACCATCAGTCGAAATTTCACCAAAAGGAAGAATTTTTATATCTAGGTTTCTTATGTTGTAGGATTGATAAGCAAGAGGGATTTCAGTAACCGAACCCCGAGTAACCGATATCAACCCTGGATACGCAAGTTGCCGAATGTCTCATTACACCGAGGAGAAGAAACCTAAAGAGAAGTTAGGTGAACATAAACATACTATCGATTATGATATTCAGTCTATTCATGGTTCACATGAATGAAATCTAGCTAAGAATCTTACAAACGATATCGGACTTGTTAGATTTTTCTACTCAGAAAGTAAATATTCTCCAGCAAATAATATAACAAAAGGACACGTACGACAATAGCTGGAAGATTAAAAACAAAATGTTCAGCAGGAACGCCAGAAACGAACGCTAATCAAAATTACTACCCATCGAAGAAATCCAAGCAAGATATATAATGTGATAGAGTAAGAAGTGGTACGTTACATTATCAAGGATATCCTCCTGGTTATCATGTGTTATCTTATGTTGCTTCATTTCTGTCTAGTAACTCTACCTACGACAGGCCTTTTTATGCTATAAACATAAATGATATTCTACCTAGGTATGCTTTCATATATGACATATTCTGATTGTTATGTAACTACGTAATTGCACCCTACCTATACTTTGGTTTAATGCCCTACTTCGGAAACCAAGTGCATGTTAGCGATAAACGGGTTTCAAGGTTCTACGAGTAGATAGTAGAAATGCAACGTTCGCACGTAAGTATCAAGGTTGTCTTGAATTAGTTGTAGTATTATCACTATTGGGTAGGAAATCTCGGCCTTTGTCCACGTTAGAGGTGGCTATTGTGAAGTCCTGGGCAGGGAGGTGACACGTAGAAAATTCCGAGGAGAAAGAATTTGCTGTTCTCCTGACTGAGGAGGTTTTCCTCCCTGGATAAGAACCTCTTACAGTTGAACGCATTCCCATAATGTACAGACCTACTGCCTTCCCCCTCTATCTAGGAGGAAGCTTCTACAAAACATGTGCACGACGGCTCATTCTCCATGACTGACCAGAAAAGGATTAGAGATGACTGTATCGGGAGTATGCAAGTAGTAATCTTACGCAAAGTGTTTCCATGGACACGCCTCCACATTACTTAAAAGGGCAATGGGAGTGCTATAAGAGATCACTGTTGATACACGATGGACTTTCATCACGGTTACTGTCTGATCCTTCAGATCATCCAATAAATGCCGAGACTTATTTCCATGAAGTTAAAACATCGCGAAGCTGCAGGATGAATGTTTCTCAAAAATCAAATACTAGCAACGCGTCGGTCAATCCAACAGTCGAGGTATATGATAAAATTGCAGTGAGTGAGCGTGGCTGGTGACAAACTTCAACACGTAGCCTCCTGAGAATACACGAGGTAAAAGTATATTGTCGTCGCGGTCTAATATAATGAATGTGATACTTGATACCCCTATTCAACCTACTACAAATGGCACCCCAATACGTCTGATCAGAGCTCACCACTTAGCAACTGTAGATGAAAGACTTCGGGCCAGTTGGGCGGGGGCAGACATCCTCAGAAATGAGGTCCGTGGTGCACACACCAATCTTAGCAACGCCGGCTGGTTCCTTGCACTCAGTATCCGAGTAGAGTGTAACTTATCATGCTTAGCGCTGGACTTTTATATACAGTTGTACTCAAACTCACCGACACAGCTGTCCTTCATTGTAGCTTCGGGCGTGAATGCAGCTGAAACGCTGCCAACGGGGTATTTTTTGTCCTGATGCAAGGTGCGACACTTCTGAGTGTCTTGTTGTAGAACAACATACTGCATCGAGAACCCGTTGAATATCTGGTCCTGACACATGCTATTGCCATAGGTAGTAACCTCAATTTGAACTGGGTTTGGCTCTTGACGGCTCTCGAGAGGAGCCGCTCCCGTGGCGGCGAAGGTAGCCAAGGAGACGATAAGAGTAGTGAAGTGCATGTTGGTAGGATGATATTGTCGTACGGGAAACAGTTGAGGTAAGGGCCGAATAGTTGCACGCGATTGTTGAGTTCAGCAGCTATGAGAATTCTTCTCATATTTATATGTTTGGTTCAACCAGCCTCCGTTCCATCTGACCAGAGAGCAAACTTATTTCGTTGTGTGACTGCTATAGACAGAGAGGAGGCTGCAGGTCCAATACTCAACAAGACAAATTATTCCGCCAACAAGAGGTTACAACCATTGATTTTCGAAGCAACACATATGAAGCCGTAAGAAGGCACTGTCAAACAGTCTCTACCATATGACTTTTCCCAGCAGGCTGAACTGCTTGGGCGTAGCCATGCATCTATCGACTTCTTGGGATCGTGTACCACTCTGGCAATGAACCCTTGTTAGATAATTCTTCCGCCGATCTCGTTGACTGCATGGATGGTGGAAACAACAGCATTCCACTCTAAATCAATACGTCCAGTGACTTCGTAGTTTCTCGTATCGCGTATTCGCTTCACGATCAGTGTAAGATACAATAGAGTTGCAGCCGAACACACGGCTGCCTTTCATCCGGGGCTCCATAACCCGACTATGCGCGAATCTGTATTTGGAAAAACCCTCCGGTCATATGCGTTTGGTAATATAGATAAGATTGATTGGTGGGGAAGTGGGAGTGGATGTGGGGGAGAGGTGGAGAGAGATAGAACTACGTAGACGCAAATGGGGATACAACAAAAGTCCTCAGTTTTACAGAGCTACTCGGGATAGAAAGATTTTCGATATACACTCAATCAGATGGTTTTCTAATTTCCGACCCTTCGAATCTAAACCTCGGCGAAGAGGAGTAGTGTCTCTGAGATTTGGTTATTCGGTGAAGATTTGTTACCACCTTAGCATTTAGAGAAGTGTTGATTTCAGTTAGGGCTCCTAGGTGGTAGGCATTAATAATATTAGTAATGTAACAACCTATTCGTTACTTACCTGTTTCCGTAGATAGGGTTTGTGGTAGATCTAATTGGTTTAGGAAGCCGATTACATTTGTAAAGTTAAATCAAGATGCTTGACTGCCATTGCGTGCGAGATTGAGTAAGCCCATAACATGAGAACTAATAATCTTGAATGTCCCTTTCTTGCAGATTCGAATTGGGCTGCTTAACGTCTCGGATTTTGTCCTTGATCGCCTTGAACATCGCAAAGCTGACCCTCATATCTGACCGAATGCCCTCCTGCCTTGTTCTATTCCTACAGGTTCCCGCCTGGTAACAAATAAGTGGAAAACATTGTTGAAAGGCGCCCGTTTTTCTTTTTGAAGTTGGAGGCGAACACTAGAGTAACAGCGTGCGGCCTCGAAGAAGAACACTACTCGTATGATCTTGGAGCCCCAATCCCCTGCAGAGACCATGGTTGCATGGTTACATAATGTGCTCATTCTGCACGTGGCAGTAAAATCCCCGGACCAATGACGATTAACCCTAACGAATGATAATGTAAACACTCGAACACGCAAAGTAGAGGAAAACAGCCCCTGTCTATAATAGAAAGTCCATTATTGAAAGGATTTAACTCATTCTTGCAAGTAATTGTATGAAGTTTCCCTACAGTAGGCCGAGTTGTACCCGAGACTCAGGCGCCGGAGCTATCATAAGATTGGGCATTGAGGATAAATCCGTAGCCCATTATGTACCATCATGGCTACGTAGACAATAACGGTATTGTTGGAAGATATCGGTGATTCCATAATCAACTTGCCCATTTAGGAAGTACCAGGAATGTTGGGATGCGCTCATGTGATAGTGAACACTGCATGTAATAATACCGTTCCAACTTTTCTTGACTGGGCGCACTCGTTCATCTTCCCTGATTCAATGAATTGGACACGGAGGATATGCCGCCGTGTACATGTGCCCCCTGTATGCCGCAGACAGGAATGAATGTACGATTCCCGCTAGTAGAAGGTAAGGGGGCCTACAGACTCCAGGAAGACTTTCGAATGCAACGTCTTCATTTATCCGGCGAGAGAAAGCCACGAGATCAGGAGAACCGCAAGCCTCTTTCTCCTCGGAATCTTTTACCATCATGCTTCAAGATTCTTGCTCCTAACGTGGAAAAAATCAATATATTTCACTTAAGAGGATGGTTCCACTGCTAGCCCAATAGAATCTTGATATCTGTGTACATGATTTCTTTGTCTACGGGTAGAATGTTATATCGCGTAAATCGCTACTGTGCACAAGTTTCCTGAAGCAAAGTCTTCTTTACAATAACTTATTAACAAGAATGATTCCATATTAATAGAAGTGCGTGAATGCACCAAACATAATAGCTGAACCAGGAAAGATAACAGCTTCACTTACAGTATGGACAGAGGCGTATCGTGGATCTAACTACTGGTAACGAGAAATAAATACAAAGCAATAGGTGTTATATCTAAGAGAGTATTCTTAAATCATACTGATGCGTGGCGTACGTCTGTTCAAATGATTCCATACTGTGACTTACACATGAATACATAATTCTAACTTGGTGTTCTTCGATGGCTAGCATTATCTTGAGCCACCAATTTGTCTTTGGTATCTATTTGCCTGACATGACGTTTGACCGACTTCTATACATTGCTGGCAGCTGGCAGGCATGAACAGAGCATGGGCCGCGAGCAGTTGGACTTGAGTGCATTTTCGGTGACAGCATGTGTTACTTATCGTTGTTACCCGGAAGTCGTAGGCTCACAATAGGAAGAAGCTGCGCACCTTCCAGGACTCCGTTGGCTTCGTTCTAGCTTAGTTGCGAGGCAATTATTCGTTAGTAACCCCAGCCGAAGGAATGCGATAGATGGCGGAGAAGTGCTGCAAATCCAACCCACCTCATAAACGAAAAAGTCAGGAATCAGATTGTCTATCGATCCAAACTGACCAAATGGCCAATCATACTATGCCAAGCCATATGAAGCAGTCATCAAGGTCTGTTCTCTGCTGTTGAAAGTCAGAGTGCATGCTTGTCCAACACCGGATTCCCCCCCTCACCCGGCCCTACACAATCAATGTACGTAACCAGCATCTGTAGAACCTTATCACTCACCCACCTTCTTATTTAAACATTACCCCCACTACTACTCCTGCCGTAGGTGTAATTCATACTTCTTCTACAAAGAGATCTTTCACCGTCGATTCCGCCAGTCCCTTATTCATTCCGGATCTGATAGAAATTGCTCCTTCAATTTGCAGCATGTCGGCTACTACGCATCCTTACATTACACCTGGAGATCATAAAGCGTTCATGGAGTACGCCGTGGTTCAGGCTCGACTTTCGCCACCAGGACCGGACAAGTTTTGTGTGGGCGCCGTACTTGTCGACGGTAAACCCGGTGCGATCCTCTAAACGGGTTATTCAATCAAACTCCCCGGCTACATGGAGGGTGACATGGGCAGCACACACGCAGAGCAGTGCTGCTTCGTCAAGATTGCCCAAGGTCACGGCCTTTCAGCTGTGCGCGCCGAAGAGCAATCATCGACCAGCTTCCTGCCAACACACTTCTGTACACCACTATGGAACCTTGAAATGTAAGACTGAGTGGCAATCGCACCTGCTGCCACAGAATTGTAGCTCTAAAGGAGAAGCTGGAGACCGTTTATGTGGGTATCCGAGAGCCGAACACGTTCGTTGTCGACAATGATGGCAAGAAGCGTTTAGAGGCTGTGGGCATCGGATTTGAGATGGTTGAGGGGGCCCATGACCTTTGCTACGAGGCGGCTATGAATGGTCATGCTAAGTAGGCTGAGGTACTCCACAGAGTCCTCACAGCAGCATGATCTCTAAGGTGTTGGATGTTGGGTATCCCCATTACTCCGTTCCTAGTGGACTATTATTATTTTTCTTCGAGATAACGAATGAAAAGAGACCGCCAGTTGATCCACGTCATATGGACCATGCAGTGTCCAGACGCCACTGCCGTGCGTGTATGCGTGTGCGAGCGGCTTGGCTCACCAGACCCACCGACCCGCCTCACTGCTTAAGTTGCCTGGCCTGCCACAACTACGAGGTGTCTTGTTGTTGTATCTTGATTCTTTCTTTACCCTGCAGCCCCGCTACACACTGCACAGTACGTTCTGCCCTGCACAATTTCCAAAGTTAGAGGCTACATGGGCCCAAAGGTCATCATCCATTCCTATCATGTCGTAGCTAATCGTTCTGTCCTTCCATTCGATGGATCCTTTCACTGCGCTCACCCTGGCAACTTCAATCGTCCAATTTGTGGACTTTGCGACTAAAATAGTCCATGGAACTCGTCAGATCTATCAGACTGGTGAGGGCGTAGCAGAAGAAAATGCAGACATAGAGTTATGCGCTTCTGAGCTACACAACCTTTGCACTTGCCTGGATGTCTTGAAATTGCCATCTCCGAGAAGCGCAGACGACGATACACTTTGTCGCATAGCAGATCGCTGTATATCCGTCTCGATCGAGCTTTCGTCTCTCTTGGAAAAGGTCAAAGCAAAAGATCCGCATTCAAAATGGCAATGTATGGTTTCTACAGTCAAAACTCAGCTTAAGAAGAGCGAAAGGGACGAGATTCTCGCCAGGTTGTCTCAATTCATGGCAGAACTCGACAGCCAGCTTTCCCGCCTGACCCAGTAGGTCTATCTCCCCCTTCCTAGCCAAGAATGATAATTGACGCCAGTATAGGATTGACAAAAAGAGCTTTCAGGAGCAAGTCATCTTGTCTCTTCAGTCGAACGATCAAGCTTTAGGAAACCTTGTCAACCACATTCAAAAGCTGAGATCTAACGTTAGCATTTCGTAGTTGAGCCAATATGCCGAAATACAACTGCGCCAAATATTCACTCTCCCAGAGAGAACTCAGGTGCTCATCACTGACCGTCGAATCATCAATTTGCTGCTATTCGAGGACATGAACGAGCGGTTCGTCGATATCTCCAAAGCCCATGGAGGAAATTTTGCTTGCGCTCTAAATGATCGGAGCATTCACGATTTTGAGAGTGAGATGAACCTAGAAAGACACTCACGAGATGTGCTAACTTCAACGCTAGACAAATCGTCCGCACAAGCTCATGATTCAGTCGAGGTGCTCGTGAAACCGTTGTTGCCCATGAAAGAGCATGATTCGGATCTAAATTGCGATGAGAAAACCGTGGATAAAAGTAGTAATCTTCCCTACTGGTTAGAAAGAGGTGCCGGCATTTTCCACCTTACTGGACCTGGTTCCGGAAAGTCTTCTCTGATGAAATACTGTGGGACCATCCCAAGACTGCATCATACTGTGGTACTTGGGCTACACCTCAGAAACTCGTTATGGCAAGATACTTTCTTTGGAAACAGGGCACGAGGAAGCAAGAAACTACAGGTGGACTCTGCCGGCCTCTTCTTCACGATATCCTTGAAGAATGTGCCGAGTTGATCCCATTGGCTTTGCCAGAGTTATGGAAACAAACAGCATCTACGCCGTGGCAGGTTGAGCTCAAGTACCAACTACGAAAGGAACAAGTCTGCCGAGCCCTTACTAAACTTCTTTGCGATCCCACCAATAGCCACACTCATCATTTCGTCATCTTCATCGACGGTCTTGACGAACTGGAAGAAGAAAACTCTGACTATGAAGACCTCATTGCGCTGGTTTTTCAGTGGATACAATCAAAAACCAAGCATGTCAAGCTGTTTGTCTCAAGTAGACCACTTCAAGAGTTTGTAGACGCATTTTCTGAGGACCAGAGGCTTTGCCTAGATCAACACATTCGTAGAGATCATAACTTGTTTCTTCTTGATCGGCTTCAGGCTTTCATCTCGGCAGAAGACCCGCCGCTTCCTAATCAGTCACAGCGGGATGTCGAAGGCTCCAGAGCAGAACTATCAAAATTCACAGATCGTATTACTCAGATGTGCTCTGGCGATTTCCGAAAGCTATTGTGGGTATGGAAAAGAATGAGGCAGCTGATGCACGCCGGATCAGACCCCATCTCAGTCACAGGGAGACTTCCGTCGCTATCATCGTCTGACATAGGTGTCTTAGTGAGGAACTTGGACACACTGGAGTCTGCTTTCAGTCGGGTCAATTTGGATGACTGGTCTGAACATACGCCTGGGTTCTCGGGTAAACGGTCACTCATTAGTTCAGGCAGGGTTATAGATCGCGATGCATTTCCAACTGGAGCCGCCTACCAGTTGCTTACCGATACGGAAACCGTAGGTCATGAATAAATACTACGAAGAAGACAGATGCGTGAGATAGAGACGCATCTTGAAATATATGGCGCCTTGGAGGACGATCTTTTCGCCGCAAAGGATGCACGAACGAAAGGGACCTGCGAGTGGTTCTCTTCTAAGCCATCATACTGCCGCTAGCGCAATCTCTCATGTTCAGACTCAAGGTTGCTCTGGGTTACAGGAAAGCCTGCAGCGGGTAAATCCATCCTTGCTGGGAATATGATCGAAGAACTCCAGGGTAATGGCGAGGGATGCAGTTTCTTCTTCTTCAAGTACGCTGATCTATCTCAATCACAGGTCAGCACGTACCTGAGATCACTTGCGTCCCATATGGCCAGCCAACAAGCATCGGTTAGAGAGAGCCTATGGGAGGCTCTCCGGGAAACTGCTGGACCCGTTAGCGACACCAACAACGAGCGTTTGCTTTGGCATAAGCTGGTCGTAAATGCCATCTTCAAAACTAGCCTAGGCAAATACTTTTGGGTTATAGATGGCCTAGACGAGTGTGAAAATGCCGCCACCGCCTTCAAAACTTTATTGAGCGACTTGGATGATGAGATCCCGCTCCGCATTCTGGTGACAAGCTGGGACACGCAGACGCTGCGTACAGCATTTGCCGAGCTAGGGTCAGAACGTTATTGTCACGAATCGATATCAACTATCGACACGCTTCCAGACATCAGGTGCTTTGTTGGAGCAAAGTCTAAAGCCCTCATATCCATGAATGACGAAACTAGAGCCGCTTTAGTTGAGAAAATTGTTTTAAAATCCGAAGGATCGTTTCTGTGGACTTCACTTGTGCTTGGGGAATTATCCCACTCTTACAGTGAAGATGAGATCAATCAAGTTCTTGACGAAATCCCGAAAGACATGGGTCCACTCTACCGTAGGACGTTAGATATGATGTCCCAGTCTGCAGGCGCAAAGCACATTACTAAGTCGACTATCATGTGGACAACCTGCGCAACAAGGCCACTTAAGTTAAATGAAATTCAAGAGGCGCTCAATTACACCGGTCACGACAGAATAACGAACCTAGAAGCAATGCTCCAAGCAACTTGCAGTCAACTGCTGATGGTTGACCGACATGGGAATGTCCAACTGGTGCATGAAACGGCACGCGAGTTTCTTTTGGGCGAGAGCCTTGATTCCGAGTTCGCGGTTCGCAAAGTAGCGGCGAATACACAGCTTGCGAAAGCGTGTCTACAGTACTTGTTAAGTGACGAAATGAAGAGACCTCGGTCAGTACGGCGTCTGAATACCAATGCGACCACCAAGAAGCAGATTCCCTTCTCTGACTACCTTTTTCAATTTCTCAAGTCACCTGGTGCAGGCCGATGGTAACTTGTCGAGTACCTAAGCAAGTTTCTGGATACGAACGTCCTGACCTGGATCGAAGTAGTTGCTCGTACTCGTAACCTCAGCAACCTTGTTCAGACTTCCAAACACCTGAAAGAATACTTCGCGCTCTGTACTGCCCCTATGGATCTTAATTTTCTACAAACGTGGTCCACTGATCTCATACGTATCTCCGCTCGGTTTGCGGACGCACTGGTCGCATGCCCACCAGCAATATTCGCTCTGATCCCTCCACTATGCCCAAATAACTCGGCCATTTACAATAGTGTGCATCAAGGCCGCGGATTTAAGATTTTGGGCTCTTCGAACTCCGATTGGGGGAACCGACTTACTTGCGTCGACTTCCGGTCTCCGACAAGCTCCCTATGCCATGGACACGACTATTTCGCCGTTGGTTTACGGAACGGCGCAGTAGTACTGTATCATGCTGGAACAGGTCAAGAATACAAGACTTTGCATCACGGGGAAACAGTGAATATCCTCTGTTTTCTAAACAGATCCGGTTTGATGGCATCCTGTGGGCCAAAAACGATCCGAATTTGGGATATTGCTGATGGGAAGACATAATATACCTTCCAAGTACCGCAAAGATGCATTGCTCTCGCATATGATGATGCAGTTCTCATAGCTGCCTGCGATAAAAACTATCTCGCTTCGTGGAACGTCAATGATGACGGAAGCCGTCAACCAGACAGGCCGTGGCATGCTGGCGAAGAGTTCGCCGACAGTCAGCTCCGTCGGCCACCGTCCGCTGTTTCCATCTCATTGGAGCATAATATGGTGGCAATAGCTTCGCTGGGGATGCCTACAGTTCTGTGGTCTCTTGATGAAGATGACTACTACGGGACATGTGGCAAGAAACTTGCCAATGGCGAACCGAGCAAACGTTTAGTCACAGCTTTGATTTTCAACCCCAATTCAGCATTGGAACTACTTGCAGTATCATATCTCGATGGCGAGCTTGTTCTATTAGACTCCTTCAATGACAAAACGCTCCACACAGTGCGTGCGAATTGCCCAAAACTTGCCGCAAGCCCCGATGGTCGTCTCATCGCTGGAGTGGCAGGTGCGGGGACCATAGACGTATCTAGGTTTGAGTCATTGAACCTGGTGTACAGGATCAAGTCCTCGAATCCTTATGTGAAGCAGCTAGATTTCAGCGGTTTTATCTCTAACATGTAGGATACTAGGTATCTCTAGGTACTCTATCCCTAATAGACTGTGACGGTTGATCACTGGGATCAATCACTATAGGACGATAGAGTATCAATATCAGATGAGATGCCTTTCACCGCTGGATCAGATAGAGGATATGGCCTCTGCACTGCTGCCTATCCTACTATGTAAGGACCTTTTCCTCCTACCTTAGATGTAACGATAGGTAACTTACTACACAAGGTAAGAGGGGTATATCGCAGAGGTTTGTATAGGGTAAAGCGAGTATCAAGACAGGGTAATAACTCTGACTTATCCAGGGGGATAAGCTACTATTGTACTGGTAAGGTAATTCTAAAAGATCAGATACAATTTGTTATTGACTACAAAGAACTCCTACATATGAAATCTGGCAATCTTATATATCCGTCCTTCCTAGCCTTTGATCAAGCTGCTCAACCTCTTGGCCCATGCCGAGACCTTGATCACCTTGATACTTTGTTCACGTGGTGCTGGATCACGTGACTGGTCCTTGGGTGTCATCGAGCCCTCTGGCCACGATCTCCGACTTCCGTCCCAAGTACTTGACGCCTTCATTGTCCTCATAGGTTCTGGTATCGTAACATTAGATAGCTTAGTAGCTTATTATCTTTATTTTAACTCTAGTACTCTAATTATAACCAGCTATTAATTTATAATAATAAGTAAAAGAAATTAAATCTTTATAACGTATTCCACAAGCGAGCGCTCCACCCAAGCGAGCGCTCCCCCTAAGCAGCCTTTACAACGTTTAATAAGTAATTACTCTACAACGCGATAAGATATCTATAAGCTATTACTTATCGCCGAATCAGAGCTATCTTCTTCTTCTTTCTCACACGTACGAGAGTTATGCCCCGGCTCGCCGCAGCGTCTGCAGCGCCTTTGTTGCGGCGCGTTGCCTCTAGCGCGCTGCCTACTCTGGCGCGTTTCTCCTTCAATCTGCTCATCAACGTTGTTTTGAGCAATAATCTCTGAGCCTTCTGCCTTTGTTAGGCTACCTCGCTGCTGGATACGCTTCTTTTGTCGCTTTCTACGTCGCGTTGCGGCTTCATTTGCCTTTCGCAGGTTCGTGATTTCTGCCTGTAATAGCACCCCTGAGTGTACCATCAACTCAGCACCTTTAGCGAGCCGATTGAGCGATTCAATAATAGAAGTTGGTGAGCTATTTTGATGCTTTTGAATCCGATCACGAATTGGGGCTGTTTGAGAGCCTAGTTCAGCAGCATTGCTTGGTGTTTTCGACTCCCATTGACTTGCCGCTGCTGGTAGAGGTGATGGTGTACGAAGCTTAATATCGAGCTTAGCAAGCACTATATCTGGATCGAATGGTATAAGGCCTGCTCCTCGGAAGCCTGCGCAGATATTATTGTGCGTAAATGAGTCGTGATAGGCTTTGTTGAAGGCTGGTAGGAATTCAAGCTTCGTGATGTGGTTGATAGAGTTGCGCATCATATCCTCAACACAGCGCCCGTACGCCTTCTTCAACGGCGAGAAGCAGCCTACGTCGAGAGGCTGCAATAGATGTGAAGAATGCGCTGGCATACAGAGCGTAATAATCTGGTATTCCTCACAGAGCTGGCGAAACTCATGCGACTCGTGGCTCTCGTGGCCATCAAGAATCAAGAGACGCCGCGCGCCTATCGTACGATCCTTTGTATGCTGCTGAAAGTGCTTCAGCCAGTCAATACCAAGCTCGTTTGTAGTCCAGCCATTCTCGCTTAATGCGAGCTTGAAATCTGCAGGTATATCGTCGCCTTCGTACCATGCAGAGAGGTGGTAGGTTCCTGCAAAGATAACGTACGGTGGAATCGCCCATCCTTGAGAATTGATAGCTTCAATAACTGTTACCCACTCGCGGTTGCCAGGCTGTACACTCTTTGGCCGCGTACGTCTCTCAGAGCCAGTGACAACCTTGCTTGTCGAGATAACGCCCATTTGGAAGCCTGTCTCGTCAAAGTTGTAGATATCCTGCTCAGCAATCCCATGCTTCTCAATCGTACACGACGTACGAGCTGGAACCAGCCTCCAATAACCTCAGGATCCTCGCACTTAGCGCGCTGATAGTCGTACTTGCGATTAAATCGAGTTTTAAGCTCAGCTGTTCGACGCACGAAGTTCTCTGGCCAATTCTTGCCGACCTTGCTAGCACCGCGCGCAGCAAGCAGTTGATCAGCCATATCTCGTACAGCTTGAAGCCTGGGCGGAAATCCACGTGAATCTAGCTCGAGTATATATCGTACGATAACTGATTCCTCTAGCTTTGATAGCTTCTTCGAATTAGGCTGACAATCGCGTCGAGAAGCTATTCCGGCGCGTCTCCTCCTTAGTGTCCTGCGATCGACCTTAAACACCTCAGCAGCGTGTCGCTCGCTCCCAATTTGCTTCAGATTGATTGCTGAGATAGCTAGATCGATTCGGCCTTCTTGATGAATTGAATTAGTATTATTTTGTGGTGGCATTATACAGAGATTACAGCGCGTCGATGTTTAACTAGGAAGGTGGAGCGCTTGCTTAGGTAGAGCGCTCGCTTGTAGAATACG